CACCGGTGGCTTGTTTAGGCTTGTACCAACGATTGCGCACTAAACGCGAAACCATTCCTCTAACCCTTTTGGTTCAATCGGGTTCATGCAAAGATTGCAATTCGTGAAGCGGATTCTTGTGGATTCGATGTTAAAAATCTTCACGACCTTTTTTTAGGCATAGCGCTACGGAACTTCCCGGTCAAGTTACCAAGATATGAATCCTTTAAGATCTGTATACGGTATAGACGCCAAGAGCTACCGGATATCATGCCCGTCGACTGGATCTGATTGTTGTAGTAGTTACTTGCAATGCGTAGTACGTACTTGCTCCTTCTCAAGTATACTATGTATTCAGTCTTGAGACGCATGCAGGTTTAAATCTAGGGGTCAGAACAATTCGACAGGCACTTAACTATACCAAAGTGCTGGATGATACTCTTGAGCTCTGTGGAACGACCTGCGAGCCCGCCCCAAAGATCTAAAGATATTTCTTCGGATAAGAACGTTCGGTTGGCGAACTAGAGAGTTCGAGCCTGCATGCAGTTCATGATGTTCAATTTGATTCTCCTGCGCTTGGTCGAGGCTATCTCGGGAATAGCCCTGCCATCTCGGGAACCACTACAATGCAATGTCAGCTTTTATCCGAACGGCTATGCACGAAGTTTCCCAATGCTACTAGCTCGTACTCAGATGCTCGATACCTATGTGCTTTCATATAGATCCGGACACACGATGATCATCGATGATCGCGATCAAGGACCGGTTCAAACTAATCTTAGTAACTAGAGCTATAGTATAGAGGTTGGGTTCAATGGTGAACAACACATAGGCCACCGATTTTTCGGTTCTAGACCACACTTTGTGGGATCAAACAAGCGCGCATAGCTGCAAAGCTGCACATGTGGGGAGCTCAGACCTTGAAAAGGGCTTAGCATGTGGGATCGTGACTTTTCATGGCGGAATCCGGTTGCGCAAGTGCATGCAATTCGGCCCGTTTTGGCAAGCGCGGGTACGTATGACCCCGCTCAAGATCTTCCGGCGCCTTAGGAATCAATTCGGGTTCGACTTATCGATATGCGGATTCCTACACAGCTGCACAGTTGTCGAAGGTGGTAGGTTCACCGTGTGGAATGTAACTAGGATTACCACTGAAGTAATGAAGTCAAGATCGACACTCAATGATTCTTTGCTTTGGGGCTTTGGGTCATCTGAGACCTCGAATATCCATTCTTAGACATGACAATGCAAGCCCATCTCGAAACGATAACTATATCTGCAAAAAAAGATTTCAAGACTAAGTCCATTCGATCTTAATTTCGAGTATTCCGTATGATGACATCAATCGGATAAAAGTGATAGGGGAAAATGGCGCAGTACTTGTGTTTCAGCCACAGATACATATCTAGATCTAGGTCCAGGCATCTTGGGACCAAGATGGATCATATAATTACGATACAATACTTCGTGGGGGCCAAGTTCGGTCCACCTCGATCGCCTAGGTACCGTCGATTGAATGTATGCATACAGGGCCTCGGTTTCGAAATTCCATGAACGCATCCCTAGACTGCATCGGCGACGGATGCATGCATAGGCTCCAGGGCCCCGCGCTGTCCCCGGATCTGATTTAAATATATACAAGGGGTAAACTGGACGAGGTGCATCGCGGATCTGCGATCATTTGAGCGCCCCTAAGGTGATATCAAGAAGGCGTCCTGGCGCCTGTGCAGCTGTGATTAATGTAGTTAAGAAATACAGAGGCTGCAGTTAACTGCATCCGGTTATCCCAGCATTGGTTTGCAGCAGGTCTCGACCTCTGGACTAAACATTAGTGGTGTATTGATGCGATGTGCATGTGGCTATCAAAATCTCGTAACTTAAGCTTCTTTGGGTAGCTACATTCCTACCCTCAGATGAACGACTAAGCGCCACTCGCCCGTGTACGAAGGATATCAAATGCAGTGAAACACCTGACCCTTCTGCTTCTATACCGAGATTCCCGGATTAAGATCACCGCTCACATCATACCTTATAATTTCTCACTGACGAAGGACAGATGCTCCGTGTCTCCATGGGTAAACTCGATCATGGCCTTCGCCCCACTTCACCACCGGTCGCCTAAGCGTACCTTTACACTACGGGGCGCATGGGCATCCATAAGGTACTTCGTAACTTGTAGAGCAACCGAATGATCTGGCTAGGGGTTTCCGTTCCCCATTAACAAACGAGAAAACCCCGAAGCCACTGTGGTACGTACTGTCCGGGCTGGATCTAGATCTACTAAGTGGCTACGCTATTAAATTGATGCTGCAGATAGCTGTTCATTGCTCCCTGCTTGCGTTTCAAGGCCGTTTTCCTCCGCCATGTCGGGGACCAATCTGCAAGCCTTGAGTGAATCTATGTAGAATGAAGGCCAGAATAATATATACCAATGGTCTAAAAACAATGGCCTTTGAAGTTTCACTCCTGGAATATATATGTAACGATGGATTGCATTTGCATGCACGGCTGCATGATAATTAAACATTATTGGGAATTTGGAAATCCTAACCTTGAAGCAGGGTATTTCAGTATTGAATTTAGATCACCAGTCCAGCGGCACCACGGGCCATGGGGAACTTGGGAATTGGGTGTACTACGCCCGTAGGCTGCTGATGTTCGCCTCGTGGGAAAGCACTGGGTGACTGGACAACCGAAGCACTCATGGTAGAGATAAAAACTCGGAAAACATGTAGCCTAGGATTTCTAGCGTGATATGCGTGCCGAAATATAGCGTGAATTTAATTTTGAAGGTTGGAGACTAGAAGTACTTGCGGAACCTATTGACTATTGCTGCCTTAGCAGCCTGTCCATGCAGATGTAAAATCGATAACTTAGTCTAGTGACGGGACGAGGCCTTACCGTGAAGTCTATCTGAAATCTCAACTTGCTATTCTAAGGTTCAAATGTTAAAAGGAAAGATCTTGAGTTCAAATCTTGGCAGTAATTTAGCTCGCAGAGGAAAGTAGTCCGGAATAGTCAGAGAGAAAGGGGGACTTTGCCCATAGCAGTTCCTGAGTCCATTTTCTCTTTCATTTCTTTGCCCCCCCCCCCCCATTCATGTATACGTTGGGGTAGTAGCACATATCCGTGAATTATACTAGTTATTGGATCAACTTAACTCGACAGCAAACTTGAATCCATTGGTGTAGATATAGATTCTATCTTACTTTACTCGAACCAACCGTAAAGTCGTTTTAATAATGAAGGGAATGTTCGATTTTTAGCGCCGGTACCCATATTATCGCCATCCGACTTTGCAAGAGGTACTTGTTACAGCTGTCACGATCGCGATGTCGGAGTTGGTAGTATTCTGACTCGAGGCATCCTATTTCTCGTAAAGTAGTAGAAGACACTTCTGTCAACGAATGGTCGTCCTCTACAAAATTGCCCAGTGTAGCTATCTTTTGCTTCACAAGCGACCTAGAAGACCTGACCGTATAGCTTAGAACCGTATAGCTTAGAAGACACAATAAATAATCTATTTGCAAAATTTAGTCCCTAGTTTGGGAGGATGCTGGTAAATAAATCCAAGTACGGATTAAGACTTGTATATTTAGACTTCCGAGCCTTTTTATCGAGTCACATTATAGAATTGTGTATAGGCGGCTCTGATAGGGTGAAAAGCCATCATATAGGCATCCTTGAGATGAATATCTATATTGGGATGTTGTAGCCTCGAAACACGACGAATGCATGCTGGGAGACCGTTGTATTCGTAGTTGTGTAACATGTTGTATTTTGAACATCAACAACGCAGTTGGTCTCGTTTGCGCGCGAAAATTCCCTTAACCCACAAAGGGCAAGTTTGGGATATCAAGGAAACAATCTCATCCGAGGTTAGCGTCTGGGGAATCTGGGGTTCTGAAGTGGGCTTGGACCTATTTGGCTTGGGCCCTTTTTTTCTTGCAATTTCTTGCAATTTAAACGGCAACGGAACAGACGGGAAACTGTCGCATCCGAGCTCGAGTCAGTGCGCGTCCTATTATATCGACACCAAGAGCTTTAAGTCCACGGATGAAGCTTTGAAATAGCGGCAGGTTTGGAATTGAATGCATAGAAAATCCGTGCTTTGCGTCCGAAAAGCCTACTATTGGGTTTCTTTTGACATGTGAGGCCGAGTATAAGATTCTTGACTCGACTTTTTGACCTTGAGAAGATGGTGTTTTTCACCATTGAGGCAATAGCAAAGATATTATATAGGCTATTTGGACGGAAATCTTTGGTTGTCGTGAGGCTGTTGGCCGCAATCTCCCGAAAGGAACTTGTAAACTCCGGAAATTCGATTTGAACAGCGTTGCCAGCCTGTTCGCGAATAATAGGGTGAGGTTTAGTAAGGCTCTTAAGGTGACCGAGCACGGTCGCAAAGAAGCGGTTGGACTCGAATTCCCCGCATTTTTCCTCCACCCTCAGATCGGGTATACAGGCACAGAGCTGTCTTTGAATAGGATAATGGTACCATGGTGTGCACTTGAGCTTTCTTTCCTTCCCCGTTTCACTGCACCGGCTCGTTAACGTTCGTTACCAGTCGCCACTGTTCCCAGTACCAAGGGACAACCTCTGACTGATATCATTCGAATTCGCTGAGGCCAAGGAGCGCTCTTATTTGGCCCTGGCCTGTCTTTCGGTTCAAAAAATTTGGCCACGACGTCCTACATTCCATTACCTCTGCATTCTCGACCCTGGCGTTCATTCTAACGTTAACATAACCAAGGTTATTAATCAGTTGGGGTAACACCGTCTTTTCCTTCGCCCCAAAAATCGCCGCGGCAGTTCCGGCCAATTAACAAGCAGCCAAACCAAACCAACATTGCATTCTGCAGAAAACGACCAGACAGCAGCATTTCTCGCTTCTGTGATTCCCGAAATTTTAAGCCATATTGTACCTGCGGTTTTCGGCTTTCCCGTAATCTATCTGAAAGGAACAGCACACTTGCATATCGGCTCTATAGATAACGGAAGTATAGTAGCCGACCTCTAGCATGGCGAGCCTGGATGGCTCCGACGGCCATGACAGCCCTGCCACGGTCACGACAGACGAATCACCTTCGGCCCATATCCAGGTAACACCAATCATTACCGACCAAATAAGCCCTCAGGATCCATCGTCGACGTCGTCGACTTCTCCCGCAGTCCGCTCGACTACGTCGTTTCACGTTTCAAAACGTGCGCCTAAGGCATGCGGTAATTGTCATCGTCGAAAGGTACGATGCGATGCCCACTTGAATGCCGACGGCCAACCGTGCTCTTATTGTCGGAGTACTGGGCATGAGTGCGTACTACTCCCTGGTAGACGCGGCAGGTAAGACAAACCACCCAACCCGATCTAAGAAGTAGGAATGCCGCAATATTATGCACGATCGCCAAAATTTAAGCCGACGCGATGGTTCACCCCCGTTATGCCTCATCTTGTACTATTCTTTCTAGCTCCATTTGGTCTTGAGCCGCCTTTTCTTTCAACCAGCTGAACGAGCTAGTCGCACGACCAGCTCGCTCTTGCCGCCGCTTAAGATTCAATTGGATGATGAATACTAATTGCCCATCTCAATCTGTAGCACTTACCAGAAAACTAAGAAGCGACTGGCTGCGCAACAAGCCGCCCTTTCCGTCGGCGGCCAATCCATTTCTTCACAAGAACCCTCAAACTCGGACCAGCGGCGCCAACGGCGACAATCTGATTCTCGTGTTTCCGGAACTGCGTATCATCCCACCCGATCACTATTGTCGCCCAAAGATGGAGACCCCACCACATTTACACCGTTTCCGCCGCATAAGGACCCGAACCTGGAAATTAACCCATCCTTGAGCGATGAACATGTCTGGGTTCAGTTTTTGGACAAGGTCCATGACAGTTCGGGGACCGGACCGGTTGGCCTTGAACAGCAACTTACTGCCCAGAATACTCCTTCTAGTTTCCGCCCTCGAGCAGATGATCATCAACAAACCCGTGAGAATTCCACTGATCGAGAACAAGAAGGGAAGCGACAAGTTCTGATATTCAATGGAGAAACAGCTCTTGACGGTGCTGTTCCAACTATCGCTGGATTGCAAAGAATGCCAAACGCCAATACCGCCACCCTCGATCCCCGTCTGGATTCGTCACTATCGCTCAGCCATGTCCCTTCTTTCACACCGCCTCCCAGTTGGACGACTGTTGCGAGCAGAGCGCATATCACAGACTTAAAGATCTTACCCGATGATGATGTCTCATATCTTCTTGACCACAAGAAAGTTCACATCTTCCCACCGATCGAATTATGTGATAAGCTCGTCTACACATTCTTTTGTTATATATACCCTCATCTACCGATCTTGAATCGTCCATCGTTTATCCGAGGTTATAGAAAGATGATGTCTGGTGAAGGACTCTATTCCCTGTTCCTGATGCATGCAGTCCTATATGCGGCCACTTACCATGCCCCGACAGAGATACTCAAGCAATGTGGCTTCGAAAATCGGCTCACTGCCAGAGCATATTTCTTCTCGCGCGCCAAGCTGATGCATATGATGGATGGTGAAAAAGAACATCTATACACTATCCAGGGTTGTACGCTAATGAGTATGTGGTGGACTCGATACGAAGAAGAAAAAGAAACTAGGTTCTGGCTACAGGCAGCCGTCCTATTAAGTCAGCGGATGGGAATGCATCGTTCCATTCGTTCGGGCTGGGGGCTGGGGGCGAGTGAACGGCGGATGTGGAAACGTATCTGGTGGACTTTATACGTATGACTTACATACCCCCTTCGGATATAATAAAATTTGTTACTAATACCTGTGACAGAGCCGAGATCATATCACAGCATCAAGTCTTGGGAAACCAAGTCTGATTAGGCTGAGCGATTGTGATGTGAGCGAGTTAGAGGAAGACGACTTCGTGGAGAATTGGGGAAACACGAAACCCGAGGATCTAGCTGCGCTTTGTCCTGTCCAACTGCCTGTGACGATTAAATACGTTATCGAAATCTCCAAGCTCGGTAAAATCTGTACGTTTGTTATTCATATAAAAAAACGAAGAAAGATTGTAACTAACAAATGCCCTCACCATCTAGACGAAAGGATTGCATCTGTTCAGTACTCATGTACCTACCGTCCTACTCACAGGGATCTTGACGACCTTGCCAACGACCTTGCGGATTGGAAAAATAACCTACCACCAGAACTCTCAACACTCCGTTATGACGAAATGCGAACATGGACGTCAGAAAACTTCTGGCCAATATTACTTCAGCTCGTTCACGACCGTGCAGTATCTATGCATTATCGCCCGCGATGTTCATTACCGAAGGGTCGTGCGTCATGGGAAAGTGAAAGTTCCACTGGAGACGACGAAGCGTTGGTAAAAGAGAGAGAGAAGGCTAGAAAAGCAGTGGTTAGCGCAGCGAGCAATACATTTAGACTCACTGAAGACCTCCTGAGACACGATTTGTTGAAATACGCCCCTGCCGCTGTGTAAGTCCTCAAATCATCCCATATACCACTTTAATAATTGATCCTAACCTCAGAATTTAGTCAAACACCACTTTTCATCGCTATGATTGTCTACGCCGAAGAAATCAAACTCGCGCCTGAAGGCTCGACCCGCCATAGTCTTGCTACTAACAAGATAAACGTGGGTATGATGGCTCTCGGCGAGCTACGGAAAATCTGGGCGGCTTCATCATGGACATTCCGTCTCTTCGAGTTCATAATCAAAAACAAGTTCGTGGGAATTGGAAAACCAGATATCTCTGTTGGCGGTGGTGCTGGGGTTCCCCCAGATGTGGCCAGCCACACAGGCCTTAACAATCCGCATGGAGGAATGCACCCAGTGGATGATGCGGATGTGTGTAACACACATGCAGGAATTCCAGAACTAGACATTGACCCACAACTTGCTGCTGAGAGTGAACGAGGCTTTTTACCGGGCGGAATAGATCCTCACATACCAAATTCCGCGACTCCAACTCCAGGTCCAGGTCCAATTTCTGGTGGACAACCAGTGTTCTGGAATACTGGCAATCATGAAACACTAAGCCCAGATGCTGCTGGGTATGTTATGTGGGATGGGCACCATCCAAACATGATGGGGCATCAACCTGGACCCGAAGGGTGGGGTGGTGGGCATTACGGTATGGGAATGAATGGCCCTGGTGATGGTCCTGGTGGTGGCCATGCTGGTGAAGATACAGGTGGGTTTGATCTTACATGGCTGGCGATGAGTGGGCTAGCTGGGGATATGCCGTTCCATTTTGAAGGCGGGCCGGTCACGGGCGGTGGGGGTTCGATTGGATACAACGGAGCACCCGATATCGCAAAAATGTCTGGTGGTTCCCTCAACCCTGCCAAGATGGGAGCAACCGCAATCGATCTCTGGAATATCCTAGGCCTCGGCGGTAGCAACTCATTCAGCAATTTCTAAATGAATGGGATCTATATATTGATATATCTTATGACGTTGCGTTATAACGTTTGTTGGAGTTGGTTATTATATGTCATGCTTAAAAACGTCTTTTTATTGCAAGGGTGTACTTATTGGAGTTCTATTTGGGAAGCTAAGATATGCTCAACGGTCCATGATGATCATGCTGTTTACTGGGAGTTTTTACTTGCAGTGTTTATAGTATACTGTCAGTTTGGGTAGTCAGCATTGAACGGCGCGATTCATTTTAGTATACACAGCTTCTTACGATTCTGAACTCCTTCCTAAAAGTTTCCTTTTTCTTTTTTCTTAATGCCCTTAAACCTTCCGAATTCCATAGTATATTTCGAGCCACACGCAGTAGTTATCACTTATATCTTCGGAATGTAAACATCAGAATTTTATTACCATAATCCCTGATTTCCGGCAAAAGTGGACCTGGAGAGACGCCGCTGACATCTTGATTCTAAAAGACCCCTGACCACCCCATGTCAGTTCAAGGAAGGAGAGCCTCTGACTAAGGCGCCAATTGATTAGACAAGCAGCTTATCAAGACCTTGTGTCAAATAAGACGACAAGCCCCGCAAAAATACACCCCGCAAAATCCCCACTTGGCGGGAACACAAGACACTCTTACTAAGGCTGCTATAGGGTATCGGTAGTTCATTTCGGACCGAAGCGATGCTGGTGGTGTGCATTGGCCATCGGCTGGCCAATTGACGGCGCTGAATTATCAACTCCAAACATACAAGACTTTGGGATCTAAGAGGATCTATAAGTATCAGCCGCGGCAAATCCTTATGAGATAGAATCCAGATTATAGAATTCTTTCTTGCTATATATAGAATATTTTTTCGAGCTCGATATCGATATCGCGGTCAGTTTGTTGCATTTTCAATAGAACAACACAAAAATGACACCAACGGATTCAGAAGTTGACGTCCTGATTGTCGGCGCTGGGCCAGCAGGTAAAAGCTCCAGCGGACGCCCTAGTGGATATGTCGATATGTAATCAATTTTAATGGCTAGCTAACCCACTAATTGCCGAAAAAAACTAGGGCTCATGTTGGCAACATGGTTATCGCAACTCCAAATCAGTACCAGGATTGTAGACAAAAGATCTACAAAAATCATGGCCGGCCAGGCGGACGGGTTTCAATGTCGTACCCTTGAGATTCTAGACAGTTTTGGAATCGATAGGGTCTGGAAAGAATCCAATCATATGCTCGAAGTGTGTTTCTGGAACCCTGATGAGAACGGAGTAATTCGACGAACTGCCAGGGCCCCGGACACTCCTAAGGGGCTTAGTCGATTTACAGAGAGCGTGCTACATCAAGGTGAGTTCGTGTTTTAATAATATTATAAACAGCTCCACAGCTCAGTGAAAGATTATTCGCTCAATATGAATTACAGGGCGCATGGAACGCTTTTTTCTCGACCATCTTAAAGAAACCGGAGATAGAATCCGTGTTGAACGCCCCGTAGTCCCTTCGCTTCTCCAAGTCGACGAGTCCGAGATCAAAAATCCATCAGCTTACCCAGTGACGCTGAAACTCCAGCACCTGACGGACGAACAAGCAACCCCAAACCAAGGCAACAATGTCCCCAACGGCCTCTTCCGTTCAAATCTTACTGCCGACGACACTGATGATTTAATCCGAAAATCATCAGGGAAGGAAGGAACAGAAGAAACCATTAGAGCCAAATATGTAGTCGGCTGTGATGGTGCTCATAGTTGGACTAGGAAACAGCTTGGATTTAAAATGGAAGGAGAACATACGGAGATTATATGGGGGGTTCTGGATGTAGTACCTATCACCGATTTCCCGGACATCAGAGTTCGTTGTTTGATTCACTCCGCGAGCGCAGGTTCTTTAATGGTTATTCCCAGAGAGAAACGGGTCGTTAGACTTTATATCCAGCTGAAAGAAGTTGGATTCGGTGGAGGTGCAGTGGATCGGTCCAAAGTCACACCGGAGCAGATTCTGAAAGCTGCACAGAAGATTATAGCCCCATATAAGCTAGAATACGAACAGTGCGACTGGTTCACTGCGTATCAAATTGCACAGAGGGTGTCGGATGGATTTGAGAAGTTTGACAGAATTTTTTTGGCTGGTGATGCAGTTCGTAAGTTAACCCGATCGTTCGATGTGCATTGTCATATAAAATCTATTAGAGAAGTTTTCTGAACGACTCGATATCTAGATACCCACAGCCCCAAAGCAGGGCAAGGTCAAAACGTCTCGATACAGGATGCCTACAACTTGGGTTGGAAAATCGGGATGGTAGCCCGGGGACAAGCCAGCCCGGAGATTCTTAAGACATACACCACGGAACGCCAACAAATTGCGAAGGACCTAATTGCGTTCGACCAAAAATTCTCGAAGCTTTTCTCGGGCCGACCGGCGAAGGATGTATCTGATGAAACCGGTATCAGTCTTGAAGAATTCCGAAACGTTTTTCACCAGGGAGCTGTATTTGCCGCTGGATTAAGTGTGGACTATGGACCGAATATTCTAGTCGTTAAGGAAGACGAGGGGAAGGAAGGGACAGTGAGGTGTCGACCTGATTTAGCTGATAAGCTAAAGATTGGTATGCGACTTCCCAGCCACAAAATCTTAAATCAATCCGATGCTCTAGCGATCGAGCTTCAAAGGCTGCTGCCTTCAGATGGACGGTTCCGACTGGTTGTATTTGCTGGTGACATCTCCAAGCCCGAAATTTACTCTCGTTACGAAAAGCTCGGAGACTATCTGGCCTCGAAAGACTCCTTGATTTCATCGTATACCCCACAGAACAGCCCTAGAGATTCTGTTATCGAGGTGCTCACAGTACATTCGGCTAAGCGAACGGATATTGAGTTACAATCTTTACCGGAGGCCTTCCGTCCCTTGGATAAGTCGAAAGGCTGGGATTACTGGAAGGTTTATGCAGACGACGAGAGTTATCACGAAGGCCATGGAAAAGTTTACGAGAACTTTGGGATTGATAGAGACGAGGGATGCATTGTGGTAGTTAGGCCGGATGGATACGTTGCGGCTACCGTCTCGGTGGATGACACTCAGAGCTTGGAAACTTATTTTGGAAGATTCATGATCAGATTGTAAAGAAAAAGATCATATTATTATTTTCTATGCCGTAGATTCCTTATATTTCCCTGACTTTAATTTTTTTTTTTTTTTTTTTCGTTCTTTTTTGGTCCTGGAGATATATATCGATACACGGAATTAATTAAGAATTCAAACTCGAGGGACGAGAAAAGTAACCAAAACCTAAATTTATAAAGTGTCGATTCATTCCAAGGCTAGATCTATAGGGAAAAGGCTAAAGATCTAGAACACAGAGTCATCTAGAGAGCGGTTGTATAATATAATAAATTTTGTATCATAGAAAGGGAAGGAACAATTTTTGATCTAGATACAGCTTTTACCCATATCAAACAAAACTCCCAGAAGATAAATCTAAAGCATTAAAAAGCTGAAGCACAATCCCTCTCAAACACAATCCTATACAAATTCTTACTCCTCATATCCTCCACACTCACCACAGGCTGCCCAGCCAAAGAACTACCCGCCATCCAATCACTAGAATAAGCATGACAATTATACCCATCCTGGAACTCAATCTCACTGTATATATACAACTGACAATTACTCAGACCCAAACAGTACTTTGTACAAGCATTAACATTCCCAGCAAAGATATCCCCAACCTTCGTCCTACCATTTTGCGTAGAAACTCCGCCAAGGACACCACAGACTTTATTCTTCGGATAAATTGGCGTTTTAACGCCCTTGAATATTGCAAAGCAGGATTGATCATAGAAGAACATCCCCGCGGATTCTTTAGTGACGTAGTTACCGAATGGTTTGTTGTATAACCGGCAGTTTTGGGGGTACATTGGATCCAAATTTGCGATGGGGAGGTATTCGAATGCGTAACAGTCATCGAACAAAGCGCATTTGTCGGAACAAGATTTAGCGTCTGGAATATTTTGGTACCAATCGCCAATCTGGAGGTTGAAGTAAGCGTCTGAAGCAGTACCCTAAACACCCGTACACGCCGGAGCGGCGGCGGAGGTGGTCTTTTTGGCTGTGGCAGTAGCTGCAGTAACTGGTACCCTGTTTACGAGTATTTGTTAGTGTATGTTATTGAAATATTAGGGATTTATGACTAAAAAATCTTACCTTGTGTAATACACTGAGGCAACTGTCACAGCGCTGACCGTTGTGCCATATGTAGTCGTTTTTATTTTGGTAGGCACAGTCTTAACAGTAAGGACAACGTTAGGAGTGAATGTGTATGTTCCCTTTGATTTGATCGAAGTGCTAATAGTCACCGGAACAGTGGTTGTGACTTGGTTGACATATGTCGTTGTGACTGGGATGGTAGTGTAAGTACTCTTGGCTTTTGCGGCAGCAGGTAAAGCAGAGGCTGACTCCAGGAAGAGTGCGACAAGAGGGGCCAACAAAGCTGAGTTTTGAGTCTTCATTGTGGTGATCTCGGAACCACTACTATATGTACGGATCGCAAAGAATAGGCTAACGCCGTGAACTGGTTTCAATAGATGTATTAGAGGATATCTTTCAAGTGGAATTATGAGATCGAAATCTCAGATTAAAAGCTTGGTCTTTAAGGAAAGTGATAGTTTTGGAATTGGATCGATTAAGGAGTCTAGCATAACAGAGCTTAGGGGGTTTCGTAAAACTCTTTGACCTTTAGTTTGCTGTTACGGGAGAAAAAACATCTCGAGAAGGAGACATAGCTGCTAAATTATATAGACACTTCTGAGTATACTGCGTCGCATTACCCTTGCAATAGAATATTCTGTTCCTTCGAAACTCTTTTTAAAATCTATGATAGCCGGTAGATCTAAACACCTCCGGATACTCGCTTAATAACAGAGTACAGAGTACAGAGTTCTGAGCTGGGTGTAGTATGAGATTGACGTTTGTACCCCTGGTGCAGGTACGATAACTTTTAATAAGTTTGAGCTAAACTCGCCACATGTAGTTCATGCGATTGAGAAGAGGCTGGTACTAGTGAGGCGTTTTCATAGATCCGTATTATTTGCGTTGAAATTGTTGGAGTTTTTGTTAGTTCCGTTTTCGGAATCCAGGCGGCTGTCTTGAGATATGATTCGACTGACTTTTTCACGGAGAAAGAAGTGAACACCTTATGTTAGTTCCTTCTCTGTATTCGGGAATGGAGTCAATATCTTTTTTTACTGCTTTTGAAATTTTTGATAATATCCCCTCATCTATGCAGCGAAGCTCTTAGACGAACAAGCTCGAGAGCCTCGATGCGAGAACATATTTATGTCTAAATCTGGTAGGGATGGGTAACAATGTCTAGTTAACTATGCAGCTAGCATGAGAAATTCACTGTCTGAAAGCGGACTGAATGGAAAACTAGTTCGACATGTGGGTGGCTCGGATCTAGACTGATCGAGGTTGTGATTTGAACAATCTTATAAACTTAGTTGAAACGTATGATCATATGAAGTCCTTGGGAAGAACAGCCTAGAAATCGTTTGAAAATGCCTCGAACATGGGTATTCTCGAACCACAAAAGATTACATGACTTCGGAATCTTTAAGAAAAAAAAGAATAGATCACTACCTTTGGCAAGAGGCAGAACAAACAATCAATGCGATTAACTAAGAATGATGTATGATGCGCCGATGCGCCGCAAAAGAGAGTAAAGTAGCCACCAACAAGTCCAATCTTGCAGACTAACTAAGCAGAAACGAAAAGGAATAGAGTAAAAACCAGAAACGACCCCAACATCTCTAACTCCAAACTTTTGCTAAACCAAAAACGACTTTAGGACCTTTATCACAAAGCCACTTAAGATCTGCCAGCACCTTTCTGATCCCCCCTCGACCCATCATAGAAATCCTGCCTCTCGTACCCTAGATTCTGACTCTGCGGCCTTAAAGTCGCATATGCTGGTGGTGCATCCCCGCCCCCGGAATATCCACCATGTACTGGCCCAGCCATAACCGGTTGCCCACCATGTGGCGATGTAGGCCGTTGCTGTGAATTTCCATATACAACCGGCGGTTTCTGCATCGACGGAGATTTCGGGGGGGCATCTTGGTTATTATAACTTTCGTTATAGGGCGGGTATCCTTGTGGTACCGGTGGGGACTGTGTTCGTCCGGAGTTGTACCATTCTTGACGGGCGGCTTCTTCTGCTCTTCGCTTTCTATTGTGAGTCTTTGTTAGCTATTGTCTACTAGGTAGTATCAAGGACATAATGGGATAGCGAAAGAGCATACTTTCTGTTCTTGTAGAAGTAAACGCCGCCAACTACTAGGCATAGTTCTAGTAACATTTTCGGGATTGATGGGATTATCGGGATAGTGTGTAGAATTAACGACAGTCAGTTCGAGTTGTCGTGTGGAAGTTAAGATACGTTGTTGATTTAGTGTGGATTTAGACCCGTGTTGTGTTGGATATCGCAGGATGACGTCGTTGGAGGCGAATATCAAAGGCTCAGGTTTTAATTATACCTAATAGGTATTATAGAAGTCGATGATGATGTATAAATGAAGATATCTAGAGAGATCTTTAACCTTGGATCCGTTGTTCTCCTAGCTTATAACCAAAGAAAGAAAGAAAAAACCGCCCGTCAAGATATTATATATAGAAGAACCCTGTTCCAAGGCCTTTAGTATTTTTGCATTCGTCATCTGCCAGAATCACCTTTCCATTCTTTCGGCCCCGACGGAGTAAATACTGTTCTCGTAAGGTTACAAGGTGACCAATCCAAAAGTTCCGTTTTTTGCCACTAAGAGGGCCTAGTACCAGACCGCTAGCTACTTTGTACGCACATGGCACACACCACTCCCACCTCGTTTGGGGGGTTTTGCTTTGCTGACGTATACAGTATGTTTGTCGGGCCTGTGTCGTGGGCCAGCGTACGCCTTGCTCGGCTGCGCCCCGTTCGGGTAATTTCGCGATGTAAGTTGATTATACCTATAGATGAGACTCGAGGGCGGAGTAGACGGGAGAACGGATGAACCTGTTTAGAGCATTCAATAGTCGGGGAGACATTAGAGTAGTAAGTTATTTTTCTAAACTCCATTTCGCAAGATTAGGTTATCTCATATTAGAAGGAGGATGGATAGCTTAGGATCGAGAAAGAAAAAACAATTCATAGCTTCGGCACTTTTTGGCCTGGGATATCATATGTAATAAATACAAGCAAAGCATTCCGGGGAATGATAATAATAAAACAGTATAGAAAATGGGATATCAATATATGCTGACAATTTAGTAGTATGAAAAAGGATACTACCGTCGCGCTCCCTATGATTAACTGACAAATCTAAAAAGAGATGCGAAAAAAATCCCGTGAGAACCCCAAAAAACCAAAACTAAAAAGAAAAAAGAGAACCCCATCAATTCACTTTTAAATGAAAGTCATTAACATTGCAGAGAAAAAAGCTCCCAAGCAAGTAAGTAAGCTACCGAGACCAATGCTCGATGCAGCACCTGTCTGAGAAGGGGCGGGTGGGAGAGGAATGCTCATTGTAGGCGTGATCTTTGGCGCGGCCGAGATCGTAGAATTCGATAAAGTGGTATTTCTGGGGATGGTGGTATTGAACCCTGGGATGCGAGTTGAAGTGATTTCTGGCAGTGAGGCAGTTGTGACCAATACAGCAGTAGTAGTTTGAATAATGCTGGTCCTGCCCTCGACGACAGTTGTCGTAGTTGTTGGCTTGAGGAAATAGACTTCTGGGATGGATGTTGGGCGCCCATTGATAGTGGTTCTGAGGAACGAGGTGGAGAAGAAGGTTCTAGGTGTTGTGATAGGGACAACAGATGGGACTAGTATGACGGTTTCTCTGCCGTTGATGGTTGTGGTGACGCTAACGGGCTTGATGGTATAGAACTCAGAGAGTGTGGTTTCATCGCCGTTTATAGTTGTTGTCTGGAGGATAACAGATGGGAGATTGAGAATCGGAACGCCCTGTGGCACGAAGAAAGTACTGGTAAATACGCTTCGGGTTCCGTCAACGGTCGTAGTACCGACAGTAGTGGTTAAAAAGGCTGAGAGGGATATGGGGAAGTTAACGGTGGTGGTTGTTCCGTCGATAACTGTTGATATTTTTAACGTTTGGATACGAGGATTGGGTAGAGTAGACGTTGCAGGTAGGATAAAGGTTGTCGTGCGAAGGACCGTTCTCCCAGATACGATATCTGTCAGTAAAGTCGTACTTGTCAGTGGAGCAAGTGTTACCACCATTGGGCCGAATGTCGGGAGCCCATTAATGATTGTAGGCCCGATTGTTGTAGTCAGGAATGGGGTGAATTGAGGCACTGGTACGGTCACCGGAAGGAAGAAGGTAGAAGAAAGAACCGTTTGACGACCGTTGATTGTAGTAGTAACAGGGACTACCGTGGGTCTCGCTGACACCGATAGCACGGTGAGGAATGTAGTTGTCTGGCCATTTATCGTAGTGACCACCGGCTCGGCGGAAACCCGAGGTTGGAAGGAAGTTATGGGAATTGTCGACTCAGTCAAAAGAGTGAGCGTGGAGCTGCCTCCGCCTGGCATTCTAACTACCGTGGTCATTGGCACTCTAGTAACCCCCACGAAACTTGTGGTTGTCGTTTCGGTTCCACTGATGGTCGTTACCCTTGGGGCGGGCATAATGAAGGGTCCATCATCGCGCGGGCGTGTTTCTGTTGGATTAGGTCCAGGGGTGACCGTTTGGCCTGGTGCAAGTCGGGAGGGTGTGGGCATCAGCAACAACGTGAAGTCGTCTGGGTTGAAAGTTCGTGATGCAGGCCTGCCAGACCCACCAGTTGTATTCGGATTCGGGTTTGGGTTCGGAAGGGGCGTAGGCCCTGGCCCTCTTGTAGGTTGCTCATTAGGTCCTCCTGGAGAGGTTTGATTAGGTGAGTCCGGAGACCGGGTATTGTTTTCCTCGTTCGGCCCCCTGGTTGGTCCTGGGCCTGGTCCTGGGCCTGGAGATTGAGTATTGTTGTCCTCATTTGGTCCCCTATTTGGCCCCCTCGTCGGCTGCTCATTCGGGTTCGGATTGGGGTTTCCTTGTGACTTCGGCCTGTCTTCTCCAGGATTTGAAGTCTGGCCTGGCCCAAGCCCTTGAGTCCTATTAGGATCGCCCGAATTTGGTATTCTAGTCGCGCCTTCTTGAGTTTTACTATTCGGTGGGACGGCGTTTTGGTTATCCTTTGGCTTCGTAACTGGTGTGCCGAAACCGTCAATACTATCTTTGCCCTTTGTTTCGATAACAACCGCAGTTTTTGTAGTTATCGCCAAGGTTCGAGTGAAGTTAAGAAAAGCCTGATACTGAGTACAGCCTTTAAAAACTGAAAGTGTGAACTCGCTATATGCAGGGATCGTGACAAGAACAGTATTTTCAGGGCAGACATCAGTACTTGTAGTTGGCAACCCAACATCATCCGTTGCGGTTGGAACCGAGTCAGTTGCTGTATCATCATTAGTTGGCGTGCTACCAAGTGGGAGGTTGTATCCGAAGATGAACTGATATGTAGTAGGAAGCACAAGGGTTATATCATCAGTGTTCGAGGCTGTGGCGAGAGAGGAAGGGATGATGTTCCCAGTGTTACTCAGGATGGTATTGTTAGGCTGAATAGTCGTGATATCTGGGTTTTCGGTTGAAAATCCAAGGACAGTTTGAAAGGTAGCATTTGGAGCATTTGTCGAGGTTGAATCATCGACAGTAATGGTGGTCACGAAGTAGACGGTAGGATTAAGTTCCATGGAATAAAAGTGGCATCGCGCGCCGGGGACACTACATCCATTGGTAGGGAAGACATATTCTGTAACTGTACCCTGCGTAGTCGAGGATGATGTGGTCGACGTTGACTCTGAGGTTGTGGTATCAGTGGTCGTAGAATCTGAGGTGGTGGTTGCGGTATCAGTTTCAGTAGTTGTTGAATCAGTAGTAGTTGTCTCTTCGGATGTCGTACTCGTTGTGCTACTGCTGGTATCGGAGGTAGTTTCAGAAGTACTGGTATCTGAAGTAGTTTCAGAGGTACTCAATTCTGTTGTGCTACTAGATTCAGTGGTTGAATCGGTCGTGGTTGGTTCCGTGGTCGTAGTATCAGTTGTAGTAGGTTCAGTTGTAGATGCCGTAGTCTCTGTGCTCGTGCTCTCCGACGTCGTAGTAGGTTCAGTTGTAGATTCAGTAGTAGACGTCGTAGTCTCCGTACTTGTGCTTTCCGTTGTGGATTCAGAAGTCGTGGATTCAGAAGTAGTAGTACTTGATTCAGGCGTAGTGGTAGTACTACTACTAGTACTCTCCTCAGAAGTTGTAGAAGATTCAGTTGTCGTCGTTGTTGAAGGCTCAGACTCGGACTCAGTCGTACTCGTCCCTGAAGCTGTCGTACTAGTCGTCTCTGTTGTAGTAGAAGTTTCAGATGCAGGAGTTGGCTCAGTTGTAGTAGAAGTTTCAGATGTAGGAGTTGGCTCAGTTGTAGTAGCCGTCGTGCTAGATTCGGTAGACGATGTTGTTTCTGTCGTAGAAGTCTCTGTTTCAGTACTTGACGAGCTTGATTCTGAAGTGCTAGATGAAGATGTAGTTTCACTAGTTGTAGTTTCGCTAGTCGTAGTTTCGCTAGTCGTAGTACTCGGTTCTTCGGCTGTTGTGGTCGTATCTGTAGTTGAAGATTCAGACGAGGATGATGATGGTGATGAAGTGCTACTACTACTTTCTGTCGTAGTAGTCGTTCCCGCCGTCGTAGTCGTTGAATCAATTCTACTTGTGCTCGTACTAGTCTCAGTAGAACTGGAAGTATCCGTCGTCGGTATCGACGAACTCGTACTTTCACTCGAACTACTCTCAGTCGTTGTCTGCGAAGATGTAATTTCAGACGTTGTCGTTGTCGTCGTCTCAGCTGACGACGATGTTGTTGTTGTTGTTGTGGTAATTTCGGTAGTTGTCAGCGATGTCGTTGAATCCGGTTCTGCGCCAGGATTAATTATCTGAGGCTGTCCAACCACTCCGCTGGTCGTATACAGCAATAACAGCACAATGGCTGCCGGTAGACGCATTTTGAAGATATATAACTACTTATTTATGCCAAACAGAGGTGGAATATATGCGTATGTGTATCGATAAGGCCTACGACTTCCTCTTTTGTATTATATATCCCTTTGTTGGCGGTCTTGGTGGAGCTATTCGCTACCTTTTGACAGACATGCAAGACATATTAAGAAGCGAAAGAAGGTATCGAGAAGAGGGGAAGGAAATAAGATAAAACAAAAATCTTCGCTTCTGCAGGCTCTTATCCCTTTTATCGATCGATCATTGAAGACGCCTTACGGGGGGGTTAATAGACCAGTTAGATTCTTCCGCCTTGTGGAGTTTAGTTTTTTTCGTTCTTCAAGATGCAAGGGAGAAGATGTAGAATAGAGAAAGAAAGGAAGGAAAGAAGAAAGAAAGAGAAAAAAACGGCATGCTTGCTCATGCATCGCCTTAGCTTCGTTGCTCCTTAATTTAGAAATCGAGACCTCCCACCATATCGCGCGCAAGCTCCCTGCGGCTGAGGCGGGCCATTCAAAGGATTTTAGCATTTCGGAGGAGGTACCCAGTTACACAAGCCCACAAGCCCGGCTTGCCAACCAATCGAAACGTGAATGGCTGGGGCTATCTCAAATAAGGGACCAGGTTAGCAAACACTGCATGACAGCGGGACAGCTAGGGTCTTGTCTTCATCTGTCGTTCACGTCACTGGCGTACACCTTTTCTTCTTTTATGGGGAGACTCGTCCTTTTGAGAAGGAGCCGCAAAGCTTAGCTTCTTGTCATATAACATCGTTAAAAATCGATCGATATTGCATAGTTTAATTAATTAATCACCAGGGACTACTGTTGTAACGGCGAAGCTCCAGATTGTTATCTCGATACTCGAATCCATGGCTATGCACAACATGATCCTTGTCCAACAAATGTAACTATATGTTAGGATATCGATATCGAGCTCATGTTGGAATGTGACATGACGGACGCTCAAAGGCTGCATACATACGTTAGTCTTGCAATGTAGGTACTGTTATCCTTACCGAAGTACTACGGAGTTACTTACCAGGTAAAGAATACAAAGGTACTTCGAGAATTTAGGTAACAAGTGTAACACGCTGGATCAATTGAAACAAAAAGCAAAAGAAAACTGCAGAATCCGCAGCAGCAGATACACAAGTACATACATAAATGTTTCACGAACAGGCGCTTGTATCAAAACCATGAATCACCTCTGGGCCTCTCGACTGCGGCTGGCTGGATGGAACTTGCCGTTCGACCAGTCAAGTCTCTCACAACACGCTAAATTGTTGCATTTTTGGCCGACAACACAAAAGATGAGATCAACTTATCGTCACCGAGTTTTATGGAGGGGCTCATGGTCAGGCGGCACTTGGTGGCTGACGTACTCGTCTGTCATACATACACACAATAGCATGTGCTTTGGCGTAAGGATACTAATTCTAGTCGGTGGTTCTGGGGAGTCTAATTGCGTTAGCTAAAAGCCTTGAGAAACTTGCTTAATACTTCTCGATTAATTTACTCGATTTCTATATCCCTCGTTCATTGCCAACTAGAACCGGGTACTTAGGTATTTACTTACACTCAGACACATGGAAAAATGTATGAATGCAGAAGAAACTACGAGCTGGTTTCAGCACGTTAATCTCGCGCCCCCCCTCGTGGCCTTTCATGCATGTTCTCTTTACAGTAACATCGTAGTACCAATTAGAAAGAAACTTCAGCGTCTCAGGTCAGTTACTATCACACATGTACCTACAGCCTAATCTGCCTTGGCTGTCGTCCTACGTTGGCTAGACCGGGTCGTAAAAAAGTTATTCGGAAAGATCAACAAGACTAGAGGGGCTGAAAGTCAACCCGATAGGCTCTTTCCTTAGTCCGAATCCTCAAGATGGAGCACATAGAGGGCTTCGATACCAGACAAGAGGTGGAGGAACTAGCTCGGACTTTTGCTCAGAACGTCCAACTTAACCCGGCCCAGCAAAACCAACCAAGTTTACCAAATATCGAATTGCAGGTTGTCCCGGACCCACAGTCCCAACTCGATCAGCAGAACTTGCAGAACTTCGGACAAGGTCGTGGTAATCAGCAAGGTACTTTCAATATTGATCTGGGAGAATACCAAGGATACCCAGGGAATCAAGGTTATCGGACAATAAACCAACAAGGCAACGTCCCTTCGAACTCTCAAGCTCGAACGCCGTTGTTGAACCTCACTCCACTCGAACAGGCCTTTGTGAATGACATTAACAATGATAATAATAATAATAACCAAAGAAGACTACCCCAACGACAAGGGGCAAACTCTCCAGAAGAAAGAAAAGGCAGTTATGATGCTGGAAACGGTCAAGACCCATGGTACAGCTACCCATCGGAAAATATGATGCAAAATAGCCTCTTCACGCCTTCAAACCAAAATCCCACTCAAAACCAAGACATGTCGACAGCCAGCCAAGTCCAACGTCTTCAACAACGACTCCAAATAAACCGCGCCCCAGCAAACAATATCTTCTCAGAAGAGGATTTCGATTTCGAGTCCCAAGACGAACGAGCTTCTGGCCCTACCCCAGACACCGACGAAAAACAATTAACCCAAGGTGCCCCCTTAACAGGAAATCGAAATTCTAAGGTTTCCGCGATACCCCTTACTTCCAAAAAACTCAGTGAACACAACTTAACCCGTAACTTGATGTCTTCCAGCGGTGTACAGTTCTATGTTCGAAGGTCAGATAATTCAATCCAACCGCTTCGGGATTTGGACTATGTTGAAAGAGCTACGGCTACCGATGTGGGATTTGGGGCCAGCATGGCTTTGGCGGCTTGGTCTAGGTTCGGTGGCGCTATGGGAGCTGTTCGTCCCGAGGACTTGTACGCTTATATCACGAGACCTGGGATTAGGCCTACGGACTACTTGATCGTGGACACTAGGGCTGAGGGGGGGACTACGAGGCTTAGTAATGTGGAACAGGCTATTGATAGGGTTCATGTCATTCCTTATTCTAGCGACAAGTGCATGTTTACATCAGGTAGATTTCCCCTTTTCATATTTATTCCTTTTCAATGGTTTTGCAAAAAAGAACTCCTCAAGCTAATATATGTTTTTGTGTTTTTTGATAGATGAATTCATCAGTTTGCGGGAGGGTGAGGCCGCGAGTGATAAAGAATGCGACGTGATAGCACCAGAAATCGCCCGCACTGTTGCCAATTCTCGTGCAAGATTTAGTAAGTCACTACATTATCTACTTAATCCATTGACTGTTAATTGAGGTCAACCTAATTTTTATTGATCTCATTATCTAGTAATCGTCCACTGCGCCCAAGGAAGAAATAGAAGTCCAGTGTAAGCCTTCTTTGACCGCTCCCTCAAATTGCCTCCCAGACTAAAACCTTGCAGCGTCGCCATGGCCCTCCATGCTAATCTCCGCCGCACTGCCCCCGAAAAGAAAGTACTCCTCCTAGTCGGCGGCTCCGACAGTTTCTGGGCTTTCGTCAGGAACCCCCAAGCCCAACAGGAATACTTCCAACGTAAAGCGAACGAAATGGCAGCCCGTCAACGGACCCCAGAGCAGTTAGCATTACAACGTGAGCAAATTCTTCGTGAAAATCTAAATGTTATTGAACTTCCTAGTAGTAAGTGACTCCCTTTCCAACCTTCCGGACTCTTTTTCGCATGAAATGGTCTTATATACTAATCTGGTTTTGAATACGAACAAACAGGTCCGGAGTTCCCACAACAGCAGCAGCAACAGCGACAACAACCTGGACGCGCAGGAACCCTAAGCACAATGCCTGGAACGAACGTCATGATAGAATCTATAATAAGTCCGACTTGGGACCAACTAACAATCCAAGGTGCTCGTCGTCAGGCAGAATTTTCAAACTTACCACTCGAGGAACTTGACAGGGGTGCTACCATTGATAGAGATGCAGAGGCGTTTTTGAAGTTCTATGGACCTAAACCGGAAGATTGTATAGATGAGAGTTGTAAACCTATAAATCGCGGACCTTATAACGGTGGTCCTCCGGGGCCGGGTGGTGGAATGGGAGGAGGCGGTATGGGCGGTGGTGGTATGGGTGGCGGTTTTAGTGGAGGTATGGGTGGTGGGATGGGAGGCAGCTTGTTGACGAAGAGGAGTATGGATCCCTTAGATATTGCGGGTGGGAGGTTGAGGAAGAGATCGTTTGGAATCTTTATGCCGGAACCTACAGGGAGAGGTATAAGAGTCATTCATCGACGGTAGTTAGTTCATTAGTTCATAAGATTCCTTAAGTCAATTGATCAAGTAGATGTATGAAAGTTGAGAATCAAAAATCATAGAACATATCATTTACCTCGCTTTGTAGGGTCTGATTCAATGGAAACTAAACATAAACTGGTGAAAAACCTTTGATTAAAGGCAGAAAGTGAGCATGCGAGGAGGGAAATCTCAATATGAATCGAAAAATCAATCAAAAGATCAAAACTGAACGCTCGGGAGAGTACTACGCAATAGACCAAGGGACGTTGTGGATTGGGGAAGAAGGAACAGTTAGATTCTATATACATTTATGGGCAAGGCAAAGCCTTCCCATTTCATAGAAACTAACATTGGGGCAGGTGGTCGGTACATGTTGGTGGTGGTAGTTGGGTGGCAATATGGCCACCCAGGGGCGTGCAACTAAAAACGTCTGGGGGTAGTTTAAACCAGACCGCCAGGCCCCCCAGCGGCCTGGCGATCAAAAAGCATATTCCTCCAGCGGAGGCCGCTTTCCTTCATCCTAGATTGGGAATACAATTATTAGCATTTTATATTTTTAACTATACACGAACTATGAAAGGGCTCTTACCACTCTGAGGCGTCCGCGAACCACGCCGCAAGGACCGCCTCGACAAGGTAGGTGTCCTGCGACAGCAGGACGGACGAAAACTCCAGCTCTTCGGAGCTGAGGTTGAGCTCGACCTTTTGGTCGGGCTTCGTATTGTTGGCAAGGACTCGCCCTTGCCTGCGGATTTCCTCCGCGGTTGGCTCGCCGATGCCCCCGTGGGGGCCTTCGGCGTTGAGACTGACGTTCTCTTTCCTAGGAGGAAAGAGATCCGAGAAGGCACTGTGGCCGGTAGCTCTACGCGACCTCTGGTACATTCGGACGTTGAAGGCCTGGTAAGCCTCCTCGTCCGAGAGAATTTTCATTCGAATGAAGTCGAGCTGCATCCCACCGGTTTCCTTGACGTACATGTCCGTGATTCCAACGAGAAGTCGATTCAAGTTGTCTGTGACTTGATTATGAATATTTGTATCCAATTCGACCGGGTAGCTCGAGATCTTATGGGAATGTCTAACGTCGAAACAGATTTGATCGAAGACGTCTTTCCAGAAAACAAAAGTTGGAGTTTCGGGTTTCTTTGGGGTGATTGTTTCGCCCAACGACTGCCAGAAACTCTTCTCTTTGCCCTTAAAACCCTGAGGAACAAAAGCGCTCAGCTTCAAAATGGCAGTATTTTGCTCAGGAGTGGTGAGAACGATACAGGGAGTCTTGATCGTGTGAAACTCCTCAGAGGTACGTGTCGAGAGAACCGAGACACTTGAGCCGTGGTGTCTAAGGGTTTGAAGCGGGTGTCGAATATAGGTTGCAGAAGCTGATCTGAGGAAACCAGGACGTCTAGTTGGGAAGGAATTAGGCTTGTTTTCTGCTCCTCGCTGCGATATATCAGGGCTTGTGATATTTGGATGGGCTGTGAGCCTAGAAGAACTGGTTGGACAGGTGTCTTGGACTTTGTTCCACTTCATCAAGGTGGGAATGATGTTATTCTTGATACCGTTGAGCAAATCGGTCGACATATTATTGATGCTAGACCCTGACAATCGTCGACCGACAGTATTGGCCAGATTGGTCATAGATTTAGCAGCAGAACTCATACCGATGCTTTGCTGACCTCGATTCTTTGCGTGATCACTGAGCTGCCTGTTGCTCATGATGCGATGGAAAAATTTAGGATTGTGGGGATGATTGAAGAGGAAGGCTCTCATATCCGAGACCTCCTGAGGAACTAGTTTGCAGAAAACACCAGTAACTGGCGAAAACTTGAATATGTAGACATTGTCGTACATTGATGGGGCCAGAGAATGAATTATGATTACTCCATTGGGCAATGTACACTCCAATGACCACCAATATTCGCGTAATTCAATCGCGAGAGCAATATTGACAGTTGGTTCCATGAACCAGTCGAGGAAGCCAGAGACGGAGGTCTCTTGGCAAGACCTGGGGGCTCCTGCGACGAGAGAAAGTTGAGTATGAAGATAAATCTCCATCTGATCGGAGTCTAAGTGCTTGAGGGTCGAAAGAATGCTGTGAACAGCATCTTTATCCATGTAGATGAAACTTGATTGTTGTGGCATGGTTGAATTAGGGTGAAATCTTCGGATGAGGCGATATTCGATGCCGTGAATTGGCTCAGAAGGTCCGTACTGAAGATAAGAAGGAATAGAAGGGATAATTTTATCTCTGGACTTTGGTGCTCCTCCAAAAAAAGAGGTGAAGCTAGCAAGTAGGCCGAAATTAGACCTCCTGGATGGCAAGCTTTGCTCGGAATGGCTATCTCCACGAGAATTTTTCTCCCATGAGAAGTTGATATCAAGATGATTTGGAGGACCGCGAGGAGGTGAAGAAGATAGAGTAAGTGAAGCAACGGATGGAGGTGACGGAGACAATGGAGGTGGAAATGGTAAAGGTGAAACTGCAGATGAGGGTGATGATGGTGGTAGAGGTGGAGGACGGGTCGGTGGAGGGGGGTGGACGCGACTTTGGAGAGGTTGGATGTTGTCCCCCGAAGTAAACTGTCTGTTCTCCTGGTCAGCCATCTTGAACGGTTTTCTCGACAGTCGCTCGAAATTGAAGCGGAAAAAGAAACAAAGGATGGAGATGAAAGCGAAGAAAAAGGTGAAGTCGATGGAGATCAAAAATTGATAATGGGAGACGAATAAATAATTACCTTGAGGGAAAGTTTACTCGGGTTCGATCGTTCGTGGGTTCAAGTTAGCGACGCTGAAGTTCCGTTCTGATGATGTCGATAAACAAAGTGCCATTACGAGCATATATACAAGTACCACTTACTGAGGCAACTACCTAGGTACTTACCTAAGTAGCTATACTAAAGTTCTAATGATAATGTACAATCCTTGAGCATCTACTCAAATCTACTAGAGCTCAGTACTTAATTATCAGCATAGCTACTAGTAAGTATTTAGAATCTCTAGTTGTGTAGTTTCTATATGGGTCTTTACTTCTTCCTATCTAAGTTGTGTCGTAGTCTCGAGACCCCTCTGACTACCTAACAGGTACCTGACTGGACGGACCTTTCTTGTGTTGGGGTCATCGTAGTCTCGAGGGCAGCACAAGACCGGTCTTCCATCTGTATAGCTGTGATATCACACACTCTTTCCTCTCATCAAACGCGTCTTCACCTCCACCTTCATTTTGATCTCCATCACCACTCTCATTTCCATTCTCACCAACATCTATATCACTCGAGCTTTCTATTCATCTATAATGCCTTCGAAAAAGAATAAACGCAAGCAGAAAAACAAAGTATGAACTACATCGGATCCCTTGTGAAGAAGATATGTCAGCGTTTGCGATATAAAGTATGCTGATAGTACGTATTGGTAGGGTACCACTGCTAGTGAAGAGGATATTTATACCTACCGAGGCTCTAAAACCGACAAGTACGGCAACAAGATTCCCAGGGTTCGTAACAAGCCAAATATCATCGTGGCACCTACCCCTAAGGGTGGCCGTCAAAATACCACGATGAATTCAAACGGCAGGTCGAATCCATACCCAGGGTAAGTTTGGTGTATCTTGTTTAGTTCTTATCTTAGATCAAGTCTTCTAGTTGCCGACATCGAAACCTCCATTTACGAGTTTTAACTAATAACCTCAATCTCTGATTATCTTTTTGGAATATATTTAGTGCTCCTTCTGATGGTGGTTCCAACACTGAATATGAGTTTGGCCGTCCCCGCGGCCTTCGAGTTCGCCCTATCAAAGAAAAGCCACGCCACGACCCTGTTGCAGATCTTAACCGAGTTATGGAGCAGGGCCGCCGAGAAGTTGACGCTCTTCGTCGTGCCATTGAAGTCAAAAAAAACTACGGTGAAAATACCGGACGTCTTCCGGGCTTGACCGACCAGCTTTCCGACAAGATAGCCGAATTGGAACTGTATAACACCAGCGAAGAGGCTAGAACGCAACATGCTTGGGCTTTAGCTCGTGATCACGACAACAAGATCCGAGAAAAGGCCAAACATAACCAAGAAAACAAACCACCAGCTGCTGTCAAAGGTCTCCGCCCATACCGTGGCCCAGAGGACTTTTGGTCCTACGACAAAGAGGACCGGGATATGATTATCGAGGCAGCAGCAAGAATCATCCAAAAGGAGGCACTGACCCGACGCCGTCGGGAGGTTGCACCCATTGCTGCCATCTGCCAACGTACCCGATATCTCTCTGTCGAACAAAGAGACTATATTGGCCGCTGGGTTCTCAGCTTGCCAGATGAGTTTGAAGGAGGGGATGGCCCTGCGCCAGTCCCGACTTATGGGTAGATTCGAAATTTCCGAATAGAAGGTTATCCATTGTATGACTTTCTATTTGACTGATTAGTTTCTACTGTCTACTGTCTACTGTATACTATTTTGGCCCTATCATCATTCCTGTTTGCACAATACAATGTATTCTACAAAATTCTTGAATGATATAACGTTTGATTTTGACCTAAGTTGTGGAGATTCGAATGAGTAACAAGAGTAAATAGTAATGTAAAATGTGCTTGCCTACTAAAAAGATTAGTTCCACAACACGAAAGTCTGGGTACGAGACTGAATGCAAAAGTGAAACTCGGTTGAAGCTAGTACCTATATATATAGATGTGTAGCCTCAGATCCATAGACGTGTTGGCTTTGGGAGAACACATACGTAGTCCCTAGTTATGATGGGATAGAGATTTCTTGTAGTCGTCATTGGAGTTATGCTACTCAAATATCAGTAGCCTTTCCAACATCATCACTAACATCGCGTCCTATTCCCATCAACTTGTCACTTAACACTAACCAAAGAGCTACCCCCAACATCCAAAAAGCCGTTTCCATCCCAGTATCATTAGGTGACCGCTAGCTGAATTCATTAATGATCCACGAGTAAGTAATTCTTCCCGTGCTTGACACGTCTTGCTAAAGGATCGTCCGACCCAATTGTTGTCGGCAATACCTTATGAGCTTAACAGGGATATCATCCTGATCTCTAACCCCTACCCTTAGTGTCTTCCAACCAAAACTCCACGGACACTGGCCTAAGATCCCAAACTTCGCCAAATATCTCTCTTGATTCCAAATGTTGCTCGCCAGCCTGCGAACAGGAGATCCAAGATCTCAAAACACAAGTCACCGAAGCCTGGAAGCAGCGAATGGACCTGCATCAAGAGAACCAGCGCCTTCAAACCTGTCTCGATCTTCGGAACGAATCGATTGTTGCCCTTCGACAAAAGAACAGATCACTAAAGCTGTCTTTTAAAGCTTCAGGAAAGGCAGTTGTAAGGAACCCCTCCGGAAACAGCTCGCCGGCTGACCAATTTGAACGATACAAGTTCGAGGACGAGGGGTCTGCTATTGTAAATTCTCTCTGCCTTAAATTAAAACCGAGTTACTTCTCAGACCCGGAGCCGGTTACAAACCCTAGCGAATATGCCAACATCTCTAAGTCAACCATCATAGGGGGCGCGGGAAGACGCGAAGACAAGCGTGGGTTGAAGAAGAAAGGAGAGGGGAAAGGGAAAAAAGGAAAGAAGAGAAAGGGGGACGAGGGTACTAAGGGAGATTCACCGGGATTCAATACCTCCATCTCAAGCGACCAATAGAAAGACTCCTTCGTCATGGAGATATCGGACCTTGAGGATAATGCCCAGATCAACGAAAAACCTCTGTTGGAAAAGAGAGCATCCTCCCAAAGTGGTAAGCCCACCTTGAAAGGGCAGGGATCTGCTGTACAACCATTGGCCAGTGAATCAGAACAACACACGGAATCCAACACGCCGATCTCTTTAGGTGTAGGGAAGAAGAGGCGTAGTGGAGAAGAAAGGGAGGATGGGGAAGGAGGCGTGATGGCACCATCCCGTGAGAAAAGAAAGAAGACAAAGGGAGGTACGTTGAAAACAAAGTGAGAGTGTGATATTGCCTTTGGGCAAGGGACACTGTCTAATGTTTTCTCTCTTTTTAACATGGCGCGCTGTTTCCGCATTGGTGCCTTGTAATCGAAGTAAAAAAAATGTCCAAGATTTGTCTTGTACTTTTTACTGAGACCTGCACCACCTCAATTTATCTTCACAAATATTTATTTTAAGTGATTATCAGTTCGTTTCAAATCTACCGCTTTTTTAAAACTCAGTCTTTCCAAGTGAGAATGTCTCCGAGAGGAGTACGCAATTATCAAGCATTTCTATCGAGCTGCAGCTGCGGTAAGTTAGAATTCTCGAGTTGAAACTACCTCAAAGCCCTTGACCCATAATCTGTCTGTACGCGAGCCAGATTGATGATTTCAATTTCATAAATATTGACTAGATACAGCCTATATAGCTGATTGCCTCCTTGCTAACCACAATTCATAGTCTTTTATCCATCCCTTCATCTTCTCAATATGTTTATGGAGTTGTCGAGATTTAGTTACATAACACTTCGTTTGAATCTTGCCCTAATGAATTCTATTTTAATAGTAACCTTGCTCTTGCTCCCCGATCTCATCTGGCATCTTCTCTTTGCCAGAATTGTCTTTAAGGGCATCCTTGACATCATCAGTAACTTTCTCTTCCTTAATATCCTTAATATCTTCCTCGGGATACTCTTCTCCCCCGAGTGCAGCTTTGATTTCCTCCTTAGTAGGCTCCTTAGACGGCTCGGGCTCGGGTGTAGGCTTATTAGCATCATCATTCTCGTCGTCTTTGTCGTCAACTTCCTCAGTGCCATCGGGTTCTGGTGCCTCTGTGGAAACGCCAGAACTCTCGACAGTAACTGTTGTATACTGAATTTCGACTGTCGTCTTTGGTGGTGGTTTGATAACTTGAGTGAGAGTGAGAACAGTGTTCTTAGTGATCTTAGAAACTTGAGTTTGACCGCCCTTGATTATCGTGACGAATTTGTTCTTGGTGACAGTGACCGGCTTGGGAGGGGCAATTGTTGGTTGGACGGCTTTGACCACAGTAACCTTAACAGGTTTAACAGATACAACGGGTTTGACCGGTTTGACTGGTTTAACTGATTTGACTACCTTAGGCTTTGGTCGGATCTGTTGAACAGGGATACATCCTCCGAAGGGACCGTTCCTATATTCCACTAATTAGCAAGTTTTAATACCAGATCTGAGAATCATTTATATATACTTGGCGCTGTTTTCACATCTGACGAGGCAAATGTCGGTAACCTCATTCTTAGATCCAGTTTTTCCTTTACAGTCCAAATCGTTTGGCATATCGACCGTGAACCAACATGTCTTCTGTACTCCCGGCCAATTAAAGGAATGTGCATCACCAGGACAATTCTTTCGGACATTCAACTTGCGCGCCCACTGCCTTCCATTCGCCAGATAGTCGATTTTGCACTGAAAGGCTCCGCCTCCATCAAGATTGATTTGGAATGCGAGTATGCTAAGCGATCCACCACGTGTAACCTTTGGTATACCAGTTTTAAGTTTGGTCCTACCAGTCGCAAGGTCCGTTCTTGTATTCTTCTTCCATTCATTCCATGCCAAACCAGCGATGCCTGCGGGGATGTCAATATACCCTTTATGAGGAGTGGCTTGACTAAATAGCCATGTCCTTTTGTCATCAGAGACATCAAACCATTTAGACTTCTCGTGCTTTTGATAGTACCAAGCGGTGTGCTGGAGGGTAGTACCGCAGGTGTTTATCAGATATGTGGCGGTACCAGGGTGGTGGACAACTTTGTTGGCAAAGACGGTGACATCACGCTGCTGTGGGTAGAGGTAACCGCCATTACGCGGGGTGGCTGCGTCAAAGCCTAAAGCGTATCCGCGGACGGCTTTATTGGCATTTCCATAGGCATCGACCAAGACGACGTGCGCTGACGCAATATCTGCGATAGTCACAAAAGCGACGGTAGTCGCGGTGAAAAGAGTGGAAATGTGCATCTTAAAAGAATGTCTTGGGATCTCGAAAATGTAGAAAATGAATGAATAAATGAATAATTTGATTTGGAAGAAGAAAAGGCAGATGAATGAGTGTAGAGTAGGATAGATCCTACTGGATAAAGAGGAATCGCTGGTCGGTACGCTGGTGATGACTGGGGAGGAAAGGGAGAGTCTATGGGCTATCAGAGGGGTTTTATACCACCGAAATGCAAATAGGGCACTCCGTCTATATGTGATTTTTAAGATATATCTAAGTACACCATTTGCAGTAACTGTTGATAAACTTGCTTGCGAAGGTTAGATATTTCGAAGGCGGTGACCAAAAACCGCTGCCTCGAGCCGGAAATCATGTAAGCAAGCCACCCCAAATGTTGGCTTACTTTAGATAGAAAATGCAATTGATCGAACTGGGTTTTGGGAGAAGCCTTTGTCGAAAACTCAGATCGCTACAAGCCCAATCGAATATGAATTCAGTCACGACACCACCGCTTATACCATCCGAATTTCCCTAAGCCAGGTTCCCCTCCTTACTCGAGAATGGACTTGAAGTAAGTCACCGCATCAACCGAAGAAATATATACAGGGTCCGGATTCACCCCACAATCGTCATGGTCTCTCGGTTACACCTGAATCTCAAAACAGAAATCTGCATTCGAATTCTACACCTAATCTGAAGGGTTAAGCGATGGAAACCTGTTAACTATATCCGCGGCCGTAATTGGGTAAATTAATTTAATCCGACTAATCTGTCATTACTCTGATGTAGGTGTATAGTCTCGGTGCCAAAGACTGCGCCAGTATGTCATGGGTAGGCCTCCGGTTGGAAATTGGTAGAGGAATTGCTTATTTAGATTAGATATATTGGTTCGGGTCGAATATTGACCCAGAAGGTATCCCGAGACTTAGTTGGGATTGATATCATGATCCCTTAAAGTCGAACCCGGGCAACCCTCGCCCTTGACACCATGACCGATGGTAGTACTGATATTATTAGCGTATGTATAAAGGATTGATATGATATCGCATGGCCAAGCGAATAATGGACCCTTTCTTTTGCCTGACCCCGCTTGCATGCATATTTGCCGAATCCAGATTTTTAGCGATACTAGTGCTGGCACCGAAGAACCGTCACTTTCGGGACACCTGGATATATCTTATCGCGAAGCGCTTCTGTTCCACATTCTTCTAGGCATTGTCGTTCTCTTTAGGGGCGAAAGGAATACAGGAATGTCCAGCCGGCCAGCACCCATAGCATGCGTAGGCTTACACGTAAGCGAATAAGCCTGAGGACACTAAGGGCTGCACGCCAGAACTACAGATTCCTTAAGCCTAGCTGCATTAGCTGTACGACCCCAAGATCCAAAGCGTTCGGATCAATATTCCCGAAATCATTTCTCGGATATATCGATATGACATTCACAATATCCGGCCACTCGGCCTTCTCGACCTCGTTCCCTATAGTAAAAAACTTTATTTTCATTGTACTTAGTGTGGTTGGTGACTTAGTCCAGTGTATTTGTGTAACGTTCCACAGTAGTCTATCGTATCCGAGCATATTGCATTTCTTGATCAAGAACGAATATCATAACCAGAATCAGAATTCTTAAGCGATTATCATAATAACATTTTGCATACTATGATAATTAGCCTCGACCTTTATAGCCATAACTGTTAAATAAGCTTATATGAGGATCTAATGAACTAGTTAGATGTATCGATAGGGCGTAAACGGTACGCGAGGTTACACAATCATAACCGGTCTTGAACCTAAGCCAAGCTAGCCCAAGGTTACACCATCAACTCGTCTACCAGCTATCTATTGCCCAAGATAAGATCATCTGGCCTTAATCAAATACGGTTCTGAATTTAGGGAAAAGGGAAGCGAATGAGGACTGCGAATCCGTAGCCTGATGAAGTAACAAAAGCGCAAACCTCGGCGGTTGGATTCGTTTCGCCGGGTCCGAATGTACTAGGGGAACACAAGTGGACGAAAAGAAGGGCTTGCGGCAGCTGGCAGAGCAAGTTCACCAGTTGGTTGGCGGTCTGTGATGCTTCTGACCAAGCCTTGACTAACCTAACGTAGCTAACTCCGCCGTAAGCTAGCGAGGTCTTAACTGGGGTCTACCGGTATACTTTTAAGTCGGACCTTGAATCCTGGTCGTAGATACCAAAATCCTTTCGGTTCCGTGATTCCAAACCGAACTGTTATCCAGTCCCCGCATGCATATGGAGCTCTCGATACAGAATAATTGGTCTTTATACTCGTCACTAGACTTTCTCACGACTTAACTTATCCCGATTTTGTCCCACGCCACGTAAGGCCTGTGTTGTGTCGGGGCCATTATGCAGCTTGGGCAATGATCTAGCCGCCCAAGTCGGCGGGTTTGGTCCCAGGGAGATTTGGCAAAATTACAAAACCTGACCGCAGTATCGATAGGTCTGACTGAAGGTCTCTACCGGGAGTGGGGACCTTTGTCTATCTGTAATTTCTTTTCATCACGAAAGTTCTTATATATAGTTATCCGGTCTATTACTTCTGGAAGCCGGTGTTGAATAAAAATAGATGTAACTGAAAAATTTAAATGCATCAGAACCTCAGGTACTTACATATTTGGCTATCGTAACAGGATACTCGAATAATTCGATACGGAGTAGAGTATTTGGATATTCTAAGCAGTTGGATTAGTTGTAGCCTTGTTGCCTGAAGTTTGCTATTTAGCCAGAGGTATGATCAGTGACAGTTGGGGACTCGGCGCCCTGGAAACTATTTATGAAAACAAGTCCAAGCAAATATTATAGCGTTAGTCGAAGCCTCGTTACGCTTAAGGATAAAGGTTTAAAGGCTGCGATTAACTGAATTACTTTTGGCCAAATTTTATGAGTCTCTTGCCAATGAACGACATGCATTGCATTTTTGGTAGATATACCCGGTTGAGAGGAAAGAAGAGTAAAAAAAAGGTAAAAAGTCAAAAAATATATATATAGATAGCGTTAAAAGCATATGTTGACATTCAGTTATAAAACAAGAGTAACAAATCGGTTCATTCTGAAATTTGAAGCATAGGGTTGATAGCCGCCCACGAGTCTCCTTGTCAAGCTCCAACTCCACATTTAGAGATCGCTACATATTAGATAAGTAATACTCATGAGCTTTATTAAACTAGGATAGGAACTCTTCCTAAGCTCAGGCGTGACACCTGCGGAGTCTTTGAACGACCTCTTCCTCGAACTTTAACTGCATCGCGACATTGTCTCTCGCTTGTGAGGTTGAATTGGCTAACTCTTCAAATCCACTGAGGCATGCCTGGACCGCGGCCTGGTATTCCTCACCTATCGTGTGGCCCAACATAACCAGTCGCTTTTGCACTAAATAGCCTCGCATTTCATGGTATCGGTTTGAAACTGAAGTGTTTCTCCGCCGAGAGCTTTCTCCAGATCCTACTCCTTTCACCAGAGTCGACAGACTCTCCCACATGCCGACCTCTAGCAAGACTAGCCCCAAGCTGTAGTAGTCATAATGCAAACGGTATGGTGGGTGTGGGAAACTTGTTTGCGCATAATCTGGGTGGTAGTACTGGGTCACCTGTTCGTAACGGGTTTGCCCGAGTGTGAAGGCTTGGATATCATCCTCTCTACTACGATTGAACCCGATTAAATAGGAGTCTGTAAGCCAGGTAGATGCGACTGTGCTTTCAGCTTCTTTTGGATCGATCAACAAAAGAACGTTGGACGCTGAGATGCTTTTGTGTAGCCAGCCGACTTTATGAAACCCTGACAACGATACCGCAAGCGACAAAGCGAGTTTGAAGCGGGATCCAAGGGATGGACGCTCTCGGAAGTTCCGCGTCTTGTGAATGACGGCGGCTAGACTTCTTGGTATTGAGACCGATTGATCTGGGAGATCGAAGACAAGGCCAAAAGCACCATCGCTACCTTTGTGCAAGTAGTTGGAACAATGAAGGATCCGAAAGTCTGGCGGAGTTTCAATTGAGTTTAGGAGAACTGCCAGAGATTTGATCCTTAAAAGTAGCTTTTCGAAGAGATTTGTATCGACAATGCTATACCGAATCCATTCGATTAGAACTTTTCTCTTCGGTGCAGCTGCGCTTTCAACTGAGGCATATAGGTGATTTTCAAACGGAGAACCTTCCCGGATAGAATCGGGGCTAATTTCAAGGCCATCTTTTGTGAGTCCTGAAGGTTGCGCTGTGGCTAATACTGACATCCGCTTGATCCGAGCTAGAGTTGCGATTTTGATATTAACATTTTCGGCTGCTTCAGCAGTCTCGAGCAATGTATCCAGATTTTCAGTGCGAATCATTTCGATTTCCCAATGTGCGCTCGCTTTCATAGCTACCTCCAAAGGCAGGGTATCATATAATTTGTCACCAAGAGAGCGGAGGGGCGCGAAAAGGGGTGAGCAGGAATCTTCGCATCGTTCAATTGTGGCCTCAAGCTCTTCCTGGATCTCTGCCAGGCACTTGTACATCTCAACCAAAGGCATTGTTTCGGGGAGGCTAGAAGTTACTAATTCGCCCTGGCCTTCTGGATCGAACCCAAGAACGAATCCCCAGCTTTTGATTCGCATGTATTCGGAGTAGGCCTCAAAGGAATCCTTGAGCTTTTCCATACCCTGGAGACTCTTGTAAAGCCCCCAAACTGAGAAATATAGCGCTTGAATGGTGGTTTTTTGCAGATCAATAGTTATTTCTTTTGCAGTTGGACGCGACTTTTGGTCGAGTGTCGTCATTCTTTTAATTAAGTTCACCATATCTCGACTAAACCCGTCTGCTCCATTCTGAACTTCGGGGCTTAGCAGCCAGTCGTCGAAGTTCTGGTTACGTTGTCCAATTCCTTTATGAAAAGCGGACACCTTTTGGCTTTTAATCAGGACCTTACGTCGCTCTCGGAAGGTTCTCACTCCAGTTGGACCCATCTTCATGTAGGTCAGGATTTCTGAAATGATACAGCCGAACGACCATACATCGCTAGACCGATCAATGGCCTTTTTCGCGAAATCTTTTTCAGGGTCAGTACACTCCGGTGCAAAATAGTCGCTTCCTCCACCCGCGAATAACTGCTGATCGTTGTCGGCAGAAAGTCTCGAGAGTCCAAAGTCGGCAAGTATAAACTTGGAACCTTGGACGAGGATGTTTTGAGGTTTGAGGTCGTAGTGACAACCCATCAGCTTTATATCGAATCTTTCAACTGTGTAGTCATGTACTCGCTCAATAGCCGAAGATAGCTCGCAGAGGGCAATCAAAAAGGTTTCATTGCGTCGCAGTGAGGGGTAATGTTCCCGGTTGCCACGAAGAAGTTTACCAAGGTCGCCATCTTCTATGAGCGGGAACACGAGGTTGTGTTTTCCACGATATGTATATGAGGTAACTAGTTGAATGATATTGGGATGCTTGAGTTCATTCAAGATGCTGAGATTTCTGAGCTCTTTGGCGTAGTCACTCCCCGTAGATGCGCTATCAGACCTAGAACCAGCTGCAAGTTGAGATTCCACACGTGGGGGTGCGGATCTGAACTCCTTACGCACTATTTGTTGGTTCTAAAGCTCGCTCTCGTCAGAAATGTCCTGCGCTTTCAGAAGGGGTCGTCATATGAGCCAACCTTATTTTCTGGGAACAAAACAGTCCGTTGATGATGCTCATGAAGCTTGATTTTATATACCACTCCGAACCCACCGCGGCCTAGTTTCTCATTAAGAACGAACGGTAACCTGACGTCGGATGGCAGTTCTCGGTGAACCACATTCTTCGACCAAACTGGCGACACGAATTCCCATTGCTTCTCGTAAAATTCGGCCGCAATCTCGGGGATGATTGTATCAAGATCTTCTCTGCTGAAGGGAAGTTTTTCGTCGTATTTCCCTTGGAAGATATCCCGCCCCATAAACCTGGCGATAAGATGTTCTTTACTGCCTAACAAAATCAAGATAGCAAAAATTCGCCTTGCGTGTGATTTAACCCAAGCTGCTACATCACCCTTCTGAGAAAATTCCATGTCGGCTTCCTTGATACCATATACTGCATCATCGATCCTTTCTGGGGTGAACACCTTTCGGAATGATTGAAAAGGCATGAATTTACGTTCTTCTCCAGCATCGCCATCCTCACACTTACACAGAAGCGTATCTAGCTCTTGGCGTAAGCTATCCATCCTGTGATCGAAAGTAATAAACCACAATCCTGAATCCTCGGAGCTATGTCGGATCCTGTTCCTTGAAACCTAGAATAAAGAGAACCGTTGTATAAATCTTCGCTTCTTTTTTTTTGTTGTGAGTATATTTTAATTTTTAACTTTTAGAACCCAAGATTGTGTTCTAAGCTCTAGTCTTATCAACAAGAAGAAAATGGAAAAGAGACGGACTTTAGTCCGAAAGGTAAATGGGACGAGAATAACTATGGCAGGAGTGATAATTTGACGAACACCACGTGTCTCCCGCGGCCTCGTTAGTCGTAACAGGTTCTTTCAATAGTATCGATTTGTTCCTATACCCATATGAGGATTAACAACCTTGGTCTGATTTATAATTAATATTGTCTATCAATCTAGTGTTTGACTTACCTTCGTAAGTTGTGCGTTTGGATTGAGTAACTCGATAACGAGGATCTCGTCGTCAACCTACCGCCCTCTATTGGTCAGTATCCGCCAATCGATATAGCACGCGGCGCAGGATGTTTCCTTCCTCAAGGAGGAAAAGAGAAAGCCTTGCAAGGAAGCCTTGGTCGAATAGCCTTGTACTATCCTTGTTTCAAATAAGGCCATGATACCGGAATGACTACTAGCATATCTTATATCCATATTCCATCTAGTTCGATAAGGTGTGTACCTACAGTCTCCCAGGTAAAATTACCGTCCCCAAACCACCTTTTTAGTAAATTGACGAGATGATCAGCTTGAAGGTATCTGGCGGAGAGCTTTTGGCGGTATATAGGCATTTTAAAGCTACTATAAACGGTGTTTTGGATTTAAATGGACAGAGATTCCAGCGTGATAGCGGGGTTATTCAACCCAAGTGTATCGAAATAGTTTTTGTTGCTGTCGCTTTGAGTATTCTAAATCTTGGAGAAAACGGGATCTTCGAGGAGGGGCGTACCAAATGTATGCAGAAGATATCTAGATATTCTGGGAGTCTTGCGGTATGGCAATGCGTCCGTTGAATGATTGTTAGATAACCTCCAGAGGATATCGACCTCTTTAGTATCCTCGGAAGGATATGGAGTTGATCCTGCGGGGCAAATAGCAGTTCCAGCGGGGTACATGCGCTTAAGAAAATTACAGTATCTTCCCGCTGTTGTACTATCATTGTCTCGGTACCGGAACTCCAAGGTGAGGGTTTTTTTGTGCAGCATGCACGTACGCCAGGTCACTAGCCTTTCGTGGCAGGGTGCATGCAGTGTCCGTGAACCGTTTTGATCTATCCAATCAGTGAGTACGTTTGACAAAGCTGCGAGTCACTCTCTTCGGGAGCTGAAATACGAACATCCTGAAGTCCTAAGGCTTCGCATTGAATCGACCTTCCTGGTTCACAAACCTCCTGATCTAAATCTTGCAATTCCATTAACCCTAAGTTAGAGTGTAGCACGCGCTCAAAACGCCGCATCATAGTATAGAAATGGGAAAGTTCGAAGAAATATTGTCAGACAGCTGGACACCCAGGGACGCCCACCAAAGACTGTTCCGGAGACATGCCTCGGACCTCTTCGATGAAAGTGACACAGATGTCGAATGCCTCCGCGTCCTTCCTAATCACCAACACCTCCAGCAACACAAAATTAACGACTCGTCTTTACAAGAGCTGAGGGGAATATTAGAGGTATTTAGTTGTGATAAATGTTATCCATCGATGGGAGTGATATCAGGACTAAGCCAGCCATGCATTTATCATATTTAGGAAAACCAAGTCCAGGCGAACGAAATATTTTAGTAAGTATTAAAGCGTCTTGGCGCTGGGTACTTCCCGCTTCCCGCTCCCTCTCCTCTAACGTTAGCTAACGGTCCGTTCCCGTAGTATAATACGGCAAAAGAATACGCTAAGCCGCCTGAAAATCTCGGAACAAGGGCTTCGATTAATCATCGATGCCCATAATCTATCCACACGTTTTCTTAGAGTTGTAACGTCGTTCGGATGGAGACGTAACGACGAGCATCGAGCTTGGGATGGCTATTATACATCCCCAACAAGACCGAGGCCACCACCTCGTAATTCAAGTGACTCATCTGGTATAGAAATTCAATAGCAATCGATACTTCGTCTTAACTTGCGATACTAACATTGGAGTCTTTATCCGTAATTCTAGAGTTATCATACGTTGTGAGGTATATTGAAAGGCGTACCGATAAACCTTCACAGAATCCCTGGTCGGTGCGGCAAGTAGGTATATGTCAACAAAGAACGGTCTGTAATAACAAGGAACATTCGATATGGGTTTTACTACAACCTTCAAAATATGTTTATGAAGAACTCAAAGACACACTTGAGAGAAGGCTTCAAAATCATAACACAACACCATCGGTTGAGGATTCATGCTCGCTTCATTTGGATATTCTTGAGTCGCTAGCAAGCAGCTGGGCGGAGTACGTCGAATGGTCTTGGGGGGAGGTTGAAAGCCAAGTAAGATAATAAACTCGATTGAAAGTATAACGGGTCTTAATTTGGTATCCTTAGGATGATAAAGCGACACTACCGGGTCTTCGTTTCCCGACGGAGAAAGATCTAGAGGATCTTTTTGAGGCCGCCCAAAAGGTGCAGCGCGTACGTCGAAGATTACTTCGGGCACTTTCAGTGTTAGACTCGAATTATGCTTTGGCAGATGGGATTGCTGCTCATTTCCCCGATATACTCACTACGAGAATCGCGAATTATAAAGCGGAGATTCAGTCACACCGACGAAATATTCTCCTTATGACTGAGCATCTCAAAGAAACTTCTTATTTGGTTTGTAGGCCCTTAATCAGCGGTCGGTTTATTTATCTACTACCGAAAACGCATTTATAACGCTTATACTAAGAGGATATAATCTTGACATCTAGTTATTTAACATTCTCAGCTTCCGTAATGACAAGTTCTCTTTAGAGGGTAACCAGGCAATGCAGCAGAGTTTAAGTTTGATGGGTACTATTGCACAACAAGGCAGACAGGACTCAACTACCTTGAAATTGTTAAGCATGATTGCCACACTATATCTTCCGGCATCACTTGTAGCGGTATGGATGATCCAATTCGTCTTTATGAATCCTTAAGGATTAGAATAGATGTTAGAAAGTATATGCTAACTTTGTTGATGTATCGAAGACAATTTTTAGTTCCAACTTAATTGAATTGAAGAGCGATGAAAATGGCGGCGACCGATTTCATGTAGTCTCGCAATTCTGGTTATATATTCTGGTGGCGATCGCTCTCACCGTCTTGACTTTTATATGTGGTGCATTTGTCCTAAGAAAAAAGATACTCGAGGATATCCGGAAATATCGCACGAAGTTGAAAAAAAAGATGTCCGGCTCGGAACCAGAAAAGGTTGGTAGGATAGAGGAGGTATAGAGGCCAATACCAGATGCTTTGAATTTTGAATATTTTAGCGGGCGAGATATCTTCACATACGTTTACACCAACCATTGTATCAAAATTTCTGTATTCTAGTATATCATTTCTATAGGAACGGGCTTTGATCAGAGCTGACATCAATTAAAATCGGGAAATATTTCGCCGCGAAAGCTAGCGCTGACGTATGCTTGCTGCCCAGAAGGTGCAAACAGTGCAGAGGTGGTAAATAATTCTTGCGGATCGGTCAGCCTAAGATTCTGTTTCTAGAAGTACGGCTACCTCGCTGGACGGCACTATGTACCTTGGTTCATCTCATCTACAATGTCTCTTGCTTCCAAGATCACTCGGCCCGTTCAACCGGTTTGGCGTCCGCTAGCGTGTTAACAGGGGTTGCTAGGGGTCTTCGGTCGAAAAACTGTCTGGGCGAAAGCTTATTTTTCCGGAACATACCGACCGCCAACCCTGAGATAATCAAACAGGAGTAGCAAATAGTTTCGACAATGTGGGGAAGATCTATTTATTGATATTTTATACCGATTCCAAGGTACAGTTAGGCAGAAAATGGCGACATGGCGGGTACGTTCACCACGGTACAAGTTAAGCCGACGCTTAAGATTTCTCCGACACATGGATCTCCCGATGTAACTTAGAACGGAATCTCGATGTTTCAATGGTGGAATTAACTTTTCTCGAAAATCCCGCTGGAAAATATCCATAGAGGAGTTCACGAAAAAGGGGCCCGAGAGAATCACGAAACCTCGAAAATCCATCATGAAATTAACCCGTCACAATGAGCGACTTTGGGTGTATATATTCAGGAAGATGTCTCAACAATCAATAAATTCAGCAGGCAGCGCTTCATCCAGAAATAACTACTATTGCGATTAAATTATATATTACAGAGTAGATATACACTTTATATCAAAATGAAATTCACTTCTATATTCTTCACGGCCGCCTTGACGGCGACCTCCCTCGGTAACCCCCTGCCAGAAGATGACCACCACATGGCCCAAAAGCGCGCCACATCCTGCACCATCAGCGCTTACTCTTCAGTCTCTTCGGCAAAGTCCGCTTGTACTTCTATCACCCTTTCAAACATTGCCGTTCCCGCTGGCCAAACCCTTGATCTTACAGGTCTGAAGAGTGGACAAGTCATTACTTTTGCCGGGCGTACTACATTTGGGTACAAAGAATGGGAAGGTCCGCTTGTTTCTGTCTCTGGTACAGGTGTCAAGATTATTGGCGCTTCTGGATCCGTACTTGACGGGGAGGGTGCAAGGTGGTGGGATGGTGTAAGTTAATAAATTCCGCCCAAACGCAGACAGACGAGCGTAGCCAAAATACATGACTAATATAAATAATCGTTTAAATATGCAGAAAGGTGGAAATGGCGGCAAGACTAAGCCAAAGTTCTTTGCAGCGCATAGCTTGAAGTCTTCGAGCATCGCCAGTGTTACCATCAAGGATGCCCCAGTCCAGGTTTTCAGTTTTAGCTCTGCGACGTCTGTGACCGTTACAAAGCCAACCATCGATAATAAAAATGGAGATACTAATTCCCTTGGACACGTATGATCCCCTTGCTCCTACCACGTATACCATCAGTGCGCTAATCAACCTTTGAATATTATAGAACACAGATGCTTTTGACATTGGCAACAGCGACCACATCACCATCGACGGCGCTACAGTCTATAACCAAGATGACTGCCTTGCCATAAACTCTGGTACTAATATAATCTTCACAAATGGCTACTGTTCCGGAGGCCATGGTCTCTCAATCGGTTCCGTCGGTGGCCGTTCAAACAACGTCGTTGACACCGTCACAATCTCAAACTCTCAAATCGTAAACTCCGATAACGGTGTTCGCGTAAAAACCGTCTCCGGCGCCACTGGAAGCGTCACCGGTGTTACATACTCCAACGTCAAACTTAGCGGGATCAAGAAATACGGTATTGTTATCCAACAGGATTATGAGAATGGATCGCCAACCGGGACACCAACCAATGGCGTCAAGATTGACAAGTTGAAGTTGACTGGCGTTACTGGAACGGTTGCCAGCTCTGCTACTAATGTCTATATCCTTTGTGGGAGTGGGTCGTGCACTAATTGGACCTGGAGTGGGGTTAGTGTTACTGGTGGCAAGACTTCCGCGAAATGTACCAATGTGCCCAGCGTTGCTAAATGCTAGATGCATACCGAATATGCCAAATTTAGCCGGGTTACGTAAACGGATTTCTACGTACAGGTACGGTTTGTCAAGCTGCGAGCCAACTTGCCTTGGCTCGCGATGATACTTTGCAGTTGCGATACCTTTTCCGTTAGTTTTAGTTAATATTTATTTTAAATTTTCTTATTTTGCAAGTGGGGCAGCTCTAGGCCTCGAGACTAAGTGCAGTGTATATATGTGCAGAAAGCCCAGCAAGATTCCAACCATTAATCAAAGATTCCCGCTCAAACTCACGGTGTTTACCTATAGGGTCGTGTCAAAGTATGATTTTACGTATCTAATTATAAGTTAGTTTATAAACATTCTTAGGTTAGTGGCTAACTAGTACTTGGATACTACTGATATATTGTGACGAAATTCATGGATTCATGATAGTTTTAAACTTTGCAGTTTACGATATATATTTCAGCCAGTTCGGTGTCCTCCGTACAATTTTTAAATTTTTATAGACCAGCCCTATAGCGTGGTTAGTCTCAGGATAATATGAGTTACTGGCATTATAGTCATAACGTATGGAGGAACAAAAGGTTTGCGCAATTGCTAGCGCATACATGCATCATCTCACTATTTTATTAATATTAATATATATCTTCTGTTCGAAGTTTCTAGACGAAGAGAAAGTATCAAGGGTTTTCATGTATGAATTGTATAATTTTTCAAATTTAGTAATCCTATTGCTGGTTCCCCGACGGAACCAAAAGCTGGTGACTGAACTTGTCGTTTCAGCAATTCATGATATCGATTCTAACGACACCAATTCGATCGAATTGAATCGAGTTGACGACATTAGTGAAGCTGAGAAAATCCAACAACAACACACGTGGCATCGTTTGCAACGTGTGATGGCAAAATTGGAAGTAGGAACCGTGATCTGTTAGAGATCTCCTATTGATCTTTACCTATCTACTTATATATTGCAAGATTCCTCCGGTCTCTCTTCCTTCCCCACTCATCATCCGTTCTATCATGATCATCACTATTCGAAAACCGTGATCATCACTATTCGAGCTTAGAAGCAACAATCTTTTATTACTACATTGCTGTATCCTTGACTTTATCAGCTCACACTCCCAACATATCACGATACTAGTTCAAACTGTCAAGAATTCGGTTCTAGGCGGTGCTTGATTCGACTCTAGCTACTGTTCGCAATTTGGCTTGTCAGATACCTGCTATACAAATTCCTGGCGCTATGTCCTTTTAAGATTTTCGTCTCGAATGAGGGTTTACATTGTGCCCTCAAGGCATTATGAGTGGTTCGCCAAACCATGAGGGCAAGCTGGACAGGAAGAGTGGAGACCGAGTATTCAATGAGCCAGCCTCAAGCCGCCCGAGTTTACATTCATTGCTTAATGTTTTACAAACCCTCCAAAGGTGCAAAAGCAAAAGTCTTCGAAAAGACAACATCAAAAACACAGTCAGTCTTAACGAAATACCATCGCTGCCCAAGAAACCAAAGGACGCACATCTCGAGATCTTGAACGCACTGGCGTTGATCTTCGTTACAGCAAAATCTGGAGACGCCGCCGCGGTGGCAACAATAGTTAACCCTTCAGATCTAGAACTTATTTTAGCCAAAAACACCATTCTCACCGACAAAGACCGGGAGTATATTGACGAACTGACAGAAATTGTTAGAGAGACCACTCGGGAACCTCACAAAACTCAAACCACCAGGAAGGTCTTCCCCCGTATACTTATTGGGTGTCGAGACAAAATTATAGCCCGGATGATGAAGGTACAAGCCGAAATCCGATCAAATCTGAGGCATATCAGTCAGAATTGCCGCAATGATCTAGAAAGATTCCCGAATGGTGAAAAGTATAGGGAACTCATACAAGACAAGATGCTTCAAAGCTGTTTCAACCTCCGTGACTTACCTTTAGACAAATTACCCCCATTGACGAAAGTTCTGCCCCAAATGCTGGAGGGACTACTGGACTTCTCTCAGAACTGTGAAATCAAGAACCTGCGAACGGTGGTGTGGGTAGGGTATTGCTTAGGAAGTGATACCCTTGTCGACCTTGTTGGCCCTGCGCTTGTCCGCGGGCTTAAAAAGCTGGGTGACTATTATCTATCTGCACGACTTATACTCTATTATGCGAGTAAACCGGCCTATAAGTCTAGAATTGAAGGGATGAAGATTATTGTAGGCCAGCCCTTGAATTTTGGATCAGATCATGAAAACAACTAACTTAAGTCAAGGACACCCTTCAATACTGTGACCCGATCGAAGATAGAAAGTTTAAACCTCGTTTGAGGCCAGTAGATTCTAGATCTCAGTCACCGTCTCCCTCCAACCCCCAACCGGCTATTCGACAACGTGACTATTCTACCCATAATAGAGGTTATGTCGTAGAAAAAAAAGAAGCCCTGCCGGTAAGTAAAGAGATCCAGGTAACATTATAGAAAATTATCAACTAACTCCGAACTCAGATCACTGTTTTGGGCACCTTGAACGCAGTTGCCGGGGAAATCGGAGTTTTCCCAATCACCTGTAGTAATATCGTCGCATCTTATCCAGAATTTGTGGACAACCCTTGGTATTTTGGAGAAGGCGACCTGAGCGTGCACTATCAATGCAGATTGGCTCATTTTCTTACTAAAAGATTTCCCAATAATCCAAATTTTGAAATTGGTGTCAGCAAATCCTGTTGTTGGACTTGCGATAAGTGGCTACATGCGTACACATCCGAGCTGGGGGCTACTTCCTCCCGCCTTACCACATTCCACGAAAGTGGGATACGCGACAAAGTCTACAGAAACTGGCTTTCCCCGGGATCGGCCCGCTCGGATTCTTCAACGTATGATGAAGTCTTTCAGCGGGTTAAATATGAGCTGTATGCGATAAAGCGTAGGGCTCGGAGTGACTCGCCGGAATCAGCAATTTTCGTCGGGGATGGGACCGAAGACGGAGGCGAACTTGATGAGATCATTCCTATAAAGCTCAGTGATGATTGGCCCTAAAACCTTTCAGACGTTAGAGCAGCCTTCGAAGTATCAGATCAGATTGTAGCAGACTCTAGGCTGGCTTCCAAAGGCTATTTGAACTTTCGAATTTCGTCAGACTTCCAGGGATGTTGGTCCACATGTTCAAGCGGCTTTGGTACCATCTTAGAAGTTATAAGCGATTATCTAATTTTTTTTTTTTTTGCTCGCGCAGAATTTCGTATATAATTATAATTATAGCATTCTGATATGAACAAAATCGGTAGTCGAATTGTCACTTGAACTGCTGATATATTTTAACTTATCCGTGTAGTTTGGGACTAGAATCCATGGAAACTAATCTCCTAAAAGGGCTGACTTAATAGTATATTTTTCCTTTTCCTGCAAACACTGCGCATGTGTACCGCATAATATTTGACTTGCGTCCCTCATTTTGTTGATTCAATCCAGCCAGCTTGGTGATCCCAAATTGGATACTACCTCGAGAAACCTTAAACTTTAAACCTCCACAACAAAAATGCACCTGTCACCCAACGAAGTTGAAACACAGCTAGGGAACCTTCAAAACCCCAGTTTTGTGACCTTTTTGAGGTCGTGGTGTTCCTGTTGTGGACTAATTCTCCGATAGCAAACACGATAGGTAACCGCTAACATGTATACACGCATGAAAATCCTCCCCATAATCGTCGTATGTAACTGATACCTGATATATTCCCTGTATGCATGATATCAAGCTATCACGGAGGCGCATCATGCGCAGAGATCGCAACAGCCAAATTGGGTTTCTGATAATATACCTTGGTATACTACACCCAAGACGAGAAAAATCTATACTGATGGTTTAAGCAACTAGGGCCTAATCGACTAAGACCAGATCGGGTCCCTTCATGAATACGGATCCATGCAACGTTGAGACTTCTTTGCGAGTTCTATCCCAAAAACCTTAAAATAGCTACTATACTAGTGCTATATGCAGCTTTAGCTCTCGATATGGTATAAGAGCTTTCAAATCCCCAAATCCAAAATATCTATTCACCGCACACATTGACATGCACTGAGATACAAACTGTCGCCTTGATCTATCCACTCTTTTACTACATAGTCACTCATTTGAATTCTTCTTTTATGCTCTACCTACGGCCATTATATATATATAATATCGGGCATTCGCAATATACATTCCAGGTCTTACAAGACCAGGATTTCCATTTGTGATAGGTTCGACGTTGACTGCTTACGACAGAAATAAGACGCAATGATGCATCTTAAGGCCATGCAGATCACCATTCCATCATTAGCCCTACTACTCACTGGAGTAACCGCTCTTCCGCAACATCGGGACTTTCAAATCCTTCAAATTCGAAATGAATCACTCGCAAATGTATCTACGAACTCCAATGGTGATCCTCTAGGTTGGAACATCAAAGCTCTCTCCGCTCTTCCCAAAATTGACTCCGCACGTGCTCAACTTTCCATTTTAAAATCTGCCTATCCATCCCACGGAATCTTTATAGTTCACGATGAACCTCGTCTAGTCCCTACATCAAACGTTCTCTTCAGCCGTAAAGTCAATTCTCTCGATCCCGGTATCATCTGGGATAGCACATATCTCTGGAATACATATGTTGTTTCATCCGGAAGCTTCACATTCAAAAAGCTCTATAATCAAGACTTTCTTCTCGGTGGCCGGTTTTATCAATACCAAGATGAAATTACGTTTCTTCCGGTTGCGAAGCAGAACACTGTTGTCAATACTACATCTTGGATGGCAAATATTGATGGTAGTTTGTTGGTATCTGGGTTTACTATTCCTGGAACCCATGATTCAGCAGCTCAGACCTCGAGAGTCTCTTGGCTACCTGAACTGGGAGGTACACAGTATAGTTATATCCCAGATCAACTCACCAAGGGAATCCGATTTTTCGATTTAAGAGTTGGGTCAGCTTCCGATCCCCTCAAACTCCGACACGGAATGCTAGAACTCGAAGGTAGAGCGGGAGATGTCTTCAAGGACTTCCAAGACTTCTTAGCCGCACATCCTAGTGAAACGGTTCTCTGCTCTATAAAATGGGATTACGACGGCTCAGGTCAACCATCAGATTTCGAATCTATTTTGGAGTCTCTTTTCAACGACGGAAACCACGGAAATTGGTACACTTCTACAACTCTCCCAAAACTCGACGACGCCCGTGGGAAGATCGTCTTGCTCAGAAGATACAGTGGAAACTTGGGGTTTTATATGGATGTCTCGAATAACACCCCAGACCATACAGATTCTACTGGCCAATTCCGTGTTCAAGATCTTTACAGCCCCTCCACCCTTCCAAATGGTACACCAAATTATAACAGAAAATGGAACGTTGTCGAGAGCTTCCTTAATAGCCACCAATCCTTCAACTCTTCCCAGTTAAGTCTTAATTTCCTGTCCGCGGTAAATATCGAAGGCATTAATGTGATATACAAGCCGGCGGTCTGGGCAAATGAGATTAATGCAAGAATGCAGACTTGGTTGGACACTATTGAAAGCCAAACAGCCAACTTGGGAATTGTGGCTATGGATTTTCCGGACGTACCTGGTGGTGATTGGTCTTTTAGCATTAAGCAAATGATGGCGGAGAGTGGACAGACATTGCTCCATGTCTCGGGACAAGTAAAGCTTATTGAGAGGTTGATTTTGACGAACTTCGCTTGATGATTCCTCTTTGTTTACAGAGTTGGCGTAGGTACATAGTGTATTGGAACAGGCTATTGGTTGTCTTTTGGAGCGTTTTATAAGCATATATATATATAATTTTACATAGTATAATAGACTTTCACTCATATCAAAACCTTCTCTGAGATGAAGGAGCTCTCCACCTTGTAATTTTCGTGCCTAAATAGCCCTTGAAGCTAGACCACCTCCATTAATGCGTCCAGACTGTGGGATCCCATTGTGTACAAGGCTCATATTTCCCGGTATCCAGTCTCTTAACTTCCTCTTCTGTCAAGTTGAAATCAAAAACATCTGCATTCTCCGTGATTCGATCGTTCTTCTCTGATTTTGGCAACGGCACGAACCCCTATATCAAACAAAAGACCTCTAGTTAGCATTGACACCTCCTTAATAGCTATGAAAAGTTTACTGCTTACCATCTGCAAACTCCACCGAACCAAAATCTGTGCCTCCGTCTTCCCCGTCCTCTCAACGATCTCCTTCAACAAGGGATCGCCCCACTTTTGTCCCCTCACAAGTGGACTATAAGCCTGAATTACAATACCAAACTCTTCACAAAACGCCCTGACATCATGTCGACTCAACCAAGGGTGTATCTCTCCCTGCCATACCTCTATCTTCCCACCGGGCCGTCCTTCGCTCTCTTCATGTGTTATAAACTCGTGCAACTCCCGTAAATGCCTAACGCCATAGTTACTCACTCCCAAATGCTTTATCTCCCCTCTCTGCTGAGCTTCCACCATCGCCTTCCAGGCACCGTTACGCTCTTCCAGCGTGCCAGAAGGTGCATGGATAAGGTATAAATCAATATACCCAAGCCCATCATCCTCCGTCCTCGGGGTATCAAACACCGGATCCTTAGGCCAACCACTAGAATCCACACCATTAGGTCTTGTAGCCGGAAGATTCAATCTAGGATCATCTAATGCCAAGGGATTTCTAAAATGCGAAAGACTCTGAGCAATAGCATTCGTCGCGGCTTTATAGCCCTTTAGATGGGGAGCAAATTTAGTAGAGATGAACAACGAGGACCGTGGAATCGTAGGGTTGAGAGTGAGAAACTGAGTAGAAGCTGCAATGACGCCATGCTCATTACGGTAAACACCTGCGGTATCGATATGACGGTACCCGGTTTGTAGAGCGTGAAGTGTGGTTGCGGCGGTTTTGGAGGCGGGGCTTCCGGTGACCACCATTTCGTTAGGAATTCATTTCTCCCAAATAGAATATAAGGGGAAGGAATACCATTGATAAACCTTGATTTTAGTGGGTAGGATTAGCGATTCTACTTTGATATAGACGCACGGAGTATGGATAGTAGTACATACACCATATCCAAGCTGTGGTATCGACCCTTTACCGCCGCCTAAAGGAAGGCGGCGGGCAATGCTAAACACCTTCGACATATCGTCTGTCATAAGTCTTAATGATGTCTCCAAAAGCTTTTATGATTCAAAAGTTGCAATTTCAAAGAGATATACACCAGAATGATGCGGGAGGCTTTGGAGGACCGAGCAGATGCAGGGTGGAGGTGCCGTTTAGATCTTGCGGAATTGAATCAAAGCGTTGTATTTTTTGTGTTGTCTTTGTGAATTCAATTCCTCGAATTCGGCTCGTATCGAATCCAGCCTCGAATATTGTGAATCAACAGTTGATACTTAACAATGATTCCTAGATATCGCCAAATTTGATAGAAATGAATCGAATTTGAGTTAAAGATGTTAAGAGATATCAAGTTCTCGTGAAGGGTAAGAAAGGTTGGTCACAGAATAATCATTCTTAGTCAAATCCGCTATTTCATTAATTGATCCGTTATTAACCCATTAGACAAAGAAAAAGGAGATAAAAGAAACCCAATTGTGTAGGCGCCTCTGCAACGAGCCACTGCGGCTCCCAAGCAGCCCAAAAGCCAGTGACAGAAAGGATTTACAAGTGTTCTCATAGAATACATGTTTGTATCCTCCACCGGTAAACGTGTAACGTAACAGGAAGACACTGACGCAAAAGAAAAGAAAAGAGAATAGTGTAAAGCCAATCGGAATCAATCAGAAACGCAACCCAGGTTTTTAATAAGCCTCATAACAGAATAAAAAAAGGCCGAAGCTGGGCCATTCTCGTTCGTTCAACTCAGAGTATAATCATAAGACCAGCAACAGCAATAGCCAAGGAAATTGGGACACCGACGAAAGCATGGTTAGAATATCCTCCTGCGGTCGGAGTTATCCATGTGCTAGTAGTCCTAGTTCTATTAATGGTGAATGCTGTTGCGGTACCATTGAAGGTTGTCGGGATAACCCTTTCGTAGGTGACAGTAGTCGAAGAGTATCTTGGCTTTGGAGAGGGGTCCAAGGTAATAATCTTTCCACCAGTGTATGTATATTTGGGACTCGGAGGGATTGGTTGCTTGGGTTCTGGAGGTAAGTCCTCATCAGCTGGGGTTGGGAAGACTATGATTGTTGACGACGAGGCGATGACGGTTTGATATGGTTGAGATGCATGAGTGGGGGAACTAATCGGGTAAGACTCAGTAAGAACTGCTCCACCTTCAGTCGTCTTCTCAGCAAATATAGTGGCCGGCAAAACGGAACGGCTGAACGTAGTGGAAGAAAAGGCAGGTCCCCGGTTGATGATAGTGAACAATGGAGTGAAGTTCTTCTCGGCACCGGACTGGATTTCAATGGAATAATCGGTTCCGGCTTCCAAGTTAGAAGGAACATTCCAATTAAAGACGCCAGTATTTGGGATCCCAGCTATAAAACAATGAAAATAAGTCAGATCAATGTTCAAAAGCTCGAAATATTTAGAGGACTGTAACATACCGGCCAAGGCGCCAATTGTCTTCAGGCTGTTTGGAGTACCACGAACGAGAACCAAGTTAACAATACCACCATCGAGATTAATCCAACGAACTTGAAAACCAGTCCCGGCAGTAACTATATCACCAGCGAGTGGAGCCGTGAAAGTGTTACTCTCGTAATTTGCCAAGACAAAGGAAGGGCTAACCAGAACAGAGAATAAAGTGAGAAGGAGGGTAGTGAGGTTCATCTTGAGAGGGATTTAATCAACCAAAAGGATTTTATATAACAAATAACTTGGTATAGAGGCAGAATTAGTCTATAAGAGGTTGCTAATCGTTTTTGAAAGATGGATCGAAAGGGTAGTGAAGAAGATGATAAGGGAGGAGATGTTGAGGGAGGAAGAAGGAGCAATGAATAAGGATCGATCAGAAAAGAGACAAGAAGAGGTGGAGCAAAGGGAGAAGGAGATATAGCCGTATTTATGGACGACTTCTGGACGGGATTGTAGGTTGATATAAATACTCTATTTTCGAGACCACGGTTCGCCGGCGGTCACCACGGGGAAGATGCAGATCATGATATCACTAAATGGACCGCTATTAAATCCTAATTCAGTAAGATGTGACTTCAACATGCGGCCGCATTTTCTTGGGTGCGTGTGACAGGAACATTGAGTTTTAGATAAGTGTCCGGGTCATTGTATCTATATACCTAGAGTACCCAGCACCTGGATAGGTAGTGACCCAAATCCAAACGAATCAATTCCACATACGTACCTACATCGGCCTTTCATATTTTTATATTTTAGATTTTGAGTTTAAAGAACATTTAAACTTTCGTCATTATTAATACCAGTATTGTGGAATTCATGCCTGGTTTTATTAAGCTTTCAAGTCATGATACGTATCCGATAATTCTAATCTCGAACTCACTTATGCATGATATACTTAATATTCGAAGCCCAAATTTACTAGTTTTAGCACAATACCGCAAAATAAATTACTAAATTAATAAATAACGAAATCAAAAATAAAAACAGTAAAAAATAACCCAAATGTCCAAAATTTGGATTAGGTCCTTTAAATTCTTGTCATCCCCCTCTTTGTAGGATCGAGCATCCCTATATGGCCATACGATTTGGGATCGTGCTGGTGTGGTAGACTGTGTCGGCCAACGTGGCTGACCGATGTTAATATTACAATATTGGCTTGAAAACAGAATCCCGGAAGGAATATTGTTGCATTACAACCCTACACGTACAAAAAAGATTTTTATAGTATATAGTACATGAATTCGAGAATCCGGGTATCCGAACATGACGAGGATCATTGTCTACTTGTCCCTTCATATGTAACCCCCTATAAAAGTTTAGATGAATATAAATATAAATATGAGAATGTATGGCACATATATACACCTAGCTAATAAGCTGATAGAGTATCTCGGAGATTTAACGTATATATGTATATATATATGTACATACTTAAGTATATATTAAAGAAGGGATAAGCTCAGGGGTTCCGCAATTGTCGACTCGTCAGAATTGGAACTCATTGGCAGTTGGTGGTTACTTTGAAGGGCCAATTCAATTAATACATTTTGGCACGCTCACAGGCTCATACGTTTCTCTTACAAGCTTGTAGGAGTCTATGATTTCTTTTAGTCTTATTTTATCATTATATAGTCCAGATCTCTGAGGTTGGTTATGCTACAGCCAGCGCGAGGGTACACATGCAAGAGATAGGAATGTGACCCACAGTAAAAATCTACACAAATTGCTTTCTACCCTTTCCAAGCACAAAAGAACTATCGTATTATTATGCATATTATTCTTAAGTTTCTATTCTTAGTTTAGGGTTCAGCCATTTTCTTTTTCCAACCTTGATTAATATATCGATATCGAAATATCTACACAGTGCTGCTCAGACAGGGACCCTTCACTTCACGCCCTAAATTCTGAGGGAACTGGACAAAGAAGTTTTAAAAGATAGATGCCTCAAGAAATATAAAATCAAAGCTACTCCCAAGTCCAATTTCCTAGATCATTTTATCTAAATAATTTAATTTTCGTAGGACATATAAATCATGGTCTAGACGGCGGTGTGTTGTTCATGTGGTTTGGGTCCTACGGTTTTCCAAGAAAAATTCAAACGCGTCACAAGTGCCAACCGATCCTCCTCTTCCCGCCCATCTCCCATCAACCACCTTTCATCAACTGCCTTTCATCCTATTTTCAGTTCACCCACTAATCCTACTTTATCGAAAGACATCATCAATCTGATAATTTTCTGAAGCCGTGCTTCTCCCGTACTTTTCTTTAATTGATGTAAGTATCTTTGAGCAACGTGAGGCGAGGTGGTGCAGTGAGTTGGCAACCTCTGTTATCATTCCACCCCTTTCAGACAATGTCATTCCAACCTTCCGTATTTCCAACCAGAACTATCAAAGTATCTCCTAAAACTAACTAACTATCTCATCGTGTACTTGAAGCTCCATCGTCTAGTTTCTCTTGACATACATTACTTTCCTTCAAGGAAATCTCATAAGCTAGGACAAAATGCCCTATCGCGTTGGTAAGTTGCAATGATATCACTCCCAAATTCGCCCTCTGGACAACTCAAGCCCAGGCCGTGCAAAGCTCAAAACCAAAAAGAAGAAGAAAAGAATTGAAGGTATTCTCTAACCTGATATTTTAAAATAATACAGAAATTGCCAGTACTGGCAGAGCTGGCTGTAAAGGCGGCGTTTGCGCAAAAGCCGGCGACAAGATCCTCAAAGGTGAGCTGAGGCTCGGAACTTGGCTCGAGGCTGGTCCCTTCAAAAGCTATCAGTATAGACACTGGTAAGTAATTCTATCTATATATTCTAGCCGGAGAATTCTATTCTACCGCATATTTTTAGAGACTTGTTCTTAACATTTATAAAATTAGGGGATGTGTTACTCCGACCATCATTGCCAATGTTTGGAAAGATATCAGTGAGGACATCACTAGCCTTGATGGCTATGAAGAATTGCCTGAATCAGACCAGCAGTTAGTATTAAAAAGTCTTCAAGATGGACACGTCCCTAATGACATCTGGAAAGGAGTCAGTAGCTTCTGCTCTAAACCCTTAGTCGCAGGAGATCGAACACAGACTGATATATTTTGATGCAGGACAAAGAAATGAATGTCCCAGGTGCCCGTGGAATGACCAAACGTGCTAGTAAGAAGAAGGCTGTAAAAAGCGAAGATGAGGAAGAAGCCGAAGAAGAAAAAGAGTGAGTCTTTTTTTTTCCGTTGCACTCTTATCGATGATTCTCCAATCTAATTTGCAAACCTATGAAGGACCCCAAAGAAAAGGTCTGCTGCCAAGAAGGAGAAGGCCCCTGTCAAGGAGAAGAAAGCTACCGCTCAAAAGAAGCGGAAAGCTGCAGATGTTGACGAGGATGAAGACAAAGAAGAAGAGCAGCCAGAGGAGCAAGAACCAGAAGAAGAGAAACAAGATATTGCCCCAGCTCCAAAGAAACGAGGAAGGAAGGCCGCAGTCGTGGCCGAACCCGAAGAGCCAGAACCTGCCGTTGAAATAGTCAACAAGAGGGGCAAGAAACCCGCCTCAAACAAGAAGGTCTCGGAAAGGGAAACCAAAGAGTCCGGAAACAAGAAGGTAACCGCCCGTAAGCGCAAATCTAGCGACGAGGAAGAAGAGGAGGAGGAGGAGGCAACCGAAGAAGCAGCCCCAGCAGCCCCAGTTGTCCAACCGAAGAAAGGGCGTGCAGCTAAGAAAGCCAAGGTCTCTGAAGATCATCAAACTGCTGCCGAAGCACCCGTCTCTCCCACGGCTGATGATACGCTAGCAGAAATAGCGATTGGCAAGCCAACCGGCCGAGGATCTAGGAGATCAAAGAAAAGCGATCAGCCTTCAGAGGAAACCGCCATAACTAAAGCCCTGGCCGAAGAGCCCGCCGCCGAAACCGCCCCAAAAAAGAGAGGCGGAAGGGTCCCGAAGGCGAAAGAGGCCAAAGCTGAGGAGGCTCCTACTAAGCGAGGCCGTTCTGCATCTAAGCAGAACGAGCCCGAGGAAGTTCCAGAAGAGGCTCCGGAGGAGTCACCAAAGAAGAGGGGCCGTATCACTAAGGCCACCATCTCAGGTAAAGACAGTGCTGGTGAGAAAGAAACACCAGCTCTTAAGACTAGAGCTGGTCGCGGGCGCCCAAAGAGAAATTAAAGCCCGCTTGTAAGTCCCCCTCTAACCAGCCTATTACCTTTGATACTATAACTGTCTAGTTTTCTAATATTTCCGTTTGTCTAGTCATTCGTTTTATCGGAAGGAACTTGGACAGTAATTAACTTCACGATTCAAATTGCCGTCCTTTTATTTTCAAACAATTCTCTTTAAACCATTCCCCTATTCCGTATTCTTTTACCTTATCATTTTCTAATCATGCCTTGTTAACATGCCGGACATTCTGATTCTCAATATGTTTTATCGCGATTAACTCATCATGTTTAAGCTTTTTGCGTACATGTATAGTCTCCTAACGTGAATAAAAGAGAAATCAAAGATTGATCCAAATTTACCTCATCGCGCTCCAATTGTGCTAATACTCGTGTTTTTTCCTTTACCTTTTGAATGCATACTTACAGATATTACTGATAGTAGACATCCCTAAACGGGCCATTCCATTGTGTAAGAGCCATGATAGCAGCCAAGGCCCCCTCGCTAAAACTACGCTTCCGGAATACCCGTGGCGTTCCATCCCGCCAATCCAGTGCTTGTATCACCTGCAGATTTACAATTGCAACTTGCATAAATGTTCAGCCGTTCATGGGATTCAGGGACAGGGCGGGAAGTGCGAGGAGGCCGATCAAATTCATGACAAGTCAGTACTCGAAGAGGGTATATATATCCTAGATTTCTCCTCCGTCGCGTCCCTACTTAATTACAATCAATTGTGAAAGTTGGATACGCCCAATTCCTCAATTATACGAAACAAAATACAACAGTCGGTATCAGCATTTCGCGTTGCACCTTGGGACTTATGAAGTTAACGACAAGCATTTTCCTTATCGCTGTTACTGCATTACCCGTGCAGTCAGCTACTTCAACGAAATGCATTGAAGATAATTGCCTCAGGGGTATATCAAAAAAATATGTAATTGATTAAATTCCAGCCGCATAACTCTAACAAACTAAAATATAGCGATCCGAGCAACCAATTTCCCCACTCGCTCTGGCACTGCAGACTGTAATTCTTATTTTGCTACAATTGTCACTCCACCGGTATCGTATGTCCCACTGAATAAAATCCAGCGCCCCAATTTTTCCGTTTATGAAGGTCAATTTTACCTTTCTTCGACATTTGGCTAACTTAATCCCACGCAATATTTAGAACATCTTGGTACGACTCAGAATACACAGTCTATGACTACACAGAAGTGATAACAGAAACCATCACTACGACTCTAACCACCGCCACAACCACCATCCTCCCCGATGTTGGCAGTCAAACTCTCGAAAAGCGAGATGAGCCCATAACCAACACCGCAACCTCAATCCCGTCTTATGCAAGTCCGTGTTCCGGTTCAATCCGCTATTCAAGCGCCTGCTCCTGCATCGGAGCCACCCATACCGTGACCACAGTCGAATCTCCTATAAGAGTGCTGGAAAACACAATTTATATCACCATACCAACTCTTACAACGACTACAACAATCACGAAAACTTCTACCGTTCAAACCGTCGCCACAGGCTTCGCAATCAGAGTCTCAGCTACAAATTTTTGGAACGGCCAATACCTTCTAGTACCCCCTACCGAAAATAACGGTATAGAGCTATCATTTACATCGGGAACCAACCCCGCAATTCCACCTACAATCTTTACTCTCACTCCCGGTGGTGCTTTATCCAACGGCACGAATAGCATTTACCTTCTAACACCTGGCGGGCTTCCTTACGCCGCAGGTTATCTCTTCGCTATTAAACCCCCTTCTTCAAACCTACTATTAAGCTGTAGAATCGAAGAACCTAGCGGAGAGATAAAATGCGAAAATGGTGAATTCGGAAGGTTTGTGACTTGTTCGACTTCAATCATGTATGGCAGGACTACTCGTACATTGGCTGAATACCCGTGCCTGCAAAGATTTTTGGCGGAAGTAAGGTTATTCGCTGTGTGGCCCCCTTATTAGTACACTATATTTGGATGATGTGTGGTAGAAGCATTGTTCAGGATTTTAATCAATAAAATTGATCTTTATCTCGAGATACGACGGCCTATAGCGTGGATTGTATATATACCGTGGCCACATGATCAGTGCACAGAAGTCCTGTTCGCTTCCAAAGGCCATACCAAGACTCAAGGGCGCTTTGTGTAACCCATTCAAAAAAAATGTGTCGGGTTTTTCGTATATTCGAATCTACTAGCTATAATAGCTTTCGAGCAAACTTTACATGCACCTAAGATTGTATTACTAAGTCGTGGAGATTCATGCAAATCGTTTACTCATCGTGAGATCAAACATGTGTTTGCATCTAAGTCGGCTAAATTTGTACTAAAAAACGTGCAATAAAATGTTTTGATTCAGATTGGAATTTGCCGCATTGATATCTATAGATCCTGTCTATATGGTTTTTGTATATATGCTGTACTTAAAACACTCATCATATCAATTTTTTTTGGTATGGAACGCCGATATCAAAATAGAGATAAACGCCGAAAGAAAAATAAGGAGATAAATGAAAGAGAGGGGAATAGGGGATCGAAGGAAATGCGTTAGAGAATTAATGCATGAAAAAACTCCTTAGACCCAAATATGCTGAACGTTCGAGCATCTCCGCGCTGACTTCCTTGCGCAGCGCGCTAACCCAACAAAAAAGACCGGTTATGCATTGATAGCTTTAGCCTGCAAGTGACCTAGTTTCGTGTAAATAACAAAAAGAAAATAAAATTAAAGAAAGATGGAAGGTATAAGATCAGTGAATGCAACCAATGTATGTCTCGTGAAACATGAATCCGTAAGCCCCATAAGAAAAGAAAGAAAGAAAAGAAATAAACGATGAAAAATGCTTAAGTGTTTAGTGGTCTGGAGGAGTGTTTAGTAGTACTCATAGTCTCCAACAGTAGCGACCACTCCTTGTTTGTAATCCTTTCCATACTCATACTTGCTGCTGATCGGGCATTGATCAATACCCAGGTGAATCTGCTTATCTCTGCCACTGAACCAACCAAACGCGTAGCGTTTGTTGATCTCCATGAGTTTAGCTTCTCTCTTCCATGTTGGCCATTGCTCCATGGATTCGAAATCTGTAACCATCTTACTTTGGTGAATGAAAGTAAGAACTGACGCGATTGTTCCGGCTTGTCTAGGGAGGAATGGAACTCTGCGGCGCTTGACGGTAAGGAAGAGAGTTGCAATGAGACCAGTACAGATTACCGTCGCCAATGCGAAAGAGACTCGGATAGAAGTGACAGTTTCCTCATCATCGGCTGAACGATTGAGGAAAGAACCCATTGTAACAGTCAATATCTCGATGAGTACGGAGTTGAATGTTACGAGAGCAAGAAGCCAGTGGCGATTTTGTATTGCTTTAATGGTGACCCACCCGGGAATGGTACCGGTGTAGTCAAGGGTGAGGACATTCGGCATCGCGTTACCAAGACTAAGTGTGCGAAAAGGTTGAATGATACGAAGTTGCTTGTCGAGAACCTCCCAAATAGATTTGATAAGAATACCGAGGAAAGTAGCGGTAAAAGGAACTTTGTCGATAAAACGTTTGCCACCATCGGTGAAGGAAAGAATTGGCATGATAGCCAGAATGGACATGAGGAAAGCTGCGAAAGGGATTGCAGTAAGAAAGGTGAATATGGGGTGATTTGGAGATTCCTTCTTGATCTTTTTCCGTTTTGACTCGTGAAACTCGGGGCGGTCGGCCATGGCAACGTCAGCACCAAGATACAGGGACATTTTATGAAGTCGGTATCTGCGTTTCGCGAGATGGTCATGGATTTGTCTCTCGTCGGCTTCGTCAAGCCCCTTGAAGTCCATGAGAATATGGGATTTGTTGGCCATAGCTGCAATACCCGCAATACCAGAGACATCACCCACGAGACCGCTTTTACGGCGCATGAGAAGAACTTGTAGACACACCCCGGCAATAGCAACGACGAGAAACATTGCTTCTAGAGGTCTAGCGTACCTAGAGTCGACTCGTAGGTATTTCTCATTACCGCCCGCTTTTTCTTCATCGCTCAGGTCTTCGGTATCGAGCAGAGCTCCAAGCAAATTTGGAACGATGGCATAAGATATAAAGTAGCAGATGGCGCTGCATGCTACTGCCCACTGTCGGTACTTTATTCCTTGGAATGGTGTCAAGAAGCTAAGGAATTCGAAATAATCAACGTTCAGTGAGTTTTTGGCGATAGCACCGTTGGGTCTTGACATTTGGTAGTATGGCTCGTTTCGTTTCACCTCAGTGTCTGTAACCTGCCATAAAACACCGAATATCACACCCACAATCGTTGGTGTGTATTTCCAAGCTATCCACTCGTCGATAGGGACCTCCCTTGCTGTTTTGTACTGGATCAAACCTTTCTCGCCTATGGAGTCCGACAATTGAATCAGGTATTCTGTTACACCTGCAAGACCGAAACTTAAAAGGTTCAAGAATGTGAGGTATGGCCAGTCCATTTCCCACGGACGCCAGTTTGGAGGATCGAGATCAACTGGGATGGCGAGTTCCTGTCCGTAGAATGTTCCACCGCTTCTGATTGCATAAGACCTTTCGTGATCGCCTAAAAATAACGTTAATTTCTATTGGAAGGGGTCCCTAAATGGCTTACTTACTCAGATCTATAGCACTACCCTGATGTTTAAGACCACGAAGCTCGATTCCTCGGCTCCCATATGATGTAGCCGACCCTTTGTCGTCGTTATAGAGCGGGAAACTATCATAAGACGTAACATCAACTATGGAAAAAGATTAGCTAGGAAGATCACGCTTGGTAAAGGACGCTTTGACTTACACCCTGTCCCACCATAAGAAGAATCTTCATCTTCCTCGTCTTGATCTTGGAGCTTCAAATAAGCACCATCTCCAATAGGATTTGATTTCCTATTCGCTCCTGTCTTCATCCTTTGCAGCGTTGAGCTTCCGCGATCAAATAACCTCCTAGCCATAGTTGGTTTTCTGATAACCTCAGAATCGGGGTTTCCGGTTTGCAAGAACGATGGTTGACCGGAAGGATTTAGTGTGATATTGCCTTGCATTGCTGCCCCGGCTCCTATAACACCAGCAGCAAGGGCTGCTATCGAGGTGCGACCGGCCTCCGGATCACTTTCATCGGGCGACTGCGGGTTACCCGCGGCATCAAAAGATGGCGACGAAATTCTGATAGGTCCAGCCGGCTGGCTGGGATATAGAGTGGTAGCAGGTTGAAAATCTGGTCCGAAATGGCCTGGGAAATCGTAATATCCTTCGTAATGTTCTTCGTCCTGTGGAGTCCCGGCGCGCCCACCGATGAGTGAGTCTGTCGTCCCGGTTCCTGTTTCCGCTGTACCTGTGGGCGAATTACTAGACTCGGATGGTGTTTTCGAAGCTCCAACCGGCCGTCTATTGATTTTAGGCAGATGCGAGTGATCTCCACTGCTTCCAGCATGATATTGAGGAATCGACGAAGTAGATGTGGAAGGTGTATATGTAGGTCTTGTCGGCCGGCTCGGCGTCTCTGATGCACCTGAAGCTTGCGTTGTTGCTGTTGGCTGATTTGAAACGTACTGTTGGGTATTGTTTCCCGTTGGATCCCACGGGTCCTGGCTTTGATCCATGTTGACGGCGGTCGGGTTTTAGTAGACGTAATTGAATAGAACAACTGCTAGGTAAGTTGGTGACAGAGAATTGTATGTGTCTTAGAGGTTGTATAACCAAATACTGTATGGTAGGCTCGGTGGAGTATATTCGTGAGAATTGCGGCACTGGATGGGTTCCAAAGTCTTGTCCCTAGGCTACTTTCCGCTGCTTATCGTTGTGGAACCTGCATCTGTAATATCTCGGCATGAGAGAATTGAGGGAGCCGAAAGGGAAGAGGAAGAAAGAGGGGAGGTTTCGAGAGCTGCACCTCTACTGTCAGACTATAATATGTATTGTTCGAGGCAGACTTTTTTTTCTTTTCAGCCCTTCAGATTTGGAACTTCAAGCTGTCAGCTTTTTCGCGAAGTGACTTGCACATAAGAGGTTAAAGGATGGCCGGCGGAATAATGACCTTAAAATGTAACTGACAAGGGTCCCTATCTCTAATTCTGGGCCAGAGTTGCGTCTGCAAGGAGGGATGCCTTCGATCCCCACTATTGTCTCGTCACCGGCTTTTTAGCGCTGCCGGTCGAAGCTTGCATACATCTTGTAGAATTAACCATGAATGCTAATCGATAGCGATTTCTTGGATGGAAGGTCAGGATGTCAACATGCCGGGGATTCGCTATCGTGAATAATACCCCTTTTGTACTACGGTCCCAATTTTTCCAGTAAGATCTTGTCAACATCGCTCGCCCTTGACAGTCGACAAGCGAAGGTGCACTGCGCACCGATGGAAATACTCGACCGCCCATAAGCTTGCAGCATATCGGTATTTGGAAGCATGCAAGTTAAACCTTGGCAGGCAAACCTTCTTTCAGCAAGAGGCACGACAGTGTGCGTACACCAGAGGTGGGGGAAGCCATTGTGGGCCCGCATCTCACAAATCAACCAAAAAAGAGACTGCTATTTTTGCCCGAGTAGCAAGGGTTCGCGGTGCGGCTGAGTAGAGCCAAGAATAATGCCGAGAAACGTGAACACAAGTTCTCTGATCCCCCTGTTGAACAAAGCGAACTACCTCGAAATAGCCAGCAGGGAAAGAACTTGGATGTGGGATGAAAGGGAGGCTCTTCGGTCAAGATGCTTCGTATTTTTTTACATGGTAAGGTCGATAAAGCGATTTGAAATTCTTGTGCAACATGGCCTGTTTTCGACGACGTTGTGTATTTTCGATATGTGTTGCCGTCGACGTTGCTTGTGTTGGAAGTGACGTTGGCTGGTAACACTGGCAACTGCCATTGATGCTCCACTAGCCGGCCACCCATCTGCATTATCAGTTGCTGGCCTCATTTAGTTTGATCAGGAGCGTTATACATTGACGCTTACCGGCCAGGTCACGTTGACATCAAAGTAATCCAGAAGGAATGAGGTTTTAAGCCTGCGGCGCATTTGGCTAGAAGCCGCAGAGCCAATACGAAGGAGTCGAGTCTCGATAACGTGTGGGCCAATATATACAATGGGCGGAATCAAAATATCAAATTTATTTACCCATCAACTGTAAAGCTTCCTTCCGGCCGTGGATCCACAACTACTACATGTACCCCAACTAACATTAGAAACGAAACGAAAATACCTGTGCCATCGGCTTGCATACTCAGCTGTACAAACAGCATTGCATAGTACTGTTTTTGTACAATAATGCAAAACAACCATGGTACCAGACGTACGACTTGAAACTTTGAAACGTTACGGTTATATTATCCTGCCCGTCTTACTGTTGGACGGCATCTAGACTAGGATACATCATACGTATATACTACTACGCAACTGACTTTTGATTTTTAAAAAGAAAGGAATATGTTTTCTGGTAGGTATGGTTATCTCGTAAACCAAAATTAATTGCTGCTGAGGTTGGGTATTCAGGCAAGCTCGTTGACCATTAAAATTTGACTGGTGGAATCCATTCTCTACCACAATGAATATTAAATTAACAGTTGGTTCTACTACATAGCTGATTCAATTCTGGTCAACATGACATGGAGCTGGGTGCGGGGCTACATTGCATTTGCCTGGTATAATGTACAATTATAGGTTGAAATTATTTAAATTTCCATAGCTATTGTGGCATAGCCTCGAATCCAATTATGGCATTGCTATCAAATGTCAATACAAATATTGTATCCACAAGGCTCATGGCTTAGTACATCGCGTAATACTAATAACTGCAGATTTTGCGGTTATATAGATTTATACTGGTGTTAGGCTGATCGAATCTTAATCTATAATCACAGATCTTTACACGTAGTTGAGCTACGAGTCATAAAGATATTTAACCTAGTCAGACTTTCGACAAGGCTGCATACCAGATGGTAGCTCAATAATACTGCAACCCCCTGTACTAAGTTAATTGGTGAGGCTAGGCGATGGGTTTAAAGTCGCAAACGCTTTGAGGCGCACATACATGTCAGGATTTGCAACATTAATATTCTTAAAAACATGCCCTTTTTAAAAGGGAATACATAACCATAGGTCATTTACAAACGTGGCGATTAAGGGTGGCAAGAACATTATATATAATAAGCCGGCCTTGAAATCCTTTGGTCGGAACAAACGTACATATTCATAGTTGAAAATTAAGTCGATCTCAGGTCTGTAAACCTACTGTGATGGAAGATGATATTAATCTTACAAAAACTGGGATTTGGTCCATTCGAATAGCTGCAACCTTAGGATGCAAGTCTTTATATAAGTACAAGCGCTATAAATATCAAATACCTTAGAACTAAGTAAGGTACATACAGACATTAGACTCCGAGCTCTGTTGCAATAGCCCAAGATATTTATCTCCTTCTAAAATCGAGTCGACCCTGAACCTGATAGCAATATATGTAAAAGGCGGTTGAGAATATATTATAAATCCGAAGATAAGGCTGTCGATATTATATATATATATATCAGCACATGATAGCTGCATGCACATGCAAGTGCAAGTCCATCATGGCCATCCCCAATCCACACTAAAATATCTGAATGGGACGAATCAGCTACCGGAAACATTGGAAACGCCGAAGGATTAATTGGCGGGATCAAACCCTCGCTATTGGTTCTTTCATGGGGTGAATAGAGAAGCCTTCTCAGCCGCTCGGCGCCAAGGGGCGCCGGCACTCGTTTTTCGGGGGGCAAATTCAACAAACTAGGGGCCAATTTCGTGTAACTGAGCCAAGGAAGCGGACGAACAAAGTCTCGGTCTGGTATAGCGGTGCAGGCGCATTGTGAAGGTTCTCTTGCCATGCAGAACATTGATTCCGCGGTCGTGAGTCGGAATTAACAGGCCCCTTTCTCCCCGATTTTTGGGGTCTGCGATTTCTTAAAACCCTCCGCATGCTTAAAGCATTTTCCTCCTGAAAGGTTTTCTTGCAAAGGTTCTCTGGAATATCATCTAAACCGACGAATTCAATCGAGACCAACGTGACGGACCCACAATATCAGCATTTCTGTTTTAAAACTTTCGCTAGGAGATTAAATTTAAATCGAAGCGAACGAAGATCGCTCGTCTTACCGCATAACCTAACGGGTCCTGGAATTCGAATCCTTTGCGATGCGACCGTCAGCAGTTTTATCGGCTCTTGCCCTTTCGACTTCCTTGGTCGCTGCCCAAAACCAGCAGAGCACAATCAACTTCTCGACCATCGAGATCTTTAACGATCTAAAGAGATGCCTGAAGGCCGTTTTCATTTATGATTATGGTATCAACAATGGCCCTGTTCAAAAGCAAATCGGCTGTGAAACCAATGATTGTATCTGCCGTGCCGATACTCTTCAGGATGCCATCTCTACCGCTGGCCTCCTAGCCCAGTCCGCCTGCAGCAACAGTGGCGACAGACTCACTGCTACTTCGATCCTCTCACAATATTGCATCGACAAGGGAATAACGGCTGGTGCACCGGCACCAACAAATAACGCAGGTGCGCCAGTCACTGTTTTTGCTACCACCACTGTCGCTCTGACCACTGTAACGGCGACGGTTACTGTTTCCTCTGCTTCCGAGCTTTATCCCATAGCCGGAGTGAGGAACAGTCTACTGGGCGCCAGCGCGGCCATCGTGGTATCCCTTTTTTTAGCCTAAACCTTGAGGCTGACTTTGTAACCCTTTTCTCGCTTTCATCGGTGTGGAATCAAAAGTATCGACTCCAGTATCTGCACCTAGTACTCCGACACCAGTTACGGAAACGAGAGATGTGGTCTCGACGATTTCTGGCTCTCTTACAACCATTTATTCCACGGTAACCACGATTCCAGGTCAAACCTCCATACCTCAATCCTCCAATAATGGATCAAGTGGCAATTCAAATATCGGCGCGATAGCAGGGGGCGTAGTTGGTGGATTAGTAGTTCTCGGTGCTATCTTAGGTTTTTTCATTTGGTTTATGCGGAGGAAGCGTAATAATTCTTACTCAGCGACCGAACAAGGTGCCCCTCCCAGTTACGAAAAAGACCTTCAACTGAACCAATTGGGTGGTATGGACATGGATACGCAGGTTGGTGGTATCCAGACTTACAATGACAGGCCATAAATCACATCCTGTACCTTCTTCGAATTTCCTCTGGACCCAGCATCAACCAACTTTATGTCGTCTCTTATTTTTTCTTAGCGGCTCATCTGTTAAAATTCTTGTTTTTTATATATACCGAAATGTAGATGAATGTATTTAATTTAATCACGCACATATAACTCTAGTTTTGTACTAATTGGCCAGGTCAGAATTAATTCATTTTAAATTTTGGCTCTTTAACTTTGTCAAAACGTTACTGAACTTCCAAAAAACGTGTTGCGAGTTGGATCTTATCTTATCATCCCACTTTCTTTCGCGCTAACCGGAAACGGACAGACTGCCTTTTCCAAACCAAAATTTTTAGCCATTCGCCCTCTTCGCCTTCGAGACGGATTAACCAGCTAATAACATCCCCACGTCTCAAACCAAGAAGACATCGACAATATTTGGTCAAGTACGTCGCCTCTGGGCCAGCCAACAGAACGGAGGCAGACCCTACTATCAATACTGTAGTACCTCCAAATTCCCGTTATATCAGTCCCAATGGTCTCCGAATGTCCATCGAATATCTCCGTTCCGATCCCACAGCATGCCTCCTCCTGCTGCCGTTCCTGCTTCCGCCCAGGACAAGGGTATTCCTTCGCGGGTTGCTCAGGAATAATACATTACAAAACCAATCGTTATCATCGAGAACGGTAGAACGGCAGCTATGGACAGTATCAAAAAGTTCGCCGTGTCTTGGAACTGCCAGCTCGGACTCTGGACGGCGGAAACGGGGCTCTGGTATTCAACAACGGCGGGAACATGGATTGAAAAAACTTCCTCAGATTTTTGCACGACAATACTCAGAGAGGGGAGGATGGAGGTCTGTCCGTTCCTCTTCGAACAAAAAATCGGACACCAAAACAAAAGAACAACCTGCCGATGGATTTTCCATGCTCGAAAACGCGGTTAAAGCAAGATCTCATAGGACCAACATTATCAAAAGGAAAAAGCAGCAAGATGCTGTGTTCCACCAAATGGCAGATGATAACGATAAGTACTATGCAGGAAGGGAGAAGATGGAGGAAGAAATCGAACAAATCAGAGACAACTTGGAAAAGTTTTGGAACGTACGACCTGGTCGTTATAATCGCTCCGAGGACAACGAGGACTTCTTCTGGCTGTTGGAGCAAAAATATCCTATTGGAAGCCCTTCGACCCCACAGCAGCTTTTCGATCTTCCAGGCGTAAAAGCTGCATTCCCGCCGCGTCAACCACCGAATATCTCAACGACGAAAGGTGACGAACCTGCGGGTGGACAGGATGAAGTCAAAAAATCCAACATTCAGCCGGTACCTGATGGCGCCCCAGATGAATTTCAGACAAAGAGCGGATCCGTATCTTTTCGAATGAACTCGCTTGACGAATTCGTCGTTTTCGCCCCACCGTTTAGTTCGCAGGCAGAAAAGGAAGACTATTATGCCTTATACCTCGACAAGTTCCTCCCACCTCATCTACAGGGTGAAAACACGCATCCGAGCCCTCCAGTCAAATCCAATTCAACTCCCTCACTAGCCACCGATCTCGTCGACTCCACTTATCCATCAGTTTTTGGATCTTTAGGAGAATCAAGTGCACCTATCCACCAGCGAGAAGATCATTTAGAATCTATATTGCAAGATCTAGAGGTAGAGTGGGATGCTCGATGGACACAGACATCCTTTAATAGGCTTCTATATACTCTTGAAATCGCTCGTGAAGACGGCGTTGACGTTCTCAACTCACTTTTGCTAAAGAGAAGACAAAGGGAAGTGATTTGGGTAGCTAAAAAGATAGTTGATACGATGCCCGGAATTGCCAACTTGAATCTCAATGTCTGGCGGCTTGTCAATGCTGTTGGTGATCAGGACAACCGTAAAAAGCCCGGCATAGACAACACTCTGCAGGACGGTATGGTTATGTACACAAGAGAGGAGCTAGCAGATATCGCTCGGCGAAGACGTGGTGTAGGTGTACTTCTCAGCAGCCTTACGTCTATGCTACTGAGTGGCTGGAGAGCAGAAAAGGCCAAAGCCGATAATACTGCTTTCAACGCAATTACCATGATTGATACGCCACCTATCCTCGATCTTTTAGATGGGCCATCGTCTCATTCTTCACTTCTTGTATCCCCTCTCGGGGGTATTCTCAATGAAGTTCCAGAGGGCGACGAAATGCAAATGACCGCTCAAGAATTATTTTCCACAGTTGCACAACTTCTCGCTTATCTTCATGTGGAAAACCATGTACCTCCTATTGTCTACTCTGAAAAGCACCCAAGGCTCCATGCGAAGCAGGCTGAAATCATACGACTGATGACGGCCGAAATAGAAGCAGCGTATGGACGGGAGCTGGGCTTGAATATACCGCAGCCGAACCGAGCCGAAGAGAGGATAGATTGGAGTCTATGGATCGAATTGGTCAATTGCATCGCTGCTGAACGAGGGCTTGGGGTTAGTGCGACATGGCTGCTACTCCAACACCGGGATGAGATATCATGGGAAGGAGCTAGCCCTCGTGGGCCATCAAACGATTTCAAGAATCCCGACTTGACCCAAATGTCCTTCGAAATCCCCCCGGAAATATCAACTACAAAGAAGCTTGTTCTTCCTTCCTATCTAATCCCTCAAGCTACATCCACCTGCCTCCATAACGCCGCACTTGATGCTTGGCCACCAGAGACCCCCGGTCGTATGATACGGCTTCTCACCAAGGTCGCTGAAAACACCGGGCCTTTCGATGTAACCTTTGCTCGTGCGCTCCTCGACCATCCTGAAGTCAACATATTTGCATCTTATGCAGAAGATATACTCAAAATCCCAATAGATGGCAAATGGACCTTGGATATCCACTATCAAATCCTCATGGGCGCTTGTATTCGCCGTGATCTTTCACGCACGATTAAGGCATGGGCAGATATCGAAAACTGCATGCACGGTTCATCTCCAATCCTCGAACTCCAGATCGACAGTGATACCGAACTCCCAGCCGTCGAATTCGCACCATACGGGACGTTCGCGCATCCTCTATATGTCATCATTGCCATGATCAGCCACTGTCGAAGCCGTAGAAAATTTGGTCTACTACGATATATTCTCAAAACTGCGGTTCAAGAAGAGCACATTCGCAACAACGGTAGCTTGTTGAATTTGATGTTTCAGCATGCCGGTGATACTAAAGATTTTGCGTTTGCGAAGTACTGCCTAGGCCTCCTCGCGCCACCGTTGGCTCACCGGACGATTACCTCAGTCTTGAATATGCATTTGTCTCTGGGGCAGCAAAAAGAAGCGCAGGCTATCCTGGACTTTATGAAGAGAAGCGGCATTGAACCTGATCATGTGGATCTTGGCATTGTTGCAAGGAATACATTCAAACAAAGCCACGAAGAAGGATATGCACTAATGGACAGAGCCGTTTCGAGAGCCGATGAGTATAAGAAGAAGGTTCTGGCTACAGTGACAACAGAAAAACCTTTCAGGGATGGCGTGTTTCTACCAGTTAAGAATAAAATTTCTGATCCTATCGGACCGGCTGCATGGTTTGCGACATTGGTAGCTGCGGTAAGAGGCAATAATAAAGAGAAGGCATCGGAGGCGCTAAAGGCTTTGGGAATCGATTTTGCGGACCCCAGAGCTGCGTCTAAGATGGGTGTCAGAGTATTCAATACTTTGCTCACTGGGGTATGCCGTCGGGAGGGATCTGTACAGGGCATGAGAATGTTCAAATTATACTGCCTGCCAAACAAGCAATTGTTAAAGATGATGGACGAATCAATCAAGTCGCACCGCAGCGGAGATAGACGCATTGACGACGAGCAAGACCAAGTCGGTAGTAGAGTTGGGCCTGGGATCATGGAGAATAGAGGTCCGCAGTGGGACTCAAATAACCCCAAGGTGGAAGAAAAGAAGAGAGAACTGGAGGGTGTGGTGGTACCTGACATAATAACAATAAGAATTATTGTTCATCAAGCACTCAGGGAGAAGAGAGACTACTACACCACTAAAAAGATTCTAGAAAACCTTCCGATGTCGGATAGCGACAGAGCATGGATGAGAAATGACGCATACTTCGAGACGAATTGGAGTCATGTCATCAACTGGGCGAAAGGGGTGTGGAGTTTGATGCAGTATGGGAAGCATGAGTGGCAGGATATGATGCAGGCAAAGATCTTGGGTAAACGATCACAGGTCCATGATGGCGGGTTGCGGGAGAGAGAGTTGTTAGAAATGCTTGCAAAGCAGGCTGCTGAAAAAGAAAGCATAAAGACCACTGATACCGGGATTGTTGGCGAGAGTGAAAGGAAGAATAGTGAAGACGATAACGACGATGATCTATTGAAGGATTATGACCTACCACCGGAGTTGACTATGGATGATTGGGAGAAACCCAAGAGGTCTAGATAATGCCGCGCACCATGCACCGGCGTTGTAAATATTGTAAAATAAGAGTACATAAGGGTTAGGGATACTGATATAATATAGATCTAGATGCACATTTTCAAGTTAAAGAAGCAATATTTTTATAATCAGGCCGTGCTTTGGGGCTCAAATTTGGAGCTGATCATGAGTGCCAAGTATTTTTATGTGAAATCCAAAATAATGAATCTAGTTGTGAAGCTCATTACCGGAATGCAGAAAAGAAAATACATATCCTGGTTCTAATTTATGAGGCTATGCTAATTCTCGAATCAAAAATAAATTTCCAACTTATATTTTCTGCTTTCCTACCTTACAAATGAATCCCAGACATGCATATGAGCATATGAGGCAGTATCAATGTCCCGAGTCAAAAAGTGCCTGAACTTGGGAGAGCCTACCAATATTTATACATGCTATTTCCCAACACAAATTGTCTATGATCGAGTACTCCAAATTAATCCAAGTACTTTGCACGGTCAGATATACTTAGTACTTAGTATCTTCTATAGCACGGGTTTAGGACCGCCAAAGAGTATGGCAGTGCACTCATTTTCTTCTTTAGCCGACTTAGTTGTCGAACTCACCGACGGCTCTGATGAACACCTGTTTCTTGTGTCGTCCGAAATCCTGAGGGTTGTGTCGCCCGTGTGGAGAAAGGCACTGGATCCTGAGTCCAAATTTGCGCCACTGGAAAAGATAACAGTCGATGGAACAGAATACCGAAAAACAACATTGGACGAGATCGATAGTACCTCTTTAACACATGTTTTCAATATCCTTCATCATCGAGCTGGCCCGACACCTCGCTCGATAACCTTCAAAAGTTTGCGAGATATCGCCGTTTTAGCTGACCAGTACGACTTTGCGGATGCTCTTGCGCCATGGCCACAATTTTGGATCGAAGATTTGGCAAAAGACAGTGCTAAACAGCTGGAACCTGGGTATGAGGATTGGTTGCTCATTGCGACTATTTTTGCAACGGTCCCCGTCTGCGAGACAATTATCCTCAATATCTCGAAGCAGCTGATATGCGATTTGGTGATCTCGCCTCCCGGTAATTTGGATGAAAAGGTAAATCTGAAACACGAAAGATGGAGCATGGCTAAGCAGGCAGGAGTGGAAACCAATCTTCAGCTTGTTCCTGAGAAAATTCTAGGTAAAGTACTTGGCTGTTCTTCATTATGTCCTTAAATTCCCAGCTTGTCCTTTAGGCCTTTCAAGTCCCACGATGTGCGCAACTACCTAGGTAGACCTCGAAGTAATGTTTCCCAAGCCTACAAAGTACTTCGCTATGGCGCAGAGATGCGCGGAAGGGGGTTATAACAAAAAAGCTAATAGTGGTATTCTAAAAACTGTAACATAGAATTCATCAGGGAGGAGCAGGAAAAACTGTTGACAACAGCCTTACTTCCTCTTTGGATCTTTGCAAAGAATATGACAGACTTCTCATTCCCGGGTCCAAAACTCGATGAGAGCGCGCGCTGCCGGAATCCTGAGTGCTCTTCGCTCGCGCTCGGATCACTACTTAAGTCTATCAATAGCCTGAAACTGCAAAACATCCTCATGACGGAAGAATTTAAGATACCCGAAGGCTATTCACCCGAAAGCCTCATCAGAGAGATAGAAAGTATAAGAATGACAACATTAACACTTGAACGAGATTTCACTTACAGGGAAAGCCAATACACTCTCAGCGTATTCTGTGTCACACATAATGCTAGTTTTGCTTCCATTTCATCCCGATTCCCGACGCTGGCCCAGAAAATTCCCGAGGATTTTTTTTTGGGTAACCAGTACGATTCCGTGACTAAACACACCTCTGGTATGTTCTAATGGAATTTCGGCGAAATCTTTCACAACTATTTCTATATGTCGTCCCAACTGATCATATTCATATTTGTTCTGGCATCTAGGTCGTTTCGCGACGTGTCCCGTGGCCCGTCACCTTGCCTCTCAACAAACGAATGCAGTCGCTCTTTTGCAGCGCGTCAAGGGTTACTCAGCGGCAATTAGTAGCTAGGCTACTCTAGGCTACTCTAGGCCTGGCATTCCGAGAGTTGATTTTTCTACGAGTTTATGAGGCCTGATTTGTCAAACCGTAATCGATATAAATCCTGTTTGGTCTTATGACTATAATCGATCTATGCGGCATTGGCATAACTACTAGACTCAAGACTCGTGATTCGATACGAAGGTGTTTTTTTATGGCGTTTTGAATAGTTACGTTAAAGTTTTTTTTTTTTTTTTTTTTTTGGCGTAGATACATGTTTCGAATTTTATAGAACCCTCTTCAAACCCGCTATGGGCCCTAGATGGTCATCGATAAGTATCAAGTAGTAGGTGTGAGCCTAAATTATAAATTGATTCCGGAAACTTGAGTATTTTACAATAATCCATAGAGGACCAATGATATTAGTCTGAGAACTAGCTCTAGTTAGCTTCAATCCCAATACAAAAGATACCTAGTCCAGTTAGATATCATAGAGTGGAAATAAACAGTCAATATCATGATATCAAGGGCCCAACAAAAACTCAAATGTTTCTTACATATACATAAACCCTAAAGCCTTGCCTCGTGTACTCAGTCCGAAGCTTGACAAATTCAGCCCTATGCCTCAAGACTCTGGTAGCCTTCTACTAAGTTCATTATTTCCTGAGCATTTTCTTTTATTTTGGATAGCTTCAGGGCGAGAGGGCAAATAGCCGTACCTAAACACGAAATGCTAAGATTAGCACCCACAGATAATTCCGTAGGGAGAGTATGTGATAAAGAATGCCTACGCCAAGTGCTTGGGATAAAAGCGAACAGCAAATCAACTTACTCTGCGTACTAGCGATATCCCGATCGTCTCGTAGGAATATGGGTCTGTTAGTATACGATAATGGTGTCCGCATAACCTTAATGTCAGAGTCGATTGTGGATCGCAGCTTGACAGCAACAGCATTCTTTATTGATTCTTCAGTGTCGCTAGACTCTATTTTCCTGTGGATATTACGTATTTTGAATGTTGTCATTTGGAGCGCTTGAATCTTTCGGGCAAGATCTTGCAAAGAGCATCGGCCCGGAGGTAGAAGTTCGTCTTTTGTTAGATTTTTCGTCAAAAGATGGTTTAATCCTTGTTGATTCAATGATTGAATCAGTGTTCCGAGAGCCATTGCGGAACATTCATTGTTTTCGCAGAGTATGATTTTATCGTTGTGCATATTTAGAAGCGGAGTCCCTGAATCCAACAGCTCTTGCACAAAAGAATAGAGCGGCGCGAGGATTTTATAACTGGTAGATAATCGCTGTTCAAGAATAAAGTCTGTTTAAATTTTGAAGATAATTCATTAGCATACTTGTATATTTGAGTCAAGAGAGTCAATATCCCCTATAAAGTCAATTCGGTAAACAATTAAACGGGCTGGAACCCGGGGCAGGTGCACGGGAACATCGAATTCAAAGCTAGTCCGTGAAGTTATAAATACCTAGAACCCTTTGTGGTACCATCTCTAAGTTCACGTGCACCAAGTCGAAATCTTTCCCCCCATGCTCTCGGGTTTCGATTGGCTGGCTCACGGGTACAGTTTGAGAACCATTATCTGCCCCGGCATCCCTCGACCCAAGTTGGGTTTCTTTCCACCTATAATACTTTGTCTCCCGTATATCGTTGGACTCGCTAGTATCCACGCAAATATCTCTGATCAACTCTTTGGAAACAAGCTGAATGATATTATCACATGCCACGCGCTCAAGTCGGCCGAAAACTGACGCTATAAAAATCCAATCTTCAAATCCAACTCTAACATAGTCCGGCCCCCAAAGGGAACTCAATTCTCCTCCTTTTCCGGAATCAATCCAGCCCTCCGCGAAATATGAAGTTACTGCTACACAGTCATACTGGTCAAGAAGTAACGCCAGATCCCGAAGAACTGAGAAATTAAATTTCAGGAAGGCGGAACCAGTTGTGGCGACAGGACCTGGCTCCCGCCCCTTCGGTATGTTTCCAGTACTATAATGAAGAATGCCTAATAGTATTTGAAGCGATTCGGGTTCAACTCCCTCGACGGTTATCCTTCTATAATCGTGGCCATCCACTGATACAGTTTGTAAGGGCGCAAATCTGGAGTCCGGGTCCAACAGCTTCCTCCATACTGGCGAAGCCATCCTTAAAGCTGCCGATGAGACAAGAAAGCTATGTTGCTGCTGCTTTGTGTCTGTCAGGCCGACCAGAAGATCTGCAATTGGTGTGTAACTGTATGCCTTCATGATTTGATAATACTTTTTTATTCCCCACCTCGATTATGATCTTGTCGGTGATATAATTTACTTTGTAGTTTCAATTACGATAAGAAGACTTCCAGGCCAGTAGGAAAAGGTCTGATTAGGTGTAGTCTTGTGCGGATTATTTATATCTCTGAGGCTAGAAACGCCGGAAGAGGCTTTCCATTTATTTTGGATCCTTGAGTACGGGGTAAGCTCTTCGGCATGGGACTTTTGTATGCTTGGCGGTACTGGTACTGACAAACAGTGCCTGAATTCTCGTACAGGTTCCGCAGCTGCCGATATAGTGTGTCGCATTGAATTCGATCTATGGAAAGATGACTCTATGATTAATATCAGCCCCATGAATTGAACTTCCACACAATAAAACATGGTTATTCGCCCATGAATTTTAAGCAATGACATCAGGTTGACTAGCTTTCAATAATGTCGATATTTGTGTTGCCGTTAACATTCCATTGATATTTATTAACCTGTGCCACTAGCTAGCCGGTACGGTACGAGCGCGCTGGCTAACGTTGGGCTCCATACTCTGTAAAGACTTAACCCACCAGTCCATCTTTCATCTTCTCTCCTATTCCAAAAAATAAATAATTCATGCCCGCTCGAGTAATAAAAGACGAAGGCTCTATAAATATACCCGCATCACAGCCGTCAATCGAGTTGCCCTAGAAATCAACTAAATTCAAGCAAAACCTCAGCCTCACACCAAGAGCCTCGGAAGCCACAAGTGCAACAAATCAATAAAGAGTCATAAATTGAAACAAACCGCGATTTGGAGCAAAAATGAATTAAACCCCCAAAAATCAGGTTAGGATAGGAGAAGAGGATTCCAGTTTATCTCCCCTATTGCCACGAAGACGGCCGCGTAACAATTACTTAACACGTTATTAATACCGAAAGGTATCAAGAATATATTAACTCTCGGTACAACTAACACGTACGTATATATAAACTGGAAGAAATAATGAGGAAAGCCCTCAGACATTTTACTCGCTACTAGCACACTATCACACTGACATTTGCTTGATATTACAATACGATAAACCTTTGAAATAAGAATAGAAGAAGTGGAGTGTTGCATTTTTCGTGTTGCCTGAATTGTGTAGAGTAAGCTCATCAACCCGCGCGAAACGACTCCTCTTTTCTGCATCATAGCACTACCTGAGTACTAGCCTAACTCGCTAGGTATTTAATGCTGTGAATTCACTCCACTACCGCCTCTGCCTCCTTTGGACGATTTTTCCATTCGCAGGTTCTGCCGCTAGCTTTCTGCAAAACATCCTTATTATCCTCAGTCCACCATTTCTTCAATATCATTTGTCCCCTCCTTGCCATTCCTGCGTCTCGATTTCGATAGACACTGTCAATAGCTCTAACATCCTCTTGATCATTCACCAACCATCTCTTTTCCGTCCCCACCCACTCTTCATAATCCATTCCTGGCCATTCCACCCTCACATTAGCAGTTAGCCTATCCTTAACCAATCCTTTCAGTTTGTTGGCTTCAAGATTTACGGCTTTTCCCTCTCGTGCTTTTTCATCGTTTTTCAATGATCTAGCGTTGTAGAATTGCAAGTATCGGCTTTTGCTAACAGCTTGTGATACAATGTTTAACGATGCCTGGCTCATATAGGCATATCCAAGGTCGATGTATCTTAGGGACTCTGAGGATTTTATGAGGTTTACTGCACTTTCAACGATATCTTCTTCGATCCAATTGAACTGCATTTTCAAGTCCATGGTGGCATATGATTGACCGACATCGATCATGCGAATAGATGGGTGTCCGGCTAAGGCATCAAATAATGCTGCGACACCGGCTGTGCTAGCACCCACGGATTGTAATGATAATCGTTCGACCGATGTATTCTTCTTCAATCCTTCGGCAAGGACTTTTAAGCCGCTATCTCCAAGAAGATTATTGGACATGTAGAGCGATGTGAGCTGGCATGTCTGTTGTGAGATGAATTTTGAAATGTAGTTTATGGCGGACATCTCGCCATCTTTTGCTGGTAGTATACCAACACCGTTCATGTACAGCGAATGGAGTGGGGATGGTGTAGCAATTGGTAGAAAATCGCTGTAATGGTCCGATAGTTTCTCAAAAACCTTGGAGAGGCAGTCGTCTCCCAAGGCAGTTTGGTCGAGATCCAAAGTTCTGAGGCGAGGTAGCTGTGAGAGGAGTTTGAAAAGAGATTCGTGAGAGCCTGGGCCAAGCGGATTGCGTTTTAACCAAAGATTCTCGACAACTTTCGATTTCGACATGGCATCGACTAGGATGCTGAATGATTCGGTGTCGATGCAATTTCCAGCTAGATACCAAGTCCTCATGGCATCCGGTCGTTTCTCAAGGAAATTGGCGATTGCATGTGCGCCATCTGGCCCAATGATATTATTCCCAAGTAGGAAATGCTCGATAAATGTATTCGACTCGAGTGACTCCATGAGCTGGGATATCGACGGGCCAACAACCATTTTACAAAGGTCCATCCGACGGTCGGAGTACACTACTCCACGCTTGAACTCAAGAAATTCGGTTTTGTAATACGGCTCATATCCCGGCTCGAAGTTCTTCCCAACCGGTCTATCAACCTCCTCTTTAATATGTTTCGATTCATCAAAATGTGCATCGAACTCGTCGGCCGACATGTCCTTCATGAGATGTGTAAAAAATGGCTCAAGCTCCTCGTAAGGTGCTACCTCCACAGGCATCGGCAACGAAGCTGGCTGTAAGACTGTCGACGGTGTGATCTTTTGGTCCCATTGACCCCATCCTTTTATCTTCTGAACCCACTTCGCACTTGGGTTCACTCCCTTGTCGCCGCCTTGCGACCGCATTCCGCATGTTGGACCGACAGCATGCGACGGAAACAACTCAAGTCGGTCCATTATCCGGCTGGTATCAAGACCTGTGAGGTCCAATTCCACAGCTGTTGCCATTTTATGGAGACGTGATAATATTGGTCTATCCTTAGATTTCTTAAGAAATTTTGTGAAAATATTCGGAAATACTATTGCATTTTGAACACGTGAGATTAGTACTGAGAGATTCAACGGGGGTTTTGCGAAAGAGCGACGGAGAACATGAGAATGCATACTTGTTGTGGGTGATTGAGAAGAAGTAGAAGAAGCGAAGGTCTACAAATTGTCGCGTACAAAGCGAGAACTATTTGGAAAAATGAATTTACCCTGCTTGGAATGACCACTGACTACTGATATGCTGCGTCCCAACTTGCCGAATTTATAGACGACGTTTATTGGCCATGGTTGAGGGTGTGCGGGGGAGCTTACTGTTGGCGTTTGACTCAATGGCCAAACGAGGGAACGTTGTCGAACTGCCAAGGAGATCCTTCACCTAACTATGAAGCGGAATCACATTAATTGCCGTGCTGGAAGAACTTCGAAAACTTCGTATTCTTTAATATAGTAAGTTGACACGGTGATATCTAAAAAGTATGAAAAATCGAGCCAAGAAATATGCAATTTAAATATTTACTCATTGTTCAATTTTATAAGGTAAGTCCCAGCCTCGGACTTTACAACGTATGGCCCATCTTTGGAAGGCTTCGAAGCCGAAGTTTAGACTTTTGGCCAGTAGCCGTGATGAACACAAAAAGTTCAAACCCACAACAATTGCAATTAATTGATGTTTTTAGTTCTTCGGGATTGCATATTGCTGAAGCATCGAATTTCAGGTCTAGCTAGGACTCTGTATAATATGTTGAAGAATTCTTCTAGTACACCGATTAGAGATACTTTTTGTTAAATTCTATCCTTCTTTTTAATTAGTTAAGTTGACAAGAAAAACCTGGTACTAACCGAGCGCGTCGAGCGAAATATGGGAGCTATGGCCTATATAGCTATTCGAAGCTTCGAAGCTGCCTAGAAAATCTCTCTCCGCCATCGAGATATATAGTCCCTATAATAGAAGCACTTTATCCCGTGAACTAAATGCAGAGTAATATATATTGGAAGGATTCAACTCTGTACTAATCGCAACTTCAATCGATCGAGTTTATAGTCCTAGTTAAAAATTGAAAAGATAAATTTAAAATTGCCAAGTGACCGTGGGCCTAGCAGGAGACCCAAATCTATACCGTCATATGTTAACCTATTTTCAAGGTATTGACGCCATAGGCACTATAGTACTAGCTTCAACGGCGAGGCGGTTTACGGAAGCTAGACTTTTACTGGCGACGAGACAAGACTTTTACTATTTTTTTAAAAGGTTTTTGTGTCTCATAACCAGCGTCACACAGTCCTCCGTTGTTTCTCATGCAGGGTGATGAGAGGGTAGTTGAAAGGTGCTATAACCGGTCCTTGCCGAAATTAACCAACTGTATAGGCATAATACTAGCGTGAGTATCGCCAATGGCTATCGATTCCGAATGGTTTTTCGAAAAGTGGCATAGACGCCTTACCATTGAGATTTATCTCGCCGTCAGAAGTACTACTGCTCCTCAACTGTTCGTTGAGATATTAATATATATATTGAAGAGAAATTCAGTATTCTAATTTGTCCGAGGGGGGTACTTTCTATGAGACAATTGAGGCTTTAGGCCTATAGTTATCAATGTCGATTAGCTCGAGAATTAAATACTGGCGGTACCGTATATATATATATATACCGCGGTTACCTTCGAAGTCAATTAAATTTCCTGCACATTTACGAATAAGGGGGGTGTGACGAGTTCACAACCTAGTGATTTCACCATGGTACCGGCGTAGCCTTCAAACTCCAGAGGTTGCCTCGTCGCTAGTCCAGAGGTAACCGCCTTTACACAAGGTACCCGGAGAAGCTCTATCTGTTAGTCTGAAAAGAGAGTAACTAGAATTAAATAGGTAATTTGCAATATTCGCGATGAAGATTTTGAATCCATTCAATATTCCCACCTCAGGCTGCTCTGCTGAACAATAAGAGCTAAACTGGTCGACTTTGTTATTAACTATGATCCTCTTCATCAATTAAACGTACCCACAGTCAGCAAATTAATTTGTGAAACTCGAAACTCGTAGCTATAAAAAGGGCTTGTGTATGGCTAAATCTAGAAGGCATGGCCCGATGTTTTGACCAGTGGCTGACTGCTGTGTTAATCAGCGGTGGAGTCACATTGTCGGGAAATTTGTGTTGCAGGTGCGTGGGCTTTTTTACCGAGCTCGTCGCGGTTACATCAAAAAAGGAACAATGTCAGGGCCACACCCACCGCCAAAATCATGCCACTTTCTCGTCCACAAAACGTGTCGAGGCTGGTTGAATATCTCGATTTGAGCCGAACAAAGAGCGGTTGAAGATGCTATACGGGTTGACGACTTGGCCAGGGAGGTGCATCTATACAGGATACCTGCACTCCTTCGCACACCACGTACGAGGTACATATGCATGCATGTTACACGGGATCCAACCGGTCTTTCGATTCCAACATTGAAGCCTGTGATTTTTTCTAACTGTCGGGATCCTTTGTTACAGGGGCGAGCTCTTTGGGGAGAAATCTAATACGAATTCATGTTCTTCCGGAATATGCCAGAAACCCAAGGTGGTTACTATTTCGGATCCGGGTGTCAAAGCGGGCGAGGAAACTCGTCACTGGTGGCACGAGCTATGGGCTGCGTTTTGATAGACTGCGCATCCCACCCGCCATGAGATATCCTTCCCAAGGGTTTTCTCATTCGGAATTCGATGTACCCCAAGTTCATTTTGGCGAGGTACTTACATCACTGTGCTACTTTTTGTTCAGCTGCAAGTCTGGGTGGCCCCCATCATTACGTATATCTGCGGTCTGTTCCAGATTCAGATATTGATGTGGGTCATGAGCTCACGCTAACACCGTACGAAACTAAGAGACCTGGATATCATGGGAGAAACATTCTCGTGCCTCAGCCGCCACAAAACCGATTGGACGATACAGAAAAAGCTTGCCCTTGAAGGTCCCCTCTCCAAGAAAAAGGTCTTGTCTACACCGTTTGAACTTTCGCCCGGCACGCGCCGGACACTTCTCCAAGTCTTGGGATAAGGGGGCCAAAGCCGCCAAATATAAACAAGCATTTGCCAAGTTTCCTATCCGCTGCCAGCCAAGAAAAAGCTTCGCTCCTCCAAGTCCCAACCTGGTGGGATTATCCACAAAGAGGATTCAAACTGCAGCACTAAAGCCCGATGGCCAAAAAAAGGGGAGGCTCTTTCACTATTAATATATTTTTCTATCTCTTGGCCTTCATCTGATATCGTATTCTTTTTAATCTTCGATATTCTGGCAGTTTTATTGTCTTATCGACGTCCTTACATATCCGATCTAGTTCAACGCCCTTTCGCGCTGGCTGACGACGACTTCTAGAAACTAACTTTTCTTATTTCTCTATCCATCTTCCTTCCCACCCCCAATCTTTTTTTTCTTCTGTGTACACGGAAGATCGATCGAATTAAAGCGGGGCCAGTTGTTGGTTCCCATTTGTCAAGATCACGACTAACAGGGTTGAGACCTTCCATCGTTCTGGTTTTGCTTCGAATTCGCTACGCCTACGCACACCCTCCCAGCCCAATTGCAACCTAAACCACCTTCCGGTCTAGCCCGCAAGTCAATTTTCAATGGAAAAGAAACAGACAGCCCTCCTGAGGTCCTGAGGTCTGGGTGAGAGTGTCGATTCTAACCGTCTCCGGTTTCACAGAAGATCAGATCCTTAAATCATTTTTTTATTTTTATTGTGGTTACAATTTCCCAAACCCTCGGAAGCGCCTCCCACTTCCAATCGGTTGAATACAGAAGGGCGCTCGCTCGCTCGCTCGCCTTTTTTCCCTCTTTACACATCATTCCAATGTCGGCAGATGGTCATGGTCACGGTCATACAACATCACGGCACTACGACATTGCAGGACCAGGCCCCAGGGAATCCAGCCAGACTATAGAGTCGAGGTTGACACCATCTTCATGTACTGTCCGTTCCACAACGCCGTTTGCTTGGCCACTAGGTAGCAGAGGGAGGAGGAAATCGTGGCATAGTATGATGGTATCAAAAACGCCCCGCGTGCTGTTGAGATTCACTAGAGCGGTACAAGTATTCTGTTCCGGTCTTGTTTTGGCAGCTGGTGTTTTCTCGGTGGTCAAGTTTGGGATACAGCAACAGGAGGTGTTGGTAGTCAAGGATGGTTCCAGTTACGTGGACGTCGACTACAATAGTCTTCCAGACGGAAGAGGCGATTGGCGACCTGTCCTACTAGTAGCCCTTGTAAGCGTCCCTCTTCTCCGAATTCTTCCTCGTTCTTCTTCCTCTTCTTTTTTCCGGCTTAATCTTTCCTTGGGTTCGCGCTTTTTTAATGGTGTTCGCTCCCTACATATATCTATCCCTTCGTATCAAGTGTCGTCGCTTGAGGTTACATTTAAAGGTTGCCCAGCCCGGCCCAGCCCAAAGATCAATACCAAGAATCTTCAAGTCGATCGGGCAAATAGAAGGGCTCGAACTTTATCCTTGGCTTCCGAACGAGGGTTCGGACGTCGAAAGCGGAATCTTGTTACCTATTTATATCCCTTTTTGCTTCTCGCAAAGCAAAGGCTTTACATTACGTTTCTTCTGAGGTCCTCTGGAAGGCCGAAGGAGTCTCGAAGGCATTGAAAGGCAAGACGGCCTGGGTACCGGGTTTACCACATCCGCGACACTTTACCCTTAACTTACCTAAGAACTTTGTTTTTTGTTGCTGATGAACAAGTTTAAAGTCATGCGGATGTTTTCATTTTTCTTCCGAAAGCCTTTTTACTGACCTGACTCTATTATAACTGGGGCGACAGTCTTCTGTTTCTCTGATCGTTTTCCCGTTCCTCGCCATATTTAGACGCAGACGTCTTAGTGTCGTGATCGAGGTTGTGCTCCTAAGCCTTTGGTGCTCCTTGTAAGTGCAGTCATTCTTTAAATACCGAACTTCCTACTACAGTTGACTCTTATCACCGTTTATGTTTATCGTATTGCTCCTCCTCCTTCTCCTTCCCCCCATGCCATGTCCTTCCTGCAGAGCTGTTTTTATCTAGCGGCTTTCCACGTCGCATCCCCTTCATTCCTACCTGCCTTTTACTTGCGTAATCCGCAATCATTTTCCGAAAGGCAGACTTCCCCCATTGGTGTTCTAAACCTGGCAGCACAACACAGTCCAGGCAACAACCCCTCGGCTCCCATTTTCGACATCAAACCGTGAAGGCTTGTATGTTCCACGTGCGTTTGGGGCTTGTCACAAGCATTTCCTCTGGCCCTTCGCAGTCGTGGAAATGGCGCTGTCTCCTGTCCCATTCTTGTCAATTATACCCGACGGGTCCCCTTATCCCTTCACCTGACGCCTATGGACCGTTACATCGAGTTCATCTCACAAATAACCTTCTGCAGGGAATAAGTGGCTAACTAGTAATAATTCGTTTCTCTGCTACGGTCGGTTCCGTATGTATGGTGTATCTGAGAGTTGACGAGGGATAACCCTTGATGCATATTACTATATTCCGGAAGGGAATCATCGGAAAACCTTTTTTTACTTTTCCATTGGACACTAGCGTTCCTTGGTGTCTTTCCTTTCCCACAATATATATATGTCAATCAGGATCCCTCTCTCTCTTGGCATACCCCAGCATCTAGAACCTACCCTAGGCGGAGTGACTTTTTACTTTGCTTTTCGTTTCTGCATATAGTATGACATTATATGTTCCGACTATCTTGACACCATTTGAGCCAAACTGTTTACGCCCGAAAGCACCGTTCGAGTTTTTGGATGATCATACGAAGGAAACTTTAGCGGTTGGAATTGATATTGGGCGAAATACAACCGGAGACTCGTCGCTGGCGAGTGCTTCATATACAAATCCCGGGAAGATCAATAGCGAAATATATACGTATTGCGTCATGTCGCAAGTCGGGGTTGCCGCTGGATTAATCGTGATGTAAGGATCTTTTGCTTCTGCTTCTTCTGCTTCTGCTTCTTCTTCCTTTTCCTCTTGTCGACTTCTGTTTTGGGAGTCGTGTTTTTCATGCTTACTAACATCCTATCAAAGAGTATTCACATTCCTCTCTATTGTCCTATTGCTTCTCTTATCATACCAGGCAACCGATTATCTCATAGAGCGTAGAGCTCTTGAACTTCTTCAACATCATACCCTTCCATCAATGGTTCAGCAAGGCATCTCACCAATCTCAAATGCATATCAGACAATCACAAACTCTCTTCCTCAATTAAGATCTACAAATCAACCCTTAGACGAAGAAAACAACTTCCATCCCCATAATCATAATCATCACCATCGTAATCATCACGACAATAGAAATCTTCAATACCACGACGATATGACACCCATTCACAATAACCATCGACAGAATCACGACCACCATCACTACTCTAAAGAAAAGTCAAACTCATATTCTTGCTCCCATTCACAATCTACATACCAGCCGACCACTACAACATCAATAGCGCCGGCATCCGATGCTACAACATTAGGAGCTACTGCTCCTACAATATTATCAAATCTATCCACTGCTACAAGAACACATCTAGAACAACCGGAGAATACAAACCATGACCGGATACGAGACGAAGATGATTCACCTAGACCTTTACAGTTAAAAGGCTGGGTAACACAGGGTTATCAAGTCGATCGGCTTCCCAGTCGGAGACAGTAATTTGCATTTTTTTTTTTTATATAGACAAGATCCCCTTTGGATCTTCTTTCTTGCATTTATGGTGGGAATTTGCTATTTTTCTCGTCTTTTTTATTTATCTACATATATCATTACATGCTTATTATTACTTTTATTCATTTAATGTTTATGAGCCTAAAATATTCTTTCTTTTTTTATGTACATAAAATGAGATTGTTCGCATGTTTTTTTGTTGTATTTAGCGTTCGTTTTTTTTTGTTTTGAGTTTCTTTAAACTTATGGGGTGGGATACTTATCTATAGTAGTAGTATATATACAAATGCTGGTGTTACAGTGGGTGGCATGCAGTTGAAGATTCTGAGATACATAGGAAGTTACCTAGCAAGTAGCTATCAGGGGTTTGACCGGTAACGAAAAGGGTTTTGGAACCTAGATATTCAGAAGAGAGCCCAATTCTAAATTTCTTATAGTTCCATTACTAAATTCGTTTTAAAGGTTACATCTCTCATATTGTGAAATCCTGAACCGAATGTGGGTTCATGGGTCTAGTTACCTGGACAAATCTCGAACTCTAGTGAAACCTATGTTCTTTGGAGAACGGGAGGGATCGAGGTATTAAGACGGTACGCATATTCATGCTTGGTCTGGAACTCACTCACGACACATAGTGGAGTGGGGTTTTAAAAGGTTGAAAACGTTCAAACTGTAGAGCACCGTTGTCCAAAGGTTACAATAGTGTCTCAAGTATACAGTGACAGAATAATTTGAAGTATACTCTCTTCGACATAAAATAAATTGAGACCACGCCGGCCGTAGGTATATGTCTTGATAGGCTACTCCAAGCCGTTAACTAGGCTGTGTTCTCCCAAGACAGTTTTGCCTTCTGTAGAACCCCTACAAAAATAAAATAAAATAAAATGTAAAAAAAACGATATCATTTCAATGCAAATGAAAACGCCGAATGTACTTTGCACCTCATCACACAGGTCCAAAAAGAAGCTTCGAGATCATCCACAAAAGTAAATCGTTATAATAAGACAAACAAGCCAATGTGCCCCTTTCCCACGAATATAGGAAGAAAAAAAGAAAAAAGAAAAAGATAGCAAAGAAAAAAAGAAACGCCATATATCCTTCGTATAGCTGACATCACGATAGTCCTTCTATCCGCTCTCTTTAAATAGTTTATTTGGCGTACTTCCTGGTCCACTCCCTTGCTGTCTTTTCAAAGGAATCTGGGCTGTTCTTGAATTCATCGGCAATGCTTGTCTCAACGGCATCGTCGACATTGGGTTCCTTTAGCAGGCCAGCCGCCATTTCAAGAACCTGGGAGATCTTGCAGGATGGCTTCCAGCTCTCTGAGCGGAGGATGCCAAGGCACATGGATCCCTTGTCGTCGTTCGATACATTTGGGTGGTAGATCTTGGTGGTGAAGTTAAGGGTTGGTGGTTTGAATGGATATTCAGTTGGGAGTGTAAGGTTTAGGGTGAAAACACCGCCCTATTACGTCGATAGATATACATGTTAGTCAAAGGAGCTTGGAGATTTCGGTTTGTTTGAAAAGTGGTGTTGACAAGGAAGACGGCGATGGCGGGGTTTTGAAGAGAAGAGCGGGGCAAACACGTACAGAGTATGGCGACCCTTGAGGTCCAGTGAGAATGACATTCCATTTGAAAACATCACCTTCAGACGCGAGACCAGCGGAGACACCTGGTACCGGATTGTTGGAGAATTCGGCAAGCTCCTGTGGGGTCACGAAACGTGTTAGCCTTTATGGATCCTGTGGCCTTTCCGGGCGGATAATGCACACACCTTGGTGATTCTCTTGACGGCGGACATAGTGACGATGTTTTAAGGTTTGAAGTTGAAGGTCTAGGATAAATTGTAGTTGATAAGATGTTGTTTTATCGACGGAGAGGGAGGGTTTCTGGGGTATATAAAGGGCAAGTGAGGGCGGAAGGTTCCAGTTGTCAGAACAGGTGGATTGAGTCAGCTACAAAGGCGCAGCTTCAGGCAGGTACTAGGAGCCCAAGTGTGACAGGGGTGCCAAGGTGGTCTTGCTCAGCAGCAAGGCGGATAAGGGGCCAAGTATTTGATAACTTTCGAAAAATCTCGAATATACGGTGAATAGCTGGCCGTGATGATGTGGAGAGGAGGAGGAAGAGTGGAAGGATTCTAAAAGTGGTGATCTTTCCTTTGGTGTTTTCGGAGAAGCTGTGGACTCGTCGGCCGTCGGGGAAGCACTCTGGGCCCCGGGCTTGGCATTTTCGGACCTCCCCGGAGCCTACCTTCTGTCGCAAATTTCGTTTGAGCTCGCGCTGCTGCAGACAGACAACCACACCTTAAACCTCCCACCGACGCCAATATCAAATACCCACGATAGACGAACCGAATCACTGTTCGAGCCCTGCAAGAAAGGGTACATGTCCAGGGAATGCCGTTCGGCATTGGCGGCAAGAATGCCATTCATGCCGTTGACAATGCTTCGCCTCAATCGACATCTGGGTCTCAGTTGGCCTCATTAGTTATACCACAAAATGCCCAAGATTCCGCGGCAGCCCCGTCGGACATTATTCCAATAGTCAGGGATATCAAACCGGAACCTCCGAAATCATGGAAGGATAGCATAGCCAGCAATCCTCTGCTGACAGCCGTACGTTCGTTACACCAATGTTCTAGATCAAATGCGCAGCTAATTGATTAACATAGCATTATCAATATGAATAGGGAGTCGGTGTCGTCGGCTTCACAGCCAGCTTGGCAGTTGCTCGCAAGTCTGTGATGTTCCTGGCTGATGCAGTTAAACGACACTACTTGATAAAGCTAGAGATACCTATTCGGGATCAGTCATATGCTTGGTTCTTACAATGGATTCATCAGCACCAACGGAACCTCGCACAAGCAAATCGTGGCGGAATAGCACAGGCAGATGCACCACACGTATCGCCATTCAGGTCTCCAATCAAATACTTGTTTACCCGCTATACACCACGGACCCATTATCTCTCAGTAGCAACAACACTGTCTCAACATGAGAACGGAAGCATTAGCACATCGTTTGCTTTACTACCGGGTATCGGCAACCACATCTTCCGGTACAAGAATGCATTCATTCGAATGGAGCGTACCCGAGAACTTAAGAATCTTGATCCTCAGGGTATCCCATGGGAAACCATCTCTCTAACAACTCTTTACGCTCATCGGAACATCTTCACGGAACTTCTATCTGCCGCACAAGAACAGGCATTAAAGAGTCAGGAGGGAAAGACGACAATATACACATCCTGGATGACAGAATGGCGGACATTTGGGCAACCAAGGACGAAAAGACCCTTGAGCTCTGTTGTCCTAGATCAAGGCATCAAGGAGAAGATTGTTCAGGATATCAATGACTTCCTAGCTTCTGGCAAATGGTACCAGGACCGTGGTATTCCATACCGTCGTGGCTACCTACTCCATGGCCCCCCCGGTAGTGGCAAATCTAGTTTCATAAAAGCTCTAGCTGGAGACCTTAGCTATGATATATGCCTCGTCAATCTTTCAGAACGAGGTCTCACAGACGATCGATTGAACCACCTTCTCAGTAACATGCCAACGAGGAGCATCGCTCTACTAGAAGATGTCGATGCGGCGTTCAACAACAGGAAGCAGAAGAACGAAGAAGGATATTCAGGCGCCAACGTTACGTTCTCCGGCCTTCTAAACGCGCTTGATGGGGTTGCTAGTAGCGAGGAAAGGATATTGTTCCTGACAACAAATTACAAGGAGAAGCTAGACGATGCATTGGTTCGACCTGGAAGAGTTGATATGGCTGTGGAAATTGGGCTAGCAACAGAGTGGCAAGTAGAGAGGATGTTCCAACGGTTCTATGGTGACGATGAAGCAGAGCTTGAACCTGAGAGAAGGGAGAGAGTCAAAGAGCTCTGTCAGGAATTCATAGATGTCCTAAGAGCGTCTGGGGCATTTGAAGGGGAAGGAAAGAGCGGCATCAGTACTGCTGAACTGCAGGGATTGTTTGTCTATCACAAACATAGTCCTGAGGATGTTGTGGCTACTGCCAAAGCGATGGTACAAGCTAAGCAGGGCAACTAAGTCCCGTATCTTCTTCCAATTTTTATCTATATAGAAAACTTATACCTGTATATATATTGCATGGGGACATCTGATTATCCGAGTTCTGTACATACAAGCCGAATGAAGCATCCAGACGAACAACAGAAAGGCTAGTCCAAGTTCTTCTGAGAGACTGCTGCTGCCCTCGATGAATATTCAAAGGCCCATAATTCAAGCTCGACTACTAAGTAGAATAACCAAGTCTTCGAATTCCCAGCCCTTCTAAGTAATGCCCTCTTACCACAGCTAAAACCTTCGGCGGCTTCAAACTACAAGAAATTATACAGATCATCCCCCTGTGTTGATTCATAATTCATAATTCTTGTAGATTAAGATATATTTTATGATATATTTGTCTTTATCAACTCGAATCAGGCGCATATGCCACAAAGAATATATGTTTCAGCGAGTAGACGGATATATAACTGTATCCTTTAGTAAATACATGTATACTAGTGAAGAATGTAGTCTAAAGAATGTAAGTTAGAAAAGGATAGAAAATAAACGAACAAACATTATTCAGGCGGTACTTAAGGTTCGCAACCTGTATTCAAAATACCAGCCGCCTGAAGCACGCAAGTTATAACTCATGTCGCGACATCGAGGTGTACGTGTTGCACAGAGGCCTACTTGTAGATCAACTAATAATATCTAATCTCATAGTTAATCGTAAAATTCCCAGTGCTGTTGTAATACGTCCACCCAGTCTCCCAGAGGTCAACCCTCATCCCCAAAGTCCCCTCACCGTACCCCTCAGCATCCACGCCGTCGCTATAACTATTATCCCAACTCCATTTCAAATCTCCGTCCGTTCCGTCGAGAACGTAGGTGATCCACCCACTGTAGGTGTAGCTGTCGCCGCTGGGCCATATAGTCCAGGATGCGGAACCCTGGGAGTTAATGTAGTCTGGGGCAGTGTAGCGCCATTCAGATTGATTAAAGCTTTTAGAGCCCCAGGAAAATGTGTGGTATGTTTTGTTCGTGATATTGAAGGTTATGCCTGTTGCAGCGGTGGGGTAGGATCCGAAGACTAGATATTTAGGAGGAAAGTATAATATTTGTCAGTAATTGATTTTCGAGCTAAAAAATATTATAATGAAGAAACAGCAGTAGCATAGGGTAAGCCTTTTTTAAAAAGACTTTGATGTATATACAACCGAATGAGGGTGCGGAAGGGTTGCTGAAGAAGTAATCTTTTATACATACCACCCGCTTTGACTTGTCTTTCGACTTTCGACTCGACAATAACTTCTTTGTCGTTGTCGGTGAGGCTTTCACGATGTGCGGCGATTCCAATTTCTTGTTTCTCTTGTCCGACCTCAACGACGGTAGGCTTGACGACAGTGAGGTCGACGGCACTGGGTTGAAGTACTGCTGCGGTGCTCATGGCTATATATCAAAAAGAAGTATTTAGGATATGTTGTATGTTTTAAAAATTGAATTGCGGTGGATGCTGCTGGTATCAGATCTGAAATCCAATAAATGGGAGCTTGCTGATTGACAGAATATTCTGAAGAACAAGGAGGAAGATAGAGTTCTTATTTATACACTAGGATTCGAAGATGCTGCGACGCAAGCTGTGCCTGTGTTCTAATATTTGGATAATCGAATCGAGCTCATCACCAACTTATCCTATCATGGCCAGACTACGGGTTTCCTATCTAGACATGTCACCATATTGTGCATTCCACTCCGCTTTGTGCGCGCGTACGCTGTTTGAGTATATGTCATGAGATCACAATATTTTTACCGGCCTATATTGCGATAAATCGATAAGAGTATCTAATTCTCTCAGCTGAAAGGCTTCGGACTCAAGGCCCCGTTTGTCGCCATTTGCACGCATCGAAATTCAGAATCCGAACTTCTACGGACCCTAAACCTGGTATTATATTCTGGCCAAAATGTACGATTTGCGGTCTGCATATACAAGCAATAATTCTTGAATCATGCTTGAATGGTATGGTATCTACGTCATATCGTCAATTGAAGGGTACACACATACTAGTCTAGACTTGTTTCATAGGTAGTTCAAACTTTCAAAGTCCAGCTGACCCGATGCACGGAATTCTGGAGTGCATTGACAGCTCGCTTGTACACTCGTGTGGGGACGGGTGGATCTTTTTGATTGTTAGGAGTACTAGTTCAAAAGCCACATACTAACTAGAGGCGTCGTGAATGCTGGACCCTGCGCATCTGCGGGAATGCGTGCTATAGTATGCATATTGGACAAAGATACACTGCCCTCATCTACGCCTATTCTCGAGGCTGACAAAGATGGTCGAATTCGCGAACCGTCGCAATTGGGATATATGTTACCATTCGCAATCGGAGTTGGAATCGGAATCGCGACGGAATCGGAATCGCAATTCATGTCGCAATTGGAAGCCCAAATAATCCCCATAGGTTTATTTTAATATACAAAAATTTCATAACAAGCTACTAAATATCTGTTTCTAAATGCTATAGAAGCAATTGGATAAATCTTATAACTAAATCTATATCCCTCACTTTTAGTACTTTATATATCTGCCTGTTAGCTGCTAACTAGCCCCTGTTGTAATTTCTTCGAATTCCTAACTAGATTTTCCAACATGTGCAACACGATATTGCAATTATGATGTGCATGACAGCTAGACATGACTTTTAATGGGGTATTGGATATCCGGATATGAAGTAGTAAATAAATTTTGGCTTTCCATAAGCGCCTAGGATGAGATAACGGGGAAGCAAGTATCGGATTTGGGATTTTAGATTCGGAGGTTTGGCCAATTTAGGTGTCGCATACATTGGCTGTGGGCCGAAAGTTTGTGGTGGATATTCGCCTTGAATTTGTCATAAGGGTGAATCTATACATCTGAGAGGGTTCTGGAAGTACTGGCGGAATGTAAGCCCTCCTGGCAATCTTTTGGCAGATTAGTTAGCCTCCATCGATCACGTTAAACGATTACACAAAGCTAGGGTTGAGTAGCTATTGCTACCGTTTTGTAATTTGAGGGTATATACCTATCTCAAAAGCACAACTGTAGCTATGAATTCATGAAACATAGTTATTTTGCATGCCCATCGCTAGTTACGCATAAGCTCTGCTCGCTGTATCGTGCGCGTGCTCTTCGCCCGCTCTTTGGTATAGCCGCCTTGATACAATTGACCCTGAGGCCTCATAGATGAAAGATATAAAGTAACGATAGGATTTCCTCCGCGGATACAGTTTCCTGAGTGTTTCGTAAGCATCATGCCTTGGTTCCCCGTAGCTAAAGAGTTCTAATAATTGAACTTACTCCTGTTAGCCTCCTGGAGTTCTAAGAGTAGATGGAGCTGCTCATGAGAGCGCTTCCTAGTTGAGGAGGGTGTACTAGTAGTTCTATACGTATATATACTGAAGTATCGGTAATTAGGTTGGCGTAAGGTTGAAGGTGAGGTTTCTATGGGAATACACGGCCGTGGAGAAGCCGGTAATACAGTATAGATGCCGTCATAGACGTCTACTATCACAGCAGTGATCCGTAAACGGAAATACAAACCCGCTGAGAAAGTTTCCCTCGAAACCAGTTGCACTATTTAAGGAACCTCCTCTCACATACAATCCTCCCTTCCCTCTACTTCTTTCTTTTTCAAACACTCTATCCATACCTTGAAGTTCCTGAGTTACCCTCTCAGCCTCGAAGATTCTCCCCAACCACTTCTCCCACTTGACTCCTCCTCTGACTGTGCACATTCACGACCCCACCTGCAACAATGCGTACTACTCAGGTCTTCCAACTCGGCTTTGCCGTTCTCACTTTCTTCCTCGTTGGCCTTCTCCATGGTGTAACCGTAAGTATTCCCCCAAGCAACTTTTTGGTCTCTTAGAGGTACTAACGGCCGGTCTCAGTACGCTGCTGTCCTGCCAGCCAACAAAGTTGTTGCTGGGAAGAAAGAATTTGTCGACTACCTGACCCATTGGTCGGGTGAAATCATGCCTTTGGTTCCTCTCAGAGTCGAAGGTGAATACTATCCTGGTGGCCCGCTCTACGACTTGCAAGGCAATGGTCTTGACGTAAGTTCTCCAACCCAGTAAATCTCATCCACCAACCCCGTGTTGACAGAATCCCTATAGGCCATTGAATCGCAGCTGCTTGAAGACCCGCGTTTTAACCTAACGGCCTTTGGAAACTCCGTAAGTACTTCCAGCACTTTTCCAAACTACGTCATCAACAAATTTCCACTAACAATCACTGCTTCTCTCCCACAGACTCTTGACTTCACTGGTGAACCATCTGATGGTGAACTGCAGAAACGTGATCGTCAGGTCTACTTGTGTGAACGCAAGCCACGTGATTTCGACGGTATCGTTCCTGAGGATGTCAAGCCTGTCATCGACAAACTCCTAAGACCCCCATGGCAAAAAGCATTCTGCTATGCAGACGCCAATTCTTGCACCTTCTTAGGTTGTCATGGAGAATCTGGGATCTTCCTGTGCAATCATCGCAACACCAACCTCCGTACTCTTTGTGGATCTGCTTGTGGTCGCTTCTCCCTAAATGTGTATAATCGCATGATGAAGGATAAACGGCAACACTCCCTCAAGTTGCCTGCCCACGGTGAGCCTATCTGTAGAGGTTGGAACCTCAACAGTTACAGATACATTGGCTGGTCCTGGCTAGAGAGTGATATGTCCTGGGAAGTTGATCTCATTCCCTATCGTGGCAAACCTTGCCCTTTGAACGTTAACGCTCCTCTTCCTGGCTAAGGAGGTGTTTTCTTTGATCTTCTTTTGCCTGTTCTCCCTCTTTCGTGTACATAGACCTCTTTTTTTTTCTTTTTGCCTAAGGAGCTTAGCTTTTCTTGCTCCCAGAACAGGCCTTTCTAGCGTTTCTTTTCTGTCAATTCTTGATAACGACCACTAATGCCTGTCATGATAATGACTGAATGAACTTTTTTCTTCCCTGAGAGCCAAAGATTGTTTCACCTTCCTGCCTCCCTCTTGCAAAGAAGACGCGTGACGTCACTCATTTAACATTCTCTGAGTATCCAACGTCATTTCTTGTAGGTCTACCATTGCATCCTTCCACCTCTTCCTCTGCTCCCTTCAACCCCTCGTTCAACTCCTTATTTGCTCCCTTCCCCTATAAAGAAGGCAATACCAAAAACGAACATGATTCCCGTAGGTTCATTATACTAGTATCTCCCTGTCGAATCATCTGTTTCAGCGTACAGTATTTCATCAACTCGTCGATGATCTCCAAAGTAAACTCGGTTCAAACCGGTTCCATCAATTTGGAATCCCACCATCTGCGAACCATTTTATAAGGCTGTAAGTGTAGCATATCGATATAAGATGCTTCGAGGATTCATCTGCCACCTGATGCAATTGAAAAGCGGAGAGATATATATATAGGTGTGTATCGGTTTCATAATGTGACCGGAGCAACGGGTCCCACAACTCGCACCTGCTACACCTTGGAGCATTGATGGTACTGAAAATAACGCTTGTTCTTTCTCGGGTCTACTAGCGTCCGAAATTGTATTTTCCATCGTTTCGCCCAGATGGGTAACCAGCTGCTCCGAGCTGGAGAATCACCGATGTGGTGGATATGTTAACCGCTTAGCCATGAGTCCCACAGAAGTATCTAAACCATTTGATTTAGAAGGGTCTCGTTTGTAGTCTGATCATCACCATCATCACCAAAAAAATGATCTTCGAGCAAGCAAATGTCTTCAATGGATCCCATATGCCAGCCCTAGGGTTCTTAGGAAACAACTAAGGCCGTTTCAATGCTGAAAATGGAGTATTCCAAAGTCGAGATCGAGGAATGGTGTATAACAGGTTCGATGAAGGCGGTTCTATTTTCATCCGGCGTTGGGTTTTCAAGATATATATTTTCATTGAGCGTATAAAGACTTGTGTCTGAAGGACATATCTCGTCGAAAGTTCGAGGGAAGAATATTTTTCTTGTTTGCTGCCATGACTTGTTGACCTGTTTGGTGGTTTCATGCAATTGCATTGCATATTCGCAGCGTATGCCCAACATAGAAGTTTCGTTGGGACGGGTCCATTCGACCCGAAGGAAGAATAGAGGAGGCCAACTGGACTCTGCCGGCCGGCCGGCTTTACTTTATATATAAACTTTCATGTGAAATTAGCATCAAGAATTTGCGTAGACTAGATGATATTGTGGTGCCATCCGTTGTCTTCTGCTTTTTTTGACGACTTGAAAGTTCTCCGGCGGCGTAGAACCTTGAGCTCTTTTTTCTTTTATCTCTCTTTTCTAGAATTCTCAGTAACCTCGTGGAAATTAACATTGTGATATCAGGGAAAACCCGCTATGGAAGTGGTTTGATAGGGTTCACATACCGCTTTTACGACCACGGTTGGGTACCGTGAGATTATTGAGCTAGTATTGTCGAATCCATAGGGAAAATACGAGGATATTGCATTCTGTCTGTCTACCACCGCCCCTGCATAGTCTAAATTTCCCTCGGAGGCTCGTCAAACTTGATGTTTCCTGTATTTGGTAGAAGATTGTGGCCCCCTTCTATACGTCTAGACATTGAGTGACCTAAATCCTTGTATAAGAATATTGCGTCAAAAAGCTCATAAAGGATACTTACTAGCTTGGGCGGATCTGGGCAAACGAGAAAGTTGAGGGGAAAGGGACTCGACATGATACACCCATGCTACATGCGCATGTCGATATCATGGTGAGAGCCAAGTCATATTTTTGCTCATTCAGCTTGTAGGTTCGTAATTCAAAGTAAAAGTCGACCCAGCATCATAGTAGAATATTGCCTGATCCTCATCTGTGAAGTCCAACTGGATAAGTCTGTGGTATTTCCAATCAGTTTCCACAAAGACTAATCGAAGGCTTTAGATTAACTAGAATAGTGAGAGCGTGAACATACCTCAAGAACTGCCGCGGTTCAGCAATTGCAGTATGTGAGAACATACAGTCAATTTATAACCATATAATAAACTTAATGGGTATCTCAAGACTCTCAAAATATATAGAATCGTCGAATTTATGATTGCAAGCCGTGAAAAACGCTATAAAGCGGGATAAGTCGAATGCGAGTAGATCAATGAATGTGAATCATGCCTTGTGATGGCGGCAGGACAAGCCAGATAAGTGGCACGATTCATATCTAAATTTTGTTGTCATTGGGGAGCCTCTTTCCTGTGTGTTCATGAATCCCAAGCTTGTTCTCTAATTGCATAGTCTCCAGGCTTAGATCGTTGCAAGTTGGATCCATTTTCAGAATCCATCCGAGCGTATTCTCAAAGTACTACTTCCAATGTTGTCGTCTATCGATTGCGGTTGCTTTTTGTTGGTATATATAATCGCATAGATTATGCCGAAGAAATCAAGTTGGTTTTTGATTTTTATACTTTTGCCATAAAGTTATTGTTTAGTTTTCTTCTCCTGTCTCTTGAAATATACTTATTGGTTTCCAGTGTCATCAGATTTTCGAAAAAAGCCTTTGCAGAGAGCATCTTGACTGTATGAGAATGTAATTGGATCCCTCACTCCATGGGGGGTTTCTAGAAAGGTTGTGTATAATCGTAGCTGACTGGAACACATCCAGTAAAAAATTTATGTTTCCCTAGATGCCTCTGCGTTATGCCCCAGAGCACTTGCCTTGGAACAGGATTGTCCAAATCCTTGGAACAGCGCATAGAGTTGTCATTTGGTTTGTCCGAACTTGTTGCGTATCCGAGCGCGCGAGGTCATTGGTGTATTTTCAAGTATATCTGTCTAGAGACCGGTGGCTTGTATGGGTTCAAGGGCCGGAGGATGCGCTCTTTTTCTGTAATTCTTTTGGTGGCTTATCATCGTACGCCCGTTATCTTCTCCAAAACTTCATGCTTCCGGGACGACTCCGCCGGCATGTATAACACTCCGGAGCCCCCGAAGATGACTTGCACCTGGCGCGTTATAGGTGGGGATGTTATAACCTGATATGCCACGACTAATTTCTTTCGATTAGCCCATGAACTTATGGTTCCCGTGTCAGACTGTGGAACATACCGGAAACAAGGTTGTGCGACTATGCCAAAGGTTGAAAATCTTTTCGGTCATGACTCTTAGGCATTCGAAATGTAATGCATCCGAATATATATACCCCTATCGGAAAATGAGCCATGCTCAGAGAGTTCACTGTTTGTCAAGTGTATATCATGACGAGTGTTTATGAAGTTGCAGGGGCTAGACGACGTGTCAATGGGGTCGGTCGATATTCGCCGATATGAGAATCTAGAGATCCGAATGTTTCGAGAAGAAGCTGTGAGTCGAGGTGTTTTAGGTCTTCCTGTGAGACCGGCTCCTACAGACCATATATATATTAGTGCTGATAAAATTGTATATGATTTTGGGGTAGTCTTGTAGCCAGAAGCTTACTTACCGGTCAAAGCTTTTCCGAATTGTTCTCCTCAGATCCATAGAACTGGTACATCATTATTCAGTTCAAAGCTTTTTTCCCCTTTAGTCTTTCGATGTATTCGATAGTCAACGTTGCAAAATAGGGGCCAATGCAATCTTGGACGAAAACAAAGAGAATGATGTGCCATGGATTCAACAGTCGTCAAAGTTCCCGCCGTAGGTCGATGACTTGAAAAAATCATAGAAGAGCCGTCAGATAAGGTTTCTGAAGAGAATTTGCTGTTATGAAGCATTGATAAGGAGCTGGCGGTTTCCACACTTAATTATAAGCGTATATGCTTTTGCGCATTCTTTTATCATGGTATCAGCGCCATGATACCACGCGCTGATTACGTTCCACCCTTCGTTGAAAAAAAGACCGTAAAAACCATCTGACGAGATCATCCAGTTAAATTTCAGCCCGATGACTTAACGTCGTAATAACGCAAAACTCCTTTGCACTGTCTGAATACGAGACTACGTCGTAATATCAATTCAATATCAAGTCATGTGTGGTTTCGGTGCACAAACATTAGCTGTAGGGGATCGAAATCTGTTAGCACATATGTACTGAGTTCGACACTTATGGCAACTTACATCCACCTCTTTCCTTTTAGGGTTGTAATATAAATTACCGTAGAAATATCTTTTTCAAGTCCTACCATAAGTAGAAGCATAATGTCCCACCACAGAATACCCTGTCAGTAATTTTTGATAACATGGGAGTTCAGGAACCCCATTTTTGAGCTGCCAAATTATATACATAAGATCATGGAGATGAGTCGCCGTTTTTCGTCAGTCGTTAGGAACCAAGTCTGCCTACCAGAGGGTGGGTTCTATATATATTCGTAGATACTAGCATAACCCTGCGACCCTAACGCATGTATTAGAATGGATTATGATGTGGTGGTTTGGTTATTGGTACTTACTTACTAGTCTCGAAGCCAGAGTGAGTTTGGACACGGTCGTGTTAACCTCCCATGATGGTGGTATAAAACAACTAAAGGCCTTCAGCCTGGTCTCCACATTGACTTATGATTTCAAGAATCTCGATAGCAATGAAAGTTTCTCGCTCTTCCATTACCATTAACCCTTCAGTCTAGCCGCCGTGGCCAGGAATTAGGTGTTAACATGTTTTCCGATCTCATTTGGATGTTAACACCTTAAAGGCTCGAAAAGGTTCGAAAGGTTCTCGATATTGGGGTAGCAGTATACGTATTCGGCATAAGAAGGGACCAAAAATTTTCAAGTGTTTTTATATATATAGTGACCGGCAGTGAATAGAAAGAGAAAGGAAGTCAAGAAATGATTCGGGGGGGTGGGACCTCTTTAAATAGGCAGATAACTTTCCACGATTAGTTGGACTCACGATCTGCGTGCTGGCGCTTGCACGAGGTATCCAGGCAGTTCAGGACACTATAATTACATTCCGGAACCCTCTGAAAGCGTGCCCCGGATCATACTGGAAGTTTTTATAATGGGAACATTGAGCTCTCCTAGATCACAAAGAGTAGTATCTAGCGCACGCATTAGTATATTTCATCACTAACAACCAATCAAGTACTAACGCTCTTCGGATTTTAAGACAAGAGGGTATATATAAGGAGTAATTTGAACAGCATTACCAAAAGCAGGAAATCTTTTGAGCATACATGTACATACATAGCTTCAAGACTAGTACACACACATAACTATAGAATAGAACACACTAGCCAATCCAGAAGTTTCCCGAATTCTCTAGGCAGACTTCACTTAAAATCCGTATGTTTTAAAATTTACCACTTGTACATCCAATTAGAAATTCCAGAACCACCCACAATCAAAATCTCCTCCTCAACAAAACCAGCCTCACACGTTAAGTATCCTAAAATCGAAGCGGATGATACATCATGAGAACGAACCACAGCCTAGTTGTGAGAATTCGAACGAAACAAGGCACCATCACGGAAAAAAAATCCAACACCCAGCCCGCGTTGCATGTCGTCAGGTTAAAGCGAATCAAGGACACAACCTAATGTTGGCCCAACATAGCTGACCAGGGCACCGGCTATCTCGGAATCCCAAACCCTTAAGCAAAAGTAGACAACCTATTGGTTGTTTAAGTTATCAATCTTACCACCGATTTGATCAGTACTGTGGTGCGTGTCTAACTAAATTTAGTAACGTTAATACGTTACAACCCCCACTCTATACATATCACCCTACACTACCTTTAGATGGGGGCGTGCGCTCCAGCCAGCCAAAGATTTACCGACATTGGGATTTATCTAGACGTCGATTTAAAAAAGCTTACTTCTAGTGTTAATTCTGAACCTTAGGTAAAATGAATGTATATATAGTATTCTAAAATCTAGCATCTCAAAAACACAACAAACAATGAATGCTAAGTCCACTAACAAGCTAATGAATCCTCCCAGTTTCCCCCCACCATAACCCATTAAATCTTCTCTACAGAAGTCTATGCTCCAACGATTTGTCTATCACCCTCTATGCGTTTGAACACCTCTAAAAATCCCTAAAATATCTATCGCTCCAACTCGCCGCATCCCCTTCAAAGCTGAAGCCTCCAAAATGAACATCGTCCTCCCTCTTCCCTGCATCCCTGCCCCACCAGCTACTCCTAGTAATAACAGGGCTGAAGCTCGCCTCTGTAAATTCAGTGGCAAAGTTCTCGGCCATGGCGGGGTCGGTAATCAGTGGTGAGATTGGCGGTTCTAATTCCCGACGCTCCAATTTCTTCCAATCGATCTTGCGGAAGAATCTGTGCTTTTGGATAGTGGCGAGGTCCTGCGGCATTTTGTAGCCTAGGCGTTTTGTTGGCTCTTTGCGTAGAAGCCGTGTCAAAAGGTCCTTGGCGTCAGGCGACAGATAAAAAGGAAGTTTGAGCTTAGTTTTATTAATCTTATTAAGAATTTGTGTATTATTTTGTCCGGCTATGGAAAACAACTAGCATCAGCATCATGGGTTTGGAGAGAAAGAGCTATTAGATAAAACTTACGGAATGGAGGACTCCCCGTGAGCAAATCAAACAACAAAGCCCCAAGACTCCACCAATCGACCTCGAACCCGTATGTCTTGCCCTCCAATACTTCGGGTGCCATATATTCTGGAGTACCGCTAAGGCTCTTGCACCTTGCACCATCTTCAGCAACCTTGCTCAGCCCAAAGTCCGTCAGAAGTAGGTGGCCTTGGGAATCGAGGAGACAATTCTCGGGCTTCAAATCGCGGTATACTACGCCCACATTACGGTGTAGGTGATCGAGAGCGAGAATTATTTCTGCAGTATAGAATGCTGCTGTATCCTCGGGGAAAATCCGTTCGGCAGCGAGATAGTTGAAAAGTTCGCCGCCTTGGGCATATTCGAGAATTAAGTAAAGCTTTTGATGGTCTTGGAAGGCATAAAATAACTTCACAACGAATGGATGACGAACAGATTCAAGAATTGTTCGTTCGTTCTTGGTCTGTTCAATCATCCGCTTGTGAACTTTGATTGAGGCCTTCTTAAGCTGCTTCTGCGCATAGAGGCGCCCGGTCGCCCGGTGTCGAACAAGTATGACAGTACCGAACCTTCAAACACGTTAGCACAATCGTAGTTTAGATCAAAAATAGTGTATACTTACGTTCCCTTCCCAAGCATCGTGAGTGGTTCAAAATCTTCAGCACACATCTTGCGTCTATCGGGTACAGGGGAGGTTTGGCCGATCGCGATCCCGTTAGTTGAGCCCTCTTCAACATCGCTATGTTGTCCACTACTAGTTGGCGATTTCTTTGATTTTGCATACGACGATACAAAGTCATGTTCCAGCGGGATTTCATAGGAATCATCTGGTTGCCCATCCGAAGAGTTCGAACTGCAGTTATGAAGAGAAAGCTGATTGGCCAACTGCTCCGCTCCGAACTTAGTGTTAAGCGTAAGCTGTGGAATCTGGGCGGCCATGCTAGCCTCTCTCAATGACGTTGATAGAGAAGACACGTTTGACCGAACGGGAGCCGGTGAAACCCCGCGCTTCATAAAGATAGGAGAAGTATGAGGGCTGTTTTCCTTCTTAAGGTCTAAGGAAGGCACCTTGTCGGTAGCTTTTAAAGTCTCAACCCTACGAGGTGCCAGGGCTGGCGACTCCTCCGTAATTTTAAGAGGCATAGGAGGCGCTGGCGACCGAGAAGCGTTTTGTTTACTCTTCTTCTTCCGATCTTTCCTCTTGCGGCTCTTGGACCTTGATTTCCTATCTCCATCATCCACAGCAAGAGAGTCAGCGTTGGTAGGTTTGGCAGCTCTAGACCTATCCTCCTTCTCGGTTTCGACAGCCGATCCATTGACGATGGTTCCTGCCTCTTGATCGACGAAAAGGAGTGCTCGTTGACCTTGAAGGACGACACTCGAGCGTCGCCTATGCGCTGGAGGTTGTGTTTGGGTAGATTTAAAGACGCTCGCTGTGCTGCTTGTGACAGTGATGGATCTTTGAGTTTCCTTCTGAATTGTAGTTGTCATGGTAGTTGTCGAAGAAACACTTGCGAATCCAGGGGAAATCCAACTGTCATCATTAACTGAAACTCGGTGCTGGGAAGAACTCCCATGTTGAAAATCCGGGTCTACGGCGTCGAATTGGAACATTTTGGCAACCAAAAACCCCTCGGTATGGATTAGAAAACACTCGGTCCCGCCGATGTCGATGTCAATGCTGTCGGGTCTAGACCCCGATCTAGGGAGAACCGCCGAGAAGGCGGGGGAACCACGGTACCCTCAAAGCCGCAGCTTCCTCCGTATATATTCAAATATTAAAATAGAGGTCTAAGACCCCTTCTTTGCAGTACTCAACCCCAGTAATACTTGTACACAGGAGGCGCCGTTGATCAAGGTGCAAGGCGCCGTACCTTGGTAATTGCAAAGAATAGGAGGAAGCCGCCTCCGGTGAAGAGGGACGAAGCAAAGACTGGAACGGAGACCGAGGAAGAAATGTTGACGCCCATAAAGTGCAGATTCGTCATATAGAGATGTACTGGGTACTTGCGAAGGCTGTTGTATGCGGTGAATAGGTCGCTAGGTCGCTGAGAACTGCGGTGATGATGATGGTTTGTGGGGGATGAGAAGTGAAGAATGTTGGACAGGAAAAGTCAACTTAAAGAATGCCCGCCCACACAAATTATTTTTTTTTCAATTCTTATTTTTCTTCCAGGCTATTTTTACTCCACTTCTGGCTTCTCGAGCAAACAAAAAGGCATTAACAAAACGGCATCCGACAAACCACAAACCGAGTGAATCGGAACAAGGAAGCGGCGAACCTGGCAGGACGACCAGCTGGCTCCACCGCAACCTCGCATGCTACATCCTGCAACTGGCTGCTGGTCGATGCCTTTCATGCGGGAATACGGGACATCTGGCACCTGCCCTGGTGGTCGTATATCCCTCAGAGTCAGGTTGTGGAGAAGCTATTACCTACAAAACGGCTAGACATGGCCGAATCTCTAGCGATGGCTGGGACCAAACATCCTTCCGGAATTAAAATTTATAAGAGTTACAACATCGATTCGATTCTCTGACAAAACTCACAAGGTAGGACCGTGGCCCTGCGATTGTCCACCATTGGCTGCGTCGGTTCACCTGATCCAAATCACTAGTTTGTCCAAAAATGGGCGGTTACCCGATCCAGCACACGAACCGAATTCACAAGGATGCAGCGAAACTCGGGTTCAGGTTGGAGTTGGTTGATTCGATTCGAGTTATCGATAGTAGTTCTTTTTTAAAAAAATAAAAAATAAAAAAAAGTTCAGATGAAACTGTAAAGAAAGTTGGTTATGACTTTCCCTAGAAGAGGACTTGGTAAAGACATATTAGCTTATTTATTTAACCTAGCTGAGGGACCAGTCTGCCAATATCTAACCTGGACTTGTAAAGCTTTCCCTTGCTGGCTTTGAATATATTCGTTGATTCAAACGGAGCAGGCAGCGAACTGCTACAAGAGCAAAGCCTCCCGAAAATGATGTTCATGCTCACCAGCAATATGGCGCCACAAGCCCAGATATCCATCCGCAAGCGTGGAAGTGAATTCACAGGGTTTGACTGGACATTTGAAACCATCAAATGAAGCAGGCCAAGGACGAATAGCACGGCTTCTAATGGACTCCATTGAGTGGGTTGCCTTGTGCTCGTCTAGTTCTGCCTTAGTTGTGTAGCTGTTAAATCGGAGCCGTCAGCTTTCAGCCCTATCCAGCCACAAATTAAATTGAACCAGATCATGAAGAGCCTTGAATACATCTTGATTCGACTTTCAGGGGTTCCCATTGCATCTCGGACGCAGATTTCGCAATGTCCGAATAAACCAATAGATCTATCACCCATTAAAACATCCTATAAAACATTAAATTTACCGTTGTCAGTACTGATACATACAACTCAGGTGGACTTTTCACGGGTATGTAATGACAGTACTTACGGTAACGTCAACCTGGTGAACATCTGTAATTTTCGACATACTGACGATTGGTCAAATTTCGAGGAAGATACTGGAAAGGGTCTCAAAATAGCTGGTTGGCAGTTTTATCAATGCAATCCGTGAAGAGAGAGAGATGGTAGTTGTTCTCAACTCTCTGTCACCTTGTTGGTGTCAGGTGTAGTTCCAACACAGAATTCCATACATCTCAGAGATGGCTAGTACTATAATACTATAGCCAGTGTATACGTGTATGTAATAGAATCCAGCGATTTTTCAACCACAAAGGATCTTAGATATTTCCAATCAGATAGACTCCATAGGGATAATCAAAAATATATATATTCTGAGGGTGATATCGGAAGGTTTTTAATGTATATTTTGGAATTTATTATCATACTTTCGTTAGTTTAGTCTCGGGACGATCCGGTCCCGTTTGATCGAAATTTAACCTCCTTGACTTAGGTATCGTAAGCTCCTCTAAGCACCTTTTGGGGTTTTCGAATATATATCTTGTTGGGCGACGATAGTTATAGACTAAAATATTGTAAAATCCCAAACATCAGTCCGATCAATAGATCCTCATATTCTAGGACTGGCAATAGTTCATTATAGCAAGAGTTCTGCCAATTCATAAACACAATATTGGATATTTCCCCTTCGTGGAAGAAGGTCATAGCTGTATACGTAAAAGCGAATTTCATCCAAAATCCAGAGATATCACAGACTTGATCTATATAATTTAATAATTTAGGATTGTGATGCGACGACCGCTTGGCCGTGCGAAAATGCATGCCCTCAAATATTACTTCGTCCTACGGGACGCCCATGGACCGGTTTAATACGAGTGCCACCCTCGAAAGAGCTTTTTGAAAAGGATGTACACTATGAAATTCAATCTACATCTTCTAAAAGTTTCAAGGTATGTCTTCAATATCATAATTATCTCTATCTAGATCTATAGATATCTTGACGAAGATATATAGCTTTCTTTAGATTTATAGATAGCAATATTATATAAATGGGGTAGTATGTTCATGTTCGAGGCAAGAAAAAAGTCACTAGAATCGATCACTTCTACTTCTGGGTGTGATTATGCCTCCGCTGAACCACCAGTAAATACCTAACCTTGATCAATCGAACCGCCCTGTTAATTATTCGATAAAGTGCATATCTATATGTATCGGTTGCTACTCTGTATACATGTAAAGATAACAGTATTCGCCCACGACATCATGCATACCCAGGTTATATATGAAATCGTTCTTTTGCAATTGTGAGAATAATTTGCTATCGAACCACACATCTCAGATATCAATCGATCATGACTATGATCCGCATCTGTGCTAAATTGCATTATTTATATATCTTGAAAATTACAGAATAAATGTCCCCTAAAGCATTTCGCAGAAAATTGATACATAAATCAAGCCTGCTATAGAAAGGAGGGCAGTCATGTAGTCTGCCTTATTATCGCTGTATCTTCAGATACATTCCATTCAGTCTGCCCGTTCGAACGGTCGGTTTTATATCCGCCAGCTATTTGACAGTATTTCAATTCAAGTTGGGGTTAACAAAATTTAAAAATATTATTGTTCGGTCCCAAATGTCTTTTAAGAACGCTAATGGCGGCAGCGATTGGATATATAATGAGACTGGCGAGTTTTCCACAGAGAGCCATTCGTATAGCCGTCTGGCACAATGGCTCCTGAATTGGTTTCTCACTTAGCGAACAGCTGAGCCGTCTGGCGAGCTGGTCAATGATGACCGCAGTCATCCATCTGAGGCCCCGAGTCTTTGATGATAAGTCATTCTTTTAGGTCTGACATGACACGCTAAGCTTCTCTTCATAATTCCAGATGTTTAGGGTCTAGCCACAATATATACCCGAAGTGGGTCGGCCGGCCGCTTCGACTGATTACGATTGATCACCTAAGGATCCGAGTGCTTGTTAACCTTATAAACCATGTTCTCAGCGGGCCCCAATGCGCAATTATGCGATAATTAGGGCAAGTATACCCATTTTGGCCTTTCGGCTTCTTCGGCTTATCAAACGTGGGGGTAAATATAGATATCGATCGACGGTCCAGGCCAGGCCAGTGATAATATTTGTCTATGGCGTTCAAAGTTTAGACATCAAAGTTCCAACGTATACTTGACTACTCGTCTATATAAATTTATTGTATATAACCAATTCCTGAAGAAAGTTTTGTAGATATCGGGCTTGGGTAATGATATATAGGATTGATGTATTTAATATATTATAATATAATTGAGCGCTTCAGCCCTAAAGAAGTCGTTTGGATTAAACCCGAGTTCAACCCAAGCTTAAGAATTCCGAACAGAATATAAATATTTTAATGTCTTGTTTAATTGCGCTGTGACGCGGCTTGGATCGGGGGACAATTCCCCATTAGAAATGCCTCGCAAATTTATACATTTAGCTATCGACTTGTTAATATTGGCCGCCATGCACGGCCATGTGGTTGGCCCTGCTGGGTATCTATAAGCCGGCTGTGTCGTTTTTGTTAGATCTGACGTCCGGCTTTACAATGCAATGAGATGGTCATTGCATAGATTGTCTCGTTGTCGCCTTTTCGAGACTCGACCAGTACTTGTTACTAGCTGTGATAATCGGCCTCGGAACTCGACAGCTTGCGAGGGACCAATTTCCAGGATACCTTCCAGTCATGAATATTCCCTCGAGCAATTACCTTACATCGCAAGCGTCGGCACTCATCAAGGCATTAATATTAATGCCTCCTCACCTGAGCTTAGCTTCGTGAATTTGAAGGCCCTGAGCTCAGGTCTCTTTCTGTCTCATGACACAGATTGCAACACTTTTCTCATTCGCCGGCCCTTCGTGGTATAACGGAAGATATTTAGTTGAAAGGGTTGTTATTACATCCAAATTTCTTGAGAAGTATGCTTCCAAATGCAAGCACGGACGCAATGGGGGGCCTGTCGATCGCAGTCGACGTTGGGAATAGGCATGTCAACGGAGTTCGCCCGTTCTAGGTGCGGTGAAGCTTAAGTCGCCAAAAGAACGACAAGGTTCCGACGGTAATGTTTGACATTGTGGACCAAAGCTGGAATTGTATTGGAAGATACTTACAAAATGGTAGTGCTTGCGGGAGGGTGCCCGGGAGGAAGGGAGGGTATATTGATATACATAGAGATCTGGTGTGCATATATCATCTCATCAGTATTAATGCACTTATAATTATGACCAACGGTTTTTGGGTCGCGATACTAAGTTACGAGAAGTATTGGGGTTCTGGTATACTTTTAAGCCTGAGATATACACATATACTTGAAAGTACTAGACCCCTGATATACTTGAAGTCCCAGGGGAAAAATTCGCAGACTTGAAATGTACAAGTACTAACATGCGAACGAGTAGAGCAAGATCCCTAGTAGTTGCAATTTTCAGAGACCGTTAAGAATAAAAATCCTGGACTGTGGAGGAGTACATCGAACTTAAGGAGAATTCGTACTCCTTTCAAATGGATCGGCTCGACAAGGAGTGTGCATATGATAATAGTATTGTTCTGAGCGTAATACTGTATACCTTCTATTATCCCTTGTAAACTCCAATTCTTCGATCGAGGAACGCCCGTTTATCCTCCCTTCGATTCATGGGTACATCAATTCGCCATGGTACCACGGCACCGAAATAAGTAGAATCTGTATTATTATAGTATATCCTCGGGGACCCCGCGACCCATTAAGAATGATCAAATGACTGGAAGTTTCTGATGAATAATTTTAAACCGCAAAAGCTAAGGTTCGGGTCTATATCCCCAAAGCGTATTCGCCGTTCGATGGATAACATGACATCAAGCTAATATATATGCCTCTGGCGAGCATTTGCAACATAAATATAACCCATAGTGTGAGATAGGCTTCTTATTCTGGAATATGTTCGGATTGCCCGTGATTTTTGTCCAACTCCAGCTGAGTTTGGTCTAGACGTCTGTGGACTAAGAATCCTTAGTCGCAATCGATTCACGGGCTCAAAGAGTAGTGTATATCGTCGAAGTCTATATAACAGAGGTTATCTTCTAGCTTATGTTTGATCTCACCATCCTCACAGCAGATATTCGAGACCTTCTAGTTTAACATCAATATTACCGCTTCGCTATAATTTCTACTCTTTAGAGTCATCTGATCTCTATATATCATAATTTACATTACAAGTTCTATAAACCATGCGTTGGATACTATCTTCACTATATGCTATCGGGTGGTGTGCTTTCGGGGTGTCGAGTATCGCCATCCCGAACATCAATGCACTCGCCGAAGGCATCAACATTGAAAAGAGACAGTTGACAAGTAAGTTCGTTCAGAATCACGAAGCAGGATACCTGAAAAACCACAGGCCAATCTAACCAGTATTAGGTGTTCCCGAAAACTCGTACCCAGTGAAAAGCGCTTTCGTCGGAACTGCTGGTAATTGGGCGGTATGTTTCACTTCCAATATATAGCACTGCCATAACTATATTCGTTACATAACCATAAACCTAACATTTATAATAAATAACAGAAATTCTTCTTCTCCACTGACAATGGAAAGCTATACATGGGAACCTGGACAAACACAGCGCCGTCGCTTGCATATGGCTACGAGGAACTTCTTCCCGCGGGTAGCGTTAAGGCTAATACTCCGATTGCTTCCACTATGTGGGATTTGAATGTTTCCGTTGGCTCTGGCCTCGGCTGGACTAATGCAGACAAACGAGCTCGTGTCTATTATCTTGACTCAAATGATATTATCCAAGAGCTTATCTATGGTGGTGGCACTGCTGGTTGGAGTGCTGGTACCATCGGCGCCTTGAATATTGCCACCTCTGGAACAAATGGCATGAGCGCTATATCCTTCAAACTCAACAGTGCCGAAAGCGTCAGGTTCGTAGTATATCTCAAATTCATTTCGAGGAAAACGTTTTCTTGTCCTAATCATTTTGTAAATTTTACATAAACAGTGTTTACTATGCCGAGTCATCTGGAGCCGTCAAAGAAACCACCTGGACTGCGTCCGGAACCCCCCAGTGGACCACAGTAACAGTCGCCTCCAGTGCATCCGCTGCATACGCCTTATCCCCAATCACCTTCGTCAACACGAACACCTGGTCCGCAGCCGCGCCCTCCATCCGTGGATTCTACGGTAGAGCTAATACCATCCGTGACGTCGCCTGGGATACCACCTGGTCTACTGGCAACGTCGCACAATCATTCATCGACTCCACCGGCTCCACCAACGGGGGCTACTCATTCTCCGCTTCAGCATGGAAAGTCGACGCCGGCACTCCAATCGTTCACCTATTCTGGTGCGGTGATGGTGCTGCAGCTGGTACCCTTGGAACTGTTTATCGGGCACCGTATAATATCACAGCTAAGACTTTGGGGGCGTTGACTGCTATTAGTTTCACACAGGCACCTCATAGTTTTATTGTTACTGGTGCTGGTACAAATGTGGTGACTCCTCCTAATGGGAACCATTTGTTTGCTTGGGGGAACAGTACCGGTACGCCGGCTTTTTGGCATTATAGACTTAATGGGGATTCGGCTCAGTTGGCTCTTCATTGAGTTAAGATCCTGAGGCCTGGCGACAGCATGCTAGAATTCACACATCCATGAGTTCACTAGAATACATCCGAGTACTTTATATCACAGTGTTAGATAATATCACTTAACTGTACAACAATCGCATTGACCGCCTCTTAATTTAATCTCAAACGAAACACTCCCAACGTTGCGACTGTGTTGTATACGTTGCATTCCACACCACCAGTGAGCTTAAAAAAAGGAAAACTTTGTGTTCGACAGGCCTTTGACTTCAACTATAAGTTAAGCGACCGACTAAACTTCTTGGAACCTCGCCCTAATAGCAAATGGAAAAATTGGAATCGTGATCAGGCCATTATATGTTCCCGTGTGCACAGATAAAAAAATTTTCATTTCATTTCGCCAATTTGAACGTTGGGTAGACTCTCGTATTCAGTTAGTATACTGTTGGGTTTTGACATGCATGTTGGCTCTCACTTCTTTTCTTCCGCTTTACTTGATAATTTAAATTTCAAAATTCATCTCTCCGTTTCTCCGAGCCATAACGATTTTCGTTAAACGACATTACGTTGGGCGTTCTACAACATGTTGGCGTCTGCATCCGTTGGCGGTGGATAAGTACTAGTTGAGTTCGAAAAGTTTGGTAACAGGTAAAAAGCCAACGTATGCGTGCGTGTATATGCATATATGGCGCCGGGTGTGTCGGGATCCAATGTCGAATTTCGGTACACTTTTTTGAAGCCACTGTCCAAGATAGTATCGGTTATGAGAGTTAGGTTTTAATCCTCGGTTATGACGAAATTGGGAAGTCAAATTTTATATTTCGGGGTACCGCGCGTGGTATCTTGGATGCCGTGGGCGCGTGGCAGTATATTACCTTTAGGATAGAGGGATCCAAGAATAATCACTTACCTCTGAATCTTAGATGTTGCGATTGGTCTAGTAATTACGTTCGCGTTAAGCGCATGGTTTATGTTGAAAATCAAACTGGTTTCGATTGGAAGGTCGAAGTTGTCCCAATTAGAAGATCCGAATCTAGATATACATCTAGGGATGTAACTTCTGATGACCATGGTACTAGCGCCGAAACCAATCACTCGAGATCTTGGGGGAGACCAATAACTCGGACAAAGGATTAATTTAATGCCGATTGGAGATATCCGATTTGAATCAATGAATTTGTGAATCAGACAAATTCGTGGAATGCTGACAAGAAACTCAAAATCACATGAAAATCGACCAATTTTATAAATTTACACACCCACATTACTAGACTAAACCAAGGAAACTCGTCAAAGATATGAAGATGTCACTAGATTGCGAGGATTCAAAATCCGAAACGGATCTTTATGACATTCCTCTCGACAGGCCTTAAACCAATTGCAAAGGTCCTAAATACAAATGCCTCTTATGATCCATCTCAGCCCAAAATCTTATAAGCGAGAAGCAGTTCAAGTATTACGCTAGACATGATCAAAGGTACTCATGGCTCGATTCTTTCTACGTAGTACATCTGCACATTCAGAGCATACGCCACTTTAATGGCGCTTCACATCACCTTCAGCGTTATCGGCAAGCGGCAAAAGATCAGCCAATCTATTGCCGAAGAATCCGGACAATTCGCTGTCGAAGTATTGCTATTTCCGATTTTTTGCGGAATCAGCACGATCGTGAGTTGTCGTAATCAGTGTCGAGGTGGCTGATATCAGCCAGAGGCAAGTTGAAAGCGGGGAAGCAGTGTGGAGACCGTTATCAAGTTGACCGGAAGGAATACCTTATAATATCATTCTAGAGTTTAAGTTGTCGATAGCGATGCTGGTTGTGTAGGGATTGTCGTGATATCGATATGTGAAACCTTGTAAAATCAGGATTTACTATAGCTACATAGCAAGTATACTAGGGTACTTGTAAATCGCTACGTCCATTGAATTTTACTATATTAATACTACAACCATTCTAAGAGTATTGATATATTGTAGAAATGAGATTCCCGATACGATGGTATTCTCAGCCCATTGACGGAGAGTTTGAAAATGTTCGATACCTTAAATGATATCATATCATGCTTTTTTGACCTTTGTAATTTCGGCCCTCTCCTTTATGTTTCTCCATCACGACCCAACGTTCCGAGACCCCAACAAGTCTCAGGGGACCGGCAACATTTATCATCCCGAGTCTAATCTCAACGGCCTCGCTCGGATGTTCTAGCCAACGTTCGCGTTCATGATTATCGTCGCTGGGACAATTATTTCAATATAGCGCTCATGAACGTCTGAGCTGAGGAACTCTCCAGACTTGAGCGTAACGTGCACTCCATATGTTAGCACACAATTATAAGGCTCAGGAACACACAAAAAACTTTCAGCAAGGCGAACCCACACCGGACCCACTCAGTTTTCTTCTCCTCCACCCCCTGCTGGGGGGAGATCAATCGGGTGGAGCGACCGAATAGGAAATTCCATGGAACAAGTTCGAAAATCCCACATCGGTGGCTGCCCGCATTGCTTTGGCCGTTCCCCAGTTCTTAATCTTAAGATTGCGTTGAACAAGGGCATGGTTCTTCCAAAGTACCGGGCCGGGATCATAAGTAAAGGAAATTAAGGCTGATCGAAAAAAATTCTCTCCTAAATTTCGGATTGAGTTGACCGACTTGTGGTGTTTTCGCCCTATGGATTCGTGAAGAATGGTCATTGAAGGTGCGGAAAATATTTCCTGCAGTCGCCGAGTCATACATGTACACGTGTACGGCGGCAGCGCTGGTAATGATTAATCATTATTAACTGTGGAGTGTCTACGGGGGCTTATGAGTATGGGATAGAGAGCTCTGGAGATGTGATAACCTATTATTCCGGTCGTGTGCAATGCAATGAGTTCAATGCACAGTACTAGTTCGATCACACTGTATGTTGAAGTTAATTACATACGTGTGCATGCGTGTGATCATTCAATATTGCCCGATCAAGATCACGATCACATAGCCAAAATGTTGGGACCTGGGGTCGAAGGCTAAGAGGGAACAGAAAATATCTTAACAGAGAGACTTAAGAGAGGGAAGAAGAAGTCTGAGCGTTTTAAGCACGCAGCTTCCAAACGTTCTTACCAATTCCTCGGGTACAGCATGCAGAAAACGGGTTCCTGATCTCCGCCGAACGGGGGCTAATTCTCCTTGAAACGAAACAGGCCGGGGCCAAGCTCTTCGTTTCGTCCAGGAGGCCAGGAGGTTCAACTTTCCCTCGACATGCCAGATCTCGTATAATTTTCGAGGTTTGCTCTGCCACGGGAAGAAAAAAGTAACATCATAATAATGATTAAGTATACATCTACGAAAATTTGCAATGCAAGCAAAGCATGGCAGCGCAAATCTCGAACTTCTGTGGCTGTGGTTTCTCCTTTAACTCGCCTAACCTTAGAATGTCGACGTGCACGACTCAAAACCGTTAAATCTGGCGAGGGAAAGCAAAAACCTTGGGCCGAATAGGTCTAGCCACGCCTCCTAGTGCTTCTAGCCCGCCCTTTACGTACGATGGCCTCCATACGGACGGCCTGTATCCGGTCCCTGCCTAGATTCCCCTTCTCTCTCTGTGTTCTTTTTTTTTTTTTTTTTTTTTTCACATTTGTTGCATTGTCGCCTTGCAACATTAGCATCGATTAAGGGTACTACGGCCACGGGCGGCTCGAAAGTTTTTTGATTGAACATATGCATGTAATATTATATATCCCAACATCGTAATCGGTACCTGATTTTGGATTATCATTAACAAAAGTGTTAAGGGTTGGGAGTAAGCCGCAAGGTAGGTGGTATTAGACTTCGTCATACGTCAATCTTATTTGCAATGGAGAGAGGTACATGTACACGTACTTTATAATGTGATATAGACGAGACAACTGTCTCAAAGCTAGAGACTTCGTTGAATCGGTCGATTGAATTCTGTAGGTCAATGCTTTCGAACGCGGCTCGAGGGAAGGGTTATCCCCTGATACTTAGATTCCAGGCTACGAAAACTTTCCCACTGGCATATTGTGGCTTCGATTGTGTATCGATAGATCACATCGAAGGAGAAAGATGCTAGACCACTAGTATACCACGGAGTGCATGTAGCTGCGGCACACCTGCAGTCGACTACTCCTTCCTCGGACTCCTCCTCGGAATACGGAAACATGCTACCTTGAATTTGTCTCTCTCTGTCACCAAACCCAACCGAAAAATATATGTTCTCTGCAGAAAATAGTAACAATCGAAATAACCCCCGCTGAAGAGAGGAGAAGCCATATCGCAGCGCGGCGTTAACAAAGTCTATGTGTACCCTATTGCAATTGCAATTGCATGGATGCATATGATATGAATACCTAATGTACCCCATTCTGGGCCTTCCTTTAATTACTCTAGATAATTCTCAAGATTTCTTTCCCCAGTTTTTTGTTTGATTCTAGTAATCAATAATTTTTGCATATCCAGTTAATTCTATCATTCCTTTGTCGTCGTCGTCCAATAATTACGCACTCGCTTTTTTCAAATCCGGCACCAAAAACATTGTTTCCAATCCAGTAGCAGAATCCAAATTTCATGACTTCGAATTCGCTTTCGTTAAAATTTGACACGGATTCTGAAGTTATTCTGCTCCCGCCAAGTATCGAATTCCGGCCTGCCTAAATAGAGAGAAACAATAATAATAGCAATCAGTTCATTATATGATCGTGCGGATTGCCAACAGTGCAGCATCGACTCCCTGCAAACTCCTCCTTGTTAGCCGACGGTACCAAAAAACAGCCCAACAACCCTATTGATCCAGCAATTAATTTCACGCGGGTCAGTTCACAAGACCATTGTGAGGAAATTATACCTTGCAGATATACCGGTATATCGATCGTACATACATAAATACGTTCATTCGACAATTACGGCCCATAAGCCCCCAGAGGAGGTCGAAATTTGGAACGAAACTCTGCAGACCTATCGACAGCGCAGTGCAGCGCAGTGCAGCAACCTTGAAAGGATTCTACTTTAAACAAGTATTTTTGGACCAACTGCAAGGGAGTCTCAAGCTGTTTCGCAAGCCTTAAGCGCTAAAACGTGAGTTTTCAGTTGAAAGAGGTGTTCCCGAGAGGAGAGACCAGGCCGGTTATTAATTGTATCCCGGACCGTTCTCCGCTTCCGCACAGGCAGGCACAGGAACAAGGCACCATCTTGATTGGGAGTGCCTCTGGATGAGAGAGAGCCACCACTCGGACGGTAACATACCCTGTGAAACCTGACTTGGCTCGCATTTTGATTGACGCAGAATAGTGTTTTCTTTTCTTTTCTTTTTGAGCGTATTTGTGTTTTCTTCGTTGCCCTTTTTCTTGGGCTCTCTTCTTCTTCTTCTTCTTTTTTTCCCTTTTAATCCCTCCTTCCCGAGGGACTTCAAGGCATTGAATGCCTACTGCAATTCTTCGAGCCCGCAATATCGAACATTTGAATCGTATAGAACTCAAGTATCACCATTTCGACGAATCCGAACCCCGGCAGATACCGAACCAGGTTCGAACACCGAGAGCTGGAGCGACTGGAGTTGGATGGCCCATTAGTGGTGGTGGTGTAGAATCCAATATCAAACTTTCGAACAAGGGGAAAGATAATTCGAGAGCGGGAGCCACATCGAGGGGTGGTTTAAGACCAGGAACACCAGCAAGAGCAGCAACAGCACCAGTCCCAGTACCGGCACCGGCTTCGATAAATTCGGGATCTCGAATCCAGAGATGCGAAACAGCAGCGAGCAACCGATCTAGACGTCCGAAACAGCGTCAGGTGCCAGTTGTCGAAAAGCAACAACCTGCAGCACGCCGGTTAGTGCCTTTCACAAACACTAGAGTGCCGGTGCCGACACCGATGCCGATGATAATGGTTGAAGAGCGCCGCGGGACCAACATTGGCGACGGCCACATGGCCAGCCACGGTGACCCGGTCATGCCACCGGCACAGGCACAAACACAGGCCCAGATGCAGACGCAGACGCAGATGCAACCGCAGATACCGATACCCACCGACTACAACAAGTTCTACAACATCAATTCGAACCATCAGGGCCAGCGGAGTGGCATTGGAATGGCAGTGGGTATGGCGGTTGGAGTTGGAGTTGGAATTGGAGTTGGGGCAGCTGTTGGAGCAGCAGGAACAGGAGCAGGAACAGTAACAGGAACAGGAGCAGCTTTCCCTCCGCGCAGGGATTCCAAGAAGGGAAGCAACCCAGTCGACCGCCGTCAACCTCCAACCTCACATCCTTCCGACTGGCCGCTCGACTCTTCTTCCTCATCTCAACAACCTCAACAATCTCAATCTCAACCTCCAACCCCTCGCCATCATCAATACCATCACAACCACCATCACCACCATCATCAAAATCAGCAGCAGCAGCAGCAGCAGTATTCCTCTCATCGGGTACCCTTGCAAAGACAGCTCTCTCAACCAAACACTCCTTCCAGACGTCATCAAAGTCCCGGTCGGCCTCCTACCGCCGGCAGCAATACACACACTTCTCCTGGTCCTCCTTACTACGATCATGACAGGGGACATGGTGTCAATCCTCCTCTGAATAGTTACCGGTCTACCGAGCATATGCCAAATGCTTCGTCTCAGAGGTCTTCTCCCGTTCCTTTCGAAAATCATCATCCCGGCCAGCGCCACAGGCCCCCGCCTCCGAACGGTCCTACGTCTCACGGACAATTTCAGAATAACCAGCCGAAAGGCCTAAGAATCCGAACTGGTCCCACACCACCGCATACACCCTCCCAGAATCGAGGTCGACCGACCCCTGATCAACGTTTTCCGACCGATAGGAACGGGAGACTCCCTGAAGAAAGCGGCATGAAGTCTCCTATTATCCAAATGCCGTTGGCATTTAACAAGATTACCACCTCCAGGCAAGACCAGTCTCGTTCATCTTCCCCCACTACCACAAGATCACCCATCGAATCTTTCCATTCATCACTTCCGAACATCCGTCCACAAGGTACCAGACGGCCGACCGTTCTTCGTGAGGAAGTATCACCCCAGGAACGTTATTCGCCACGTGGTACATCCGAAAGTTTGACCATGAGTCGACACGATGAGATTTCCCATGACAGGCCCCAGTCGGCTCCGAGAAAGCCATCGCCATCGCCAGAGAATTCTCAACAACGACCACAGTCCCCTGCAGTTAATGAAGCTAATGCCTCGGCACGAGGCTCCCCGCGCATGATCGGTCAACATGACGACGCCGTTCGGTCTTCAGTTGTCACGAGCCATTCCGCCACAACCACATCGGCTTCAGAACCTGGTGACATCTCCGGCGAAATGTCGGTTGAAGATGCTATCGATATGTACGGCTCTGACGACGATGACTGGGATCCCACCGAAGTCCCAGTTATCGACAAGCAAAAACGGACCGACAGCGGAACACCATTGGAAGGAGGAGCAACGCCCAAAAAGGTTTCTATGAAAGAGGATAGAATGAGCCGAAGTGGTTTGGCCGATTTTTTGATCAAACAGCGAGAAGAGGCTGCCTCTCCGTCCTCCCCTACGTCAGATGAAAGAGGTGTCAGTTTGGTGCTAGAAAACGGTGTCAACCTCGAGGCCGAGCTACATGATGCTCAAAATAACGAATGGCAAGCAATCACCGATAAGAGAAAATCATCCATTCCAGCCGAGGCCGAGATAGCCGATGACTGGAGCGAAATTAATCGTCCTGCTCCAGAGGACACACCTCCTAGATACCCTCCAATGAAGCCATCTGCACCTCGTGATCGATACGGGTTAGTCTTACCGAGCCGCATGTTTTGCATGAATTCCCTAGTTAACATTCGTAATAGGTTCCGTACGGAAACTCAGTATATTACTGCAGCTGAATACAACGCCTGGAATGTCAAATACGAAGATATTCTTGTTCGCCGGCAGAAAAAGTGGAATGGTTTGCTCAAGGAGGCCGGACTGACCCCCCTGGATAACGAGGTTCCCGTCCGATTCCCACCTCGGTCTCAGAAAGGTATGGTCCGCTCTTTCTCGTATCTGGAATCCGGTTACTGACTCCTACATAGTCAAGAGGTTCGTTCGAAAAGGAATCCCGCCAGAATGGAGAGGCAACGCTTGGTGGTTCTACGCTAGTGGCCAGAAGTACATCAACAAACATCCGGGTCTTTATGAGAAACTTGTTGCTCAAGGCGCTCCAACCGATTCTGAGGCCCCAGAACTTATTGAAAGAGATCTCCACCGCACTCATCCCGACAACATCCATTTCAAGCCAGAACAAAAATACCCTCTCTCCAATGGCGCCAAGTTAACAAAGCATAAGCAATCCAACTCTAAGATCGTTGAAACGCCTATAATTCAGAGTCTTCGACGTGTTTTGACAGCATTTGCGGTTTACGTACCCAGAATTGGCTACTGTCAAAGCTTGAATTTCTGGGCTGGCATGTTGCTTTTGTTCATGGACGAGGAGAAGTCGTTCTGGATGCTTTATATAATCACACACCAATACCTTCCTGGCACGCATGAACGTAGCCTGGAAGGTAGCAATATTGACCAAGCTGTAAGTTCTCTAATCTAATTTATTACCTTTATCTCAAGTCTAACGCAGCATAGGTCCTGATGATGGCTGTCAAGGACGCCATGCCTCACGTCTGGGCTAAGATTAGCCTTTGCCTCGACGGTACCTCCGTCAACTTCAACAACTCTAAACTGCCGGACATCACACTTTGCACTGCCTCTTGGCTCATGTCTGGTTTCATTTCTAACCTTCCGATCGAAAGCGTTCTCCGTGTTTGGGATGCCTTTTTCTACGAGGGTTCGAAAATCCTTTTCCGCGTATCCCTTGGCCTTTTTAAAATCGCCGAACCAGCTATTCGAGCTGTTGGTGATCCAGTTGAGGTCTTCCAAATCGTCCAAACAACACCACGAAAGTGCATTGATGCCGGTGCTCTTATGGATCTCTGTTTCAAACGGAGGAACGGATATGGTCACCTGAGCCAAGACGATATCGAGAACAGGCGACGAGAACGAAAGGACCTACTCGACCGCGAAAAGCGAGCAAATGGCGAAGATGTCCCCAGGACCAGCAGAGATGATATGTCACTTCGCAAGGGCTTCGCTAGAGAGTTGATCGAAGAAGGAGAAGACAGCGTGAGGAGATTCAGGAACTTTATCCACCACAAGAGATAGTTTCCTTCGTTCGGTTTTGAGTTTCGATTCCGGATCTTCTAGTATATCAGTATATACCCCTCAATGAGGGGCTCTACTGAATCCGTATCCCCAACTCGTGGTCACTCACAAGTTGTGACCTCTTCATTTCATTTGTGTATATCATTACCCTTAATATTCTTTCATGTCGCTTTTGTTTTCGGCAGCTTTTCAAGCGGAAAATTATCTATGGCGAACCGGCGTTTCTTTCAAGGAGACTTCTGCATTTCCCCCTTTGCTTATTTATTACCCCTGCTTTACATTCCCCTACAACTTTATTTCCTTTGTCTAATGTCTTTTTTCCCTACTTATTCGGGGGGGCATTCCTGCCTCGGGAGGCGTCGCTGAGGTTATTTCTCTTCTGTTTTATACACTTTACAAAAAAAAATCCGGGCAGGCGACAATGGGCTATTCTTTTATTCTGTTCATTATCCTTCGATGTCACAATGCATCCCAAATCCACTTTAGCCTTTGCTTCTGCGGCTGTGACTTGTTTTCACTTCGTTTTCGTTAGTTCTTCTTCACTTCTGCATGTCTTTCCCATTATGAACCTGGGACTGGCCACCTTTTTACCGCGTACATACCTTTTTTCTTCTTTGTTTTTAATTCTCTTCTTTTCTTCAGCCAGCCTCTTTTCCTTCTATCATTTTCAATTCATAAGATCTTCAGGTTCTTACTCAAGCCTCCCCCCCTTATTTTCTATTTCCGCCCACATTCTCTGTATGACCTTTTTTTTTTTCCTTTTCGTCCGTTTAATGTGGGATATTACTATTATTACTAGGATAGACAAAACTGAAATATATTCAAAAAAGGGCGAGAGAGAGATTATCTTATGAAACCTGACTCCACATTGATCCTTTCGTATCGTTAATATATTAAAAGTGATAGTAGTATTGATTAACTTCTGATTGCTTAAATTTTAGTTTTAATGACGAGCTCTTGTTCACAAAACTTTGGCCGTATCATTGGGATCTATATTATAAGAGTAGTAAGAACTAGACCCCGTGTCTTGAACTCTGTATTGTTTCAAAACATATTATAGACCCCACAACCTTCCCGCCACGTTAGCACGTAAGTATTATTAAGATATTTCCAAACACACATTAAAACACCGTAGACAATAAAGATTGCAGACTCGAAACCTTATCATGCGTATCTTGGTAAAATTTCGAGCCCTTGCAAAAGCTGGCATTGGGACGTAAGGGGTCCGTACGCTTCAAACAACAAAATCACCAAGAACATATCCCAAATCCATCATTGGTTGTTGCTGGGGTTGTTCTTCAACTTCAGTCACCAGAGTCGCCCTCCTCAGTCTTTCTTCTTGTATCATAAATATCTGTTCTTCTGTCGGTGGGTCGGGCCCATACCATGGTTTTAAAAGATCATCTGCAGCGATACCCCCCGTTCTTCTCATTAATGGAGAATCTATTACTGCCTTTTCGAAGAATCTACCCAACCGACTATTCGGTCCGATAAAATCATATGCGACCTTAACACCGAAATACATCCCCGTAGATCCGAATTTGAATTGCGGAGCCCGTTGATAATCCACGGACCTAGCGATTTCACGACAAACAAGTTCAACTTCGAAGGAACCGATCGCTTGTTTCAATTTTTCTGTCAATGGGTCGTATTTGCCAAAGTATAGTTCGAACCATGGTATAAACTTCGATAGGTGGGATATCAATACTAGGATGTAGACATTGTATTGATATACTGTTGTGGAGATTGAGACGTTTTCGAAGAAGAGTATGGTTTCGAATAAGGGTCCTTGTTCGTCTATTGCCGAAAGGTAGGGTATCGAGGTTGACGGGATTGTGTAAGTGTATGGTTCTTGACCAAAGGTTTCGTTCCATTCGCGACGCCAGGCGAGGAGTTTGTGAGCTACGTCTATACAGCGTTGGACGTGGAGAGAGCCGGCTTCGCGGGTGATATTTTGGGAAAGTGCGTATCCTTCTTCTACTAGACGAGGGAACGGACAAGCGATGTCTATTAGTCGATTCCAGCAGCCTATAGGTTGTTTAAAGTAATGTAAGAATTTGTACGTTGAACTGGTTTCATTTAGGGGCGATTAGGTACGCACTTTTACCGCCGGGGTAGTACTGAGCTGGTATGTTTATCCAATCTTCACGTTCTAAGAAACTTCGCTTTCTTTCCAACATGGCGTTCATGAGGATGTATGGCCTGACTACTTCAAGTATTGCGCCTGCTAGTGGGTCGTGGAATGCATATGGTCCTAGTGACAATATCAGTCGACCGAGAGCGGCAAGGTGGTATAGCCATGTCAATGCTGACGATGAAGTTAGGACCTAGTCAAGATTTAATTAGTAAATCTCATGTTAAGGAAAAACCGCTGCTCATGATCATGCTTCAAAATAGCGTACGAACCTCATAATGTGCAGCCATCATACAGGTGTATAAAAACACAGCCGGATCCGAGTTTGCCAGCCCATTCTTGACATAATTTTTCAACTGTCTTAACAGTTTTAGATATAATATATGCCCTTGGATCTTTGAGTTCACGTCTCTCTCCTTTAGTGCAAAATACGTGGTAGCACATGATGCATAAGCGTCCTCGAGTTCCTTGCGGGTCTCTGGAGAATCACCACTCCTGAAGTGTGTTGCGTAAATGTGACCGAAACGGTACGGTACCATAGCGGTCTTGAAGACGGATCGATATGGTGCAGAGACATGGATGAAGTCCTGGACGTAGACATTGACATAGACTTCGGACTTGTTGATGGGGATGGAGATGTTGAAGGGCATATTCTGCATTATATTGGGCGTGCTGCTTGAAACACAGGTATCCTGGATCGAATTGCAACGGCCAGAGAATTAGCCCAGCTTCCTTCTGTATCCGTATTCCTTATCGATAGAAGAATACGGTAATGTGTGTGTGTGCATGCATCTGTGCATATGTAGGTACCGGTTTCTGCTTACAGATCGGATAACCTCCCCTTGACGGTCCTTCGAGTTCTTCCCCTTCCTGGGTGCGCCATTGGCGACGACTAGTTGCAGCCGGCAGCTTTCTATCGTCGTCGTCGGAGTTTCTTCCCACGTTATTGGTGACCCTTTCTGCTGGGAAGTATAGACAAAATGGATCGGGCGAGAATAACCCGGGCAGTCCTTGCCTATCTTTTGACACCTGATGCATCCCGGCCGTGTTTCATCTGATATTTTCGCGGGGTTAAGATGTCAGTTATTATAAATCTGCAAATTTGACGCAATGCCGCATTTTTCTGCGAGGTAGACGTGATTACTATTCTGTTGTTGAGGGTTGAAGGTGGAATTTTGATACAAATTGGGAGAGGATTTGGTTATGATAACTCGCTGAATACAGCCCGATATGGAAGCATTCTGCGAGGTGCCGCTTTTTTCTGGTACGGCTGAACCTGAGAAAGGGGATATCATGGAAGTAACTACTTTACATACCGCACTTTATTTTCCGGTCTCGACAGGTCTTGCAGCCTTTACTGCGGCCGGCAACTCCCACCATGGCTGTTTTTGTGATGCGCCAAACAAGTATTCGAATGCTCGAATGAATTGAGGATAAAGTTAAGATACTGTTAGGTAAGGGATCGATGCAAAGATTACAATTTAACAAGTAGGTGTCTTGTGAGCGGTAGAATGCTTTATCAGATCCCGCAAGGTGCTAACCCACTTTTAAATCCTCTGGCCTTTTGCCTTTCTCCGCAAAACGGGACCCTGAGGTGTTTCGTTGCTGGCAGAGGGGCGGCAAGCTAATATAGGGTATGGTCTGACTATAGAGGCTTGGGAGAGCGCCTTTGTAGTTATCTCGAGTAGGCAAGGTCCTCCAACATTGCATGCGCATGGTGTGCGGTGGAAAAAAACCGAATTGGATTATGCAGTCTTCGAACAATCTAACAGAACAGAGGCGTGGGATACGACGGCCATTGTGCACAACCTTGGCGGCTATGTACTGTACTTACATATATGCAAGCCCTCGCGTATGGTATACCCTCAGACTCCTTTTTTCTCTAGATTTCTTGGAAGGTACTTTGCAATGTTGTTATTGCAGTTCAAAAAGTCGGACCGATTGTCGCGACATTCAATACCTGGATACCTTTGTACCCCTTCGCCAAGTCCGCAGTGTTCCAATCGGTGGGCCCCCTTCGCTTAACTTGAAAGTTATCTATCATGGATCCATGACTGACATGGAATAGTTAGACTGGCTGGGGCTCATGATATTTGCCTTAACTAGATCCAACGAACCATCGCGCACGGTTCAATGCAAGTCGGGCAGAACAGGAATTTCTGTCCTTCTGATGGCTTATAATTAGCTCCCACACTGTCACAAGAACAGAAAAAAAAGCCTTTTCCTCCGGGACATAAAAAGGAATTTTGAGAGCCCCACCTTCGTTATATTTCTTTCCAGGGTTGTATATGTGTACGGTGAGTAAAACCTGCAGAAAACTTTCATGCATGGAAAGGAAGAAGCGTTGTTCGGCCCTTCTATGGAACCCACTTCGCAAGTCGGATATCTGGGACACCGAAAAACCTTTTTTTGTTCGGATCCTCTCAAGTGTTTTACCTTGTGGGGAAAGTTCTGGGTGCTACCTCGCTTACAGGTTGGTATCCACAGAGCGCTCGAGCTAGCAACTTCGTGTACTCTGTAGTTAAGTACGATGAAATCGGGTAAGCTCCTGTGGCCTTACTGACTCGTGATCTATAACTCTCATTATTGGATACTCTAAATTTCTATATAAGGTTGTGTACTTGGGTACGTAACATCCGCGATTGCCAAGGTGCAAGGTGCTGATGAAGTTCTCCAATGACAATTGCATGTTGGATTTTATGGCGATATGCTCCCTTGCACTCGATTTGAGTCACTTCAGCCCTGAAAATATTTCTATCGGATCGTCTTAAATTTTCAGGAAACATTGCTGCGGATAAAGCAGCCGGCGACGGGGTGCAAGGTTATTTCTAGTTGTGAGTATCATGCATGCAAACCATAGGCCTATATCCACAAGCCCCCACTGTACTATAGGTTCCATTCGATATATTAGAAGCAATATAGGTGCATGTTGGATACCATGGATAGATACATATGTTTAAACGACGGGGTATTCAGTCAAGCTGACTAAAGAACTGGGTGGCCTTCGTTTGTCGATCGTATGTCGGTGCCAGGAATGGGGTTTAATTTCAACCTGCATGAGGAAATGACTAGGCTTGGAGACCAAATGTTCGGCCCTGCAGCTCCCTGCCCTCATATGTGCCGGGTCTGGAGGCTAAGCTGGTGTAATTGCCTGCACGTTGGAGGTTGCATGAAATATGGGCATCTCCGAACGCGACAGATATCGTGTCATGGCCGTGAGCCTATCGGATTTGCGTGGTAAAGGGGAAGGTATTGGCTTGGATCGTCGCGGTAAATACTACCTATAGGCCTCGTAACTATGCATAACTATATAAGCAAAAAAATCTAAGCGAACTATACAGGTAGTTAATATCGATCTAGTGTCTGCATACGAGCACCCGCAAGGCTTGTAGGCTTAGTGTAGTTTCTTTAGTTTCCATTTTCTGGTTTCTTTAGTTTTGATTGAAGAAATGTTAAACCTTACGATATACTAGTTGGTTCGGGTGCCGATTTTACACTAGTGAAACGATTTCGTGATATCTAGTGATCGTGGGTCAGCCGCAGTAGTCCCTCTATATCAACATTATGTTAGTACATATATACATGCCTACGGCTTCTTACTGAAGTTTGCTGACGCTAACCCGGAAGGCACGGCCCTAACTAAGCATGGGGGGCATATCCGGATCTCCATGATTCAGTGACCCACCTCTTTTTTTACCGGATAGTTAGCAAGACAGACAACGGTAATTCCCGAAACAAGGAAATACAGGACTTCTATATCGAACGTCATCACCTTCCTAAGTAGCTAGATCAATTGAGAAACATTCGAAACATCGACATCTGAATACACTCTGGCACAATTTCTTGGTCCTTGATGACTTGACCGACGGCCTAAAAGTCATTGATCATGAGACATGCACCTGCACGGACCATAAAGAAACCATGGCATTCTCGTATAGGATTATCAGTTCCATAAATCTCCGCTCGTGCAGTTGCTGATTGTTTGCTGATTGTGCAAGCGTACGTATGCAAAACTTGGCTAGCCACGGCGAGGTCACTAAAAGGGCCCGTTCCGTTTCCGTGTTTCAGTTATTGGAGTGACACTCTTATGTTTCAACCCGTATATATACAATCTTATCTCGTTAATTGCAACAAAGGGCCCGACCTAGAGATGATCGCTGCCTTTCTAATTAATGTGTCATATCTAAACTGCAGTTGGCCCTAATCACCATTGATCTCTAGGCCCTCCAAGAATCATCTCGAGATCTCGGCCTTGATTATATTATGAAACAATTTGTTCGATAGTTTGCATGAATGTAAAAAAAAAAAAATACGCACTTAAAACTCTTGCATATTCCTATTCTGTAGATTGTCTTTGGCCCTAGGAATTTACTCTACGATGTGGAGCCAATCGTTCTTGACCTTCGATCGAATGGCTAGGGGGCAATCTAGGGTTGGTCGCAAGGCACCGATGCACTCATGTAGTTGATTAACCACAGCTGATCAAAAGCCATGAAAGGGACCTTAAAGGAAGAAATAAGTCTATTAATATTAAGCCGCCGTAGATCCGGTATATGCAATATGCAATTGTGTTATAGCATATATAAAATTTACAAAATAGCATTTTGTAGTACCGTCTCGTAACCAAACTATGTACCAGTATGCACCTATACCCCAAGACCACCCGAAGAGTCGAAGGGTTTAGATCCGAATGACGTCCGTAATAACCCAATGCCGGTCTTTCTTTGATCTTGCAGACCTGGCCAATGACTGGTTGGCCATGGGTTGCCAATGTTGTATTTTTCCGCGGTTAGCAACACACCTCGGAGCATTAGCTCAGCCCTTCAACAGAGTCAAGGATTCAAATCCTACTGCATTGATGACATGACATGATATTCTCGTCTACCACCTCAAGTCTAGAACTTAAGGGCAAGCTGAGTTTACTGGTACATGGTGAACTGCTTATTGAAACATCAGGTCCATATGTATACTAGCCATAAAATATAAGACATGGCTGATATCCAACCCTATACACATGCGTGACGTCGACCTATAGCTTAGTTACACAAAAGCTCATTGCGGGAAGTTTATCAGAAATGGGATTCATGCAGCTGCTGACGGCCTCAACTGCCAATGGTGATGTAAGCTGGCTTCAAAACCTGTTCCCTTAGAAGGTCTTATGACCGGATTACTAGTTTAACATCCCAGTTTTTGGCGGACATGCAAGTTATGAAACTTGCCGACTTTTCCCATCCATCTACCCATTCAAGAATAGCTCGTTTAACTTCCACGGTAAGTACTATAGCTCCATGGTGCTAATAGGACGGGTACATGGTAGTGGTCTCTCCCATCCTTTTCCATATTGACCACGAATGTAACTTCCACGTATGGGAAGAAGGTATTCCCCTTAAAGTACTCCCATGTTTCGAACCGAAGCTTGTAGACTTGACCGTTCTCGATCTTGAAGTCTGACGACCAGGCCGTTATCCTTCCATCGGCGTTTGTGCTAGCCGTAGCGACCTGAGTAGGCTCGGGCGATGATGAGAGAGCAGCGACTGAAGGTGATAGAAGGCTTAAGGTAACCGGTACCGAAGCTGCTGGAGCGCCAGAGGCTGTGTCGAGGACGTGACAGGTGATTGGAGGCATTTGGGGCGTAGACGAGGCTATGGAAAGGTGTGAGATGATTGTTTGCAGCCGTGAGGTAGCTGTTGAGTTTGGCAGCTGCGGCATCCAAGCGGCAGGATGTTAGATAGAAAGAAGTTTCCCGACTCCGGTCAATTGAGTTTTCTAAGCTACTCAGTCGGACAAATAAAGATAATTACTATGAGCGAGACGCCTGTCTTATAAGAATTTGGCTTCGGCAAGGAGAGAATATTCGAAATCGAAAGAGCTATCGGAAGTCGCCGATGTGCAATCCAAGATAGCCAAGACCACCATCCATGGTGTTGGAAAAACCTTCAGCAACACAATTCCAGGGGGCTCTTCGGCTCGAATGCGGGACGAAACCAACTTAAATGAAGTATATAAAGTAAGTAAGTATGTACTGAGAAAGGAATAAATAACCTCGAGGCTAAACAAACGAAACGCTGGGAAGGAAGAATTTGCAGTTTGATCTTATCAAATTGATACCAAATCAACAGCTTGTAATTGGGTTATTCATCTCGCAATTTTCACTTGTCTTGATTAACCGAAAATCGAATAGGGCAACGGCGCGCCGGCGAGGTATGCAGGTATTCCTTTGGGGGACACGGGATAGGCACGGGGTTGTCCTTATCTTGGAATAACGTTAGCGAATTCTCAGGGAAGGTAGCCAGATCAAGGAGGCTCTGCACGGGGACCAAAAGTATCGCACTTCATGCATGCGGTACTGATTAGTCTGTTCCTGGGGCCAATTATAAGTCGCGAGCCACGAGGAAAATCTGCGGTTCCGCGATATCGGCATGCGTTACGGTAGTTAATCGAACAAACGGTGCATTTTTAGTTAAAAGGCCATGGTTGTATCATCCAATTGTTCTATAGATTGAAACGATTGCCGGCATATCTTCCCCACTTTTGATTGAGAACCGGAATCCTCACGATCGGGATGGTGGTTGTTGAGGTCCATGTACTTTTCAGCCTCCTGGGGAATAATTTCAGCCTCTCTTCACTATAATTTATATAAGCATGCCTAGGGTCCCTTTCGCTTGATTTGAAACAAACTTTTACAGGCACCGTCCCGGCCACGGAACAAGCCTAAATACCTGCTCATTCAAGAAATGGTGTATTCCCCGCTACGAACCCAGGTTTTCGACAGGTTATACCATAGTTCGCGATCTGCAATAACAATCCTTGCTATAATAATAATTTCGTTTATATCCGATACAAGGGGCGCATGTTATTTTCCCGATGGCTCTCTATCTAATGACCTACCCTGCGACCCGAGTGCCAGCAACTCCATGTGCTGTGCATACGGTACTGACTGCCTTATGAACGGTGTATGCCATTCTTATGCCAATACCGATAAAGGATATGTATCAATTTATGCAAGAGGTAGTTGTACGGATCAATCATGGGGGTCTTCAGCTTGTTTAAGCGAGTGTATCTACGAAGGGACATATAGCCAATGGGGGCCCCTCATCCCCTGTAGTAACAATGTTGATGCGTTCTTCTGTTATTTTGCGGAACGTGACAATGATGGAGAGCATTGCGAACAAAGAACTGATGTTTTTACTTTGGTTGGTAAGTCAGCACCATATATTCTAAAATCTCATAAATCCACCATTCATATATCATGGCTAATTGAGCTTTAGGCGGGAATAGCATTAGAACCACAATTGGAGTCGCCGTATCCACCCAGGTATCTACACAGATATCTACACTCAGATCAATAGAGACTTCTATCGAAACCACTATCAAAACTTCAATTGCGACTATCTTCGTGACACCTTCTCCAAGTCCTTCGCCGACACCAGATTTACCTTCACTCGATACATCCCTACGAAGTACACCTTCGAATATCGTTTCAGACAGTAGATCTAAAACGACTTCAACTGATGCTAACACCCCAACGAATGTTTCGTCACCCGCCTCATCTTCCGGACCTAATCCCGTCATCGTTGGGGGCGCAGTCGGCGGGTCTATAGGGGCACTATGTCTATGTTTAATCGCCTATCTCGCATACGCACTTGGGAAACGGCGTCAGGCTGAGAGAATGACGCCTTCGGAGCCTATGTGGCAGTTACCGCATGGCCCGAGTCAGACTCAACGACATTATCCTACGAATATGCCTATACTTCCAATGGCAGTACACCAATATCCGCATCCACCGGTATCTCCTAGACCAGCATTGTCTCCGGATAGTATTCCCCCACCACCTGCTGGTGGATTGCCACCCGGATATACGCCATATAATGCCCAGTCATTCGGGCCGCCGTTAACTTGATTACGGAAGCTGAAATTTATGGACAAGGAATTATGATTGGCGCGTTAGATATCGATATCGAAATTTCATTAATCGGCTGTGTTATCCTGTCTATAAGTATTGTATCGTAACTGTACATGTTATATATATAATATCGATATATCTTGATCCTGGATTGATATTAATATTTGAAGGGGGCGTAATAAAGAAACTTGAATATCAATCGTAAGTAGAATTAAGTATAAAACTGCTTATTGACGTGTTCATGAAATTTATAGGGGGTTTTAGAGTCGGCTCAGGAGTACAAGTTAATAACTAACTACTTGGAACATCTGCTTAATTAATCATCGATCCTCTCTGCGCAATGCTCGTAGTGGGGCTCTTTGGCCCAATGTCCCTAGCGGCGGCGTTTTGGTTGGGCCGAACCAGTCCGTTTAAAGCTCGAGACTGCGTGCCCAAAGTCTCCTTCGGCTCTCAATTATCGCCCGACTCCGAGGTTCCACTTACTTTTTATTGGGGGGGTTCAATGCATCTAGTCCATTGTCCGTCGGGAAGCATCAGCCGGACGGGCTAGGTAAAAACAGGGAGCTTTCGTATTTCGTGCAAGCTTGAACCAAAATTAATTGTAGCATGTCGCATAGTGCAGATAACCACGATCGAACGAATTAAGTCGGAGCAATTAAGCCCTACGACTCGGAACCACCCAGCCAACTAACCCTATTTGTAAACGAGACGTACTAGTTATCTCCATAAACTCCATTCGAAGTTTATCAAGCACGAAAAAGCGGAGATAAGTTTTTCCAAGATGTCAGCGGTTTACATGAGAAGCTATGATAGCTCTTAATTTTTGTTCAATGTATTTAGTTTATTCAGTTGTTTTTGTTGTTTTTTTAACGTTCGCTCAACCGTAATTCTGAGATGAGCGATATCCATGTCCCTTTGAGAGAAATTATCCCTTTCAACTACCGGACACCCGGTTTTTCGGGATATGTTTCTATGCCGATGCTCAGCCAGCTGCGCGCTGCACGAAGCAGCATATGATCGTATACGAATGTATAATGCATGTAAAGCACGACTCATGATGGCAGCTTTACGTCAGGATCCAACGTCGCACAAAGGGTAAGCCGGCCAAGGGTTGGTATTAGAATACGAGACCGAGCTGGGGGAACCAGTTTAGTCATCCAGGTTAAGCTCTTTGCCGACTCTCGGCCGTACATTAATAGGTCTCCTTTCGTATGCGAGGCAATACTATAACCGCGGCCCGATACGAAGGTTATTATTAAGCTTCTTCGTTCTGATTCGAGGATTCCATTTGTGGTATCGTCTACACCAACACATGTGACGGATTTGGATTTCTTAGTAATCTTGATCAAGTTCAGCTAGCTTAGCCATACGCATTGCATTGGGTTCCACATTTTTCGATTCCGCAATTTTTGGGCGGGAATACCCCATTTTTGAAGATCACACTGGAGAGCTAGAGGACCAGGTGTTAATAATACATGCCATTATAGGACTGCATTGCGTGTCAACATGGATTCACTGTGTGTCCCGAAATTGTATATAAAGGGCACTGGATTTCGTTTTTGACCCGGAATATTTTATCCTACATCTCATTCAATCAATATAAAACGCATTATTCTATAGAATATATCTTCGAAAGGGTATTCTTAACTGAATACTACATCTTCCTCACCTTCTTAATTATATACAATTGGATATCGAATAATAACTTATTTCAACATGTCGACACCAGTCAAACTTATCTGGGGTGCTGCCCAGCTCTCTCCTCATCCAGAAACTGGAGAAGTCACCCACGTTCATGAAACCCTTGATCTCCTTCGTAGTCTTGGTATTGAAGACCTCGATACCGCTCAAATCTATGGCGATGCTGAGGAAACCCTTGGGAAGGCTAAGGTTGCGGATAAGAAATTTATTATCTCTACCAAGCAAGGTGGTGGGTTTAAACCTGGTTCTGGCACCAAGGAAGGTGTACTAGAGCATGGTGCCTATGCAAGTGAGAAGTTGGGACCTGTATGTACCTATTGACTCTTTGGCGGATTCCGATCATGGGTCGGGGGTTTCGCGAATTCGGTTTTATCTGAAAAGCTAATTTTCCCTGCTTCATGTTTTAGATTGATATCTATTATCTCCATGCCCCGGACAGCTCTATTCCATTGGAAGATACTCTTGAAGGTATCCAAAAGCTCTATGAAAAAGGTACATTCAAGCGTTTCGGTCTATCGAACTACCTCCCAGACGACATCCAAAAGGTCTACGACATCACCTCGTCAAAGGGTTGGGTCAAACCTACCGTTTTCCAAGGGAACTACAACCCCTTCGCTCGAGCCCAAGAATCCACTACATTTCCTCTCCTCCGCAAATTGGGAATTTCATTTTACGCCTATTCCCCACTAGCCGGTGGACTACTAGCCAAAACCAAGGAACAACTTGCTGCTGCTGCCGGCAGATGGACTCCGGGTACCCCGCTCGGTGATATCTACCGAGCTTTGTACGACAAGGAGGAGCTGAGAAGTGCTCTTGATGACTGGGAACAGGTTGCAAAGAAGGAAGAAATCTCATTAGCTGAGTTGGGGTATAGATGGGCTAGATACCATAGCAGCTTAGAGTCACAATATGGTGATGGTGTTATTTTCGGAGCATATGACGAGGCAAGGATTAAGCAGACTATTGGATGGTTGAATAATGGCCCATTGAGTGAAGAGGCAGTGAAAGGGATTGATGCCATCTGGGAAAAGATTAAGGATGTTGCCCCGGTGGACAACTACAACAGCTTGCCTCGAAAACCCTAAATATTTTGAATCGATATTATCGGGTTATAGATTATTTAAATCAATTGTTAACATAAATTGATATACAAGTTTACGTGTACAATAAATAAAGAATTTCACTGTTTGCAACATTGACAAAGATTTGATTTTACAGTTGCTACAAAGCTACGAAGTAGATATACTACTCAAAATATATCAGTAATTACGGTGGAATTTGTGAACCTGCATGAGATGGCTTCGGGATTAATTGGGTTAAGTTCCCTGGAATTTGTGGGGTTTATTTCCTCTTTAATCTTTTTTTCTAGCTATTATACTAGTTTCAAATAAAACTCTAATCAAGGAGCTAAAGCCCTGAAATAGCTCTCTCAAAAAGATATTCTGGCGAGGACTATGAGGTTTCGGAGGTAACTTTACTCAAGAAATGATTTTCCAAAGGAGGCGAGTAGTCGATGTTGAGTATGGGAGAGATATTGATCGACATTTAGTGCTGATTTTCAAAATGGTTAAAAACCGCGTCCACGAAACCCGCGTCCAGAGCCTCTTCCCCCTCTATCACGAAATCCTTGTTGAAAGTTTCCTCGCTGAGAGTCTCCTCGCTGAGACTTCCCTCGTTGGGAGTTTCCTTGCTGATTGTTTCCTTGCTGATTGTTTCCTCGCTGAGCGTTTCCTCGCTGATTGTTTCCTCGCTGAGCGTTTCCTCGCTGAGCGTTTCCTCGCTGAGCGTTTCCTCGCTGAGCGTTTCCTCGTTGGATATTTCCTCGTTGAACGTCTTCACGTTGAGTATTTCCACGTTGAGAGCCTCCTCGATGAAAGCCTCCTCGATTGCCCCCGGTATTCAAGTTCTCGATCTCAGGCGGTGGTTGGTCAGTCAAGGCAGATTGGTGATTGGTATTGTTGGTCGATTGTGCGGCACTAGTTCTTCTGGCTTCGAGACTAGTTCTTCTGTTTCCTGGATTAAGATCTTCAAAGGTTTCGATCTTAGCAGCTGGCTTTCCATAAGCTGGTCCAGATACAATTCTTTTATTCGAATTACCCCGTTTTCCACCACGACATCCTTTCCCAGCTCTTGACCCTCGTCCAGAGAAGCTATTACCACGTCCTCTGGAATTTTGACCCACCTTCATTTTCACATTAGAACCTTGGCGCTGAGTTTCACCGGTTCGATTATCGTTGGTTTCATGACTTGCTTCTTGCGAAAAATATGGTTTATTTCCTAGTCCTAGAGATCGTCTTTTCCTGGGTGGTCTAGTGCGCGACGGCTTCTTGGGGGTTGAAGCCAGGTTCGAATCAGATTCACTGCTGAAGTCTGTGGCTCTTTTATCATTTCGTAATGGTGATCTAGACATCTTAGAGCCGATTTGATTTTTCTTTGTGGGGTTACGTTGCTCTTGTCGGATATCTTGCTGGAGAGCCGTACGTTCTGGTTCAGGGTCCCACGTACGAGGAGCCAGGGCTTTTTGCACAACTTGGATTTGATCAGAAGCCCTCTCAATATCCTGAAAGAACGCAAGCAGGTCCTCAGACGAATTCGTGCACTCGCGAAGAATGATCAAATTATTGGTAACATCACGAAGGTTTATTGGCTCGAGCCTGACAATTGGTGGTGGGGTTTCCATCAAATCGACTCCTTGAGTTTTGGTATCAATACAAGCGTAACTCGAAAAATTGCTAGCGACGCTAGCTTCAGTTGCGACGTACAGCTATAATTGTTCCGTATCACCGGTTAGCTACTCTAATATTATATTATCGAAATCGGGAAATAGGGATGCGGAACTTACCGTAATCTTGCCATGCTTCTCCAAGTCGTGCAACGCGATGTAGACCGTTTCGTCGGTTAGTAAATTGAACAGAGCCGCCTTGGCTGGAATCGTGAGTCTGCATCGTTTGTTATTCCAATTGGTGAAATCGATGGCAATGAATCTTCGTGACTTGAATCTGCCTTTGGTTTCGAAGTAGGAGCTTAAGATGATGGGTAGCGTCTGCTCCGGACAAGGGTATTTCGTGAGGATAGAAGCATTGGCTTCATAACATCCAGCGCAAAGGCGTCCAAAGCTGAGATCTTTTGGAGGCATTTTTAGATCGTATCGCTGATAATACTGTGAAAGAGTTGAGAGGTAGATAGGTATGAAATAGGGATGGCGGTAGGGATAAATGGATGAAGAATTGGGATTGGAGATCGTTGGTGGTTTGGTGAGTGAAGGTAGAGGGAACTAGATTAGCTCAATTTGTAATTGTTTTGGTAGTAGTTACTCGTGCTGGAGGAAATAGAATGCTGGTGAGGGAAGAATGAAGAAGTTGAAGAAGATGTTGAAAGATAAGCAGAGACAGGATAATAAGAGATGATGAAAGACTGAGAAGTGCGAGGTTGGGAGTAAGATGGTGATTTTGATCCAGATAGTTGGGTTGCCGCGATAGAAAACTATGCTAAATGAGAGAGAGTCCATGGCCCCTACTCCTATCGAGACTGCATAGAAAACTCCCAAGTCGGATGTTTAAAATCAGTTTGCTCCCCTCAATTATTATGCCAGTTTCAGTGTTTTATAGAAAAGCGAACAACAGAGACGTCAGGGTGGTAGTCGTGGCGATAATGAAATGAAGGTGTAGCTTTGGTTTAAGATATTGCCAGGCATGTATAGATACCACAGTACCTTTCCTAGATTCTTAGTCCAATCTGCATGAACGAGCCATCTACAGGCTTTGATGAACGCTATCGAGGTGAGCAACATCTAAAGACCTCGCTCGGGGGCGATATTGCCGCGGCAAGAGCAGAGGGTAGTAGACTATCTAAATTATAGATTATACATTTGAAATGTTAAGCTTGATAATTAAAGAGTATGGATAGTATTCTCAGAATTCTCAGAATTTTTTACAGTATTCAAACCATATCGTATATTACTTGGTCTAGAAGTGCTTATGGTCTGTTCTGGGTACTGGCACGTTCCCACTTAAAGCAGGCTAAATCTCCCTTTACACATCACGAAATAACGATTATGTTGAGGCGAATATAATTAGAGGACCTCTTGAGTCCTATTACTCATTAACTTTGTTTTCCAGAGCTTTTTATGAAATGTGATCCTCAATATCCTGTCACTTGATAGGGTTATATTATATATATTACTGATTTCCGGAGATCAAAAGAGTGTTTAAATTCTAAACACCTTAGCTTGTCCAAGAAGCAACTCACCCGGTCACCTCGAACGAAGCTAGTAGTACTAAAATGTTGATTTAACGGAAGTCATAAATTCGAATGACTTAAATAAGCGTATTATCTATCAACGAGAGACTATAAATATATCTAGCCCGCATCGAGAGCGGCTTGTTCTAAATTCCAACATCTCTGTTTTGTGTTGACAGTGTTGGCGTTTTAGCCTGCGAGCACAGAGCTAATATGCACAGCGAACTCGGTACTCCAGTATTCACGTATTAACTACTCAAATACCTGTCTAACTAGCAAGTATTTAGTCTCGAGACTTAGAAACCTACTGTATAAATACATAAATCCATAAAAGGTATGTTAGTACTCTAATGTAAGTTAATCCTCAAGTAGTTATCAAAACCTGCAAATACGACCCAAAGAAGCCAGTGCAAACGACTCAGAGTCGTACGTACTGCCAATCAACTAGGCCCCTTGACCTTGTAAACTTTTGTGTAGCATTGCGCACAAAAAAAATGCAGGGATACAAAGTGGCGAGTTACAACCGTTCGTCAGATATTCAAACCTCTTCGATTGGCCTGATATACATGTGAAAAAAAAAAAAAAAGTCTCCAAGAAGTAACTCATAAAAAGATCCTCAGCTATTCACTCGCATTTCATTCTTTAAAACTAAGACAACTGATTTACCCACAATCTAGAACCCCGCCCCTCGCGTAGCATCGGGACTGATAAAGATCGTGGCGGTCGAAGTAAAACATCCCTTGCCGGCATGCCCTGGTAAATCATGATTAACTTGACTAGGAAGGATCCTTCAGAATGTAACCAACCCCAGATTCCTAATAAAGAAGCATCTTGTAGGCCTATCTTGTGAGCCTCAGAGAACGATTCCGTCTTTTTTCCCGTTCCCCCTGTTATTAAATACTTTTTGATAACGATTAACGGATGGGTTTAGCCTGAAACGTCGTTAGTTCAGTAACGCTGCAGATGGCATGCATGTGTCGTGATTTTGTATATCGAAGGCTGCCATTTATAAAAATTTACAAGCCCTTGGTGGTTCCAAGACCAAGGGCAGCGATGGTTAGAATAACAGCAATATAGAGTATATAAAATGGGAGGAGTCTGCTCCGATTTATCTTAGTCCTTTCATTTTCTAGCGGATATAAACTCCGAGGACTACCATTCGACAACTTGGATATTATAAAGCTCTAGCTCCATACTATTTCAATCCCGAATCTATACGTGCTCTTGAGTTCTAGTTCCTATATAGATCAAAGCTAAAAAGACAAAATGCAATTTTTCACTACCATTCTCGTCGCTCTCAGCCTAGCTAGGTAAATAAACACACATATCTCCAAATACGAGACTTTCAGTCCTCCAACTACAAGGGTTCTAACATCAGTATCTCTATTTCCAGTGCTGCCATTGCCGCCCCTCACCCTGTTTCTGAACCCATCATCACTAGAATCACCAATACCGACGCCAGAATCGAAGGGCCCACAGTCACTAGAATCGTCAATCCGGGTGTCAGAACCGGCCCACCCACCGTTACCAGAATCACAACCCCAACTTGCATCACAAGGTTCACTGTCACAACATCCTACCCACCTAAAAATCAACGATACACCACTACTATCTACAAGACCTGGGCAGCTATCCCCCATGATCTCGATTGTAAGGGTTGTAACTTGGATGTTATCACCAAGACAATTAATACCTCAAGGCGACCGGATGCTACTGTTACTAGGGAATCGACCTTGACGAGGGTTCCAATGTGTTATTTTTTCCCCACTCCGCGTCCTTAGTTGGATAGTATATTATAGGTGATAATATACTTCCAAAAAGCGGGCCTAAACTGCTAGTCTCGTCCAAATATAGGATGTGAGGCCCAGGGAGTGTTTCTGTACATGTATTTGATTTTTCCGGCTTTTAATTTGCTTTTGAATACCCTTCGCAAGCGTCTGTACATATATATCCACCAGAATGTAGAAATCAACACCTTATTTTACTCGGATACCAAACATATATACACAAATACTAGCAAAATAGTATTTTGCATGTTTCTAACCCCATCTCCAAATATTAAATGACATAACTGCGCCCCACCACATGTGTACAGTATGGGTATGTACTCGAGATTTACAATAGATGTTGATATTGATAGACCCTTATTTGTCTTTTTAACGTCCCGAGTTTTCACGTAGTTAGTATAAAAGCTAAGTTCCCGCCAGATACAAAGATTTCAAAAGAGCCTATCTAGATTTGTAAAAAAAGATCTAACATTAATTTATCGTTTAGAGAAAAAAATAATAAAGAATGGGAAACTAGCAACGAAGCGAAAGCCCCCAGTTTTATTCTACATCGTAGTTGTGTAAAATGTTCAAAGTTCTCTTCCAACTAGGGTCCACTTCCACAGGATACCCTTCTGGGGTAGATAATCTCTTATGGAAGATAAAATTTCATTCTGTATGTCTGACTGCCGCTGGCCAAGTTTAGTAGATTGCCACCCAAAACGGCCCAGCCCCGGTCTAGTCAAGCGCGCTTGAGTTCGCCTGTATGTTCCTAAGTTCAAGACCACTAGAGCAGCCGTCCCGTTCCGAAGTTGTAAAATAGCCCAACCTTCCTCATAGCTGTCCATAATTGAAGATTTAGATGAGTATATAGTGTGCATGTACAAAAGGATGAACGGGTGAAGGATTGGAGAACAAGAAAGATACTCCAAACCACCGTAACCCCCCTAGCGAAGTCATGCATAACGACTCTCTAGTGAATATGACGAGACCGGATATTTGCTAAACTTTTGCTTCGCCCAGTTGTCCCGGGGGTAGACTTCGCTGGGAAGGAGGTCTCCCTAGAAATATGAACAGATGGGATTAGATTTACCAATGTAGCAAACCTAGAATGTTGCGAATTCAGCTCCCCGCATTTTTTTCTGAAGGTTGTAAGGTCAACTTCGGCCTTAACTAGACTTGGATTTAAAGTCGTCAAAATGAGTCTATCTAAAGGATGGACTACATCTTATTTATATATCCTTACTGTTCACATTGAGAAGCATCTTCAAGTCTTGTTTTTTTTATATAAATTTATATATTGTATTTCGCGTTTTTCCAGCTTTATATAACATTTTGCAAGGACGTACATTTTGCATCTCATTTGCAATTGGATATCAGAGTAATCTCGGAGGAAAGCTCATGATGAACAAGTTGAAAAAACAAGAAAAGAAAAGAAATCGTAATAGACCCCCTCCCCTTTCCCAAGCATATAATAGTAAAACCAAAGCATAGATCTCAAAAGGACAGGAATATAAAAAAAGCCCCTTACCCTTTTTTTTTTTAAAAAAAAAGAGATTCTTAAAAATAACAAAATTCAAAAACTCCAGATTTGTCGAAACACCGTAAAGAGTCGAAAGGATGATGTCGATACAAGAGAATAAAGAGAAGAAAAAGCAAAAACCCCCTCCAAATTCGTGGCAACGAAAGGATACCCAAAGATAGGAAAATAGTGAAATGAGAGAGCCAAGGCAAACCCCATGACAATCGTAAGGAATAACAGAATTTTGTCTTCAAGTTTTCGAAGGAAATGCGAAAAGGAATACTTTTCCATGCAACCGGGAAATTTTGAAAGGAATAAATAGCAATAAACACCAACCATATGACCAAGGATAGGGGATATCTTCAAGGAAATAAATGCGCGAGAGAGGTATAAAAAGAGGAGGTAGGAGGGGGCAGCTAACTAGGCCGCTGGGTATATAAGAGAGGGAATAGTGATAGTTTAGACGGCAGCGGGGTTCGCACTAATACGAGTGTCCGCAAATAAGGGTTCCAAAGGCACCGGGAATGGTACTAGTGGCATTGGTGTCTTTTGCCTTCCTGGTTGCGTAGCATCCGATTTTCTCCGCTGAGAAGGTGTGAGTGACGAGTCCTTTCTGGGTGCATTCTTCTTGATTCCAGAGGAGTGGATACCACCAACGACACTATTAGTTCGAGAGAGTGCGTTATTCTGGTTTGCTCTGAACGCTGTAACAGGAACAGAAAAGGCACGAATAGGAGAAGATTCAGAGCCTCGGCGGTCTTCGGTAAAGAGAGCAATTTCGTCAAAGCTGACTAAATCCTCCGGAGCAGCATCAAGGTGATGTTCAACGATATAATCACCCCACTGAGTAGTGTCGAAAATGGATGAGGCGTCCCATTCGGAACCCACGAAAATATTCTTATTGAAGGAGGAGGAAGAGTCCCAATCATCGCTAGGAATTGAGTTACTGTATTGACTTTGGGATGAGAGGTAAGCGAAGAGTTCTTCGCTTGCTTTTCCACTAGGAGTCGTGACGGTAGTGTTGCTGCTCGAATCGGCCTTGCGGAAGTAGTCATCGGCGGTCATGGTAAGGACGCGGTGGAGACCATCGACGTTCTCGACAATGCAAATAAGACGCTCGGGGTTGAGCTTGAAGAAACCGGACTTTGGTGGGGAGAAAGCCTTAAGAGACTTCGTCGGGGTCTTCTCATCAACGGATTCGGGGACTGGGGTCGGAGATGGTGATCTCGAGGGAATGGAAGGTACTAATGACATGTTAGAAGGACTATCGATCGTGTAAACAGGGGTCTCCTGCTCACCATCGTAGATCGTAGCATCACTATCGTAATCAGAATCGTCAAGGGCTTCGTCAGAGAAGTATTGCTCGAACATGTCGTCCGAATTTTCACCGTTATCACCGCTGATCGTGTATGAATGGTTCATTATTTTCTGAACTACCGGATCATCCATGTCCATATAAATATCTTCACCTTCATCATCGCTGTCTTCTGAAAGAGCAGCGGGTGAGTGTGGAATCTCACATTCAGTAGGAATAGCCTCTAGAAACCCATCATCTGAAACTGGAGCTGGTGCCCCAATAATGAAATCGGTCTCCTCGTCGAGGATACTCTGATCATCTTCATCAAGGTCATCCATATCATCATCTTCATCGTCTAATTCGTCAATGTCAGATGACAAGTCATCGTTGTCTTCAACATCGCTAGCTTCGGATTCGGAGATCAGGCTATTGTACTCGTTCAATGCACTTTCATCATCATCAATCTCAAGATCCATTGTCAAGGATGAGCAGTCGCTATCGCTTTCGTATGCGAAAATTGGAGCTCCGGTGCGCTTCTTTGTGGGTGTCTCGTCCTGGTGGTGGTGGCGTGCAAACGTCCCGATTGTAGTAGGCCCCGCGCTGCCTGTCTTCTTATTGCGGATTTTCTTGGAGGAATGTTGTTTTCTGCCTTTAAGATGACCTCTTGATGTCAGTGCGGGGCCTTTCACATAAGGTTTGTCGACTGAGTCTTCGGAGCCATCTTCGCTGTCGTTACCTTCTCCCTCGGCGATCTGGCTCGAGTCGTCTCCAGTATGGTCCCAGGATCCTTTGATTTCACTCTTCTTAGGAGGTTTGTTGCTGGAGCTGTGCTTCTTGCTTTTCGGTTTCGAAATCCGGTTGCCACCAGAGCTAGGCTTGTGGAAGATGTCTTCGATATCCTTGCGAGTGCTTCGAGGGGTACGGCATGACGCCAAAGTCCACTCCATTCTCATTCTATTGTGACGAGCCATTATGGATGTGAAAAGCCGAGATCAACACGGCCGGAATGAATATATTTCTTTTTAAAGATGTATGAAATACCTCTTCACGGGTATACAGAGAATATGGGTATGTGTGATGTCAAGGGTGTAGAGCCTGGGAGTCTGCCGTTATCATGTTAGCATCGAGTAGCAGCATATTGGGCAAATTAATTCTTGGGATGCCAGCATACCTCAAGAATTGTATATGCCAATTGCTACTCGGCAGGATCGGCAGTACTGATTATATATATCAGTAGGAAGTGGTGAGAATAAGTGAGAATGGTCGGTATCGGGTTTGAGGTATTCGTATAGGAGAAGGGGGTAGGAAACTTTTGGACGGGTTTGAATTCAAAAAACTTTTTTGGTATGAATGAATCCCCAATATCACAGTGTTCAACGCCGAACAGATGTATAAATATATATCAATGCAAGCGGAAGACGGAAATATCACTTTTGGTGTTCACAAGGTATTAAGTAACCGAGTAGATGTTTTAAAGGAGAAAAAGGCCTGTCTGTCTCTGTCTGTATATGGGAGAAGAAGGGCTTCACGATAGGCAGAATCTGCGGGTGTTGGGAAATGTGTTGTCGATGAAGTTAAAATGGCTGTTTGCGACAGAAACGCCAAGAAATGGACCGGAAAATTCTGTTCAGTAAGGGACCGGTACGAGCGGGAGGAAGAAAAAAGAAAGAAAGAAAAAGGTAATTGGGATAGAGTTGGGAGAAGATGTCTGAAAAAATATATATTTCAGAGATCAAAAGGGCAGATAGTCACTTTATGAAGGTGGAAGAGTTTTTCCTGCTTTCTTCGGAGCTCGTGGAAGGGGACGGGGTGGTGGTGTTTGGGAGTATATGTAGGAGAGCGAGTTAGAATATATTCGGTCTCGTCGATGCGATGTGTTCTTGTCTTTGTATTTGTCTTTGTCTTTGGTCTCTCTTCTCTCGACTGCGACAACGAGATTGAGCAATGATGATAAGATAAATGATATCTGTATCTGTATCTGTCCCGCTCAATATCGTTGGGATAGTGGTTGTAATTGGTTTGGGTGCAGGTTGAGAGCTTCTGGATTCGATATGTAAGTGCAATGTATACTATGATCCTTCTTCACCAAAGAGATCACAGGCACCGATAGATCGCGTGTGTGTAGTTGTCGATGTAGTACTTTATATGGGATACTTTGTATTCAATTTAATTCAATTAATTAAATCAGATAGATCAGGACGATGATTTAATGATCAAGTCGTCCAATATTCGTTCCGTTCTTCGATATCGTTCGTACTATGTTGCTAAAGCTGATGGCTGAGATAGCGGAGATATACTTCGCTACCCCAGAGGGGCATTTACAGCTCTGCGACAACCTGCATGTTGATGTACTAAAATCTATGGTTTCCAATGTTGAATTTCTTGCTTTTGATTTGGGAAAGAGTGTTAAATCAGATACCACCGAGCAGTTTGGACCCTGCGAGACGAAAGAGTGCTAATAAGTTCCGAAGGGAAGAAGAGGAAGAGAATAGAAAAGAAGAAGGAGAGAAAGAGGATTTTGGGGAAGCGATGGCGGTTTAAAGCCAGCTGTGGTTTCGTAGCACACGCACACACTCACACACACCTCTCTTTTCTTTCCCGTTTTGCCTGGGGGGTTAATCAGCACGACGGTTACGTTAGTTTCAGAAGGACTTGTCAAGCAAAGAATCCATTTCTGAGTCGACGAGCGAGCTGGTTTTCCTTTCTTACTTTCTTTTTTTCTTTTCTTTCTCGTCTTGTTTTCTTATTTCTAAAAATTGTTCGAATGCCGCTCAATTCAATCGATCAAACAGGCAAACTACTCGGTGTTGGGCAGGATGTCACTCGACAATCAATCCATCCGAGCCTCTTCTCTCCCTCTTCATCTGCACTACGGTATACACTAAGGGAGGCTAGGAGGCTAGGGAAAAAAAATTATAATTTTTTCATGCCAGGTATCGATGCTTTTTTTTTTCATTTTTCGTGGGCGTCAGACAGGTGTGGGATGGGTGCTCAAGCTAGTTGACTGCAGTGGGGCCTTTCTAACCGGATCGGGTTTAGCCGGCTCATGCATGGCTTCATGGACCCGCCTGATGGAAGCTTTGGTCAACAAGTCCTGGGAGCTCTATCTTCAATGACAAGGTACCTTGCAAAAAGGGTCTTCGAAGTGGGATGTTGGGTATATCGATACCGTCCCGCCATTTTCATGAATTAACCAATAGTCTCGAAACAAGGGGGATGCTGGGAACCATGTCTTGTGTTCATGGATTCTCCAGAGCACTTTTTACCAGCAACTACCAGCAACGGCCAGCATTGCAAAGCCATGTCATTGATGGCAATTAATTCTGTGCTCTGTACTCTGTACTTCGTCCATACTATTCTCACACATGCACATATGTCTTCCACATGTCTGTATATGTGGATGTATGTATGTACTCTGTATGCGTAAGTATGTGTATCTTGACCGATTGCAATTGCATCTGACAGACATGGAAAGACAGCCTTAGTTTTCGGCCAGGATCTCATCCTACGTCTTTGGTCGTGTGTCAACGGATTATCTCCATGCTCCCACTTACGTGCCTCCTTCATTCTGATTCATTCTCTGACTCTCCCGGGTTGAATCTAGCGTCCTACGGTTGCGGGGTAAATCAAAATGCTTTGACGTGAAGATCCATCGATTCAATCATCACAGTCTTCCGAACCTGAATCCAAACGGATCAACCTTCTCTTATGGCGTCAGAGAGTCTAGAGTCCCGCGATCCCGTCAATATCTGCTCAATCTCCCCTCCAAGTAAGGGCGACTATCAGCCACTCGAGACGGATTATATTACAACTTTTGACTCCCTTGCATTTAACTTTTTTTTCTACCATTTGCATGCAGTTGCCTCCGTCTAGTTGGGATCTTGGATGTAAGTACTCAGTACCTCTACAAAATTCTAACAGCAAACAAACACCGTTCGTTTTTTTTTTGACCCACAGTTTGTTCATACATATAATGGGAAAATCACAATCTTGAAAAAGATCCGATGAATCGATTGGGCAAAGGGTGGGACCGACCTGCTCGACCTTCCCTGTTAGTGCATCTCTTTTTTGCAGCTCAAGCAAAGAAGACGTTTGAATGCACGAATCTGCAGATGTACGGAGTAGACACAGTACGTATTTTTAGGATTCTGATAAACAAGTTAAGATGGCCCGCCGTCAGACCAGAACTTTGGTTTTTCCACGAAGTTTCATTGACTTGGTCTCTTCATAAAGGTGGAGAAAGCAACCCGTTTATGGAACCCTAAAACCTTAGAAAAAGAAACGATTCCTTCTGAAAACAGAGGTAGGCGCGGCAGAACGAATTGCGAAAGGGAAAAAAACAAGATGGCTTTTAGCAAGCATTATCAGCCAGTATGCAATGCAATGGCAAGAGGCGGCATTTGTCGTCCGCGTCCCCTTCTCGCTATAAACGGGATATTCCCTAGCTGGGAAACAGGATGTGATCTTCAAGACCCTCGAAATCCAGGATGCATAGACGATCCTTCTCCTCGGCCTCGTTTTCGCCGTCTGGTAGTCGTTACCGGAGCGGGAGGGAGGAGAATCGATTATCCTATTCAACGTACCACGCTACAATGCATACAATGTTAACTTCGGTCTCGAGACTGTCATGTTAGCTTTTCGCTTGTGAATCAATTAGCCTTAGAAAGGCAAAATTCTGCAAGCTAAGGTTCTCAATTGCAATTATCCGACCCCCGAAACAAATTTCGCCCATGGCTGAACCAATGGAAGCATTCCGTTATTCAGGAAGCGATGTCATAGAATTAGCAAAAATGTGGAGAAGCTTAATAGCTGCTTGGGTAGTATACATGAACCTTGTCTCGTGATCATCTCTGCTGACGACTGGTGGAGTTGTGCATTAACACTTCTTCCCTTCTTTTTAGCCTTTGATGCACATAACATTTCTCGAATTTCTCGAGATTCTCATTACAAAAAAAACGCGGGGTGATTTTTTTTTCTCGCTTGTTTCCAGGATTAGTTTTTGACAGTCGCCTTGGCTCCTCCCGCTTATCGATAAGGGCTTTTTTTAATTCTTAGCCAGGGTTAAATCGACAGGGGTAAGCATTGGCAACAAAACGTGATCTGAAAACTCTGCATCACAATTCGGATATATCGATATATCGACGCGAAGGCGTGCTGAAGATGTTGATATCTTGACATCCGACGATACCGAAACCAATGTGGGGGTTCAACGTTTGCATGAAGATATAAACTAGTCGACCCATTTACAGCTGCAAGCATTAGCTAATATCGTCCAATACTCGCCACCCAGCAAGGAAATTCAGGCATACAAGCGTAAAACAGCCGATAGGAAAGTCATGGCCTTCAAACGAAATCATTCACCTTTTCCAGTCACGGTGTCGACCAAATGGGCTAGCTAATCTCATACTGACACCTGTTTCCTGCATGGGGAGCTCAATCGACTCGGACTGTCAATTGTTCATCTTTTGAATTCCCTCTCAACAATTCGCTCCTTCGAAACCCTTCAGATTCAAACCCATTCCAAATGCTCACCCCATTGCGACAGGCTGTAAACCCACCAAGCTATTTACGGACACATGTACAAAAACCATTGGCATACAGGCCAGGCAAAGGAAATGAGAGAGAGCGCTGACCAGTATAGGCAACCAGGTTATCCGTCTGCACTCTTACCTCTATAGCCTAGAGTGCTGGGCTATAGCATGTTTTTCGGGAGCGCTCCCCACACTGCACGCTAGTGTTATTGCATGAGCCGACATTTCGCTGATGCAAGCATTAACCTGCCTTTTGGAAGGAAATCCAACCAAGAGCTCGTTTGCTGGCCTGTCGCACTAGTCGCCCGGCTATAACATCTTGCCTGTATTCCTGGCAATATGCTAGCTATGTTAAGCACAGGCTGTGTGTATTTTTTTTGGCATGTGGGCTGTTTTTTTTTGCGGAGTTCATGCAGGGTCGGACCGGGTCTTGTTTTCGAAGTTTAAAAAAAAAGATTAATTGCGAAATTCCTTCGTTTAGCGCGGAGCGCCTTTGAGGGGGCGGTGATGCGAAACACACGAGCAGATACCATTATCCTACTAGTAAAATATCGATAAAAGCAATGCTTATTTTTTTTAGCTTTGTTTCCGGAAAGGACACCAGTAGACAAAAGCTGTTAGGTTTACGACACTAGACAAAAAGTTCTAAAACATTCCAAAACCTTCGATGCTTTACCAAAATCTAACATCTCGAGTCGAAGCCTCCCTTTCCAGCCTCCCTTTTCCATTGGCTTTTTAATTTTAATTTTTTTTAAAAAAAAATAACCAAAACTTGAACTACCTATGTCTAACGACGGAGCGGGGCGAGACGCAACAGGTTGATGAGGGGTGGGAAGCATGTCAGAATTTTCCGGACTGGGTGGCGTTATTCTTGCCCCTCATTGCCTTAATCCTCATTGTTAAGAAGTGGGGACCCTGATCGGAAAAAGTAACCGCTCTTCGCTCGCCTGTGGCAACCTTTCTGTCGGAAGCTACGTTTATTTGGCAGGTGGATTTTGTCGCCATCTCAGACCTACAAGCTTCTTCCAAGGGAGCTGCTTGATCGAGCTCCCGCAGCGCAGGGCGCCGGATGCCGAGTTTTAAGTTTCTTGGTTAGTTGTTCAGCTTAATGGTAAAGGATTTTTCGGTAACGAATGCTGCTGTTCAAGGTGCTAACCTAAGATGGGAAGCTAGTTAAGATGGAGATGCTGCACGTGGCGAGCTTCCTGCTTCGTCGTTTTTGTGCTATAGCGAACTGAGGAATATTCGTAAGAACCATTTAAGCTATTGTTATTGGATCAACGTTCTATATTATTTAGTAAGAATCTAGGCTAATGGTTTAGTATGAAGAAAGTAGCAGATCCAGTCCACCGACATCGGCTGCTCTGAATGCAGATGTTGGATGCCATGAGTACCCATGCTTCCGAAATTCCCCCGTTGAGCTGGAGATACCCTGCAACTAGGTCTCCTAAGACAAATACTACATTACTAGAAGGGATACCGAAAGTGCCAAGCTTCAAGGCTGTTGGAACCTATCTTCTTGAAATCTAAGTTATAAACTGCAAAGTTTGAGCCCTGAAGCTTGGACCCACGTGAGCAATTTCATGATATTAGGCGCCCCCGTGAATAAACTCCGATATAATTATTATAATATGAGAAATAAGGTTCTGGCTATAAAAGCACAAGACTTAGATCACAGTCTGAGTGAAAAGAGAGATATTAGGAATTTATATCTACTTAAGTGGATATGTAGATACGCTCGTTCGCTTCTAGCACTGGTCTTGAGCTCGTTGTAAAATTTTTCGCACTAACTATAACCAAAGGACTTTGTTTTCAGCACGATAATAGTTATCTCTCGATCATATCTGTTCAAGTAAAGATACTCTTGTATTTTTCAATTACAGTTCACCTCGAGGCCTCAAGGATCTAAACTATTATATTTTCTATTAACCATCACTTCAGTTTATATATCCAACATATGTACATGTATAAGTAGATAAATAAATGGTTACACACATGCACGATCCCCGGAAAGATCAAATGCACATTCCTTCTAATAAGAATGGCTCGTAATGTGTAACCTCGCTTGACGTGATCTGCCATAAACGACCGAATTGTTTCTTTCCTTTCTTTCCTTCTTTCCCTCCTTCCTTCTTTCCTTTTTTCCCCCCCATGGACGGTTGAACAATGCTCTGTCATTCGCGTGGCAGTTGTCCTGACGCAAATCGGATTCCTCCTCCAAACAGGTTCTAACACGTGGATCATATCATGCGTATCAAAAGTTGGCGTGGTACGAACAGCAACATGCTAGTTTGATGGCTTGATAGTCATTGGTAGCGAATGTAGCACAGCTGCTGTAAATTGATAATTGGTTTCGGGTAGTGGATGCATATGAGTAACATAAGATCACAATGAATTCAAGGACGTGGGGGTTGTTGCACGTTGATGTTGTCGAGAAGTTTGGTTACATAATAATGCAACAATGTGCAACACAACGGGCCTACTCAAGGCTCTTCCAGTTCTAGTAGCCCATTACGAGACTAGTAGCTGATAGATATTGCTAGAAAGCGTTTTACTTCCATCAATATCTTGAATTAAGTAGTGGAGCCTATTTTTGTAGGCATTATTTCAAGGTTGAGGTTGAGATATATCGTGATGAGGAACGAGCTACTAGCTTTTAGAAGCAACATAACTATTCAACCCAGCGCTAGCTATATAGGTGCCCAGTACCTGTAATCCCAGACTAACTAAAACCTCATCGATCATCTAGATTGTATTAATCGCTTCTCCAGTGAATAAACCGACCACTTAGTAGCTCCTCTAGGTAGAGGGCAGTAATGCGAGCATATCAGCTGATAGGCATCTTTTCTAATCGAACATCTGATGTGGGGAATCACTGCAGACGGACTTGGCGGTTAGGAGTATGACCTGTCTAAGTACTCATATATAAGCTTACTTAGTTATATGAGCTCAAATGATGATATGATATCATAGCTGTAACTCTAGTACTACCTAGACTCCAGCTAAGCTCTATGAAACAGCCAGTTTCTTCTGCCCACCATCATCACTACCATCACCGCCATCACCACCACGTGCTACATCTACATCTACACATAACTTTGACCGACAACGTAATCTCACTCATAACGTAACCCACGCCCTAACATATTCTTCAAGCCCTCAAAGCTCCGCGCCATCTACGTCTCGTCGACCCACCCTAAAATCCTTATTTTTTCCCTTGTTTGCCCGCGTTCCTCACGTCCTTGAGTCTTTTAATTTCTTTCTCATGACATCCAATCCTTTCATCCCCAATTTCAGGCTTGGTCCTACCATTCGACTCCCCCCCACACACTACCCAGACCTCCCCAGAAACCCTTATCACGAGAACGATCTTCCTGCAAACTACTTATATATCACTGTCAGTCCCTCAGACGGGAGCAGTAGTTGCAGTTGCTCTTGTTCCACGTGTTCAGATCTTGAGCTTAAGCAGCCAGAAATACAATACGCTGATATGTCTGCTCCGACTACCTCCAACACGAAGGGGGTTGTTCCCAAGAAGGATGATGAATCTCCACCTCATCAAATCGGATTGTAAGTCCATTCAATTTCTGTTTCTCGACTTCGTTTGATTCAGTCCGATGAATTCAAGAAATCTAGGTGGTTGTGAGTCCAAGTTAACTGATTAATGTGATTACAGAGTCCTCGACTCCGAGGTAATCCGCATCACGGCTGGTGAAGACAAGCCAACCTTCTATGTCCACCGTGCGGTCTTGGAAAAATCCGACTCGCCCATCCTAAAGCAGGTCATCTCAGGTAAATTCAAAGAAGGCCGAGGCGAGAATGGGTTGGATTGGAGCTCTGAAGATCCAGAGACCGTTCGTCGATTTTTGACGTACCTCTACTCTGGTGACTACTACGTTCCCAAGCCTGAGCTTAAAAGGTCCGCCGATGAGCTCCAGAACGGTGTTGAATCGGGCTCCGGGACAGCTCAAGCTGGCAACGCTACCGAACAAGGAAAGAAATCCAAGACTGATCCGGATGAACAAGGTGTTGAACAAACCGGAGCTATTGTTCGTCCATTGACACCTGTCCAATACCATCTTGAGCACATTCGTCTTCCAACTTGGAGACAGAATACCGATGCCGGAGATCTCGAGCATACTCCACGCGCCGGGAAAGAGTTCGCATTCGGCGAGGCCATGCTTGCTCATGCTCGCCTCTACGTCTTCGCCCAATACCATCTCCTTAAACCGCTTGAAGTTCTCACTCTCCAACGTTTGACTCAAGTGATGGTTCTCGCTGAGACCCACTCCCACAACCTCGAGGCTGACATTCTCCCCATCGTCGAGTACACCTACCATGCTGATGATTTGAATCGCCCAGGAGACCTCTGCGAACTTGTCTCGCAATTCGTAGCCATCCACTTCCATCGTTTCGAGGGAGAGGAATTTTACGAAATCTTGGAAGCTGGAGGTGGCTTTGTTCGAGACGTCTGCTCTAAACTGGGGCGTCAGTTGATGGCTAATGAGTTGAAGTCTAGTGGAGGGCGAGGAAGAGTCGCCCAAAAGGCCTATGGGAAGGCGGGGAAGTTGAATCGTGTTCACCCACCCGGACCAGTAAGTTCTAATCGTCCTTTATCCTACACGGGATTTAAGTCAAGGAGGAAATCTTTCTTTTGCATCAACCCAATCTTCTCTTCTTCCCTTTTCTGATCCGTCTCAATTGCCACTATTATTATTACAGGCGAATGGAAACTAAAATAGTGTTCGGTTGGACCCGTCCTCGACAGTATCGACTTCCCCCTAATGTTCGCCCACCTGCTCTTCCGGAGAGTATTGCACAATGGTACAGTATCCTCGATAATCAACATGGATGGTGAATAATCTTTTCTGTGATATTTCGCCTTTTTTTCACGAGTTTGCGGTGGACTTACTAGTGTGGACGATGACTTTTCTTGTTTAATGCTTTTTTTCATGTCACAATGTTATCATTCTTGTCTCTTTATTTTCAAAGCCTAAACATCTTTTTCGTACCCCTACAAAGCTACGAGAAAAATACTGAGCAGCTTTCCCCTTAACGTTGTTTCAATCAAAACACCGGGACAGGGCAACGCCGCGATGCTCATGGCATGTATCTATTACAAGAAATGGTCTTTAAACCAATAAAACTATTGCTACTCCGATAAACTCCCCACCGAAAAAAAACCCGTCCTTAGCCCTGAAGTTGTTTGAACTTCCGCTCTACAACCGTCTCAATAAATTTTGTGAGCCATTCGACATTCCTAGTTCCATCTCCTGTGAAGTATGCCTCGACGCTTTTCTACAATTTGGGAAGAAATGTCAGTTTTCAGGATATTCGCCGCTCCAAGCCAGTGTAGATTATAAAAGACTCTAAAAGAAGAAAAGATGGAAGGAAGGGATGAAGCAAAATACATACCTCAACATACTTCCCAACCTGATCAACTTCAATATTTACCAACTCTCCAACCTCTTTCTTCGCGGTAACAATCTTCTCTTGAGTATACGCGATTAACATGACACCGAATTCGCCTTTGACATGATCAACATGAGTGATGGTCAAACTGGTACCATCAATGGTAATAAAGCCCTTCTCGACGATGTACCACACATTATGCATAAACTCAGCTGGGAATTTAAACGTAAAGCTAAGGGAATTCCCATCCGGAACCTTTTTAATAATAGTAGCAGTGCAATCAACATGCCCTTGTACCAAATGCCCACCGAAGCGGGAATTCGGCGGAAGCGGCTTGACCCCGCCACTACCACCACTACTACTACCTCCCGCCAAAACCTCAGATTTTAGATTTTCCGCAAGTTTGGAGGATGTAGACATGGCACGTTCGAGGTTTACGTGTGATCCGACGGCTAATTGACCGAGATTGGTACGTCGGAGGGTTTCGGGTGCGATACCGAGTTTGAAGGAGTCGCGTGCCTCGGATAAGGCGGTGATTGTGAGGCAGGTGCCATTTACGCAGATACTATCGCCGATGAGGGCGTCTGTGAGAATTGAAGCACATTCTGAGATTGTCATGGAGCAGCCATTGCCGCCGGAGGAGGTTGTGTCGAGGGGGAGGAGTTCGGAGACGGCTGCGAGGAAGGTTTTGATGTTAGCAGACTGTAAGACATGCGACTTTTCGTAACTCGAGTTTCTTTTTTTTTCTTCTTGGGTCATCTTACTTCCGACGGTTTCTAAATTGACATTTAACTTATCAGTTTATGTATTCTGGAAGAATGTTATATAATAGGTAGAGAGTGTTTTTGCAAACCTACGAGTCCGGTGAACATCTTTGCGGATTTGTGGGTTGAATTCTGATATCGGTATTGTTTTTTCCCTTGTGAAGCTTCTGGGGGGACGGCAGTTGTCGGTTATTTAAATAAAAACCCCAAATTTAAGAGCCGTATCGTAAATAATAGAGCTAATAGAAGCTAACTAAGGCGGTCGAGGTCTAAACAAGCCTTAAGCTACCTGGTCTCGATGTCATGGAATACACTAGAATCGAATCAGAAATCCAAAAAAAAAAAAGTATAGAAAAAAGGCGGCGGCATCGGAAGCCGGATGTCAAAGGATGGAATGCATACAATGCAGCCAAGATCCGAATCCATCGAACCCGCGGAGCTCGCGCAAGTAGCTCGGCCCAGACAACGCAAACCAACCGGGCAGCCGCGTATATACACTTAGAACGATGCGGCGGTCGAGACGCTTAGAAGCGCAGACTTCGTTAATTATTACTGAACTTATAAGGCTTATTGATCAATTGAGTTAATTAGAGAATGTTTAAACTTTTGTTACGAGCTAGAGGTCGGTCTAGCTTTATCTCCGGAGGTTATTTACTTTGTAATTTCAAACAGTGTATCATGTTAGTCTTAGTTCCAGCAGGATATCTATACCATAGCCTCGAATTATAAACCACCGTGAGAAATATATACAAAGACTTCTCTGTTAATCAATCACCGCTGGCCGCAGCTGGTCTGTCTGCAGAACGGTGTGATATATCAATGGCCGGCCAGTAGCCAGTGGGATTGATTATTTGGTAGCCGGCTGTTACACGACGTGCACATTCCGGCAGCATGTGACCGACGTGACACCCCTGTTACTGCCTCCGTCTGCCCTATTTCGGCCGATTGCCAATCCCGGTTAGGTGACACACGGCATGCCGACAACATACCCAACACAGGAACAGGAAACTCCAAACCTTCGAAAAACAATCCAACAGATCGAAACGGATTGTTACCTAGGTATCCTTGTATAGATTCGCGAAGACCAATGTTCGATTCTTTCAATTTACTAGCCGATGCGAGTCTTGGTCTAGTAGCCTGAATTAATATTACTATTGCTATTTTGATTAATCGATTCACTGGCCATAGCGCTACTAGCTACTATTCTTACACCATACCATCCCTTTCAGACCGACACAAACCCTCTCCTCATCAAACAACCAGAGTTCCTCCGGGTCGTCTAGCTGTGGTACCCTGACTTTGTTCTCAGCGATGATAGACTCGATTTGCATATCAATCTCATCCATACCCAACAGTTCTCCATAGATAGTCGAAATGTCCTCAATCTCGTCCAGTAACCAATCGTCTAATTGCCCTCCACTAGTTTTCATCTCGTTCAAGACTTCCTCTAGAGCCACTATCTTTGCCTCTTCATCAGTAGCTTCGTCTAAAGCAATATCTTTTGCTTTTTTCAATTTATCCTCGATTGTTAGCCCTGCTGTATCTGGGGTGGTACCGTAGCTCTTCCCTTCCTGTTGCAGCTGTTTGACAGTTGATATGTCCTCCTGGAGTGCGAATGTAATCGCCATCCTTCTATTTTCGATGGAGATATTCAAAATGACAATTCTCGGTGACATTTGAAGCATTGGTATCGTTGACTTCCATCCGATTCTTGAATTGTTGAGGAACAAGCGTAGCTTATCCACGCGGAATGGATGTTTCAAAACTTTCTTCTTCTCCTTCTTGCCCTTCTCAACAATTTTAGCAACAGTTCCGACGGCAGTAACTGCTTCTGCTGCTGGCTCTTTGTGAGATGGTAACAAGACGACGGATCGAGGTCGAGGGGATTCATTCTCGACAAGTGTAGCCGATTGGGAGTGGAAATCTTGGTCCTGATCGGTTTCAAGAAAGGTTGTAGTAGTATTTGAAATCTCTATCGGTTCGCTAGAGAAAGAATCTTCGATAATTGGAACTGGTGCTTGAAGACCTCCTGACGATAGAGAGCTGGCTTCGGGTGGCCGGCGGGAAGATACTGCATGTAACTTAGCACGAAGCCTTGCAGCAAGATCCGTTTCAGCACTAACATCGTAGTACCTTGGTGCCGAAATTATTTGGTCGAAGGATGACGAAGACCCATGGCCCTCATGTCCTGCTTGAGGCGCGTCCAGATTCTCCTTTTTACTGTTGGAGAAGCGAGGAATTCGACTTGGCCTTGGAGGGCATATGGAAAGGGCTGGCAAGTTATGTGGAGATGGCCGAGGCATTTTGAAATCAATGCGACCCCCAGGCAACTGTACTGGAGAGACGATGATTATGATGATGATGATGGTGATGGTGATGAGGGAAGCAAGGAACGGGAAAGAATGCAAAGGAATTGAGGAGGCCAGAGGAGTTGGAAAATTGGGCATAACGCTGTTCAAATACTAGGAAAGTGAATCATTATGCTCGGCTTATAGTTATATAAGTTCAGGAATTATGGATCCCCAGCATCTCTCAGATTCGAGGGCGCTGTCACCACCGCTACATCTCGTAGAATCACCCAAAGCAACTACTTTGTCTCGTATACGTACCCTTCCAGGCCTGGGTACGAGACAAGCAACTATCTGATAAACTTCAAAATTATTTCATAAAGCCGCATTTGTATATACACTTCTTAATCTTGAAGGAAGTCAATCGATAGTGTACTATAGACAAACCATAGTATCGAATATATAGTAATCAAGATCTTGGAACTAGGATTTCGCCCAGTAGCCAAGCGTAAAAAACTAACCAGTTCCAAACTCGTGTAACGTTAAAAGTGGGTTTAGCCACAGTTGATGAGGTCTGGGCTACAGTTCGGCAAGGCAAGGTTTAACCGTGGCAAGGAAAATCGGGCCTATACTTACGTGTATTCCAACAAAGTGTTCGTTTGAGCCTTTTCTAGATTCGATACCTCCACCTAGTAGTCTTGCATTTACACCTAGCTTTGTCAGCTCGTTACGTTCTATTCTTCTCATTAAAAGCCCTCAAACCTCGCGGTTGCTAGCTTTTCACGCAGACTTACACCTTAACTCATATAATAGATACGTATATTGAGCGGAATAAATACTCGACGCCTTCTCTCCCATGGACCCACGAGGTCCACCGCACAAGAGCACTTTTCTTAACTGTTTGAGCAATATCGAAACCACAAGGGAAGATCCCTATAAGGACATAATACCAAAAACTCGTACGCTTTATCCACGTTTCCAGAAGATCCCCAAATCCTTACAGCCTTCTCAGGCTTTCAAAAATCCGCCAAAATCTAACGGCACTCGCCGCCCGCCATGTGGCCAAAATGTACTCGTTTTTCTACCACGGCGTCCATACTGTTGGTCCTCGTTGCGCAATTAACCAATACCCAGTTGGTTATTCCGGAAACTGCAGAGTCAACCAATATCGCAACTCAGGCTCTTGTCTTCTACTTTTCTGATGGGACGACATACGGTTATACGGATTACGCATATGGATGGAATGGCAATTGCAATAAGCTATACAGCCCGGCACCTGGGAAGGCAACTGTGGACTACGTTGAATACTTACCCGAATCATCAGCAGTTCCTGGGGTTTTCTCCAGGAATGTGGATGATCCAGATATTGGGCGGACAGAAGGTCTAGAGCTAAGGAAAGTAATAATATATCGGGACGCTCACTGCACCGAGGAGATCGTGGAGAAAGTCCAAAAAGAGGAGAGCGAAGATGGAAAAGAGGTTTCGGAAACTATAGAAGTTCTGGAGTCGATTGAGTTGGATGTTCAGGATAAGATCCAGGAGAATGGAAAGGGGAGTGAAGGAGAACAAGATGCCGTTCATTCCGATTCAACACATGTATTCTTAAACGATCAAGGGCTAAATTTAGATTCACCGGCAAGTTTCAGGCTCATACTTGGAAGGAAGACGACGTTACCTACCCTGATTGACCAAATCCCAATAGAAGGAGCATCAGAAGAAGGATCCTCAATAAACGAGAACCCGGCCAATAACGAAACTCAAGAACAACCGAACCCACCCGAGATCGCAGGTGAAGAGACCTCAAATGCACCAACGGAGGAGATACTAACCGAAGAAGAGGGAGAGATTATAACAGATTCCACATCCTCAGACGGAATCCTTATCGAAGAGCAAGCAACTGAAGAGTCTAATACATCAATTACTACCCCGGGTCAAGATCGCGATTCCGAAGAAACCAGCTCTGACGGAAGCTCCCCCAATAAGCACTCCGATGAAAACAATTATATGCCCAGTATTAACGAAGAAAGTCGTAATGACGATAAGGGACAGATCTTCAACGAAGGGAGCCCCGAACAGCCCGCTTCAGAAGATCAACAATCTAGAGCAAATGAAGATACCGGAAAGTCGTCGACCCCACAAAAAGACGATGAAGGTAGTGCAGAGAAAAAGTCCCATGAGGAAAACGAAAAAATAAACACGACAGATGAGTACTTTACTGAACTCGAGATTGAGGAAGATGATGACGAGGAAGAGGAAGAGGAAGAGGAAAGGGGGGAGGGGGAGGGGGAAACCGAAGGTGAAGAAAAAAAGGCTGAAGATGAGGATGAAGAGAAGGAGCAAAGGAACAGCTCCAAACGACCAGTATACAACATCTTCAAAAACATAGAAACAGTGGTCGAGGAGCAGCATGACGAAGAATTCAAAGAAGAGATACATGAAAAGCCACAGCCCGAGGAGGTGCAAAATAACGAAACAGAACAAATAGAAAAGCACAAAGAAACAGAAAGTGAGCCGTCTGTCACTCCGACAGAAAATTCCGCCTCAATGCCCTCCGAAACCGTGCCCTCCGAAACCGAACAGCTAGAAGGAGTTGAAAACAATCAGACTAAAGAATCTGCCCCGCAAGAGCCTCTCCAAGAGATACCCACGGAAAACCAGGAAAGCCCGCCACCAACCGAGGAACAACAATCAAAATCACCATTTGAAGAATCCGAAGAAATTACCGCAGACAGTCCCCACCCAGAAGTTACTCCGCCTCCAAAGGAAGGACCCTCAGTTGCTGTAGTCACTGTAACAGTCCATGTCGGAGAAGAGAACACCCCAGAACCAACTTCAGTTGAAGAGAGCCCAACAGCCACCACAGAAAATACGGAATCCCCCACAGTCGAAGAAACCGCGGTGGAGACGACCCCTAATGTTCCAGGGTTGACTTTTACCCCCGACTCCGAGTACTGCGATCCGAAGCAGCCCGACTCTTCCTGCTATGTTGAATGTGACGTTGAAGATCCTTACTGCTGCCACCCGACAGACAAAGACTTCCCAGATTGTTGCGATCCTGATGATGAGGAATGTTGGAGGCATCAGTTCATTCTTGACAAACCCGATGAGGCTACACCTGCCACTACCGAAAGCCAACCAAACCAAACCACTGAGGCACCCCCTCAGGCGCAAGAGACACCAGCAAAAGAACCAGAACCCACTCTAAATGAAAGCGCACCGGAACCAGAAAAACAAGAAGTTGCTCCGCAGCCAGCAAAAAGGGACCAGATCCCGACTGGCCCGAGTGTAGGACACTTTAGCAGAGAAATTTCAAACCAAGATTTAACATTTAAGCAATTAGCGAAGTCAAGGTTATTAAGGTTCTTACGTTAGAGAATGACTATAATTATACGACGGGGATGTATGTCATATACTTTTGCTTGAATGAATTAATGAAGAGTAGCCTCCTTTCCCCTTGCTATTGCAAATCATGAATATATTGCAACAACTTAAATAAGTAACGGTACCCATCTATTTTTATTCAAACCGTGATTTAGGGCGATGTTGGGACTGAGCCGCCTCTTGCCTCCTGTGCGACGAAATCCTTGTTGCATTTTAATGCTTCGGGGTGTTCGACTTGTGTTGCCCGACCAATTCGAGCTAATTCTGGTAGCAGGTCCAGAGTATGGAGAGCAGCCATATCCGATGCATGATGTGCCCCCAAGATGATGAGTACATTTCAGGCCTGGGTAACTAACTCCAAGCCAAAGGTGCTAACAGTTGCTAAAAGTTGCTCGAGTGTGTCAACTATGAAACCCTCCCTAGAGCCAATTATGTATATAGAAGAGGTAGTAAAAAAAGGTAACAAACCTCAAGCATATGCGCATGGGCCAAACAATATAATATTATCAAGCTTAGCTTATGAGCATAGGGGGATCGAGCACCCTGATAGAATAAAAGCCCATCCGTAGCCTAGTTTAGCCCATTCGCATAATCTCTATAAGCCAAGGACAGTAGCTTTTGAGGTAGTACATTTGTGAACCTACTTGCCGGCGGCCGTGGCGGCACTTAAACCCAACTGCCGTAGATTCAGAATTATAACTTTGAACCACAGTGTTATCACCTCATAGCTACTTAATTACTGTTACCATTATATCTCAGTTACTAGTAGGTTTACCTACAGATTTGTCTATTTTTTGATTTCATCGAAGCAACATGTATGCCTCCAACACGCATGTATCATGTAGTTATCAACAACAAACCAAGTTGTAAGCCGTCAATAGATACCGTTCTGGGAGCGTTCGAAATTCTAGGACAGTAATATAGGAGCGCTTGCGGCATATCCTGAAACCGAGACTGTGATATTCTCGCCACAAAGTTGGCCCAATTTCGAATCGAACTGCTATTTTCCGGTAGTTAGGAGTTGAAACCTTAGGCCTTTGGATTTTTGCCTTTAGCTAATCCATTGATTATGAAATTAACATACTTTTTTTTCTAGCGAGCTCCTTTTCGGGCCATGTGGAGAACATACGAAGATATCTGCATGTCAAAAGCGCGATATATATGATAGCAAATTGTAAAACTAGGGTCCAAAAGTTCCCGGGTAGAGTTTCGAGTTTTTCCGAGGACGTTACATTAATTACATACACATCCGTCTACATAAGTCGAGAGACTTAAGTACGCATGCAGTAGCATCTATAAATTGAAAGGCGCGATCCATGTTAAAGCCGGTTTTACGTTCAAACATATGCATTTGCATGTACTCCAACTTTAATCCGCATATAGCTCTTGAGTTTATTTACATGCGCCACAACAGCAAATTTCACCAAATCTCAGAATATATCTTACGTATACGCCAGAAATTTATTTTTTTGTGCAGTTTGCACAGAGATCCATATGATCACGCCAGAATATGGTGGGCCCGTACCCAGTGCTCTTCTTCTTCGGCGTGATATAAACAGGAGCTGATCACCAGGTATTTTCTATCATGATTGCTCGAGCTCCAGAGATTGAATATGTCATAAATATTAATATTACATCCTACAACTAGCTATATACAAATATAACCTCTCTTGAATATTACAAGAAAACAAAATCCCACTAGTCTACGCGCAAAATCTTGTGCGTCGTATTCAAAATATGCTTTTACTCTACATATTAATATTTTATTCACTGTTTCCAAAAGGATTGTCGGTGCCCTTCTCAGAAGCACCCACTTCAGTCCTCACATCAAAACAAGCAACTACACTCGCTACAACCATACCATCTACAACTATTAATGCGAAGGTGACAAACAATCCCCAAGGGGAAAAGCCCCCCCAAGAACATAATCTACCAGATGTGGGTTCCCGGGATAGCCTTGAAAAAGAACCCAAGCGCGCGATCGACCACACCATTTTCTGGGCTCCGTGGAGAGTTATTTGTCCATCTACCGATGCTATTTTAGCGATGCCTCCAGACCCCAGATCATATCAAATGATCAATAATCTTCGGAGACCTGACTTCCGATCACAGAAAACTACTAGGGTGCGACTTAATATAAGCTCCCGCAAGTACAAGTGTATTCATTGCATCTGTAGCGCAGATGGCGATGTAATTCCGAATGAAGCCAATAGCCCTGATCCCCGTACGAACCCAGGGCAGTATCGTGTGAATTGCAACACGTGGTCAGATGTAGAAAAGTGCAGAGATTGGTTTAGTAAGACCGCCTTTACAAGTCCTTTACAGCACCAACTAGGCTCATAAATTTTAAATAAAATGATACTAACTCTTCGACAGACTGTCGTTGTCGTACAGAAATGCTAAATCCTTTTCGGGACAAAGGTGTCCCACTGTCTGAATATCAAGACGCCCTGAACAATATTCCCTTCTTCGTCAAGCAGCATTATCCAGGCTTTCGCTGGAAAGAGGATGGCTTAGATATGAGTTGGACCAGCATGACTGCTGGAAACTCCAGAACTCCCGAAAATCAGCAAGTAGAGCGATGGCTGGTCCCTGGAACAGCTGAACCATACTACCTAGAAGGCAAGAACCAGAATCCCCAAACGGAGTGGATGACAGGTTTACTCCCGGGGCTCAAAGATGGGTATTCAACACCGTGGGCCATGAATCGGGAATCTAGTTTTATTAAGCGGCGTTCAGTAGATAGTTCGGTGTTTGCTAGTAGTTCCGGTCTTGAGAACGACTCTGAAGGGCAACCGCCAGTTTGAGTCTCCAGACGTGGACATCCCTATGCTTAAATTATAGGCTGGCTCGTCAACTAATAGCCTAGATTGTCTTCTGACTCACCCTACTACCAATATCCTTATATGCATATGGGCAACTAAATCAAAGCAGCCTCGAGACCAGGCGCAGGGAGAGGGCGGGGAAATCAAAGTTTGTAGCGGAATCGATGATGCATGTACTAGCTAGCTAATTTCCTATAGGGTTATATGATTGTTAACTTTATATCTGTTGGTTGAAACATAGTTCCGGTGCGAAATCTTCCCTGTAGTTCCTGAATTGAAAACAATAAATTCATGTACGCACTTATATAATATCTCCTTTGCGGCCATACCGGAGGCGCTGTATAGGACAATATTATCATCAAAACCGTTCTTTCATAACCGATTGTATTCTGGAAATTAAATAATTAGATAAATCCGAAAGAAAGAAAACTGTAGCAGATATATTGAGATTTGAGCAGCATGCAAGTCTTGGGGCGAGGTTTTCCAGTAAGTCCAGTAGGTATAGTGTAGTCGCCAATTGATCAAAGCGTTTACATATGCATATGCGAATTTAAGAGAGGTTAGTAAGGGTTGGTAAGGTATTAGGTCGGCGCCGGCTACTCGTTCGTTTTAATTGATAGATCACATGATAATTTTACTATTTAAAATATGTATCGAACTACTTTTAGTGTGTTGGTATCTACCGCATGCACAGTGTAAATCTAACGACGAAGCTTTTTAATTTATGTCTACCTTGCAGTATTGGCCCCCTTAATTAAACCAGATTTCATGGTCTACAGGAAAGCTCACACCCAAGTGGTATATATTCGAGATATAAGAATATGACTGCACGAATGATAAATTTGAAAAACAACAAAACGGCCAGCGTGGGACTGAGAGAAGAGAAATGCACAGCTGGTGTTACAAGATAGAACTTTTATTTTTATTTTTCATTTTCCGTAAACTTTTTTTAAGCGAAAGACGAAATGAATCCTCCAGGATGGGGGGATAGGGCGATATTCCTTCATAATTCTGAGTTCCCCCGTCTGGCTTCGAATCTCCTGTATTGGGGATAGTGCATGAGTCCTACGTTCTCTAGATTTCTGAACAAAGATTCCTGTTCCAGATATTGGAATCTCGAAATCTCTCTTAGAGAATTTTCAATTCTTTGTTTAATTGGTTACTGAATTGATGCATGTCGAAGGGATAACAAAAGAATCGAGAGACGTGGAAAGTTCTAACTGACCAAAAGTTAGCCTTAATATATCATAGTAGAGTTTTCTCGGAATGTGTATCAAGTCTACCCACCTTATTGGGTGAATTCTACTATGGATTTTCACTGTCTCGAGGGCCCAGCAACATCTCAAGGGTGATAGATTCCCTGGATTTATATGCTGAATTGACCTTTCCAGAGCTAGAATTATGATAATGCCTACTTGAAGCATCCAGCTCGTAGACCATGGGGCCAAAAGTGTCAATACCCGGAAGCGAACAGGGGGTATCTAGTGAGGCGGAAATATTAGTACGTAAGAGCTTGGGGGTCAACTTGGAAGCACTGTAGCATGCACAGGCTTGGTCACCCGATAAGGCTGGGTTTGGTAGGTGTAGACGTACTATCATATCTTTGAGTATCCTCACCCACCCATCCCGTAGTCGCACGTTCGTCTGTATGCGTGGAGGCTTGAGTACTCGATGGTGTAGCAGCGAGACTCGGCAATGGAGCAATAGGGCTACGTAATTGAGCGACACTACCCCGCAGCATTGTGGCTAGCCAGGTCAAAGCATAGACAAGGGCCTCCCCAACGAAAATTAGACTGTCTACAAAAGCCATTGTACTTATGTCACCGGCGGGGGTAGTGTTTCTAAGGAAGAATCAGAGTCTAAGGATTTGAGAAATTTGAAGCGCTGAAACTTTTTTAAGAAGGCCGATAAGCTAGTATAGGTAGAGGCGGAAATGATTGAGCGACCGATTTACTTTGTAATTGGAAAATAATAAGAAAAGAGTAGAGAAATCTGAAGGGATAGAGGTAATATATACCAATTTTCACGCCCGGGCCGGTCAAGGGGAATGATAAGCTTGGAAAATCGATAACACGGTTACAGACCGAACTGCATCATGGTCTGCCTTAGAATAACACCCGACAAAAGTTTGTAATGCTAGGGACTGTGAATCTTGAGCTCACGCAAAATGCTAGAACTGCCCTATTGGCCGAGATGATGCATGGACTCAAGGGGAGAAAAGATTGCTTCCAGGCACATTATTCTATTGGTTTTTTTGCGGAGTTGTACAAAGCTCGCACCTGCAGCCTCCCGATTTGCTATCTAAGCCAAATTCATGAGCGACCGTTTGAGGCGAGTTTGTGGCACATTGTTGCTTTTGTCATCTAGTGCGTCTCTTTTTTGGCATCGTTTTACGAAGCTACTGTCTTTCGGAATCGAAAGATCGAAGAGGCATGCCACTAATTGTTGAAAATTAATTCAATTGCCCAATTCTTTATGTGGGCCATCAGGGCTTGGATTCTCTTTTGGGAGCTTCAGGGAGAATTTGCATGCACATATGCTGTTACCGACCTTCTATGATGCCCTAACAATCAGAGCCCTGTTTCATGCTAAGCCATTGAACTCGTCGTTTACGTACATTCAAGGTTTATGTAAAGCATGTAAACATTGGGGCCCAAATATTGAACGAAGCGTCAGTTATTATCATGCCCTAGCGAGCCAGAACTGAGCTAAAGCTTAAGGTTCTCCGGGCTTAATGACAATAACTAGAATCCTTCAATTTACACATGAGCACACCTCAAGATTAGCTTAAGGTACGCGAGCTTGCTCCTATTGATCAATGAGCCTTCCTGCAATAAGAATTACACATATGACCCCATCCAGCATTCCTCGGATGTTAACCAATGAGCTAGGTGAAAAAGCAGGCAAAGTGTCGCGCCGGAGAAAAAGCAAATAGGGTTCTCCACCCAAGGAATTTACTACTTCCAAGATTTTCCTTGCGATAAGAGCTCTCTCTTGAAGCCATTTACAAACGATTCGTGTAACCGACAATCATACTTCTTAGGCTAGTACGTTCTGAAGGGATGGGCTTTCCTTATTTGAAAATGTATCATGCCATAACCCGATCCAAAACCACCTGAAGTCTTTACGCCCTTGGACAAATGATTAGAAGGTATGTACTATTGAACTATTACATCGAAATAATTGTGATATCTCATATGATCACCCCAAATCACCCATGAGTTGCTAGGCAAATTGTACGGCGTCGCCTTTGGATTCTCCCGAAAACATACCAACAGGAGCGATACGGGGCGTCCGCCAGACTATGCAGGACCATTTACTGTGTAACGACAAATTGGAGCAGAATGAGTGTTAATGCTAAAGGATCCCTTAGGATTTCTATTTTCTGTATTTTTTTCTCTTTTTACGCGTTTTCAGGTACGGGACAAGGGTTTTCATTAGTGTTTCTATTTGTCTTTTTTTTTTTCTCCCTTGCTGATTATTGTAGACATGTACCACAAGAAAGCTGCAGGAACAATCAGTAGCCTAAGGGTCACTTTGATAATATCACAGTCGCTTAGTTCAAGAATCGGAGGTCTGAATTCTTCATAGAGACATATCTTAATTAATTTTGACGGCGAAGATTTCCGATCCCAAACATTCTGCTCCGAATTTCTTTTTTTCTTCTAGTTTTTTTTGTTTTTTTTTTGAAAAAAAGAATAAGAAAAGAAGAATTAACAACAGAAAGAAGTGGAAGAGAAAAGATAAGTATGAAGATGCTGAACCAGCCAAATATTCGCAGCCTCTGATTACTACCATGAGGTGTCCAGTCCGGAGACCAGACTTATGTCCGAGCAAGGCTGAAAATACAACAGAAGAACCGAGTTGTGTTAGTCACGTGATTAGAATGAAGGTTTGGCACATCTTCGCTTTTGTGTTGTTCCCAGAAGGACCAGAACAGAACAGATATCACGAAGTTTAATACCTAGTCGCGCGATCCTCAATCCAGCTCCACCAGCTCCTCTGAAGCTCTAGATCCGCCCGCTTCACCAGAAATTAGCACCCGCTTCTCAACCTCCTCCCTTCTCTCCTTCCGCTAGGAACAAAACAATGCTTTCTGCACTCTCTGCCTACCAGCCCCGCCAGCTTTTGGCGCAGGTTCTCAATTTCGGTCTGATCCTCTCAACGGCCTTCATGATGTGGAAGTCTTTGTCATTGGTCACCAACTCGCCGTCGCCTATCGTCGTGGTACTTTCCGGATCTATGGAACCGGCTTTCCAACGTGGAGATCTTTTGTTCCTGTGGAATCGAGGTGTAGATACACAAGTTGGTGAGATTGTGGTGTTCAACATTCAAGGGAAATCCATCCCGATTGTGCATAGGGCCTTGAGGAAGCATGTTAGCCGGTACGTTGGAAAGCTCAGCATAGACCTCCCCTCCCCCTCCTCAGGCGGATCTATATCCAAATACTCAAACAAGTTAAAACATACCACTAATCTCAAGTATCATTGATTTATTCATGTTTTAATAGACCATCGGCAAAGCAATCTAAATCTCGTGCATATCCTCCCCTCAAACTCCTCACCAAAGGAGACAACAACGCCCAGGACGACGTTGTCCTCTATACACCGGGACAGCACTACATCGACCGTGAAAAGGAGGTCATCGGAAGCGTCAAGGCATATGTACCTTTCGTCGGCTACGTTACAATATTGTTGTCCGAACACCCAATGGTGAAGACCGTGGTGCTGGGTATTATGGGCTTATTCGTGATACTTCAGAGGGAGTAGTGTGTACTTCTACGGAGATAGACAAGTTCGACATGTTAAACAGTAATTTGTAGCATCTTATAATGTTTGATACCTCTACGGAATGCTTTGGGCTAAATCAATACGGCAATTACAAAAGTTCAGGACCTTTATAGGTAGTTAGTCCTTATTCATTAGTTTTCTAAGTACCTCAGTATTGCAATATCTTACAAAGTCTTCCATGGGTATCACGCTTTTGAATCCGCACACACAATGCCAGGTTGCATTCGAAAACCGCCTTACTTCTAGACCTCTTCTTTATCCATGTTATCTCTCTTCCCCGTTCTCATCTTCCTCCCAGCTCCCTTCTCCTTCTTCTTCTCTTGCCATTCTTTTACCTCTTTAATCGCTTGCCTCTGCGCCTCACCCACACTTTCAGCCAGCAGGCTAACCTCCCCCTTCTCAACTTCCAAAGCGTCTAGCTTCTTTCCCAATGCCTTCTCAATCCTTGTGAACTCTTCAATATCGTACTGAGTGACCAAATTCACACACACACCACTTCTCCCAGCTCTCGCCGTTCGGCCGACTCTATGGATGTATGTCTTAGAGTCCCCCGCAATATCGTAATTAATCACATAATCCACAGTAGGAATATCTAATCCTCTAGCAGCAACATCTGTTGCAACCAGAATATTCCTAGCTCCAGCTTTAAACTTGTTTAACGCCCCCAGTCTTCCGGTTTGGCTTAGTTGTCCATGGAGTGGAATTGCCGAGCAACCTAATAACCGTAATAGGACACTAATTCTTTGGGTGTCCATAATCGTCCTCGTGAAAATTATCATCGTCTTCCCAGCAAACTTTTCGGCAACGAGGTAGACTAGATATGTATCCTTGTCCTTCTGAGGGATGAGCATGAAGTACTGCAGAAGCGACTTGACAGTCTGGTATTTTGAAGACACAGCAACTCTGACGGGGTTGGTGAGGGACATCCGCTGCAATCGCTCAACTTTGTCGGTCATGGTGGCGGAAAATAGATATGTATTTCGCTGCGGCGGTAGAACTTTAAGGATCTTTTCGATAATAGGGCCGAAATCGAGGTCCAGGAGACGATCAGCTTCGTCCATAACTAAATATTTTATGGAACGTAAAGAGAAGCCCTTCGTATTTTCCAGATGGTCCAAAAGACGACCCGGGGTAGCAACAATGATATGTGGGCGTTTCGAAAGCGCTATAGCTTGCGGCATCATATCCATTCCTCCGACTATAACACATGTTTTGACACCAAGCGAACCGCCAATAGCTTCGGTTTGTTCCGATATCTGAAATGCCAGTTCACGAGTCGGAGCCAAGATGCAGGCAAAGAGTGTGGAATGGGGGGAATGGTATAAAGCTTGAAGGATAGGAAGTGCAAAGGCCGCAGTTTTTCCAGAGCCCGTTTCAGCAAGACCTATAAGATCTTTACCCGCTAGGGCGAGTGGGATGGAAGCTTGTTGAATCGGGGTGGGTTTGTGGAATTTCAGAATTTCGAGGGTTTCGCAGAGTTGGTCAATGATTTCCTATAAATTATATCAATATAACCGCAAATTTAGAGCAGAAGCTGAATGATAAGCTATCGACTCACCAGCTCCTTAAAAGATTTAGATTCTTCTTCTTCCTCTCCTTCGCCCTGGACTACATCCTCGCCAGCTTTCTCTGTACCAGTTTCCTCGACATCGCTATCCCCCGACGACTGCTTCTTTCTCTTCTTAACATCTCCATCACTTTCATTCTTGGTGCTACTCGACTTTCCAGAGCTCGCATTCTGCGCCTGTGCCTGTGTATTCTTCTTGATCGAAGCGACAAGATCCGACAAGGATGGAGTTGTCGATGGTACTAGCTCGTCCTCATTCTGAGGTTTCGAAATCTTTCTCTTCTTCGTTTTATGCTGTCTATCGCGTTCCATATTGGTGTCTCTCGGTATTAATTGGTGCTTGTTGCTTTATTCCGTGCGGTCCAGCGTCAGAGATTCGGTAATAATAGTACTGGTCGAAGCAGGCGCAGGATCTCTGAGAAAAAAAGGTTGGACTGGAAAAATTTCAAGCCGCGAAAACTAAGTCGTCGCACAAGCTTGGCTTGGCGATCACTCTCGCTAGTCCTATTCAGGTAATATGGCAGTTTATAACACAAACAACGCGAAACTCGACCTAACAGGTGGCAGGCAACACAAATGCCACCAGCTTTGTGTTGTGGCACAATGCAAGAGTCCCAATCGGCTTGACTTCATAGTGACAATTCCTCACCTCGGGAACAGTTACACGGCAGCAACATGTTCGATTGCCGGTCCTAGTCGTCCCGCTAGCACTGCTACAAGGGCCGAAAGTTCCACAACCCGGAATACCTTGTTCTCGTCGTCTCACGAAGTAGATTATGTAATATAAGGCTGACAGGGTAATTCGAAGCGAACTAATGTGTATTAATTATGTATTACAAGAATTTAGGTATGATATATATTCCTCCAAAGTATATCCAATAGATATGAGAGCTTCAGCTCCGCCAAAGCCGCTAAGAAACGAAACTGGCCGACGCTTTTCAGTTTATAAAAAAAGTATCAACCGTGGTATCATAAAGATGCGCTTAAAAAAGACAAAAATCCAAATCGCCTGAAAATGAAGGTGATGCCGACATCAATGCCATGCTAAAATGCTAAACGAGAAAGAAAGAGGGTAAGAAACGAAGATAAATATAAAGGGAACAGAAAGATAAACTCCAAGGCCGCTTGCCTAACAATTATGCAATGCGTATTGATAAATAGCATAAACCCGAAATATCAGAAAACGGAAAGAAAGAGAAGAAAAAATACCCAAAAACCCAGTTGCAAATATTGAAACGTGCCATCCAAAAATTCGTCGCTCATAAAATCATCTAGACCCCGTGGTCTTTTCGCATGTGTGTCTTTAAATTTCCTTTTCCTCTTGGGCCGTAGAAGACACGATCGCACCCACGATTCTCGCAATGGTAACTTGCTTCTCTAGTCGCTAAATTTCCATGCTTCGTCCTTTTATGTCTACTAAGATTACTAGACGTAGACGCAAACTCCTCACACCCAGGAACATCACAGTACAATCTTTTTCCCGTTGTTGGAACAACTTTTCGCCGTCTGGCAGGGAATGAAGTGGCTCCATCACCCTCAAGATACTTCCTCTTTCTCGACTTCGATGCTTTGCCTTCCTGTACACTGGCAGCTGGTTGGGGTTTGATAACTGTCGGCACTGCAGGAACTTGCGGTCTAGAATAAGAGAAATAATCTGTTGGGAAACTGCCGGCGTTGGCCCTGCTCGGGTTGGTATAAAGTTCGTCGGGCGTAATGTTGGTACTATTCGGGTTACTAAAACTCGTTTCACTGCCCTGATGACCTCTCGGAGAGTTCTCCCACATGCTGTCGTAGTTATTTGGTGAGCTGGAGGAAGCTGTGCTATAAGGTGGGGAATTTTCTTGTGCAACCACCTTTTGTGGACTTGGTGGTAGTAAAAGGTTGTCGATGGTGCAGGTGCTGAAGTTCGTTTTCTGTGGGGAGAGATCTTCCATTGAAACGTCTTTGAATTCGTCAATCGGCACTCCCAAGTTCTCCGGAAGCGAGACATGGCCAACGGTTGTTGGCTCCTCCTCGACCCTATCCTCTGAAAACCAACACAGCTCTCGTCGAACCCTCTGATCCACATACTGCAGACTATAATCCACATCTTCAGGACTCCGACAAGCGCCCCAAAGACTGTCGGGAACGAAAGTCGCACATGAATTGCAATGCCATACAATGGCATAGACGAATGCATACAACTCTTCTTGGGTCCTTCGGCGGACACGAGCGAGATTGACCATGTGGTTCTCAAATTCCCGGATAGTAGATATGTAACCTTGCTTGAGCATAGAGATTGCGCTAGAAGTCACGCTACTTCCACCAGAATAGTTGTAGCTATTCAAATGCGACACAACGTCTCGTTGGAGATGGAACTCCAGTTGGGTTGGCTCTGCGGAAACGGCCCTATCTTTAAATTTGATTCGTGCTCGCTTCTTGAAGCTCGAGGCAAGGGAGGTGCATAGACTCCCGCACAAGTACGCGAATATCACTCCAGTTTCCTTAAGTTCTGTTATTCGGTTAGCCTCCATTTTCGCTCCTAATGTTAATCCCGGGTACGTACCTTTCAGCCACCGCACTAGTATAGCGAATACACCGCACTGGATCACATCCTCCCACGAAGACAAGACTTGCGATGTTTCTTCTCTCCCCTCAGAGGGCTGTGTTTCAGTGCCACCTCCAATGCACAATAGCTTTGGATCGATCGTCATCTCGGTGTCTTCACTGTCATGCTGAGTTTCGCAATGATTCCTCATGAAATCCTTGAGACCTTCAACTTCGTTCACTGTGCAACCCACTTTGTTCAACGCCCCATTACCATCCCAAGTCTCGATCCACTTAAGCGCAAATTCTAACTCCTCCCACATAACAGAAGCAATTTCATCAAAGATATCCCTTTCACTTGGCATCCCCGGAATCTCTGAAATTTCTGGGAGGCAAGACCGGAATACAGAAAGACCTGCTTGAAATTCCAGAATGTTTGACTTTTCAGGCGAGAGGGACTCAGATTGTGAGATTGCGTACGCGACATGAAGGAAGCAGTAAACCATTTTTAAGGAGCGAGGGACATCTCCAGCAAGGATCATGTCAACCACGTCCATACCGACTTCTATGATATCGGATACACTGCGAAGAGATGCGACAAACTGTTTGAACTCGCTGGAGGCGTTCGTACGCATCGTACCAGCTTGAAGCTTTTCGTACGCCTTATTCGCTGCTGTGAGGAAGCGGGTGTTCATTGAGGCTAGCTTCACTCGAGAGACCTCCTCGGCTTGAGGATCCCGAAGTTCAAGGTGTTTGGGATCGGTAGTAGCGGGGTTTGGACCATTAAAAGCCGGCTGGGACCGATACTCTATGGCCCGTTCTTTACCCTTCTTAGAACCCGCGGGTATAAAACGTGCCAGCTCACCCTGTACCTTTTGTACCCAAGCGGCAGTATCCGTATCCGTAGCCATATTCTCATAGTAGGTTGGACGAGACGAAACTAGCGCCTCCGCTGCGTCTGGTCCGATGATATCTAAATAGTTTTGCAACCATTTATGAACATCGAAAGCATCTTCCGAACTAGAAGAACCACTGTCGCAAGTCTGCTGAACAACCTTGAGAAGCTCGGTCATAGTTTGATTAAATAACTGGTCATCCCCACCAAGGTTATTGAAAGGCCCCGGCACGACGGTACTCTGTTTTTGCTGTGTGGAATCGGAAGCCGAAAAGACATCCAACTGTCCATAAGAAGAGGAGCTAGATTCCCCCATTTTGATATCCTCTTCCATTTTAATCGAAGTTGAAAACCCCTGCCATAGTTGCTTGAATTCAGAGGACTTGGCTTCATCGGTTGTTTTGAACGGCTCCAAGTACGGTTGACTTGGGTCGCCGAAGCGCTTGAGATGGTATAAGGGGTAATCGTCAAGCTCAGCATTGCCATCGGCTACCGAACCGGATCCGAAAATTTCGTTGATTGCTCCTTGAACATCTTCTAGGGGGCTAATCTCGGCTGCGAACGGCCGCGACTTAATCCCATGGCATGTTGAAGCATGCTTCTCGCGTTCATCATAAGTAGCAAACCAAGAATTGCAGGCAAATGTTGGGCACTGAAATCCTTTGGAATAATGCTTTCCCGCCTGGGATCGCTGCGGATTGCTGTTGGCGCTGGCTTTAGAGGTGTCGAGTCCGAGCGGTGTTCCTCGCATCCCGTGGCGTTCAAAGATATGAAGATTGAGATCTTGGAACATGGTAAATGACTCCATGCAATTAGGGAGTGGGCATTCATGCTGGGTGACCGCCTTATCGCTTTCAAGACCCTGTGGTGGTTCAGGTAATTTCTGCTCGGGGTTGTTGGCCTTTCCTTTTTGTGAGTCAGTGTCTGCGGTAGTCTCCAAATTAGAATCAAGATCCATCTCCACCGGCTCAGACAACTCTGTCTCCTGTAGTGTGGCAGACGAGTTTCCGAACCAATCCGGCATTCTCGCCGCCCAACTCCCGTGGGCGACCTCGAAGTGGTTCTTGAGTGTCATGTACCAATCCACAGACGCTTCACCCTCATGGTAATGTAGATCTGTACCACAAATTCCACAAACACCAACAGGAGAGTCCGATCCCAGTTCGCTCGGCAAAAAGAGAGGACCTGAGATCTCCCCTTCTTCAGAGGCAGTATATGCCATTTCTTCCTGCAGGATATCCTCAATTTCCAGTGGGGGCGCCAGAGTGGGTACTTCCACGTCATTGCTTGGTGCCTCCGTAGCAGCAAAGGCAACAGTTGCAGATTGCTCTTCATCAGGCCCGTCTTCTGTAACCGATCCTGACTCGTTAGCTGTAAATGTCAGCAACCTACACAATACACAATCCATCCTTTTTTGATGACGCTTACCGTCATTTTGAATCCTCGAGTTTCGGCTATCTCTATCATTCCACCAAGCCCCGGTGTCTCTCCGAGGCCTTACAAAATTCTCATTGCTGTCTTCGCTAGCGCTATCTCTCCTCCTACCAGAGAAAACAACGCCGTCCCGCCTCCTAGAATGTCCACTTCTAAAGGCCTCCACCTCCGCCTGTTTCAAGATATCCACTGCCTCCTGGTCTTCTGGATTTCCCACAAATCTTTTCCAAATACTCTCGTCCTTTCCATCCCCTGCCCATGTATATCTCTCTGGAGTTTCTACTCCGAGCGAAGGATATGACGGCGGTTGTAACTCATCCAATGAGTGGAAAGACGCTCTGTTTCCTGATACATCATTATACCAGGGTAATAGTCCTCTTTGTGTAACACCCTCTTCATCATCCAACGCTCGAGATGTCGAGGCTTCACCGTCCCCTTCAGTATCATGTTTGTTACTTTCATCCATACTCCAAGAGTTATACGGCGGCGGGCTATCAACTTGGAATGACCTCCCATTCGGTGTTCCTAACACTGGTTCCGGTGTTATATTTAAACATCTGAAATCAAACCCATCATCCAGGCTTGGTGTCAAGGGTCTGCTTCGAGTTTTCCCCTCCGGTGATACTGGGCGTTTTCCGTCAGTCTCTGGTGGGTTTTCGAAGTTTTCGGATGAGAATTCTTGGAGAAAAGAGTTGATCGAGTTGTCTTGGTGTTGGAGGTACGGAGAGGGCGAGGTCATGTGGGATCTTGAATCTTCAGGACTGTAAAATATTAAAAATAGATCAAAATATTAGCCACTGTCCGTAGTTATATATATAATGCGGATATGGCTTACTCAATCATCCTTAAAAACTCTGCCATGGTGTTTTCCCTTTGTTTCGAGGCTGCCATCTTTTCGTTATAATTGTAAGAACTCGGGCTAACAGCGATCGAGTGTCTCTTGTTGAGTACACCCGCCCGCAGATGCGAATTCTGCTGTAGATAAAGCTGCGAAGAACGAGTTCCCGGAACACCCCTAGCAGAGTGGTTATATATATCCTCGATATGTTCAAAACTATCCAAGTCTATATTCGGATTATAGAAATCCTCAGAAGTAGTTATCGGTTCTCCTTGGCCTTGTGCTTGAGAACCAGACGACTTCCACCAGGACGGAGTACCAGCAGCCCCTCCGTGTGAGGATAAATTTAGCCCAAACTTTAACGATAATCGTTTAGATATGGACTTTGCCTTTGACTTCCCCTTGGAATTCGAATTCGAGAAAGTGTTCTTTGTCCGGGGTACAGCGGGTGCTGAGATCGTACTCAACACACTGACTCGGTTGCCGGCGGTGTTGCCGTTGGTTTGTAAGCTGTTGTAGAAGCTGACTGGATCTTGGAATTGCTGATCAGAATGATGATTTGGTTTTTCGAGGAACAAGGACCACCTTTTGGGGCTTGAAGCTTTCCGGTCGCGGTGGAACAGCTGCATTACTTAAGAATGGTTTGGATACATGAGGGAGCTTGGTCAGAGCTAACTAGGGGTGGCGGTGGTAGTGGGTTAATTAACTGTACAGGGCGGGACGTTAACGGTTAGTTATAGCAAATAGGAAACAAAAAAAAATCTACAGGCTCGAGAATAGCATGCAGCTGGAATAATTAAGAGTCAAAGAACGAATCGGACAAAGCAAGGGCTTTAGGTAAGACGACTGTCATTGGAGGCTGAAAGGGAAGGGAAAATACAGGTACAGATGGGATGGACTCGAACAATAATATTTAAGAGGAAGAAGAGGGAAAGCGTCGCTTAAGCCGCCAAGCTGGGGTGTATCAGAAACCTGGGCTGTAGGTATTACCTGCAGCGAAGAAGTAGGATTCCTGCATATGTACCGGTCCTAATAAGTACTGACTTCCTGAGGGGTCTTAGTAATTAGCGTCGGAGCTTGGAGATACTTCGCACCTCGCCTTTCCTGGCCGTAACTAAATACCTAGGTACCTACTTACTTACTTACAGATGTAGTACTTACCTTTTAACATTCTTTGCAATTGATTGCAATTGGTAGTGGTCAATGCAGGCGTACAAGATGTATTAATTAACTGCCGTTAATAGATCGAGAACAGCTACTCAGCTTGATCGAAATACTTATTCACGCCCACCAGGTTTTCTTTTCTTTTAATTTTTAATTTTTATGCATATTTTTTATTTTTTATTTACTTAATTTTTTATTTATTTTTTGAAGAAAAAGCCTGTCTTCAGATCAGATCCTTCACTAAACTTCAATACTACACCGTCGAAGAAGGTTCAGGCAGGTTGGGGAATTATTTCAAATCTATAAACGTTTCAGAATATTGAGAGCAATCGAACTCTCAAACGTCCTTTCTGCTTGGTTTACCTGTTCAGGTGGTGCATTGCATCTTTGGTCTGGTCTAATGCAAGTACTCTGGCGTAAGGCTCTCTCTTCCCAGCCGTTTCGTCCAATCCGCAGCTGGCTTCGCTTGCCTGTATACCAAGTAGTTTTTTTTTTTCCACACCAGAGCTTCGAAAGGAAAAAAAGTTTCTGGCAGGTGATCACGATTGTGGTCCTTGACCTATTATATTATCTTCAAAGAAGTATAGGAGGGGGTACATGACGTAAAGAATTGTTACGGAATCTACTAGGGTTCCGGTCTAGCACTTTGTATGATGATTCAATCGGTTCAAAAGAACTCCGGGGTATACGGTACCTGCTCTGCATGCGGTGTCTGAATCGAAGTGGGATGGTGTCGGTATGGCGTTTTTAGGGTGTTAGGTTAGTCAGGCCTGCTATTACGAACGCCTTACGGACAGGTTAACAGCCGACGTCAAAAAGTAGGATCCTAAATGCGGCCCAAGGGGGTGCGCTCCACTAACCGAGATTCGAATCGAATCGTCACATCAAATCAATAATCTTATTATCACCATCATGACTACCTACTCACTTTTCATATTGTATCTTGCTTATCGGCACCAGCAAACGACCGGGTAGGGAATTATCGGTGGGGAAGTCGATTAGACACATGACGCTCTCCCACAGGAAAAGATTGGTTACGTACTTGTTCTTACATTGCATTGTACACTAAGCAGCGGCCTATATCTCGAGGGATATTTTGTGTAAGCCTGAGGAGTGCCTGAAAAAAAAAAGTCCTAACGGAGATAATGCTTAGGGTGCACGTATGTAACATCGAAAGAGAAAAAAAATGATGCTACTGGCATGTTGGCTAGCAGCTGCTGTAACATCCTACGATGCACCGATGTACAAGCAAGCAGGTAAAATTAAGAAAGGGCAGACTAGAAAGAATGTTGACTTTTGGTTTTGAGGCTATGCGAGGCATACTCTCGAATTCCCAGTACTTTCTCGTCCGAATCCTACTTTTTGGGCTGGCGTTTGTTTGGGGAGTCTGGAAGGGACAGGGGTTTGATTTGTTCGACGGCCCATCGATGGCCGTCTGATGTGGGGCAAGCTCCCTTCTTTGCAGAAGATGGACGGACCTCATCCCAAATTCAATCTATGATCGATTATTGATTTTAGGATATCAAAGGGTAATAGTTGATGCCTTTTAATTTTCGATCATCACTCACGGGATCCTAGGGCAGTACCGATCATTCGAAAAAGTCAGGAATTTCGAAGGAAAGCGCATTATTCAGGTAACAAAATCTCGATGCCTTGCGGACCAGCAGTACGCAGTCTGGGTCCATGGAGCGAATTAGTCCCGAGGATTTTCCGGACGTACCGAATCCAATTCCAGAGCTGCAAAGTATAACACCCCCAACACGGTTTGAGTGAGAAGAAACAAACAGGATAAAATTCGCCAGCTCCTATACAATCCAGTATCAGGCCATGGTATAGACATACTCTACTTCACTTTAAAACATGTATAGATATCACTTAAATAATATCTCCGACCGAAAGTGTTTATAAATCGGATACTCCGGATCCCGTTATAGCCACGAGACATGAGCGGTATTCTATAGACCTAAAACTTTATTCTATGGACAGTGTGTAGCGTTCTTTGAAATTCATAAATATATTGAGTTCCTATGTCAACTTCCGAGTTCAGAACCTGATTTGAAGACCCGTATGGGTTTCATTGACTTGAGAAGTATTCTCCGCGGGCATGCATCTAACTAAAGTATACGGTATCAGTGGCATTACCCAAGAAATACAGGATTTTAAACAAGGAAGATGGAGTATGATTTTCAAACTATTTGCTCTAGTTGCTTGAGATCGATTCCTTAAATCCTTTTTACGGATCCCTCTCAAAATTGAAGGGTTTTCTACGACTAATCATAAAGAAGCTTAAGGAGTGAACGATGGTATTATGGTGGGCTCTCACAGCTATAGCAGCAAGTAGGTACAGTAACAAGTTAACATCAAGAATCGATTCATATGTTCGTGTATACGATTTTAAAGCCTTTACATATATCTGCAATTGGAACTATACAAAACCGGTGCCCAACAGCTCCCGCTATGGTGCGCGACTCAGCCTTCTAGTGATATTTTAAATTTTACAAACATAACTCAATTCATGTAAAGTGAACGTAGTCCCCGACGCCTTTTTTTGTAGACTTAGGACTATTTCTAAATCTCCCTATTGCCCACCCCGTACGGCTAGCTGTGTGCGGCAGTGAAGGATCTGAAGTAATTTTCGAGGTCTTATTCGCTAGATGTACCAGGTCGTATATATGTACTTATATTTTAACTTACAGGTATTGTATACAGGTTAAAAAGTACGGTATATATCAATAGTATAATTAAAACAGCCCTTCGCCCCCTTGGTCAATGTGCCCGCGTTTACGTAACTAAGTATGCATATGTGAATACGAGCCTCGACATCTCTCTTCTGGATGTTTCGATCGTTCCCCACAGCACTGTATACATGTACAAGGATTGTATCCCTAGGAAAGAGGCATTAGCGTACAAGGCTTACCATACCAACTTTGGTATCATGAAGATCCCAACCTGCAGTGCGTCCCCCAGACTACAACCTGCACTTTTCTTTCGGACCCAGCCCCTCCACGAAATCCTCACCCGCAACACAAAATCAGGTAGTACCATCTATCCGAAAAAGGTAATCGCGAAATACCACAGAGTCAACTCCCAGCTCCTCTCAAGTTAGAGCAACACGTCTACCCAAGAGTTAAGAAGAGAGGTGATATCGTATGTTCAAAGAACAGTCTATTCAAGCTTGGTCTTAAATGCTTAACACTTAAACAATAATTTTTATTCGTATGCTCTCGATAGCAATGTATGTATAGGTCAATAATATCTAATCTCAAAGACGCCCGCAAGAAAAAAAATCCTCCAAATCCGAAAGGAAATCCAAAACAAGGTATCGTACAACTCAGGGAAAGAAAAACATTCGTTATAAAAGGAAAAGGACATTAAAAAAAATAGAATGAACTAAGTCGATTTCAATGGCTGGAGAATGTAGTTAACAATCTCAACAGTATCCGGATCATCCGGGACATAGCCAGTGCTCTCCTCACCCCTCTGCAATCCTCCAACCGCACAACCATCAAAACTCGACCCGGTACCCCACTTCAACTTGCTCAACTCTCCCCATAGGGAAATACTATCGGTGAATCCGATCGGGCTAAAGTATAATCTACAATCTGCTGGTTCCAAAGCAAATTGTAATGGTGTAGCAGTTTCGTCTTCAGGCCGGATCGCATCTCTGAAATTGATAGCAGCATAAGTGAAGCCGAATGGAAGAGCGAGAGGAATGTTATCAACAAGATACTGCTCTTGTTCATCGGTTTCTGGGTTAAAGAGCTGTACAACCCGTTGAGAGTTACGGAGAAGATTGGCGAATGTGAGAACTCGGCTGCCGTGGGTACCACCAACGTGTGCGGATGGGCCATCGTTTGGACGGCCACCCATGACGACGGTTGAAATATTTGCTTGTTCGCGCTTAAGAAGCTCGGAGAAAATAGTACAGGTAGAAGCGCAAGTTCCATCAGAAAGGAGCAGAATATCTTCCCTTCTGAATGGTTGTGGGGAGGATGTAAAGTTGGCGCGAGATCCAAAGCCGGAGATGTCAGTCCCTTGAAGTGGGAAGTTGAAGTTGTTTTCAACAAGCAGAGAGACGGTGTCATTAACGAGACCGGTAATATTGTAAGGCCCGATCCAAGTTTCATAGTCTTCTGGCTTTTTACCACTGATGTCAAGTGTATTTTGACGGCTAAAGCCGCTGTTGATGGCCAATGCGACTTCTAAAGCCCGTCCGGGTGTCTCTTCATCAATAGCATCAAGCCCGATCCTCTGGATAGTTTCAATCAACGCCTCAGTTGCACTATCACTTGCAAGGGTTTCAGCCGCTGTGGCGAATATTTGGGCGGCTTCGTGAGCGCGGATACGGTAGTAACTATTTGCCGGGGCAGAAGGGAAGAGTTGCTTGTAAAGCTCAAAGCCGAGAGCAACAAGACCACCACCATTACCACGAACGTCAAGAATCAACTTCTTAGAACCGCGGCGGCGAGCCTCGGCAAAGAATGTGGTGAGGGCAGCTTGGAAACCTGGTACCTCAAACTCAGCTTCGTCGTCGTCGGCTGCAAAGCTGGAGATATCAAGCACGGCAGTATCAATTGTGTCGTTTAGGAAGTAGCCGCCGATGATACCATTCAAGTCTTGAACATATGGGCCGACCCTATGCCTCATATATGGTTCGTTGAAGTAAACGAGCTGAGGAACCTCTGGTGTTGGAGAAGGGCGTCTAGATGTCGTCGTGGTTGCTATTCCAGTGCGCATCTGCCTCTTTCTAACCTTCTGCTTGTCATGTACATGGTGGGCGTTACCAGAGTTGGTCGGCTCAGGAGCAGGGGCATGCGCACCCGCGACTCCCTCCTCATCCGAAGAGGCTAACTGGAAGTATGCAGGGTTCAAAACAATATTGGCGTAGAAATCTGCTCCAGTTCTAATACCAGTCCAGTTGAGTGCCCTGTTCCAACGAGCAAATGCGAGGTAATCATATTCGACAGTCGAAGTATTTGAATAAGTGAGCGAGATGGTGTTCTTTCCAGGATACCAACCATAAAGTGTATAAAAAGTTCCATCGGATCCAGGATCACGGTTCGCAAAGATGGCGTTGTATCGTGCATCAGGCGACTGCGAGCTGCCATAGTCAGCAAACTCGGCAAGCCAAGCTTCGACGCCGTATCCGTCGATTCTTGTAACATAAGATGCATTAAGTCCGAACTCTAGAAGGTCGGTTTCGACGTAAACTTTTGGCTTTTCGATAGCATCAGGACTGATAGAGATGAGACTAAACGGGCCACGGAATGAAATAAGGCTGCCCGAATTAAACGAAAGGCCCAAGTGACCATCGTGGCACCGTTGAAGGAGCTTTCTAAAAGCATTTTCGAAGCGGATGTGATGTGCAATCTCACCGCTACGAACCTGTTCTGCCAGTTTTTCCAAAGATCCAATGATATCGATAGGGTCTTGAAGAGAATTTGCTGGTGGGTTCTTCAAGTATTCAATAGTAGATTGAAACTGAAGGTACTTTGCGACACCACTGATGAATTCTAGAGTAAGATCACGGTTGATGGGAATTGAATATAAACAGTCCCATGCCTCACGTGGGCGAACAGGTACTCTCGTCGGTAATACGGCACTGGGGTCAGTTGAAGCTCGGCTCGAGTAAACCGATAGCCTGCTTGCATAGGAACTACTAATCTCTGCGCATGCTGTACGGAAAACTGTAGGATTTGGTGTATATTCTGTCTGTGTGTATGTAAGTGTGCGAGGGGCCGAAACAGTCCCGGTTCGAGTTGCATCATTGTTGTTTCCAGTCTGGGTATATGTTGTATTCAATGTTGAAGAGTTTGGAGGGGAGGTAGTGTAGAAACCTTGTATAGGAACGGCTGTTGTAGTATATGCCTGTGCCAAAGCTGCAAAGGGATGAAAAGAAATCGCGGCAACTAAATTTGCCGCGGATAGCAGCTGGAGGGCTGCTCTAGCGCGCATTTTGGCTTCTCTATGGGTATATTAATCCAATATAAGAAAGAAAGAAAGAAAAACGACGAAAGAAACAAAAAAAATGAAATTCGTTATTTTGGGAGCCCCGAAGCTGGAAAGGGGACGCTACTTAAAGCTTTTCTCGATACTCCTGGAGAATTTGACATAAACCTGAGGCTGAAATATAATAGCAAGATCTTCCCGCCATTTATAATAGTCAAGCACCGCAGAAATTGACCAAACAAGGATAAACGATACACTCAGTGATTTAGGTCTGACATGGAATGTAGTGGATGCAAGGCTTTCTAGTGTTCTACTATGTATAACCAGGGCGGGGTGGGCTTCGAGGCAGTGGCTTGAGCGGCGATCCACCCCTGCGACTGCATACTTGGTGCGGGGCATACTAGCACGCTCTGGCTGCCGATTCGCTGGCCCATGCAAGCTACCATTCAACCGTATCGTCAAAGCAATGGAAGCTGTCAGCACTTAATTCCTTGTCGGTCGAGCCAAGAATCCCGTTTTTTAAGGCGACTGCAGAACAATTTTTGAATACAACTGAAGAAACAAGAAGTTAGTTGGGTTCAATTGAAAGTGACTACTTAGGTAGTAGGTAAGTAAGTATAATCTATTTACCACAATAACTATTGGAAGCTTCGGTCCGTACCGACCAATTCCTAAAATTCCAACATTTCCATAGCTCCGCGAATTCAACAAAACTCAGAACTCACGATTTTCATGAAGAAATTTGAATTCCTTAGCCTAAGCTGACGAGTACTAAAATGACAAAAATGACAGCGTGCAAGCTGGGTACTCGTTAGCTGCGTCGAATCAACCCAATCCAGGGAGCCAACGTGGGTACCTCTCCACCAAAAATCACACCTTCTGCTCTCCAAAATCGCTAATGAAGCCACTAGCAGACCACAAAACTGCACCTCTGGATGGTCCCTGGTATTATCGATAGAGGTTTGTGCATATGCCGCAAAAAACTGTGGATCTCGGACCAACACAGCCTTCAAGAACAGACGCCAAGGGAGGAAAAAGCACCAGGGCCTTGGAGTAGTGTGACAAATAGCGTCCTTTTAACCTCTGGATCAACCACCCAGCCAGGCAAAAGAGTCCCGCACACACTTTTTTTAGATACTCAAAAGAAAATTCGAGGATTTGGTGACGAGGAACATAAGGCTGGGCTTTCAGCCGCTGTTAATTTGGACAAAGTCGTGATCCTTTTTGCGATCTTGGGATGGAGATTCGAGTGGGTCGGGGTTACCCGAGATGCGGCTCCGCAGGTCTTAAGACCTATTTTCGGTATCAAAATCCTGCGCGTCCCATGCGAATTCTTGGTCCATAGACTAGTTGGCTTGGATAGCTTTGGACTCAATCTCCATGGATAGAAAAACGCGTCGAGACAATATTTTTGGGGGCCGGAGTAGTCTCAGAAGTTCATTCACCGAAATTTCGGTTCCTATAACGTTACTACTATTCATTTCCCGGAGCCAAAAGTTCCTCAAGCGACAGTTTAAGCTTACTAGTCATGCTAATATCCTGACTTGCTATAATACCCCTTCAAAACCCAAACCCAGCCGCACTTCATCCGCACCTTACATATGGGTCTCGGGAAGCCTGCATGGAAACCAGGGTCCACGAAGGTTTCAAAACTGCAATACTGATAAACCCCATCCCGGATTTCCAAGAAAGGGTGGAATGAACATCAGGCCAAAAGGCAGTTTGAAGGCATAAGGATTGGCCTAATTCAGCAGTATACTCGTTCGCGGTTGACATGTCGGCAGTTGAGCTGTATATCACTTGTAAGCTTTATAATTGTTTCCCGGTGGGTAAGCTTAAGCTCCGGTTAGGCTTATTGAGCCTTATAAGGACATGTCCAACGATGGCACATTGCAAGCACGCAGAAAATACCTAAATAACTATACATATGTCTAGGTGCACGGCCACCACTCGAATACTTTCACACGCCTCTAAAAGTGACTCAAAAAAGACAAGCGCGTGTGGCGAGACTAGGGTTGCCTATAATATTTTTTCGAGGAGTAATATTATACCATGGCTTCTTCAAAAATTAGTTCAGACAAGCATACGCCCCAGTACACCATAAGCTGCTATTATACGCCCTTTCCTGAAAGTTCATCATCATCATCATCATCATCATCATAGTCAAACCCGCATGCGCGCAGTGTATTGGTCCTGCTTACATTCGTGGTATGAGCACAGTAAATGATCCATTGTTATCTATCCAAAAATAGCCTTCTATAAAGCGTAAATCAGGTGATATCGGGTTTTAAATTTCTAAACAGGCTCCGACAATATTGTTGAAATATATATTAGCAATTCTGAATAAATGTCTAGACTAGGTGACCGTTGTACCCTCCTTCTACAGCGGCGCTCGTCAACTTATAGCTACTTAATTACTTGTATATATACGTATGTATATACGGTATGTACTAACTCAGTGGTTCTCGAGATCTCAAGTAGTTCTTACCATGGTACCACTGCCTCTTCCTCCGCGAGAGGTAATAATAGATCAACGCTAGAAGCCAACTGCCTCCTATTTCGGATAGATTTATGCATACCTGGTTTTGGGGAGATACTTCACATAGACTTCTATCGTACTATAATTAATATTAATAGGCTCGAGTCTATCAGTATATCGATATCGGCCCTGCTGTAATTGTGTATCGCAACGCAGCCAGGTATACAATATTTACCACGCGGCTCGCGAGCTGGGGTTTATTATATTATCTCTATCATCTAGGATGTAGCTAGCTGACCGCACCATTGGCAACGTTAACGCCGCAATATCTAAACCAATATTTGAATTTAGTATTTCGTCGAACTTAGAAAATCGCATTTTGCGTGATTGCTAGTATGGACTAGTATCTTCACAGCAATCTTTTTCGTTTCTGACACCGACATCGAGGCAACTCATGCAATTGATTGCGCTTCAACCTAGGCGAAACTCGCAACATACTGCATCGGCTGTTCAGACGCTCGAGCTCCTTACCATCTATTAATTGAAGAGATCTGCAATTACATTGCAAGTGTCGAGAATAAAGCTGAGCGTGGAGAAAATCAAGGGCTCTAGCTAGGTCAGCTAACAGACCAGTTCAAGCGCCTGTACTACACTTTCTTCCCTCTTGTAGGTCAGTTTTCAGTGGAGGTTACCCAATTCAGTCGGAGGACACCTACCTAAGCATATATAGTAAGAGTTGGTTACAATATTATCCCTCATGTGTTAAAAGTAGTGTAATCTGAATGAGTCTATGAGCCTAGCACTGGGCAGGCGGGCTGAATTGCATGGATTATAAACACGCACGTCAACTCCAAAGCCTAAGCAGGTTGAATGATTATCGATAAAGATACATATAAGGGACTACATAGCTACGCGCTACGCCTGATACTAATGATACGCTATATACACCGTACCGTGTAAACTAGATAGGAATATCGGTATAAGCTAATCTGGAAAATCTTTCATCTCAAAGATAAATATAAAAGAGGTGGTTATGGAACAATCGAACTTTTTTTTTATTATTATTCCTTGTAAGCTAGAAAGCTTTCAACAAGATCCGAAGAACTTCGCAAAAATCAAGAGCCTTCGATCGGCAGGCCTGGTGTTACACGAATTCTCGAAAATGCATCCAACGGGTTTGGATCCCACGCGGCCACGACGAATTGCCGCTTATAATGGTTAGCAATGTAATTGCCTGGCCATCGTGTATCATTTGCTAAGATTGCTTTCAAAACTCACAAGTTCGCTTAAACTATTTTATAATTAAGTACTTAATTAGCTATATATCGAACTGCTGTATACCTACCCACTTATAATAGGCAATTGTGCCCTATAGGAGTCATTTATAATTGGTGTCGAAACATCATTGTAATTATATATCGATATATCTAACTCGTATTTAAGTTATACTTTGGCCTGGGTATCGTGTAACCGATATCGCGGTGTCTAATTAATTGGTTTCAAAATCACAGAATGTTTTACATGCATAAACTGCATATGTACATGTAGGTACGCCTAAAGTTTTAAGAATGACTCAATAATTGGGGAACAGCCATCACACGGATGCCTTATATATCAACCTCCTAGTAATACAAGAGAGAATATACCAGTCGTAATCGACGCCATGATCCATCGATCCAATGCCTACGCTCGCCTAACAATCCATACCCTTCATATATGCATATCCGCTAGCATAAAAGAAAGAAAGAAGAAAAATAATGATATAAACATAAGAAAAAGAAAGAAAAGTATACAACTTCCAAATTCTCCATCCAAAATATCTACATTGAAAAACAGAAGTCCCCTCAAATCTTGGTTAAATCATTCCACCAGGGAGTACATTCCCCCATCGACTGTTATCCCTCACGATCTCCACAGGTGGGCCTGAATAGTCCATTCTTTGCGCTTTCTTCACCACGGTATGGATATTCCCTGCATTAGGTCCTCCTAATCTTGGTTCTGGGCTCTTTATCCTCCCTCCTAGAACCATTTCGGGGCTCTTGACCCTTCCTGTAGCCCTCCCGACATTTGTGATCTCTACAACATCTCCATCATCTTCGTCATCCGTATCGATCTCAATATCCCCCATATCGCCTTCTTCAACGTCATCGTCTAAGTCATCACCACCCTCGCTACGACTAGAAACACTAAGTAGCATACTACTAGTCCCCATCCTGCCCATGGGCGGGCTTGAGCTAGTAGGGCTCCGTGGCATCACGCCTCCGACAGCCGAAAGTCTTGGATTTGAAGTCTTCATACTCGGTGCGATGGTACTCGGTGAAAGCAATATTGTGTTTCCGTATAAACCTGTACCCATCGGACTAGTCGTAGGTGATATTGGGAGCTGCGAAGTTGGCAATGGCGGTGGAGGAGTCCAGATATACGTTGGTGGCGAAGTCTTCTTCTCATTTCCGTTACTCGAACCAGTCTGTTTGTTTGCGATCTTATGATTGCGATGGCTTTGGTAGCTATCGTGATGGACATGGCCTTCGTTTATAACACCATCTTCGTCCTGGGAGTATCTTGAGGAGGCAATTGAGAACTTATCGCTTTCCTTCGCGCCTAAAGCTGCGGTCGTAAGAATAGGATGTCTCGTCACAGGCGAATTTTGATTAGACCCAATGCTAAACGAACTTGTAAGCCCACCCGGCGAAGTTTTTAATCCATTTCCGGCGGTATTCCCAAATGTCGGCGAGGAAGTAATGTTGGTGGAAGTCACTCCCCAGGGTGCAGATTTAACGTTTATAGGCTCGACCGTGGGTTTAACCGTTCGGCTAGATTGCAAGCTATCGCCTCCCACGCTATTCTCGGGAAGTCTAGGTACACTACTGGCGGGTTGCCCGCTCCAGTTTGCTTCCTTAAAGCTATTCGGACTATTGAAGCTGTCTACTGGCGTTTCGGGGTGATAGAATGATATAGAGACAGATCCCTGACGCGGGGGTGGTGGTGGTGCAAGGTTTTGTTGCTGTTGCTGATTTTGCGTCCCACCCCGTGCGCCTACAGATCCGAACGCCGCAGCGAAATTTGACGAAGGTCGCAGCTTTAAGGGAATATCCGCTTCTTGGTTTGGCTTATCTGTTTGCGAAGCGCTTCGTTTCCTATGTTTCTGGCTGCGGCGGGAGGCTTCGTAAGGATCCGGTTCCTCATCGGACAACCCGTCATCTGAGAACGCCGTCAGATATTTGGCCGTTTTTGAGGAAGGATATATCGATGAAGAGGCACGTCGAACACTCTTCACATCTTGGTTATCGGATGCCAGAGTCTTGAAAAGGGCTGGAACAGGACGCTTTGTAGCGGTGGAATTGCTGCTGAATGACCCTCGTTTGCTAGGCCTGTCACCATATATAAGTTTCGTAGCCTCGGCTATTAAAGAAGATGGGATCTCGAAATCCTCCTCTCCTTCTCCATCAGCCTCGGATATCGTTCGACTAATCTTTCCGAGATCGTTTGATGGTGCATATCGTGGACTATCAAGCTTGCCATTCCTGGTACCCTTGGGCGAAACGCTTTCGTTAGGCATGGAAGAGCTATCTGCACCATGCGACATCCCATGCTTTAGGTACCAGTTCATCCGTAAACCGGTACTATCTCGCTTCCTCACGCTCGCGACTGGCTCCGGCAGCGATGCAGGTACAGGTGGCGGCAGCATAGCACCCGCCGCCGTTTCCGCTGCTGCTAACGATTCAGCCATGGAACTAACACTCAAAAACCGTGTTGGGTTGTTCAATGGTGCCGATTGTACCGAAGCGCTCGAATCCAGGCCCTTATCTCCATTGACGGCCACGGCCACGGCAGGCGTGGCAGCCACAACATTACCGCCAGTAAACCCCGGAGCAAGTAACCGCCTTTCTTCCTCCCATATCTGTCGTTCCGTAACCCATAGCTGCCGTTCAAGTTCAAATACCTGCTTCTGCTCTGTGGAAAGAGCTTCCTGACGTGCCAAGAGTGTTACTGTCTGTGTACGATAACGATTTGTAAGTTCCAGAATACGAGCAAGTTGCTGCTGTTGCTGTTGCTGTTGCTGCTGCTGAGAAGTATTTGGTGGAGGAACAAACGATGCCAATGTCGGACTCCGGATGTCGGTGGGAACTGAGCCACGACGAGGAGGAAGAGGAAAGTCGAGAGTTCTGGGAGAAGTCATCGTGTTGACGTGAGGTTTGTCCCTTTAGCCCGAGATCTGAGTGTTGGCTTGCTTGCTTGCTTGCTGCACTTCACACTTCACACTACTTCACAGGCTGGCGAGGAGCATGCACATGTGAAGACAAGAAGTGATGGTTTATGACATCAAGAAGAGAGGGATTGGAGGCCCCTTTATTCCAGTTAATATATCTGGGGGGAAGGACAAGACAAGACAAGACAAGACAAGGACCTGACGTAGCCGAAGTTAATACGACGATGATGATACGTAAGAACACCGCTGCTTCTGCGATAGTATAAAAAATAAAAAAAGTTTGAAAAGAAAAATGAGATGAAGAAAAATAAAATAAAATTTCAACCAACGTGGAAGCCCCAAGCGAGGGAGATATACGTCGTCGATAGATGCATGAACGTACTCCGTACCGGTCCTAATATAAGTACCTACTTAAGTAGTATGTAAAATGTAAGTATCCAAAACCTGATATGTCGGAAGAACTCAAGTCAGTACTAATAAGTACTTATTCCATATGTATGTATGTATGTATGTAGGTAGGGTCATGAAAGAGGAGTTCAGGCCGGCCAATGCACTCAGATAAATATAAACGGCAACTCCACCGGAATTTTTGAACGTCGACGCTAACCTGACCCGTTGCTTAGTACTTAAACATTAAATGTGGCATGGAGCATGAACATGGGCGTGCTCGATAGGCGAGATTAAAAGCGTGCCCTTCAACAGCCAGACCATTCCGAATACTGCAATCAAAGTGGGTCGAGTGTGCTCTGGATTGAGTGATTACATTCATGCCTTCGATGCATCCTCTGATAATATATACCATATACCTGATACCTATGTACTCAGGTATGCGAATTAATTGCGAGCTGAAGTGCCGCCAGAATGCAATGCTGAACTAGAACTCGAGTTAACCATTGTGTATTGTAGAGGGATATCCCGCATACATACCAACGAATACCTATTACAATTCAGCAATTTGACAGTTTTCCAACATGCATGAGCGAGTGAGTGAGCGAAAAAGAAACAAAAAGGAAGGAAGAAACCCATCTGCAGGGCCTGTGGTCTGTGGGCCAGACGCAGCCAAGGGCCAGCAGCAAGAGGGAACATGGTCCCCATGTGAGGGCTGCGGACCCACTATCTTCCCACCATCTTTTAATTCTCGACCGGACTGCATGATCGCAAAGTCAACTTAAGTCCAGGTCCAGCCAAAAAGCCAATTCGTCGACGTCTTTGGCCCACCGATGGCCCCTCCCCAAAAAGGGGCTGCATATTCCGATACACCTTGCAATGTTGAACGTTATTGCAGCCGCATCGGTGCTGCAGCGAATGCGGTTTTTTTTTTTTTTTTTTAACCACATCAATCGATCTCGAAGTTTGCTGCCTAAGCAGGCTCGCAGGCAAATTTGCAACATGTTCTGATTATAGATCAATCCTTTTCCTTTGGCCATAACTAGTGAGTGTGTGCATGCAATGATCGATATGATATCCTCCGTATCTGAGCGACTTCAAGTTACCAAGACTTAGGTCCTGACAGCTGTTGTTCGTACTGTGTGTAATGTCAGTACCTATTAATATCGAACTGACATTTTTGAAAGGCTGCCGTTTGTTGACATGCACATTAACCAGTCGATCTTTCATACATAATTCTTTCCTTTTTTTCTTCGATGAAATTAGCAAAAAAATGCGCCTCCTCGTCTGTGCCAATTGCTAAAGTCTGGGGTAATCCAATCTCTTTGCTGCAAGTCATTGGCCTCGTGCCTGCGGGGATCATGGTTATTCGGCTTTTCTCATAGCCATCATGAGATCGATACGAAAGGAACGCCTTTTTTCCCTTTCGTTCCCCATCATGGGAACATGAATCCATGGACTGACCGAACTCTCGATCCGAAAGTTAGGAACTGATATTGAGAGAGAGCGGGAAGGCATGGGGTCTGGTCGACCAATTATCATTTGACTAATTCCGACGGCACAAGGGATCTAATTTCGCAGGACTCCATTGCTCTCACACAGCTTGCATTGCTCTCTCATCTCAAGGGATCATGATATCACAAGTAGCTATGATCATGTGAGATGGGTTCGATTCTCCAATATGCAATCCACAAACCCGATCTTCAAAAAAGGGGGTAACCAGAAGATGGGACGGCGCGCGGCCAGTTCATGCCGTGTGTCGCCAAATAAACCACTCTCGGTCGCTAAAATCATGGGAACAAGAGTTTAAGCATAATAGTACTCTCGATACCTGTCTACCCCCGGCTAGCGAGAGTTCTCCCGAAATTATGGGTCTCAGCCTTCAGTGGAGCTTTCCGCTACCTCCGTTGAGAACTCAAGTTCACCCGACCGACGAATTCGCAGAGAGGAAAAATATAAGAGCATAATGAGGTCTTCATGACTCGACATTGAGACCGACTCCACTCGATCTCTCCGTATACGCCGGCGTCGACAAGGCTTAAGGCAGCAGCGACGGTCGGACTGCCAAACCCTGACGTATGTATGTCTTCGCTTTGACTTCCGTGCCGCGTGTTTAGAAACATTGTCGACGTCTATGCTTAACCCCTTAACATATAAAACACCGTATCCACATTGAACCTCTCCGCCATAGAGAGAACGATCGCGAAGCCGTTATATCCCCACATCTTGGGTATATATAGCACATTTATCTCTTTAGCCCGCTCAAAAGGAAGCGAGGATTCATGCTTTTAACACATACGCAGCTCAATGTTTCTTTCTCTGCATTTTTTCATCTCATGAATATGCAGCTAAGTGGTTCAATAATCTCCCATACATGCGTGTTATGTACTCTCAAAAAAAACCTGCGGCTGCAGCTTGCCCCACCATGCACCTTTGAGAGCCTTCCCCACCTTACCACGCCGATAAGCCGCATCCTCTCAATATCACATTTATATTTACGACGTTGACGATATTTTCTCTCCCTGGATTGTCGCAACAACACTTCTCCTATGCTTAGAGTCTCTGAATTCCATATAATATATCCCTATATCATATCATATCATATGATAAAAAAGGTTAGTAATTGAGGGTATACTGGAAATGGGGGAAATAGAGTTTCTTTAAAATAAAAGTATGCAATTTAAACAATGCAATCATTCCTTTGAGCTTACCTTGCCATGTGCCCAGATTGAGTCGTCCATCTGTGATGGGGACTGTAATGCTCACACCGATCAGGCTGCTCTTGACATGCCCCGGCATATCATCGCTCCCTTCCGCATCATGACGATAGATTCCTTCATACTTTTTATCTTCAACGACAATCCGATTCATGGCATCCGTCATATCCAGCCGAACATCACTATCTATAAATTTCGCAATAAAGATAAAGATTGATTTAGTGACACAGCCTAAAATAAATATTTGCATAAAAATATAAAAAAACCGGAAGCTTTTTGTTAAAAACAAAATATTAAAATTCGTACCCCAATTTTCGTTCAGAGATAACGCACAGCTTGTGTGCTGAATAAACAGGTTCAGAAGCCCAACCTTGTAGTCTCCGATTTCGGGAAGGTTTGACGTGATCTCAGAAGTTATGAGGTAAGAGCCACGGGATTGAGCTTTAAGTGAGAACGACTTTTGAAACCACGACATCTTGGAAGGTTTATGAGTGTATATGCGACGAAATGGGAATCGGTGAATGAAGCAGTGAGTCGAGTTGGTGAAGGGGTATGGTGAGGGGAGAGACATGCGACAGCTCAGATCAAAGATGTCGATAGAGCTTATAAGTAACTCTGTTGAGCAGAAAGCAACATCTCCAACACAGAAGTAATATGATCCAGCTGCAGGCTACGAAATGCCGGGGAAATATCTTACGAGACTACTCGTATACCCAAGGTACTGACTACCGGGTTAAAATACAATACGAAACTAGTTAAATTAAACCTGTAGTATTGAAATTTATAGATCTCTGAACTAAATTAGATGATTCAACCCGAACCCAATAAGAGGAATGTCAGAAACAAAAAAAATTTACAAATTCGCCGCCATATACTCCAGAAACCTCTCGATCCTGAACCACCTAAACTTCCAGACATGTCCCTGAATAATTTTTAGAATCCGATCCGCTTGTTCCCAATACTCCAAGCCTACGCAGTCCCTAGGAGGCATCATAATAGTATCAAAAGCCGGGCATGATGCCCTTATAGTCTCTAGAAGCCTTCCTCTGGCTTCCACGTGTAACCTTATATCCGAGGCACCGATAAACTTTAGCATACCGCTTTTATATGCCCCCTGAAGAAACGCCTCGGCTCTAACATCTGATCTTTCAATAAACCTCAATGTTTCTTCCACTCTTTGCTGAAACAATGAAGATGAACTTATGATATGAGCCGCGTGCATGCAGTTTCTGTTCTGTTCTACCACGCGCTTCATAATGCCCTCGAGCGCTAGCATCCCCTTTCTAGCATGTTCGTATACCAGTCCTTTTTCTGAATCTTCTTCCTCGCTTTTCTTTTTCATTTCTTCCAATTTCAACTCCAGATAATAAATCGACAGATCCAATGGCTCTTCCTTTCTCACAATCCTTACTCCTCTTTCAATGGTATCCTTCGCACGACTCAACGGATTAAACCCCTTAACCACGATATGCTTATCAATAACCTGTTCGACATAGCTTGCCACCCCATCAACAGCCTTCCATTCACCAGACGAATATGCCCACGGGCCTAACTTCAACAGCCTATCGTCCATAAAAATCTGACTCTTCAACCTCATAACCCCCACATCCCTAACCACCCTTACTTCACGTTCAACGGATACTTCCGTCAAGGGCTTTATAATCTCGATCTTAGCCGTCGTGTATACAACGCCAGCAGATGCATGATGACGCTGCAATTCTGCGATTCCCAATTCATCTGCCGCTTCCCATATATCCGGTATTTCCTTCCGATCATCTGACCCTGCTGCAATGTTAGCAATAACCGCAGTGCTTCGTAGCGGTAAGCTGTCGATGTATTCCATTATATCTTGATTTGTAATCGTACGGCCGAGTACTATGTATCCGGAAGTATGTACGGCTTGGGCACATATTATGATTAGAAGTCGAGATGATGATTTGAGTTTTGGGGCGAGGGCTTGTAGGTGGCTCCTTAGCTCTAATTTTATGTCTTCTTGTTGGACAGAATGGTAGAATGGCCTGAGGACGTCGAGAATCTCTTGTGTTTCTTGCGGAGTTAAAGTTGGAGTCGGCTGTGTTTGGTTAGGCGGAAAGTTACCCTCTTCGTTTACTGTAGGTATAGAGTCCGACTGAACGGTTTCCGGAAGAGTTTCGGAATCTGTTATGGGTGGCACGACACCTGATTCGAGGAAAATCTCATGATCCTGTGATGAAGAACCCAGTTGTTGAGAATCTTCATTCCCGACTTCGGAACTAGTAGAGGTTATAAGCTCGATAAGCTCATCACGACTACATGTCGATAAGGTGTAAGGTATGATACTACGAGAGTAACATGACCTTATAGCGGAAATAAAATTGTGGGTACAATTTAAATCCCACTTGTCGCTTCCGTAGACAACAATGGCGTGAACATTTCGATTATGGTTTTTCGGATTGCCCATAGCTTAGCAAGCTAATTTTTGATAGGAAATTTTGATAGATTGATACTCCGATACTGTATCATAATCGGTCATTAAAACCAGTCTCTTATATTGATCTTAATAAATTTATAAAACGAGAGTAATAAGGAGTTCGAGTATGTCAGTGTTCCACCGGTCATCAATTACAACTTTCGTGGGACACGCACAAGTTAAATGTCAATGGGCCCCCCCTCTTAGGGCAAAAGGGGGAGTCTATTAGCAACACCAAATAACCGATTGATGTGCGAGAGTATGTCATGTTGAAGATAGTATCTCATCAGAGTGGCATAAACCAAAATACAATGTACCCCCTCAGTAGATCAGTTAATGAGCCCTATACGGGGCGAGCGACTCTACATATCAACAAACCCTCAAACCACGTTTTGAAATCAACCCTGTACCCCACAACACAAAATCGTGTTGCAAAATTAGCCCGCATATTTAACTTTTTCCGCGCTGAATTCAGCAATTGATGGTAGATAATTGTCGATAACAGGATAAAAATATCTTACTGGTAATAGTTCTGTCCGGAGAGAAAGAAAATAAGAAGAAAAAAACAAAAAACAGAATAAAACAAACTCTAAGTATTTTCGGCAGACTACATTTAAGCTTTTAACACCCTCCACAAGTTAATCCTCCGATGGTTTTTTTTTTGACAATTTTTTGCCCCTGTCAGAGTGACATGTGAAAAAGCTAAGGGCCTGCTCGACGCAATCTTTTTTTCTTCGTTAAACCATCAGATACACATACGAACCTATACCTATCTATCCATAAAGTCGTTCACGCGAGTCGACGATTACCCTTTAAATTTTATAGCGGGCTTATTATCTTTATTTTATTTTATTTTATTAGTTTTTAATCTACGAAATACAACCAAAATGGCCAAGGGCAAGAACAAGAACAAAAAGAAGAACGCAGCTCCAGCTCAGAATGCAAGCACATCTAAAGCTGCAGAGCCTAAGCCGGTGGAGCCGGAAACTATAGAGTCAAAGCCAGTGGAGGAGGAGCCTACACCTGCACCTGTAGCGACACCTGCGCAAATATCAGCAACATTGGCACTCCCAGAAGAACCTACGCCCGCTAAACCCCTCGTTCTCGGTAAATCAGCAAACTCTAGCACTATAGATCTGAAAGATGCCATGAAGATGTCTCCTACGACGGAAGAACCGGTGGCTAAAGAAGATCCGATTGTACCAAAGAAATCCGTCGAGTCCTCAAGAAAATCTCTATCAATTGCAAAAGAATCCGAGCCAGAACCTGAACCCGAAATAAAAGTACTAGAGCAGGAGAAGGCAAAAGAGATCCCACAACCACCTACCATGGAGACACCTCAGGAAACCATGAAAGACCAAACTCCTTCGCAACCAGAAATTCCAGCTCCTGCTACCGTTCCATATGTCTCCCCGTCAACTGAAGCTTCTTCTTCTAGACCACCTACCGGAGTTCAAGATATCCATACCGATGTTGCAGACGTAAAGCTACCTGAACCAGCCCATACATCTGCTCCGAAGAAGAATGAAATCGAACCTCTTGATAACGAAGAACCCAAGCGCCCGACTACTTCTTCGTCTTCTGCGGGTGGAAAAGCACCGAGTGCTATTGGCACTGCTGTAAATGCTGCTGGCCGGTCTTCGACCGCCGAAGAGAGAGAGCCAAAGAAGGGAGATAAGAAGGAAGGTGGATTCAAGGGGCTGTGGGGTCGTATTGTCTCCGCGTTCAAATAAAAGGGTTTCTAAAAAGTTGGTGTTAATTTTTAATCGCTTTTTTACATGAGAAACGTTGATTTCATCTATATACTACAACGTCAGTCTTATCCTCTGGGTAATTTCCGAAAAGAACCAATCTATGAAAATGAGTCTATGGAAAAGAAAGCTCTTACTATTGTATATTCATATACATGTAATGTATGATTGATATCTTTCATCGAATATCTCTACCAGATATTGCAACATTAATTAAGGATATATTCGACTCAATTAATTGCTACCCCGCAGAAATTTAACTTATGACCCACTCGGTATTGCACCGCCTACTAAATCGTCGTCAGTGAGCGTTAAATCCATATATTTCATAAACGAATATCATATCATGAGTCCGATATTAAAGCATCGCCATCTCGGTTTATTGCCGTCTCTCACGGTAAGAGCGGCATACTAACCATATTAATGTCTAAGACTCGCGTGAGCTCCACCAAGTATCAAGAAAAGCCTCAAAACCAAGGGTCCTTTGCAACGTTCCACTCCGATCGATCTGCAACTTCAAGATTTGTATTTTGTTATATATTTTTTTTTCCAATGGTAACGGTAGATTTCTCAAGCCACGCGGAACCCCTTCTTTCCATGGTTCTGAAGGATACGTTGACATTTTTCACAGGGAGAAAAAAATTTTAAAAATTAAAGGGGGCGGTAAAAGTAAGGTCGATCCCGCTCCTTGCGTGGCGCCACAGCGAGTGTCGCATGAAGTTTTAGATGTTGAGAAGTGGTGAACCCGGATTTTGGAACATTTAACGAAGTCAATTGCAAGACGCGGGGCTCGCCGAATTTCACCTGCCGAAAAAGTTACTTCCACCGAGAAATCGAGCGTTATGTTTATGTAGATTGTGTATGTACCTTGTACCTGGGACAATATACAGAGAATATGGGGAACGGCAGGATGTGGGAAATATATCGATACATCCTGCCCTTCCTTCCTTCGCGCCCTTGGTAAGGGAAAGGGAGATTGTGTTGCCTACGGTTGCCCTTGCCTATTGCGGAGAAAAGTGGGTCCGAAGGAACCAGGTCCTCGTCTCATGCTCGCTTGGTGTATCGAGTATCGAAACTTACGCCTTGACACTGGATGACAATTGGTCCTGACCCATCTAAATTTACAGTACCCGAATAATTCGATCGGCAATATATGCAAGAAAAGCGGTATACACGTTTTAGATATACACATAGCAATCGATGCCGACATTATTCTCAGGGTTTGAGGGTTAATATGTATTTTACGTAAGTGGCCCTTAAACTCCACAATTGACATATGTACTTGATACATGTATATGTATACAGGCCGTATACAGGCCGTACCTTTAATGATGTTTTCCTTTCTTCTTCTTGCCTTTACCGCTGTCCCCGGTGTCGCCCTTGGTATTGCCATGTTCATCAATAAACTCTCCAAGAACGAGGGCTTCTCGTGCAACCTGGTTGATGATTCGGAAACTAAAAAAATAAATGAAAATTTTTCAATCGAAGCCGTCAATAATACTAGATCGTCACAAGGATGGAAACGGATACCTCGGGGTACCGGGTACCGCGGTACCAAGTAACAAGTTTTAAAACGTACCGGTCAGGCCCAAGTTTAATGCCGCCGTACCAGCGACTTACGATAACAAGAACATTCCAGACATCAATCATGTCTAACAAGTGGCCAAGCCTAGACCCGGCGGCAGTTTCTCCGTCATCGTCGTTATCTGTCCTGGAATGTTAGCCAAGTTTTGAGGCAATATTGCAAATTTAAAACTCTTTCTAGCATTCTCAATTGTGAAAAAGTAAAATTATGAGGTTGAAAAAAGCGTTGTGGATGTCGTGAATGAGTGGTTATGGTAGCACGAGGCCATGGTGGCATTATTACCTTGGTAAATTATCCCTTCCGACGTGCGAATCCTGAAAGCTAAAGAGCCATATCACGGGGTTAGTAATGAATGATAAGACCCCGATAATATCAACAATAATATCAAATTCTAGAACAATCAGTTAAAGCAAACACGCAATTAAGCAATTCTCACCAGTGATATTGTGAGTCGCCCTAGCGACTTTTCGGTCGGTGGAAATGAGTTCTGCGATGTGCTGCTTAGCTGTTTCAGCCGAAGTCACCCGGACACACCAGCCCACAAATTGAGATTTTGATACTGTGGTAATCGGCGTAATTGTCCATGGAATTGAGGAGACAACTGTCACGGCCGCAGCAGCGGTACCACTAGCATCGGGTACTATCTCTTGTACTTCGACAGATTCTGGAGGCGAGATTGGCGCAGCATCTTCAATGCTGTCTTTATGCAATAGCTCCTGGTGAGGCCTTGTGATGTCAGATATCGATCATATTCGGCCGACCAAGAAAACAACTTTGCAAGGCTGATACACCGCCTGTGTGGGATCATGAACGATTTATCGATATGCTAGTTCAGTGTCATCTCGAAACATTGCAACTAACGGGAGTTAAAAAAAAAAGAGTAACAAGAAAATAAGAAAATAAGAATCTGGAAATTTTTTTATAGTTGGATGTAATACCTTTAGACCTTCGAGTAAGTCGAAGAGTACCACTACACCTTCAAGCCACACATTGTGTAATACGTCCCGAGACAGCTGAGTGACCTCGTCCTTGCTTAATCCCTTTCCGAAGGTAGTCCCTGACAGGATAGTCGGAGGGGATGCCGGATAGTCTCTCGGGAACTTAATGGTTAATGATACAGGCGGATTGATTTCACTTGACGGAGGTGAAAGAATGCAAACTGCTTCTCCGGCTTCTATTCGGTAGATCGACGACGAAGTAGAACCAGAATTAGCAATATTAGAAGCCTGAGGCGGCTGTTGAAGTTTTAGCGTATCCTCTGCATATATTGAATTAATAGATGTGATTTCGTCGAGTAAATCCTGCGAGATATCACACGAGGACATCTTTCTTTGGAATGCAAATGCAATGAACGAACTTGAACAATCACTATTCTGCGGTTAAACGCAGGATAGTATAATGGACCACCTGAGCTCTGTGTAACCGTAGACGCCTCAATCTGCGTTGGAATGTTGGAATGTTGCAGTTTTGAAGCTGTGATTCGTCCAGACCATCGATGAATCGGTTGAATCCCGTCGGTAAGCTGCTTATCGAGGCAACTGCTTTGTTGGCCTTCTCTAAACCGACAGCTAAACAGCTCAATAAACTTTGATATGTTTTAGCTCCGGCGCTACGGTTCCCCCCTACTGGAATTCTGCAGATGTCGTTAACCCTTTAGCGAATTCCTTGGCCTTAATGAAATCAGATCTCCGGGTCGTGAAGTCGTGGTGGCAGGCTTTCCAGCGATATGATTCGGCGGTTGCGAATTCGAGGGCGCTTGAGAAAAAGTATGGCGCACGTGGAATGCCAAGGTCCAAAAAGTCTTGGTTCGTCCGACCTCCTTTCTGCTTGACAGGCATCTGAAACGAACCCGAAGCAATCCTGGGAAACAAGAAAGCAAGGCGCCACCCAACTAGGGGATTTCGAGGCTTTGTTCCGGGGGACAGGTGCGAGACTGGTCCATTGTATACAGGTACTCGGGGGCAGTTGCACCAACCACACACAACACATCCTGGATGGTCTTGTGCTGGGTATCGGTACATAGACATTGTCGACCCTGTGATGTATCTCAACAAGAGCCTTACTTGACAAATTTCACCCACACCTCCGCTAAACCTGAAACTGGTGGTTAGCCACTCGACTCTCCGGAAATACAATAGCTCAGTATGCACTGTCTTTCATCTTTATGGATTGGTTTTCATCTGTCGCTCGATTAAACTTTCCCTAAATTAACATATTTCGGTATAGGTACATACTTATTTGTGTCCTGCACTATGGTTTTTGATCCCTGAATATGAAATCGAAGTCGCTGGAGCCATTCGAGCCTTGATGAACAGTCGTATCAAATAGTCTCAGACTTTCACGCTGAAATCAATAGGATCACCTGAACGGCTATACGGAAAACCTCTCAGTAAAGTTTCCACCAGACAAGGTCCAGAAAGGTGTGATTCTATTCCGACAGAAAAACCGAACGTGCCGGTTAAGCGTAAAAGTTTCACGCCAAGTTTCGTGATTTCTAGTGGCACGAGCTCGCCTAGCAAAGAGCTGGCGGATGATAATCGATCACAGTGGCACAGCTGTGACTACAAGTCACTTAGCTTTCACTAGACTTCGAACGACAGTTAGCGTCTCGAACGTTCCCTAGAGCGGAAAAGTGATAACCTAGACGCCGATGATCACCTGTCGGGCGACCAAAGCAGCACGAAGGTTTATGTGGTTTCACACTTGAAAATAAGGACAAGGTCTGAATTACATATCTACAATTGTGAGTATGCAGCTAATTCATTGTTATGTAAAAGGAACAATACCTCATTGGGCTATTATTATTTCTATTTTAATACACAAAAGCGCCTTCGAATACAATCCTTAGAATATACACTACCGATATACCCATGCTCGTGCTGACGTGGAATTAGAACAGGTCTGTTCGACAGCTTAGACAGTAAGGCATGCCTGCGCTTTTAGAAACGTCACAAAAAAGTAGAGCGGTTGAGAACCCTTGTGGCCATCACGCTGCATCTGCCGGCTGTTCGACAGCTCAGTGTATTTTTTTCATGTGCTGTTCACATATTAATGTTCACAGGATTGAAAACGAGAAAGGGGTTTTCTAGAGTTGTCTGAAGATACCTTATGACCCCGAAAGCCCAGGCCTGGGCAATACTCTCCGCTTCCATGGGTAGCGCTTGGTGGTGCCACAGTAGCATCGCATCAAGCAAGATCAGGCGACCCGACCGGCCTTCTTGATAGGAATCCGACACACTCAACGTTGACCAAGTTGTGCAAATTAATTATTCTGGGATAACGATGATTCTCTCAAAACTGCTGCCGGGAAGTGGGTTTTAAGCAAGTCCCCAGTGTCATTATTGAAGGCAACTACAACAGTTCGGGGCGCAGTGTGACAAAAACAACAAAAATATTGTTCACCTTCTTAGCGAAGAGAGCCCAAGAGAACCCCAAGGCCAAGGCGGGATTCCAACTAAGTCCCCTTTCCTCGGGAACCTGCACACATGAACCCGCATAATTCTGCAGAAAGGCGATGCAAAAGTTTGTCGACTTCTCGAAAAAGCATCTGTCGATATCTACGGGCGAACCGCGCCTCTTCTTCACTAATCAGCGGGCAGAGCGTGCCTACATGCTTCAAGACACTTGATGCAAGGAACCATTCGGCTCTGTCAAAGAAGCCAAAAAAAGACTGAGCTAGCGACTTCGACGGTAGCATCGATGGCGGTACTTTTTTTTTGCCACTGCCCGCTTAAATCAGCTGTTGTTTCAAGCTTTATGCCTCCTGAACAAAAGGACAGGCTTGGACAATCTGGCAAGAATGTAACCTCCTATCTCAACACAGGAATTTTCGCGCGCGGGCTTTTAGGAAAATATACAAATCAGAAAGGCTAGCTCTCTCGACTCTCCTCTAGAGAATAGGTCAAGCCGTGTCTATGAATTCTGCTGGGTTGTTAGTTATGGATCGATTGGTCCTCAAGACATCTGGTCAATAAGCTTGGGCGTTTGTCTGTATTGGCAGGGGTTGGGGTGAAGCTCAGCTAATGGCAAGCCCGAGTTTTCGCCATGGTGAAGAATGCCAAACCACTTGTCTGAATCCGGCAATTGAAAAGACCCCGCTTCCTGGTCCGTTTGAGGGGCTCCCTACATGACGAATGTGTAGAATTTTTGAATCGGATTCCACACTAACGCGGCCACCCAGAGCGCCCAGAAATGCCCTGGCTGGCAGCTTTAGCCATTTGCTATGAAACCCTGTCATGTTTTGACCATGGCTAGCCACATCCTGCTGTTCAGGTACCCGTACTTCGATCAGTTCATTCGGAAACAATGCTCCCCTATCCAACTGCCAGGAACAGATGCAACGCCGGGCATCACTATCCCTCCTGAGACTCCACATCGCCCAATGGCAGACTCCATCCCTTTAGACACGGAAGAGTGCCCTGAGTTTAACCCTCGCAGAAAAGCTTAGCCCTCTCTTGCATCGAAGTTTGCAGATGGAATGCAGATTTATAAAGTGGTTCGACGAGCCACTTCTTGGACTTTCCCTCCTTCTCTTTTTCCACCATCATCAAACAGTTCTTCCACTGAGCTATAGCTCATCTATTTATTATATTCGACTGGGTCGATCACGTTCCTTACACATCATTCCCTACCAGCCGAGCCGCTTTGATAGCACGCAAATATCCTGCTTGACGCATCGATATTCTTCTATCTAAGGTTTCTCGACTTTCCATTCATTCCAACTCAGGAACGCAAGTGTTTTATCAGTGGCTAGTTCCACCTCACGACCTCCCTCTATACGAAACAGGTTTTGACTCGAAACCGGTAGGCAGTATCTCTGTCATCGTATAAAATCTTCGCTCGCTCTCTTTTTATCTTCTCTAAAAGTTGTTAGCAAATACTATCGTCTGGGTACGATAGATTATACCTCAGTGGAAACTGTTCTTCAAAACTCCGAAACTTCCCCCAAATATCAAAACATTTCAAAAATGCATTTCACAACATCTTTCATCGCTGCCGCAGCAGCCTTCCTGCCTCTTGCTAGCGCTCACGTCAAGATGGTAACCCCTTCAGTGTATGAAGTTAACAAAGATAACGCACCGCTAGATCCTAGTGGAGCAAACTTCCCCTGCAAATTTCCTGGTGGCGTTGGATCAAGACAGGCTCCAAATGCATTGGATACCTATACTCCTGGTGTCTCTGGTTCATTCAAGCTTCTCGGTGGTGCAACCCACGGTGGTGGATCCTGTCAAATTTCGATAACCTACGACAACCCTCCCACGAAAAACAGTGTCTTCAAGGTTGTTCAGTCATATGAGGGTGGCTGCCCAATAGTCGCTTCCGGAAACCTTGGTGGTGACGCCTCTATGCAACTCCCAGTACTTCCAGTACAACTCCCACAAGGTCTTAAGGCCGGCGAGGCCGTTTTCGTTTGGACTTGGTTTAACAGAGTCGGAAACCGAGAGATGTACATGAACTGCGCTCCAATCACCATTGGAGGCTCAGGATCGTCGGATTCCACTTTCAACTCCCTTCCCGATATGTTCGTTGCCAATATCAACGGAGCTAAGAATAACGCCTGCACAACTAAGGAGAACTTGGACATTATTTTCCCAAATCCTGGATCGAATGTTAGAGTTGTTGACGATGGCCACTTCGGTGCAGCTTGTGAGGGCGGCCCCAGCACCCCTGGAAACTCTGGTAGTGCTCCAGTTGGTGGCGGTGAAGAGACTGTTCCATCCTCTACTGCTCAACCACCGTCTGTTATCACTCAACCTGCTCTTATTGGTGGCCCAGCTGTCAGTGTCAGCAACATTATCATTGCAACTTCTTTCAGCGATATTGGTAGCCCATCCGAAACTCCAGTTCCTCAGCCGGTTGAGACTGAGGCACCTTCTCAAGTCGCACCACCTCGAACTACTCTCGTGAGAGTCTCAACTACTGTTGGTATGCCTATGAAACCTGTCAAACCCACCCCAACACCAAGCAAGGGCAACGATGGGTCCAAGAATGGATCTGGTACCTTCCAGGTTGGCCCATGCGACTCCTCCAAGGTTATCATCATCTGTGGCTCCGACCCATCTAGCTACACCCAATGCTTCGACAACAATATGGCCTACGGACCATTCGCTGTCCCGCCTGGCACTGAGTGTGACAGCACTGGTATGGGTGGATTCAAGGCCATGAAGCCAGTTTCCAGCCGATTTGCCCGACGCTACCTTGGTCGCAACCACCGAAGAAGTTTTGTTCACTCTCACAGCTTCTAAGCTGAGCTTAGTCTAAGCCAATATGAGTTGTGTAAGACGTATCACATCTTCTTTCTACCATATACCATAGGGCATTTTTCATGATCGGAGTTTTTTTTTCTTCTTGGTTTCATTTTTGGTTCGCGGCGTTTATCATTTCTGTTTCCTTTGTTTCGAAAAATTTCATTTCTCTGTATTTTTATAGTGCACTGTGTTGCGCTAGAATTATACCTTTTAGTATCAGATGAATGCTGGTGAATCTTCTGTACAATATTTTTTTTTTATCTTTACCACAAGAATACAATGGTGGAACTTACCCAAACAACCTAACTCTTTCCTATTTCTCCTTTCCGGACAGCCGGTGCATTCTGGGTGAGTATTTCCTTTGTGGGTAGAGTGACTTGTGGTCGAATTGCCCAGCCACACATCTAGTTATGTGAAACTGTCTCCCCCTGAAGCCAACGTAAGGTAGCATTCTCTTCGGCAGCAAACACCACGACCACTGCGCACCGCAGCAAGGGTTGATGCACTGCACTGCCGCTAGATTTTTCTTTCTTTCCCTATTCATCTTCATATTTTCTATCATACACAAGTGCGACGACGATATCGTTTGACAATCCATACATGCATTCCCAATCTGTCAGCCATTGAAAGATGCCGCTGCCGCTCGCAAGTTGGGCACCGAATGGGTTGATTTCGATTGGCTCTACCGACCACCCGAATCTCTTTTGTGCTGCCGAATTTCCTGCTCCCTGGGACAGAAGTCGAACATGCACGTCAAGGACATAACCCCCTTTGGGTAATTCCTTCCCGGCGTCTCGAACTAGTGCCCTAAATTTTGTGTTGCATTCTATCATGCACGGGACCAAACTCTTGATCTTTTCGTACTTGTTGTTGGAATCATTCGCCCATCCACCACTCCTGACGGAATACTGGCTTATAGCTCTGACTTTTCCGTTCGGGGGAACAAATATCCTAAATTCGTTTAAGGTTGATATTTCGTCTCTCCAGGGATTCAGGTGAAGGATTTCGTAGGTATCCAGCTTTAAATTTCTTGAGTTTTCGTTATCACCGCGAATTCCATGTTCTAATAAATCCCGTAGAGCTTTTTGAACCCTTTCCGAGGTGCAGAGCGAGAGGAGTATTGGCCACGCTTCCTCAAAGGGGCCATGTTCTCCCATTCCGTCTTTCGGGGAGCAACTGTTTAGGCGCACAAAATATTTGGGACCTGAGCTAGAACTAGATTGTCGTCCGAAGCATGGAACTAGGAGAGGAAGGACCTGTTCTTCGAGGTCTTCTTCTAAGCTCCTTGGAATTCTTCCCATGAGTAGCCCTCCATCCGCTGCTGATTTCAGTAACCGACATAGACTCGGTGTTAAGATGATTTCGTATCCCTCATTGCAAGGGGATGTTGGTTCCTGCATTTCCTTGGCTTCACGTTGCATTCTTTGCAAAATAGGCTTCCACAAATCGTACCCGGTTTCGGTGAGGCGTCGGTAATATTCAGACTGGTCCAGAGCTTGCTCCATGGCCTGAAGCTGGGCTGGAATTTCGCAGTACTTGTGGTTGTTTGTGTTAACATTGTCTGGATTCTCTTTTATCCAGGAGCGGCTGACTATCCGGACCGTTATTGGAGTTAGCTGGGCCATCTTCTAGGCAGTTTTGCGAAACAGTCGATAAAGTCTTTTGGTTGATGTTTCCAGAGGGTTTAGGCTTGATCAATTGAAGCTTGATTGGTGGGTGCCGGATGGATAAGAGGGGAAGTGTCGTTGGTGTTTCAAGATGCGATGGTGTTAGGGTTAGCATGTCATGGACTGAGATCAATCACTATGGTTACTAGGTAGGTAGTAGGTAGGTGTCCATCACACCGACTTATCTCATAAACCAAATGCTACCGTGTTCTACACCAACCATATCGATCTGCAAACTCGTGGCAGTCAAATAGCAGATCGCAACTCTGTTCTCTTCAATTCCGCCCAGATCTAGAAACTTGATCATTGGTATACCTATATTCAGATTTAATGTAAGTATGGCCTTCTTAACACGTACCCCGCAAAGTACCAGGTAGGTAGTTTAAACTCAAAACTAGTGGACGGTTTAGTCTCATCATACAAGAGGAATCAGTAAATCCCTCCAAAGGAGATGAAATACCTAAGTATATATATTGATACACTATTTATAATACATTAGCAGTATGTGAATATGTTAAAATGTACTCTTATCGTAGTAAAGTCTTGCATATACTATACTATCCTATTGTCCTCTTGACCCACTGAAGCCAATATTCGATGGTGAGTCCAAATTTCCCTAGTCCTTGGTTTCTAACTTCTTGATTTGACATGTGGTCCAAGAGCGGTTCTTGTTCGATTCCCACTCTGACTATGCTATCTCTCCCAATAAATCGTCCATACCCGTATCTCCGATTTAACTTGGACAAGTGGGCTTCTCTTTGTTGTCCCGTCAATAGCTCGGTGCCTCTAACATCGTCCAAGACAGAACTTTTATGGAATAGTTGGACTTCTGAGGCAATCGAAGTCGGGAGTCGTTGGAAAAGCCGGGAAACTCGAAACAGATAGAAGTGTATCGCTAGTATAAAATAGAAGCTAAGCAAGGTTGCCGTGAGTGCAAACATTGATAAAGACATTTGAACTCGGACAGTTGGAGCCAGCCTTATTCCCTCAAACTGTGGTGCGGAAGACGGGGCCCCTATAAACATTTGGCTATGGTATATACCCAGGGTGGCGGCAAATGTTCTTCTGTAAACTTCGCTTATTTGTTCACCGATCAAATTCATATTGATATCCTGAATGGCTGTTTGAGGATCGAACGCTTCTGTAGACTTCGAAACAGTTTGTATCATAAAATCAACCCAGCCCGTCGGCAGCGAGTTATCAGTGAAATACAACCAAGTACCTCTTTCAACACTTAGGGCCTTCTCGATAAGATCGGAACGAAGGAGGCTCTGCATGCTAGCTAGGAGTTGTGATTCTGTGATTGCCCCGGCGAAAACACGTGGTTTTTCGTCTTCGTTGCTGTTTTTTAGCACCGCTTCGATGATTTGATTTGAATCGTCAAATAAAATTTCATATCTGCTGACATCGAGCTTGGGCCTGCAGACGATGGTTTTGTGTTCAAATGTTGCAGCGTCAAAACGGGATGTATTGCTAAGAGCCTGCGTCCGACTAAATATAGCCGGAACGAGCCCACTGCAGATTTCATTTTCCCGAGTGTCATTGGAGGCTGCCTGTAGTATAGGATAAGCTTCCATAGCAACTGATCCGTTATATCCACGTTGGATACCAACTACGCTGCCGTCATTCAATAGTGACCTGAACTGAAATTTGGTGGAAACCTCGCATACAGGACCCGAACCCTCGTACGCAGTTGTTCGAATTTGGAGTTTTGCCATATTAACTTGTTGCTCAACGTCGAATCCAACTTTGATAGGAACTTCAATCGATTCGCAGGAGAGACTAGCATTAAATCCAATTGTCTCTGCTCGGAAAATATCTGAAGAATTGAAGTTGGAGACCTGTAGGTCATGCGGCTTGACTGGTAGAAAAAAGTGGGTTGGTGTGCTCCAGGATGGCAAAGGTGTATTGCTCGTAAAATTAGCATAGAGTGCGTAGTAATGGTCGTCGCGTCCGGTTGCAAAGTGGTGAGCCGGTATCTTTGATTCATCAATTACGCCGAGTGAATAGTAGTACGGTAAAGCTTGAACCGAGGGTAGAAATTGATCCCTAATGGCTACGACTGTTGGTGATCTTATGGTTTCGGGATCAAAAAGCGCACCAAGAGCAATTGCTAGGGCATTGGTCGACAGAGCAGCTATTGCCAGGATTGACAAAAAGTAGTGACGGGATCTTAGGGCTGAGAATATGGTAAGGGATGGCGGTACAGCTTCGAATTTAAGAGTTAGTGATTCGGAGGCAAGCGCATGCCCATGTCTAAGGGTCTCGAGAGGCTGTAACACACATATGAACCTCGTCAGGAGGACCCAAAATGGTTCCAGAAAAGTTCCTATTGCGGTCGGGATATAAGAAAATAATAGCTGGAATACGAAGATATTATCGCTGAAGGATGGTAATCCTGATGCATGAATTGTCAGCCATGTGGTCACGCCTGGATCCAAAATTAGTTAATCTGTATTTTCTCGAACTTACCATCATGTGTATTGTGATAATGGAAGACATAGGAAATAAAAGCGAGTAAACTTCCTAACAGCAGAATAAAGATTGTTCCAGCGGCTGCACTAAGTTCAAAGTTTTTCTCTTGTTCATTTTCATCTAGGGAGGTGCGGTCTAATATAGATTTGGTGAGCCTATGAATGACGATCATTTAGTTTTAGGGACGCTGCTTGGTGTGAACTCACTTATGGAACTCGAGCTTGAGCCACTCCCCGGCTGTGAAACTACAGAAAGCTGATAGTTCCCGATTTGAGAGCCTAGCTTGAATTTCAAGGATTCATCGCCGACAGCTTGATGAAGCTGGTTAATAGTTGATGTGCCGTCGAGAGTTTCGAATTTTTCTAATAGTTTTGGTTCACTGGCGACCATTGCCATTGTACCTGCTAGAGATGCAGGGTCGTATATTAGGCCAGACCTCCTCCTCGTGCTCGACAATACGAAGCAAACAAGGAGCAAAGCGACAGTTCCGAGTAGGCCCTCTAAGATTCTCGCGAATACTTCCGGCACCACTACTGTCTCTGTCGTAATAGAGATACTTCCACTTGCTGGTTTCGTTTTGGGATCCATAAGTTTCGTTGCAGCATATGTCATGAAGAGCAATTTATATGCTTTGTCGATGGTCGACGTTAGAAATGAAAGATCCATGTATTTTTCTATGTTCGAGTCGATTGCGAATAAAAATCCTAGAACATTTGTTTCATACACCCAATCTTCGCCGTTTAGCATTAATTTTGTGATATCTTTTGTCCAAGCGGTATGGCGCGGTGCTGAGCCAAATGGTCCTCCGTTGAAAACGTCAGCCATGACGCCGCCGCCCGATACCAGTGTCTCGAATATAGTTGCATTAAATTGATCAGGTGTTAATGCATCGGGCGTGCCGATATGCGTTAGGTTTTTTGCAACTTTTGTTCGGGCATCAACGACAACTTCGACAGCTGAACTTCGGTAAGTAGATTCACAGAAAGCAGCATTTATGGATGGTGTAGCATTGTAATCTCTCTGATAAGCGATTATCACTAAAAAGAGGTTTGGGTTTGGCCCCGGGAGCAGACAATCTGGAGTTTTAAGATAGTAAGCGGAGTTAGCTCCAGAATTATATCCAACAAACTCGGCATACCACTGCCGCCAGGGTTTGTTGGGTTCCGGTTCGTATATGAATTTCGGAAACCCGGCATGCCTGAAGCTACAGTTGGTTTGCCTGTCGTGGAAAAACCTCTCGCTATCTTGTACTTCCGTCCTCCCGGATGTGTTTGGACTTCGGATTACGATTCTTTCAGCAGGGCGGCAGCCAACTTCAGTATAGTATGCTGTAGAGTTGCCGATCCAGAGCTCGGTTTGCGTATCGGATCCTGATACTGGGCCAGATGCTGGTTCGAATGGTAACACCGCTTCTGATTTCGTGCTATATAGTGGAGGCGTCGAGTTTAACCAGGAGATGGAATACGCAACATTCATGAACGAATTTGTCTCCGGTCCAAAAGTCGAAACCTTCTTAAGGCTCCGCGTCGTCATAAATTTTGTCGGCATAATAACCTGCTGTTGAAGTGTCGCAACCAAGGAACTCTGAAGAGGCGTAATAAACCAGAATACCAAAACCGTCGCAGTCCCAATATGAAATACCGACCAGTGACCCCTCTTTGCCGCCTTAAACGGTACGAAAGCTAAAAAGTCGAAAGGATAACACAGTAATATCGAATTCTTCGCAGTAACTCCATCAGGTTTCGATAATTCAAACCATGGCTCCAGTCGCTTTGCATCAAGGTCGGAAAGTGAAAGCAGGATGGCGAATATGACCGAGGCTACGGTACCCATATACTGTGAGACGAAAATCTGCCAACCGTTGAGACCGTCACCTTGGGCGAACGTGAGATATCCATCGCGTTGGCTCTTCCTGAAGAGTAACTCGATGGAGATTATAAAGAATAAAGTTAAAAGGATTAAAAATATTAAATATGGTAGTCGTAAAGTAAAAGGCTTCCAGCTGGGAAGGTCATGGTCTAGAAAAAGTATCTCGGATAAGCTCAGTGTCGGAAACCTATGAGCGCAAAGTCGAATTTACCTTTTATTTTTTCGGATCCAAAGCTCGAAAAACTCTTAAAAGACCACTTGCTAACAGGTGGGCGGGGGAAAGGCTTGTCTATATTTATAAGCGTCAAGAGTTAACCAGAAGCACTATCAAAAGAAATCATACAACCCCCCCTTTAAATCCAACTTCAAATGAAACCCAACCCTCCAACCAGCGTTTTACGAACCTTTAATATTGGCGGAACTGGACCCACTGGCTGCTGTGCCTGGTGGAACGGGACCAGGTGTTTGAGGGGGTGTTGGACTTTGGCTAGGGTTGGAGATTGTTGGACTCGATGTCAAAATTGACGTTGGGGTTGGACTCGGGGTCCTGGAAGTTGGAATATGTGCCACAGGTTGGACCGATGATGTGTTAAGAGATCGGTTCCTGTATGGCAGTCTCCCTGCTGCATCCTGATATTGGCGCCCGGCCATCGTGCACAGCTAGTCCTTCTAACAATTTCTTGAAATTTTTACGGCAAAGAACCACCCTTTGGGATCAATTATGGCAAAGCAGGTCTATAATTTCATATAACAACTGTGCCTCAGAGCGTAAACTATTGGCCCACTCCTGGCGTAAAGTATCTGGAGAAATCACGCGGAATTTGTCGACAGTCGGCACAGGAACTGAAAGAGAAGAAAAATACCACAAAGCTTTTTGTGTTGAAAATCGACCAGCAAATGTATTGAACTCGAAAGAAGGAAAGGAAAATAATAAAAATGTTTAACAAAACTCAAAGAGAAGCGAAAGGATAATGCTGAACATAACTCGAATGAGAAGAGAAACGCCGCGCTGAACGGAAGAATATAAAGAAAATAAGAAGACACAGGTAATGTGGGTACAAGCATGAGGGTCATACAAAAATACTAACAATGGATACAAAAGGCATGCATTCTATCATGTTTCCAAGCGCTAGGGTACCACCCAGAAGTCGAAATTGGATCACAGAGTGCTTCTAATTGTGTTGGCGAATGGGAGCGCTGCCGGCCCTTCGAGGGTCAGGGGTGGGCGAGCAAACTTTCCATCTCCGGTATGGCCTGAGCGGTTACTTGAATGACACCCGACTTTGCCGCGAACATGCAGCTTTTCAGCAAGGCGCCCCCATAGGGAAGTTGACGAGGATGTGATTATCCATTGTTCAAATGCAGCGGGCTTATCGCTAGGGCCTCCATTCGAAAAGGAAGCGATTGTATTGAAATCGCCCATGGGGAATGAATAGCAGTGTTGTTAAGGTTTCATCCAACATAATGCATCAGTCATACTTCGTGTCATATGTACAGCATGCATATGCATATACGGATTTATTCCGGGGTGTTATTGAAAGGATTGCTGTTTAGGAGGTCCTCCATGCTGAAATCTAATGGAGCATCTTGACTACTAGCGTCGACATCCATAAAATTCAACGATTCGAAGCTAAGCATGTCGACTCCTGTGAGCCCAGGGCTTTGCCAACTCGTACTTGCGGTGGAAATAAACGGACCAGAAAGAGGTATCGGACTGTTTCCTGAGGAAGGAATAGTGTTAGAACTCGCCGTAGATTGTCCTAGAGCCGATTTCATACGAAGGAATGGCTCAGGAAGACCGACACTCCCAGAGTGAGATGACCGAGCATCTTGACCCATGAGCGGTGAACTTTGTGTTGATGCTACAGGGGCCGTTCCAGGTGGCAAATTCCACTGTGCGGCATCTTGATCTTCAGAGGCATCGACCTGGAGGTTGAAAACAGCGAGGGTACTTCTAGGTAGCTGAACCGCCGTTACATATCCCTCAGATGGCTGAGCGGTATGGGCTAATGGCGTCGTGGCCATCCGCAGGCTACTTGAGCTAATCTCAGGTAAGCCAGTTGGTTGGCGCTGATGATCGGTGGCGGGGTGTGTCAGCCTTTCGATTTCTTGGGATCCGCCCTGTCGAAACCACGCTCCAAAATAATCTCCGTGATAGAGGATATCCACAACCGAACCGTTCAACGGGATCATTGTGGGAGCAATTGCTCTCAGCTTTTCCTTGTTGATACATACTCCAGAAACACAATGAGGGCCTGTTGGGTCAGCAGAGCCAGCATGCTTGTTCCCAATTCCGTCAGTGCAAGCTTCCCTGATATCGACACAGAGCTTTCGAATCATGACATAGATATCGGCAGCGGCCTTCATCCTGTGCATGTAGTTCCGAAGTAACTGTAAACTCTCTCGGTAATATTTTCTTGCGTTGAAAAATAAAGAGATATTTGGATTGGCAAGCAGCCGACCGTCCTCCAGAATGTATTCTTCCGGCAGGTATGTTAATAGGCGTCCAATCGTATCACAAGCAATTCCCACAGCGAAAGGGACAAAAGGGGAGACGAGTTGTATTTTTCTCCCAACCGGCCTCGCAACTTCATCGTTATACTTTGAGATCGATCTCAGTACGGCCAGTACCGCAAGTGCATGGTTGAAAGCTGGAAGGTAGTGTTCTGTGAACGTTTCTTTCGTGTCTTGGTAACGGTGAAGCTGGTTTAGAGTGGTGTGGTAGATGATGTGCATCAAGCAGATGGTTTCGATGATAGAATGTTCGCCATCGAAGTGACCCTTGAAGTTGTCAGCTGTAAATTGATATTCTGCCGGAAGTGTTTCCTCCCATATTTTCAACTCTGCGGCAAGCTGCCTTGTGTCGCAAGAGCCATGCTCTGATGGATAGACTTGAGGCAGGTGGGTGCAAGAGACCTTAAGGAAGTGTAGAAGCCTGGCCCGAATGTCGACGATTTTAATAAGGTAGCCCATTACACCGATGTTGTTTGCCCGATCAAAAACACCCTTTGAGTCCCCGATCTTCTCTCTTAAATCAAATTCCCCTTCAAGACATGGAAGTGGGATATCAGATACTGCTAATCTCTGTTCAGGGGCCTGATGTTCAGTCAAATGCCGGGAACGCTGTTCGCAACGCAACGTTGTCAGCAAAATTACACGCTTTAGGAGCTAAATATAGGCAAGTAAGTGCTTACATCTTGTAAATAGGCCGCCCAGAATGTTCTTTTGCCGATTTCTATTGCAGGCTCCATGGTAGATTGCCCTAGCCTTTCCTTTTGTCGAAGCTTCTCATTGACTTGCTCCCCGAGTCGTATTTGTTTGACCATTGAAATAGCGATGTCGGAATACCCATTTGACAGTTCGATGTCACCAGTTGCAGAATAATGAAAAGCTAGTAAGAGAAAGGACTGGATAGTCGTTAATGTGGGCGCAAATCTTTCACCAAGCGCAGCTTGTTTTGCTTGTGCCTCCAGTATACGAGGCGAGTTAGTTGCACGTAATTCGTCAGACAATCGACAGCTAGCTGCACAAATGCACAGGAGTAGAATGGGCGACTGGGCTGTTAAATTCCGTAGAAATGATGATGGTTGTAGAAACCCGTATCCCTGCCAGTGGAGATGGGTGAAAAAAAGCTCTACAAGATTCTTCGTTGTCTGTTCATCCGGAAGTTGTATCCTTGTTTGCTTCGGAAAACTTGTTGGATTGAGCTTCGAGAGAGGCGATACAAGCCTTGGCTCGGGAGGGACTGCGAAAAGCCGAGGGTCATAAGCTCCTTCGTTTTCCAAGCTATATCCTGATGTGAAGAGTGGTTGATAAGATGAAGATATGGACTCTAGTGAGAGTTGGCGAGATCTATCTGACATGTTGCTAACAGGAGAGTCGGATGAATGAGGATATGAAGATTCCGTATGCATCCCTGAGTATATGGCATGAGAAGGTGGCATTGCAGACCCAATTGGTAGAGTAAGAAGTGATGGATCCATAGCACCAAGCATTATGCTATCATCATCAGCAAGATCTCTAGATGAGGCTCTGGAAAAGCTGGTAGAAGAATCGTCGCCTTCGTTTTGCGAAGGCCTCCTTCCAGCACTTCTTTTGCGAGATTTCGATTTATCTCTCTTTATTGCAGAACTTTGTCTTCTTGGCCTTTATGAAAAGTTAGCTTTGGCTTATGCTGAGGACGGCACTTGTGGGTAGAATAATCTTACCTTCCCTCTGTTCGGCAACTATTCTTCAGAGTATCAGATTTCATACAGTTATGGCAAGGACCGCCATCTTTGCTAACAAGACATTTTATCTTCTTTCCTCTGCAGTTCGTACAAGCTATAGGCAGCCTCTGTCTTGCTTTTCCTGCTTTCGTAAGACCCCATTCAGGGTTAACCTCTATCCCGTCAATTTCCCTTGGTAGCTCGTGTTGGTCCGACATTAGTGATGTAAACTCAAATGGGGCTCCTCGGCCAAGTGTAAAACCAGGTGGTAATGATAATCTTCTGTAAGCTGCAAATGATCCAGAGATATCGGCTTGAGGATTGCCGTTATATAATAATTGCTGGGTGCTGTTATTAATAGCTTGGCTTTTTATATGGGCGTCCAGTGCGAATACTGAATCGCAGAACCATGTGGATTTTTTGGATATATCCTCTTGTCTAGGCGTCTTATCTGTTTCTAGGAATTCAGGGAGTTTTTGATCCCTCTCCGCTCTGCTGAAGCTGCCTATCGTAGCTAGAAGATGAGTCTCGTTCGGCTGTGCAGGATTCGTTGTTACGGCCTGTACAGCAACGGTATATTTCGAGTCTGATGATGTCTCCTTCTCCGCCTTATCAAGCGGATTGACGACCACCTGACGAGCATCTTTAAGCGACGCCTTGACGACGCTCGTAGTAGGGAGCGGTAGGACTTGCGGGAGGAGCACCATGGGCATATTTGCCTTTTCCATCACGGGGTTCGGCGCCGTGCTGCTTAATGTCGTTCTCATCGGAACTCTTTGTTTCCTTTTTGGCACTTGGATTTTATTTTTGGGCCTTCTTCAGCTCACCGTCTGATGTTGAAGTGTTCTAAATTAACAAAAAGGAAAGGAGGCTGAGAATGAAAGACGAATCCGTAGAGTTTTAAATCCGGACGTTATGGGCCCTAGGATATCGAATGGTCAGTACTCCATGTACTACTATACTGTATTATGTATCCTTTAGTGCCAGAACAAGAAATTTAGGATATGCAGTACGGCCCTCCAAACGGGAAGGGGCAAGGTATGGAGAAGAATATCCATGGCAGGGGCATGCTCCTAGCTACCAACGTACATACGTCAAATCCCAAGGCTTGTGATTTGATAGACGGAGGCCCCGATGACTACTGGGAACCAGCACTCCGTCCAAGGATGCCCCGGTGGCTGTTACCGGGCAGTGAATGGGGGGCAGCGGGATATCGGAAAGTATGTACCTTGTGAAGCCAACCTGCATAAGTCTATGGCGCCATGGAATAATTGGGTATTGTGAAACTTTGCTTTTTTAGCTATACCTTTAGGTATACGACCGTTAATAGTACAGTTGTACCAGGATTCCGGGAGTATGGTAGACTAGAATATCCAGACTTAGAACCCAACAGTTGAATATTTGAGTTGAAAAAGTCCAAAACTGATTAGACTCATAGTTTGAGGCTTGTCAGCAGCGAGTTTCGGTATATGGAATCTCGAAACGTGTCGGTGGGGTATGCTCAAAGAGGCCAACCAAGACTTACGAGTTCAACTATATTCTAACATTAGAAACATAGAATATATTTCGTTTTTATTTTTTCTTGCAAAGATGCTGCGACTCGTTGAAAGTGATCGCCTGGCAGGGTGCTGTTGGAAGCTTATGAAATACAACTGCTCCCTTGTGGTTGCAAAAGAAAAACAATCTAAGAGTTCGGAGCCGCTATTAATTACGTCCTTGGTTAGGCCGTAAAAATCTCCAGGGGCATGTAGGAACCATTCCAGAGTCCAAATGGTGATATCAAATGACACTGTTTCCCATTATGGGGTATTAATAAGAAGCCAAGCGGGCTGTGCAGCAGAACATCGGGAGAACAATAGCACGTTCCCAATTTGCCTTGAAGTACTTGTGAATTTGAACTGTTTCCTCGAGGAAAGAGCTTGTTTTAACGTACAGACTCATGCTGCATGCCCCCCTAGCTTGGAAATCAAGATCACTGCTGATTATTTGATGCTACAGGCGCATGGCATTGTAAAGCCTAAGAACAGATCAGGGAAAACCCAGAATAATAGACGTCAAAGCCCAATTAATTTACTAGCTGCGTTCCTCATAAGCTATATGGCAGCTGTTTATTTGGCTGGGAAAATCCCTGATACATGAAACTTGCTTCTTTCCCCCAATTGAATTTGATCAGGATCTGGACAGAATCGGGTGAGTACGTCAATTTGAACTCTACACGTCAGATGGGCTTGGACATGTTTAATTCGAGCTCCAAAGGAGGGTCTGCGGGCTGCACTATACTATTGGAGTAAAGGATGTGCTGCCGTGCTTATCGATTCTTTGGGGACATATTGGGTGACTTGAAACCTGTACCGGGCGGTACAGTTCCTTCTGGGGCCATGCCATGCCATGCCGTGGGTGCACTAAGCTAAGAAAAGAGGCTTTTAATGCCCTCAGAGCCCCAAAATTACCCCTGTCCTCGTACGATTCTATTGGTGTTGTGGGATAGGCCCGTTTGCCTGATGTAGCTTACTCACCCCACTCCGTGCAAGGCCGCCATGCTTACACAGTATGGAAGAACACTGTTCGAAGCAATCCATCTACGGAATAGCAGCATATGCATGTTTAACCTTGGGCGGCATCAAATGTCACTCTGAGATTAACCGAAAGAAGCTCCCCAGTCGATATTGATATGATGCATCCCCACACAGTATACTTTTTGAAAGCAAAATTTACTCTTTCCGCCCTATTTTTACATTGAATTTGTGTTCTAGCGGCATTAGAATCTTGGGTTTCTTGTATCATGTAGATGCACACCTTTTGCGGTTATATTTGTCTCTTACTAAGTTCCGGCGTAAGCCGAGTAACAATCTTGGACGAAATGGATATTAACTTACTGGGCTTGCTGCAGGTACCCTGGAGTTGTGCGAACATTTCTGGAAACCCTAATTTCGTCTTGAATCTGACCTCTCTCCTCTTATGTTTTCTTTGTCCATCTGTTTCTTATCACTTGTGACTTGCAATTTTCTGACTTCGCAGGTCGGAATATGCGGGTGGCAATTACACAAAACTTTGGGAAACCGTTCTCAGCGATAAGAAGAACAATTGCTTACCTATACAGTCAGATCAATAATTCCCAAACAAGATATTTGTAATACTTCGCCATTTACTACCACGCATGTAGCTTCGTCATTTTATTAACGGTATAGCGTCTAACAATAGTAAGTTCGGTACTGGAGGATGCTCCGAAGCTTCGTACTCCGCGCAGGCCGATATCTGGAGACCAGTAAAGCGCTGTGAAAAGAGAATCGTCGCTAATTCTCGGTTGGCCTGGCCACTCGGATACTTTTAGGACCCTTTTCCCCCCGTCCTGATGCAGGCCTAGATATTTGCTCCCAGCTAGATCCCTGGATATTACACTCTACCACGGTCATGGGACTCAGGTACATACAATTGCAGTTGGACGTATTTGAGGCAGCGACAATAGCTATGCAGATATCTGTAGATTGGGGTGCCACACATGCACACGTGTGATTCATACGCCCCAGTTGATCGACGTTCTGGAAGGCAAACCTATTGTGCAGGGCTGCAGAGAATATTCTTCAGATATTCTTCAATAGCAAGCTTCGGCTCAGCTGATCATGGATTGTCCGAAGGCTGTCGGCGGACGTTTGATGACGAGGCCTCGTTCGCTCGGTGATTATCTTCCGCTAATCTCCGTTAGATACTGCCTTGACTGTTTCGAGACTCCTAACCTTCGAATTCTAACGTAGAAAAGAATCGGGCGTTACTCAGAGGATCGATGCAAGATATGTGATGCAACAGCAGCTTCGCCGCGGTCAGACCAATAATCGTCGAATGCATTGTTGGCGGTTCTCGGCCGGGAAACTCTGTTTCTTTTTAATTTTGCCGTCGGATATCTCGGGGCTAAGGCTAACCGAATGCAATTGCTGGGGTCTAGAAACCGATTCCATCGGAGATCTCTGTGCAGGTATCGGTTTTTTGTCTTTCCTTCTCACTATTGATCGGACCTTTTAGATATCGCCTTCAAGAGTTAAAATGTTTGTGATTCAGAAAACGTTGGAGTCTGCCTTGTCTGCAGATATATATCAAATATTCACTAGCTTAATGTTAACAGTGCATTGCATCTGGGAGGATATTTTGGGTCGAAAAGCCTTATGCGTTCGTATCGACAGAGCCACTAGAGTGTTTGCATATCCACCATACCATCCTAGACCCTGTCCAACAGTATGTGTTCGGTATGTACTCCCTTGCTGTCACCACCATACAAAAAGTACCTATTTAAAGCCCAAAGGTGGAGACCTCACAGATGTACCAAGTACGCAGCCTCAGAATTTCCCGTCGCTGGCTATCCTGCATTAGATTTGGACTAGCCAGGTCTGACCGACATTGTGTTGCAATCGACGTCGAGTTCTATATATAAAAAGGTTCGAAGCCTAGAAGGGTGGGGATCGACAAATATCGAATTCCAACTTCGTACGAACCCGATACAACACAACATAACATGCAACAGACAGAGCCACGATTTATCGAATGAAAATAGTATCACCAGCTTCAAGTTGATTGAAGGTTCTGTATAAGATGAAGAATTTTTCTCTCGGAAAATACTTGGTGTATATTCCTGGCCTGGTTCCTGAAATTACGGACATATTATCTAAGAAACATGCCGTGCTGCAAATTGCAAAATTAGTCTAAGCTTCGGCAGTTGAGATCCCACACCAAATTTAATTGTGCCCCATTAATAAGCCGATGCCAAATCTGATATCAACCGCGAAAAACACTATATTTTTGGGTCGTGATTTGGAAGCTTTCAGGGTAATTAATTGGATATCACAGGACTATCTGCACGGGTTCAGGTTCGATATCTAGCCGCTAAGGGTCATCGGGGATATTTCCAACTGCAGGTTGGGAGACCTGGTCTTTTAATTATATTCTCGCCCCACACCAAGGAATGCTTCCGCCGCCGGATCATGAACCTGAGGCTCATAATGAAACGTGAAATTTAAACTTGGTCGATCTACTAAGCGAACTGAGATGTTTTGACATTCGGATCGCTTGCAGTGGACCCGATCTCCGGCATCCACCCACACCTGCAGACACCGTCAAGACAATATCAACTACCCGCAGATACCGAAAAGTATCATTTAATGCAGTGGCAAACCCGACAGCCATCTTGTGCCTTAAATGCTTGACAGCCTTGTGATCGGTGTTTTTCTTACTGTTTACATAAGATCATATTCACCTACTACAGGGAAATATCGGATGGATTATCCCACAGCCCCTAAAGAGTAGAGCCTCATGGAGGGTCTGATTCGCAGATACTCAAATCAAGGCATCCACAAAGAGGATTGCTATCCTGCGAATAGGAAGCCTTTCGGCTTTGTCAAAGAGCCTAAAGGGGTATATCTGTATTATAATAGGATAACATTGTTTGATCTGACGAGCATTGATCGTGTTCCTATTACACGTGTATGTAGTTTGCCAGGATCCGCTTTAACCTCCCAGGAGGTCCCTATTATAGCCAGTAGGTTAAAGGAAAATATGATTCAGATTTGAGAGTCAAAAAATATGCATGTCTTGCAAGCTAGGAGGTGGTACGACAGTGTACAAGTGCGCTATAACATGTACAAAGCATCCTGCCCAATGCTTACACAGTGTTCTCCTCTTCGACACTATGTACATCCCATGACATTGAAACCGTCCCGATATCCCTCTTTTCCCGGAACCGGCGTTCTATTGGGTCCGGGATAGCAACCTCTGCACGGTGGGTTTGTCGGACATGGAATCCTTCCAATTACCGGGGGGGAAATCGATGAAATTCACCTCAAAGGCCAGTCGCCCATACCTCCTTCTAGCATCTCCACCCGTTCCGCATCAGTAAACCCGTCTAGGCAGCTCCACTTCCTTCCGTTTCCTTTAGAGAGGATACAAGGTGACAAGGAATATGGTGGATATAACCTGCATTCTGTTTGTGGGACTCCACCAGCCAGTCTCGAGTTCCTAAGATCTAGTGTTTGAGGGTGAGGTCACGCTTACATCACTTGCATTTCGCAAGAATTATGCCAGCACATCAAGGGCACCATTGTAAAGCTTAGTAACCCCCTTTTTAGAGGTTGAAGTCTACGAGCAAGGTTTGTGGATCGAAATTATCGATGCAGAACTTGAATTTTGATGTCTACGGATTGTACACTATATAATATTTTTCGATTTAGGATGATTTAGTGGTTATCGAAAGTTTTCCGTCGGGAAATTCTCTTGGCCTACTCTAGGACTTAAGTGTAAGTCCGGTTTATGCGCGTAACAGAACCATGGATATTGTCTATCCTCCCTTCAATTTTAAAGCGGTGTTTTTCCATGTCCTACGGAGGAAATGTTGGATTTTGGGACGAAACAACGCATTTGGCCGACTGGTCCCGATGTGGTCTCGTATTTGCACTTGACTTTGAGTCCATGATATCATCATGCATTTCGAGACAACGGATTTGATAATTAGCTGCACAACGTCAGTTAACGTTATGGATATAGCTTCGAGGATTTTTTCGTATAGAAACCCCTTAAGGATTTGTGTGAAGATTGACTTCGGATTGATCAACAATGGATGTTTGGCCATTGAAGCTTCTGACCCCCAAGTACATTCTTGAGCCTACTTCGGGGGCCTGCCCGAACATTGTCTGGGGATGAGCCTTGATCGGCGGTTAGGTGTAAATGAGTAGCCTGCTATTAATACTGGTATTAATATAATTCTAAAGTTGCTTTTGTACTCAATAGTTCGAGTAGGTGATATTGTATGTATAAGTATTTAATATTTCTAGCTATTTAGCCTCAGTGGTTCAGTATGTTTCTCTAGTTTCGGAGTCTCAATCTTGACCCGTTTTTCCGTAATGCATAGGTGGAGCGTAGTACGCGTAATGCCGTGGCCATCTCAATGAAAATCCAAGGTGGAAGACTATGGGTTCTAGCTGAGGGATCAACTTGTAGAGACCGGAAATTATATCTCTAAAAATTGGCCCGTATGCTAGTTAATGCAAATCATAGTTTATAACCAGATTCACGCGCGCATGCGCACCTTAAAACTTAATTCTTGAAATATAATGGCACAGTCCGAGGATGGCATGAGGAACTCCGACCGTGAACAGTGGGCTTGCTGTTTGGCTGTGTTGTTCTACTGAATTCAACCGTATGGAGGAGTGCTCGATAAAATGGCACCAGAGTATCGACTAGTCTTTGCCACCCGTTCTACGAATTTACATACTTCTACTTTAGGTCTTAGCGCCCCGACCTGTGGTTATATTGAGGCTCTGTGGCTCTAATCGTTTATGATAACAAAATTTGAAAAACTAAACAGCATGTGTGATCGGGCGACTTTGACAAATGAGTTTTATCAGCATTTAAGATTTCAAATTGATCATGAGTTGACGAGCTAGGATATGTTTTAGAAACTTGTTACAAATAATCCAAATCTACGAGCCCGTCTGCTTTATAAATTTATCTAACGTCAAGAGATGTAATCGTGGCATAAGCGCTCGCGCTTGTCGCAATTCTTGATTAGTGATACAGTCAATTAATATAGATTTCGCAGTTCGCGAACGCTTCGCTACGAAGCGACGCCTCCAAGCCCTGTTAACTTGTTGTCTCATGTTGAGACCAAGGAAGGCCTGAGCGAACGACTGATCGTAGTGATATAAAGACGACATGTTTCCCACTTGTCCTATATTCATGGGCTTCTAATATTTAACTACAGGTTCCTCATATTTCCTCTCTGCCCCGGAATTACGCGATCGGAATTTGGGTTTAAAGACAACAATTGAATGCATCACAATAACGCCAATAGTAGAGTTGGGTATGGGTTCGCAACTATTTCAATCAGGAGGATATTATGACAATATATATACCGAACATGAGAACATCATAACAAAGTAGATGATGGGGTAATATGGGGTGGTCCTTCGACAACCGACATTGAGCAAACATAAAGGATGCAAACCGACCCGACAGGAAGATCTTAAGAGAAAAATCTTTAGAATGTTGTTGATCTAATCCGACTTATCGCCCTTCACGACAGACCCGTTTCTATCCTCGGAGACACCCTTTCCAACAGCGGCGCTGCCTTTTGCCTTCCTCTTCGCAGCCATCTTGCTACCATCAGTCCCATGGAACCAGTCCAACACTCCAATAGCACCGAAATAAATCAAAAACTTCTCGTGATGCAGGTCATGCATCTTGGCTGCGTTTAAGAAGAAGTCGTATCCTGAATGGACAGTAGTGGTTTCGATCAACTCATATGCCATGAAGATCCAGAATGTAAGGATATGAGAGTTCAAGAGCTGCGGCGGAATTGTGATAGGGAGAATGTTGGCTACGATTTGTTCGATGGGGTGTGCATACTGCGCTGCGAGTGCGACTGGAGCAGTGAAACGGTGATGAATCTTGTGGATCTTTGGATAGAGACGAGGATGATGAAGGACACGGTGGGAATAATAAAAGAGCGCCTCGCGAAGCAGAAGGGAGATAAAAAGGTCTCGGATTATCTCGTGCATAGTTGGGATTGAAGCATCCACGCGGAATGCGCCCTTCCCGGCCAAGGTGGAGATATAAATCATGAGTCCGTGAAGTGCTGTCGAAATCACCTGGTTCTTCAAGACGACACTGAAACAATCGAGGATCTCGGACCGGGTTGGTTGCTTAGGCGCAGGTTGAATCTTATGGCGTTCCGAAAACCTGGGGAAGAGCGCATCTAGAGACATATAGATAACGCAGGGAACCCAGAAGAAGATGAGCTGGACTATCAATGTGCCCGCAAACTCGATAGTGGCGGGAGAATATGATTCCATTATGTGCGCCCAAGCTCTTCCAACAGGCTCCGATATCACAAGAGTTGACATCGCTGGAGGGAGGTGAAAAGACGACGACATTATCATATATCGGATTAGAATTTATGACGTCCTTTGGCCCAAGAAGGGAATGCGAATTCCGGGAAGCTAAAGAAGGACTTGCGTTGGTTTGTTGGAATTCGGATCTCAGCCTTGCGACATGCTACAGGGTAAGGCTAGTATAGTAGAAGCTGAGCTGAGTAAAGGAGATGCCGTCTACAAAGGGCCGGCCGGAAGTTATCGATGTCTTATATTTCTCAAATCCCAATACCACAGTTAGGTTTCTTATGGTTTACTGGGGGTGGCAAGACTGGACGGCCTCCGACGGTAACATGACAGGCCTTTTAAACCCTTTGTTATAAATCTCGGGCTTCCAGAACAAAAAATGCTTTTTGCCTTCCAATTAGTGGTACGATGGGGACCTCGGATGTTGGAATGAACCGGCCATTATGGTTCCATTGTTATCAGAGGCTCATCTCCTATCGATTTTCTGGGTCAAAATGCGGAGAAAGGCTGGAGTAAATTGGCACATGCCACTGCGGCTGGATCTGTACCTTCCACTTGGAGACGAAACATGTCTTAGATTGTGGTGTGCCAGAAAACGGCAACTTTCAAGAACGAACGCAGAACCCTGGAATTAGGCGATTCCCTTTCGTATTCTTGATGAAGTTCTGCTCAGCAAATACGGAGACGAAGGTACAGAGGTATTTCCAAGCAAATATGATGCATCGTGTTCTTCGTATCTATGCGGTGGAAACAAGTTTATGGCATGAAAGACACCATGGAGCTAAATGAAATGAGCCGGTGAAGTCATGATCAGGGTTGCATTCCTTTTTTATAACTTCATGGGAGACTGAACTTCATGCGGTTGCCACTTTTGCAACAAAAGAAAGTGTTGTATCTGATGTGTTTGTTACACAGAGTCTTCCTTTTTAGGATAGATATTGGCAGCTTATGTAATTAGGGCTTTTAGGGCAACGCAAGAACCAACACCCTGTTTGGTCTTGGCACACTGGCTTTGGCACCAAATTTTGCTACACCACGCAAAATCAATTGAAGATTTCAGATACGCCCTAAAGAACATCGTCGACAAACATCACCAACCGCCATCATCCGACATACCCGTCCGACCTACTAACCGACAAAATGACCAGCGTTCCACAGATCCAGGTCTTCTCCGTTGAGGGGAAGGCTGACGCCGAACTCCCACTTCCAGATGTCTTCAAGAGCCCAATCCGTTCCGACATCGTTCAGACCGTTCACGCCGGTATGGCGAAGAACAAGAGACAGGCCTACGCCGTCAGCGTAAAGGCCGGTCATCAAACCTCCGCCGAGTCTTGGGGAACTGGTATGGTTATTTTGTGGCAATTGTCTCGATTTAGAGGCTCCAATGGGTGATATATGATGCTGATGGAGGATTCTTCTGGGTGATTAGGTCGTGCCGTTGCCCGTATTCCTCGTGTCTCCGGTGGTGGTACTCACCGTGCTGGCCAGGCTGCCTTCGGTAACATGTGTCGTTCCGGAAGAATGTTCGCTCCTACCAAGGTCTGGAGAAGATGGCACGTCAAGATCAACCTGAACCAGAAGTATGCTTCAATTCCAACCTCGTATTTGAGTTTAGACAAGGATATCATGGGTTAACGAAATTTTCATAGGCGATTCGCTACTGCATCCGCCATCGCCGCCTCTGCTTCTCAGCCTCTTGTCCTTTCCCGTGGTCACAGAATCTCAACCACCCCATCCATTCCTCTCGTTGTCTCCTCCTCCTCCTTCCCAGACCTCGCCAAGACCCGTGCTGCCGTTGCCCTCCTCAAGGCCGTCGGCGCCTATACCGATGTTGTCAAGGTTACCAAGTCCAAGAAGCTCCGTGCCGGAAAGGGAAAGCTTCGTGGTCGCCGCCACAGACAGCGACGTGGTCCTTTGGTTATCTACGACCCTGCCACTGATGGAAAGGTCCTAAGCAAGGCTTTCAGGAACATTCCTGGTGTTGAGACCTGCCCTGTCACCGCCCTCAACCTCCTCCAGCTCGCCCCTGGTGGCCATCTTGGTCGCTTCGTTATCTGGTCGTCGGATGCTTTCAAGGCCCTCGACACCATCTACGGCACATCCACCTCTCCCTCGGGCACAAAGAAGGACTACAGCCTTCCATCTGCCCAGGTCACCAACGCTGATATCGGACGTCTCATCAACTCTTCTGAAATCCAGTCTGTTGTCAGAGCTGTCAAGGGTAGTGCTAAGTCGAAGCGCGCTGGTGGACAGAAGAAGAACCCATTGAAGAACAAGCAGGTCCTTCTCAGATTGAACCCATACGCCAAGGGCTATGCCGATGCCAAGTTGGGACAGACCAAGTACAAGGAAGGAAAGCCCGTAAGGGCAAACGCCACTTTCCACGATGTCTTGAGCACTGCTTAAACGTCGTTTCCTTGCTCTTTTGTTATGCCCTCTTTGTTCATAGTTTTGTCATGATAATGCAGTTTTCGGAGTTTTCCTTTTCTCTTACACTTATTCTATAATGCCCTTCTCATGGCTTTATTCCTACTATTCATCTATATACTCTTATAGCTCTACCTCCCACCCTATGGTGAGCTTTACATCCGATTGACATTCCAAGTAATCCAGTATCCAATGCCTCTTGTGAATCATGCTGTAGAATTATCTCTTACTCTACACAACTAGACTACTTTACAACTATTCTCCTCGTTTATTCCGTAGTTCCACCCTTACTTCATAACTTAGCGCAAGGGCGAAGTCGCTCAGAACTGCAGCCTCATTCCCATCAACCAGTCTCGTAACCCCCACCAACGTGTATATTCATCTGTTGTATTCAGTGCGTTGCTTGGCCGAACCTCGGCTAAAATTCGCAGCAGTTTCAATTTCGTTAAATCCTCCAAGCTTGAAAGTCTAGACTACCGGTCGCCTCCAGACTCGAGGAATCCTACCTATATATTTCTAAACAATTGACCATTTCTTCATACTTCTCATGAATTGGGTTTCAATCCATTGATTAGGTACAATGACAGCTCTATTCGACACAACTTGCGTTAGTGCTTCGACCATCTCCAAGCAAAAGCACTACATCGCAGGCATTGAAGTCACAATATATGGTGCCTCTGAGGTCGCCCAATCGGCAACATCGGTTGTCTGTCTGTTTCTCTTACATCCACGTCTTGAAACTTTGACATACGTCGAACCGATCGCATTACGGTGTCTACAGGCCCACCATGAAAGCTCAGCACAACCCGAAAGAGGGCTAATTGTCGCTTCGTTCGATCAACGAAATCATGGAACACGACTCGTGTCTACGAAATCAAATGAAGCCTGGAGATCAGGAAACGAGCTTCATGCCATTGATATGTTTGGAATATATCAAGGGACTAGTCATGACGTTTCATTGTTGATCGATCATGTACCGTCATATGTATTCCCCGACGGCGATAAGACGGTAGACGGTTGGCTGTGTGCCGGCGTTAGTTTGGGCGGACATGCGACTTGGTTAAGTTTGGTCAACGAGCCACGAGTCAAAGGTGGTGTAGTAATCATCGGGTGCCCAGATTTCCAGAGCGTTATGACACATCGAGCATGGAAGAGCAAATTGAAGAGTTACCAAGAAGATGGATTCATCGGGAGCCCAGACTACCCGAAAACTCTAGATTCTACGGTGCGAAGGACCGATCCCGCTGGTATTATCATGAGGGATAGGTCTCAGGTGGAGAGCTCCAGACTCATCAAAGAACGCCTTGGAGGGAAAAAGATCCTGCTTCTCAGTGGGGGCGCTGATAAACTCGTCCCATATGATTGCTCAAAACCCTTCTTGGACCTCCTAAAAGCCGAAGGACAAAGTCTCGCGGATCTTAAGGATATCGTATACGATGGAGTAGGACACGATTGCACCGAGCAGATGATAGTGGAGCTAGTAATTTTCGTTGCAGATTTTCTTTCGGCCAATACCGAGAGCAAATCCAAGGTACGATAGTGGAAGCCCTCTAGCTGCTTGTGACCATCCAAATCCAATAACGTTGTGATACTAACAAAAATCTTGTTTAATATCTCGTAGTTGTAGATATGATGTCGAACCTGTTCATGTATGGAGCTGCGGTGTCTAAATTTCCTGGATAAAATCCTCAAATATTCCGGGATTATGTGGACTTTAGCAAGGCAGGCCCTGTCGTCGCACCCTCCAGTGGATATACGTGTGGTTATCTGTGCATCAATCAATCGGCTATCAAAAAGGTCAAAAACGAAGCTTGTATACTGACGATTCCCCTTATAACTCATTCTCGAATCGTGAAGACTGTTAACATATATCGTCATCATCTATGAGAACCCTCCACGGCAGATGGAGTCTGCCCTTTGGCCTACTCGGTTGCTTATTTCATCAATCATCCTTAACTTATTCTTATTTTGAATAATATCCACTCTTCTCGAGCTCCTTGCCTTCCTTTCTCGGCTCCTTTCTTTCTCCAGCCAAGATATTATTTTAGAATCGATTCTTCGAACGGGAAGATGTCTAGTGATCTCGATTCTGAGGGCTCTCTTAGTCCTGGTTGGATCTTTATTAACTCACCAGATTATCGATCTCCAGGCCATAGCATTTTAACGTCACCGGGATTGGCCATTACAACTCCTTCTCTCAGCAACCGGGATTTCACTACACATTCCATAGTTGCTTCTCCCCATAAATGGATAGAAAGGTCGACGCCTGCCTCACCAGAACCCATTCCACCAGAGTCCTCCCAAAGAACTGGCCTTGCCGTTACTTTCTATGGAAAGATCGAATTCTTTTGCGAAAACTGCATTGCCCCACCGGCGCGATGTACCAGGAACAGCATCCGTAACAACTTTATGAGTAACACGACGAAGTTCTCACTGCTGGAGCCCGAGGACGAAGTCGATGGCTTCATAACTAGGAGAGGCAGGCGTGAAGTTAAGGTCGAACTGTTGAACACCGTCAGAAGAGAAACTCCATGTAGTGAGGATACGTTGAGAATTGGAATGGCGATTACTCTCAACTCAAATTCTCGAGCCACTGCGTTAGCAATAGGTTATGAAGCATTAGATGAGGTGCCCTATGAATCTGGTTATCGGTGGTCCATCTTCGAGCCATTCCTACGCCGGCACACTTCTTGTCCCTACTGTTTTATGGTGTTCGTCAAGCATGAGCTTATTGGAGCATGACTTTTGCATGGGTACCTATTATTCGAGTGTATTCGACACTACAAATTTTGATTACGTACAGCAAAACACAGTGGCACTCAATGACTCGAGCATGGATGTTATTGTGTATGAATGCCACTAACTCATGTATGCAGTGTGAACCTTTAGAGTCCTTTTTAGTATCGAATTCGAAATTACCGATACGCCCGAAATTATGAAGGTGGGGCCCTGGATATTTGTAGCCTGAAGGCCTCTGAACTTAAAATGTTCTAAAAGTACATATGCACATGAATGCAGTAATTAACGCCCCGAGTCTTAGTCCAACGCATTCGATTGTTGGAATTGCCAATTCACTAATTAAATTGCGTGACGTCTGCCCAGCACTAATACAATATGCATATGTGCATGTGGGGAGCTACAGAGGGAGCTCTTGGCACCGTGACTATACTACGGATTTCCTAAGTTTAATTATATTAAACCCCTCTTTGTAGTTGGGTACACATCCATAGCTACTTTTCAAAATGGTTCGAATTTTGATCTTCGGTGCTAGTGGTTTCGTTGGGTGTGAGTATTTTCCTACAATGCAATTTTCCATAATCTATAATACAATCCATTGGAAAATACATTAATACAGAGGCCTGGAAGTTTACTAATCCTGTGAAACGTAGATCCCATTGTTCAGGCCTTGCGTCGACATGGTCACACTGTTTACGCTGTCACAAGAACTGAGGAAAAGACGATTGAGCTATCTAAGCAAGAAATAATCCCTATTCTCGGGGACGCTCGCCAACCAGAGACATGGGTTCCAGCACTCGATCTCGTCGACATTGTGATTGATTCCTCCTCTTCTTTTGGCGGACTCAGTGAAGGGATCTTAAAAGCCATCAAGGAATCTCAAAGAGTTACTTCCGCCAAAAAACATGATCCAAAGATTGGATATCTTTATGTATCCGGTACTTGGGTTCACGGTGATTCTCTTGAGCTAGTCACAGATAGGGTGCCGGCAGGCAATCATACCAACCGAAAACCTTTAGAGCTTGTTAGTTGGCGCCCCGCATTCGAAGATAGTGTGCTACAGAGTAAAGATGTGCTCGATGTTGCCATCTTAAGGGCTGGAGTGGTTTTCGGTGGATGTAGCAGTCGTAGTTTATTCGGGTCGTGGTGGGCTCCATTCGTCGAAGCTTTAAAGGCGAATAAGTTCAACGAACCTGTTATAATCAAAGGAAAGCCAGAAGCTTCGGTTGCTCTAGTTCATAAGCATGATTTTGCTCAGGCCATTCTCAATGCAGTCGAAAAGGTAAGGATATCGTTTCCTTCTTCTTTTCATTTTTTTCTGCACTCCAGGCCCACGACAGAAAATTCTAACTCGATCGATCACAAATATTAAATTAACACTCAATAGTTCGAAGTTGTGTCTCAAATCCACTATCCAGTTTTCGACGTTGTCAGCGGTCACGAATCTCTTGGGGACATTAACAAAGCTGCTGCGAACGTACTGGGGATTACTGGTGAAATCAAGTACCAGGCGCCGGCTGCTGATGACCATTTCGGAAACGCCATTTCCTCTTCTCTCCTCATTGATTCGACTAGGAGTCAATCATATCTCGACTGGCAACCAAAACATACTTCCCTGATCAAAGATCCTGAGGTTTATGTCAAAGCTTACTTATATTCAACAGATTATTACACTAGTGTAACTAAATCCAATTAGGGTATAAACCCTTCCAGGTCTAGGTACGAGATAAGTATCAACTCAAGAGAGCGCCCGATTCGAGGTTACTCGGTATTGATCTCAGGGCCTCCAGACCACTCAGGACCTAAGCTCCCCTGTATATATTTTCTTGGACCCCATAAATAATTATATAGCTCCATATAAGAACCCCGACGAGAAGACACCCTTAATGTACTTAGTTATTTCCCGAGGCTTACCTTGGTTCCTCTTATCTGGAACTATATATAACATATCCTAACACCCATTTCAAGAAAATACTTATTGTTATCATTACCAAGTGTGGATATTTGATATAGAAAAGCTATGCAAATTTGGCATCTATTGTACATAAATTCAAAGCAAATTTTAAAATGAACTGCGCTTAGGTATCATAAATTCTATACATATCAAACCATGTTGGAGTCTTGCTCCAGAAAGGCCGAGACCGGAAAACTCATACTTGATGATCATGCAAAATTACGGAAATGAACAAGGTCCAACGACGTTTGGATCATTGCCCTCCTGTGCCTTAGCGCGCTTCATCATCTTCATCTTCTCCCTCTTAGTTGTCTTTGTCGAAACTATCTCGAAATCTCTAGGTCGATTGCTGCAGCGGCCGACATACTCGAGATAATCTGACTGGAATGTGCGCTCCAAAAGACTTTGGCGTTGGTCTAAGCAACCCGGGAATGCTTCTTCAGGCTTGTAGCCGAGAAGGGTCTCGTGTTGAGCGACGACAACGACTTGAGCGAAATCCTCGACGGTATCTTGAACTAAAGTTAGCACGAAGTCGACAATGGAAGTCCAATGAGTTTATGAGCTTACTAGTATTTGCATAGCTATCTGGGACGCAGGTGTCACGTTCAAGAGCTTCCAACCAAGGTGTCGTGCCACTGAACCGATTAGAGGGTTTTAGGCGAGCATCAAGTTGGTGTCCTCTATTAATCAGCATATATGGTGAGCCCAATCCCTTTTATATTAAACAAAAGAACTACATAGTTTCCACACTTACGTCTCATGTAGCCAGACGGTAAGGCCCTTGCAATTTCCAAGCATGACAACATCCCCAATATCTGTATACGCTAGGGCAGAGCAACCACTCGATGCTGGTAGAGCAATTGGGTGTCGAACCAAACTCCTCATATGAACAGACATTCTCCCAAAAGAGTCTGCCATATCCTTAAGGCTGAGCTGGGCATCTTTGTGGCGACAGAACGTCCACGCCTGGTCACAGTCGGTGTATTTAATATTGAAGACTTCAGCATCATCTGCATCGTATCCTTTTCCAATGAAACGGTCTTTACATCCTTTGGGGATCCAGCCGGCGCCCCATGGAGTAAACCACTCGAGGGGGGCTTCCGTATAGTTATTAAGCCCAGGGGTGAAGGGGCCTGAGAGGCCGTCCGGATAATCGGTTTTGTTTTTAAGATCTGCGAAGACGCCTACCGCGGAAACAGCGACTACGGCAACTATATTACTGAATAAATTGATCATTATGATATTAAGAGCGATAGAGGAGAATATAGCTTATCGGAAAGAGAGAAAGAAATAGATAAATAAATAAATAAATAAAAGATCACTATTTTATTAAGCTGTACTGTAGGGGTATACCGGTATACAAAAAGCTGTACCTTTGCTACAGTCATATAGGAACCTTTATATGTAATAAAACTTGTGGTTAGATTCACAAATGAGCCCTAAAAATCACTTCAATGCTTGTCATTCCTGCAATAACAAATTATTTGGTCGGACCCGGATATGAGATTAGACAGGGGCTCCACTAGCCCCACATTATACGGGTCCACCGGCCACCACCAACAAACTTCTTTTACTCTTCACCCCGAAAATAAATTTGTAGTCATAGTGCCAGTATTATACTGAATGCAGGGTCTCGGTAGCTTAAACTTACCCGCTAAATTACCTAAGAGCGAAATTGTGGATATATCAAAGAGCTTCCTCGTAAGAATCACCATCATGGCCATGGCCATGGGAATTGCCCGACTAAGCCTTCAGCCTCATTCTGCAATTTTTGGAATGTGGCAGGATAAATCGGTTAATCGGAAATCCTGGGCAAAGATTGTCTCATACACTACTACCGTGATAGCCATGGGGAATCCTGGGAAAGTGCTATATACTAGTCTCGTATCCAGCCAATGTGCGACAATGGGGGCCCGGGCTCCAGAATTTTCACTATCTGTGTTGAATGTTGCAGTTTTATTCGCTTCCTGTGGCTTGTCACTTGTCAGCAAGAGTCTATTTTAAGCCACCAGGTGGGTATAGTCTCGCGAATATCAGGTGTCGGCAATACTGAGCCGAAGCCTCCTGTCCATTTTTTCCCGACAAGTGCTTATTCAAGATTCAGGTACGATAGCCCCAAGCTGCTTCAATATCAAAGGACTTCGTGCAGCCCTCCTAGCTTAGCTATAAAGCTCGAGAACTAGCTGAGTGTCGCGTTTGGTTTTCACGTGACTACATGTAACACAGGATTATATCACGTGACTGGGTTTTCGCTCAGGTTCACTCGCACTCGTTGGGAGCGCGAGCAATACTTCGTGTGTGGGGGTAAGGGTACTAACTGTAACTCCGTATGCACAATCCAAGCCTGACATCTTAATCGATCCGCGATATCCACTTGCTCTCGAATTCTGGCATGCATCTCAATCCACAATCGCAAGCAAAGGCATCACATATATCATTTGAAGCACACCTAACGCTAACACCCTAGCTATCTTTGAATACTGCTACTAGATTGTCGACTCAAGACAGCGCTGTGTCGCGACAAGAATATAACATCACTTATACGACATGGTCACCTCGATACTCTCACTCCCTAATGAGATCCTATTCCAAATTCTCGGAGATGAATGCCTCTCAAACGGAGATTTGGGAAGAGCAGAAAGTACCTGCAGATTGTTTCAAGCCAACATTCAAGAGTATATCGCTCCTCGCAGGAGATATACTTTTTGGGTAGATGCCGTCGACCAACCCGCCTGGAGGTTGGTTAGACACCTCCTCGCAAATCCAAAGCTAGGCGAACAATTCGTTGAAATCAACGTCCAGTGGAAACGTCGAATTGCGGAAGATAAGGAAACATGGACGAAGGACTGGAAGTGGAAAAGGAAAGAAGTTTCTCGTATCAGGAAACTGACCGCTAAGTGGAGGATGAATACGAGAACAGCATACAATATTTTACGAGGAAAGAATTCAGAGGCTTTGCTGCCTTTGCTTCTTTGTTTCACACCAAATTTGAAATCTTTGGACTTGGGGAACATAGATCGTGATATCATGGACTGCGGGAGGGGCGAACACGTACAGGCTTTGGAGGCTCTCGGCGTCGATATCAATTATGAGAACGGATCAGCTCCAGGCATCTATTCCTCGGAATCTCAAATGTTCATGCCCGATAATCACCAGCTCTTTTTCTTCGATAACCTCGAATACCAAGATGAAGGTGGATTTAACGAAGGTCCAAGAAAGCTCCCGCCAGGTCTTAGTAACCTTGAACATTTCTCCCTTGGGGCCCGGGGCAAAGACGAAAAACCTTTCAATGCCCAAGACCTTTTCCCAGTCTTTTGTTTTCCCAAAATCAAAAGCATACACGCATCAGGTTTAATCGATAATGGTGATGATATGTACTCTATCGTTCGGTACACACCTAATTCACGGAAGATCTCGCCAGTAAAACACCTAACGCTTGAATCTTATGGACGGGGGCGATCCACATCAATTCGCCTCGACTCCACCAAGAGAATAGCAAGGATTACTAGGAACCTCGAAACACTCATCATCAGAAACAAGAGTAGCAGAATATACGATAGCACAAAGAAACGCGACGAAAAACTAGCAAGAAGGTTCTTAAAATATAATAAGGATACCTTAGATCCAACGCGGCTTAGGATCAACGGAGGCAGTTTCAACGATGCAGGTGAGTATGACGAAGATGCTGAAAAGCGAGAAGGGGTCGCTAGAAGGCAGAGATTGTTTGAACAAACTCAAACAAGATTGAGGAATCCAAACGTGAGTACTGAAGAACTCCTACTCTAGAATATGCCTAGTAAGCAGGTGTAGGCTTATTTTGTTCGAATCTCTGACTAATACATCCGTATAGTTCAAGCCCCCGCCAATGGTAACCCTCAAACCAGAAATAATTTCTCGCATCCTTTCATTTCTCCAACGAAAGGACGTCTTCAATCTAATGCTATCTTCAAAGGCCCTTTATAAACCTTGCTACCATAATATTTGGTCTGGCTTTGCGTTTCTGGCTTCTTACTACGATCTCGACACCCATTTCGCATATAAATATTCTTTAACTGATAATGAGGCCGATTATCTTCTTAATATTATCAGCTCTATCGAGACGAATGGAATAAGCTGCCTCGAACAGCTGGAGGTTGAAAGTGGTTTCCTTTCGGATTGGTCACATTCTTATGAGAGAGAAGATGTACTAAAGCATATCAGCGAGGAGATTGAACGAGGCTATACTCCCAAATTCAAAGCCCTTCATCTGAAATTTCGGTCATATGGTAACTTCCCCCGGCCTTTTCATTGTATCTTTTTGTTGGGTCTGATAATTAACTTCATCATAACAGTATCTAGGGACCGTAGTCTTGCTCCCTTCGACGATACAACAAGGCCCGGACCAGATTTCTTTGCTGCCGTGAAGAAATATTCGGAACAAAAACCTCCCCACGAATTTTCTCTACGAATTGAAATGAACGCTCAGAGCGCCGAGCTTTTTGACCTCTGCGATATCGGAAAATTAACCAATTTACAACTCGATTCTAGATTTGGAAAATTCTTAGAAGCGGAAAATGAACTTGAAGAGTTCATAAACCTTTTAGCAATAGCATCTGTATCCGGGCAGTTAAAAGTCTTGACTTTGGGCGGGAACCTCTACAAAAGAAAAGCCAAAAGGCTCGACTCACTATGGGACTCGCTCGATGCCTTGCAAAAGGTCGTCTCTGGCCTAAAATCAGTTACTTCTTTAGCCGTCAAGCACGGCTACCTCTTCCACCCATCATTTCTTCTCCTCCCTCCAGAAAATGTTAAAGTCTTATCATATATGGGAAGAATGTCGCCCTGCTGGTGGCGAAAGTTTGCGAAGCATCCCTTTACCGGAATTGAACGCCTGAATCTTTCATGTGATAGCCTTGACAGCCACGAAACAAAATCCTTGGGAATAGCAGATGAGGAAACATATGCATCTTTCACCGACTTCCGACTTGGAGAACTCGAGGTATCTGGATTGAAGTGGCTTTCAGTTTCCGAAAGTCAAAGCAGCGCATATCCAGCCGATTTCTTCGAACGAGTCCTCAAGAACAACCCCCAACTCCCTCCATACTGCCTACAAGCCATTGTGAAGAACAAAGGAGATTTATTTACGGAGAATATGAAGGCAAAAATACCTCAGATTGTCAGCAGCTGCGGAAATGAACTTAACAAACAGCTTACAAAGGCTTTGGAAGGCTACACTCAAGACTTTGCGACTACGTTCCTACGCCAGCAAAATCCGTTACAAATGGACTTTGAAAAAATCATGGCAAATTCGTCTCTCGAACTGCTAACCAAGCAATTCGAAAATGAACATGCATTATCTTTTGTAAAAGATTGCGCTGAAGCTCTTCGAAAGCAGATTGGACAAGATGAGGGCAAAAAAGATGCTGACAAAAAGCCATCTTCCTTAGACGAATCCTCGGACTCTGACTCTGACTTTTTTGATGCAGACGAAGACAGCAGCGACGATAGTGACGACGATGACGAATTTGAAGAAGATTACGAAACTAGGTTGGCAAGAGGCGAAGTATCATATGAAGGAAATGTGATGATCGACAGATTATGGGGCACAGCTTTGCCGGTTTCAGACGAGAGCACCGATGAAAGCGATGAAGAAGAAGGAGACGACGACGACGGCGACGGCGACGACGATGACGATGACGATGACGACGAAGAATCAAACGATAATACTGATTATACCGGGGGCGACGACGACCCAGGACCCCCGCCACCTCCCGTGGTTTTCCCAAAATCCAGGAGGAGGTACATATAACGTACTTAATCAATTGATTGACGATAGAAAACTCGTGCCCTCTCGGAGGCACTCTACCTTCTAGAATTCTAGACCTCTGTGTATCTAGCCCACCCCTATGTATACATAACGTATACGCCCCAAATTTAAAGCTACTCACAATTTAATACAGCTGGGTTTACCAGATACAACTACTTATGATGATGCATAGAATTCGAGCAATTTGTTTCAAGAGTTCAATCAGGCCCTAATCCTACACTATATATATATATATATGATTTTCAAGTATACCGCATTCGTCGAGGTATTGTAAATTCTTAATCAAGCAGTTCTAGTTTGCCATTCCTTTTTATGTAGTGTAACACGAATAATTGGAGGTCGTGATGCCCATTTATTTGCCATTCTATATATGCATTATATCGTACAAGTCCACATATGATCTTATTACCACAATCTCCCCTATCTTTAACCTCAAACCCCACAAAACTCCATTATAACATTTCCTCAAAAATAAAGAAAAGGCCCACGCTGTACCGAGATGAAGAATTTCCTCGGTCGTATTGTCAAAAAATTGAAGAAAAAGGTAAACGTGTACCTCGAAGGTCGTCGAAAAACCGCCGCGAAAAAGGCTTCAAAGGAACGTCTCCGAGATGCTATCGAAACTATCTCTTCGCCCAAATCTGTAGACGTCTGGCAACCTAGGAGCCCCCCAACCTATACCAGACCAACCTTTGGTTTTTTCTTCAAACCCAGGGCACCAGCAAGGTCCTTCTTCTTCTTTACCTGACGCTTGAAGCTCGGTATCTCAGCTGTCGCGACTGTAACCGAGTCCTTCTCTTCCGAGAAAGTTATCAACCCCTTGGATTGGTTTGACGATGATGACGATGCTCCAGTAACCTCCTTATCCACAATCCTCCTGACGTGTTCTCCATCTGACGTTTGAAAGGCTTTCCTCGCAGCTTCATCGTCCTCCTTATCCAATCTTTCCGCCTCCTCATCCCTTGACTCCTTAATCGTCATAAGCGCATCTAAAGCTGCCCCCCCATCTGCCCGTTCCACTCTCGCATTCCTCGTTCTTATCTCATCCAAAGCATCTGCAATCGCCATCTCCCTTTTAGAATCCAAAGTTTTCGTCTCAAGCCTCGCCATAGCATTCTCATCCTCTTCAACCTGAATCTGCTCTTCCAATCGATTCAACCTCTCCTCTTCCGTCTCTTCAATAGCCTTCTGATCCCTCCAAGGTTCAAAATTCCTAACCGCTCCTTTCTCACACTCGTAATCCATATTCTTGGGATCCGTCTTAAACACAATCTCAGAACTACACCGCGTACATCGAATATAAAATCGGTATATACTGATCGCATAGTACTTTTCGTCTGTATGTTCTTTCCGTGCGTTGAATTTTCGACCTTTGTAGACGTATTCACCGCAGGAGGTACAGCGCATACCGAAAGGTGCCATCAAACGTACTGTTTGCGACTTAGGGCCGGCTTGTTTAGGTGCCTTTGAGCGCTTGATTTTGGAAGGATCGAAATCTGGGGGGTACCATTTTGTGAGGACTTTACGTTCGGACATTGTGGCGGATGTGACAGGCGCTCAAGAAATGTGAAGGGTTTTTGGTTGTGGTTTTGGGGTTTTTGGGGTTTAGAGAGCGTTTCTGCGAGGGAAGAGAAGTCGGTACGCGTATTATATAGAGGTCCTTAGTGATTTAGAGTTGCGAGTTCGATATGGAGGCGATGCGATTGAAGAAAGGGTGGTGGCGATGAAGCTTGAAGTTGTGATGGTTGAAGAGGAATCATTTAGTCTTTGGATTCCAAACTTGGTGAACGAGTTATCACCGATCAGTTAAACGCCAAGCGCATCCCTTAAATCCGAATAACATCGAACCGAAGAAATCCAACAATCCAACACATCTTCGAGATCCAGGGCCTCAAAAGGAAAATCAGTGTACGTTCACGAATTCACCAGCCTCCAGATAATCTCCAACCACTTCCATTCTGTCACACAAACCAATCCACGGAGTAAACTAAAGCAATTCTACGAAAACCCAGTCTTCTCAAGATGTAATACAGCATTTTTGTTCCTTATGAGCTCATTTCCAATCAGCCGTACAGGGATGAAACGTGGCCAAAGTTGTACAAATGCACACGGACACACGGACACACACAGATATATATATCCATGGCTAAGCAAGTAAACACGAGGAAAGTCAGAAGAAGCCTAAAAGAAGCCTGTCTAATTCACACAAGGCTGGGATATAGTCCTCCAAATCGGTTTGCAGAAGTGACCGAGTTTCCTGGCGGCTACCTAAGTCTTCCCACATGTTCGATCGCGATCTCATAGTATCATAACTTTCACATGGTCGAGTGTTTGTGTAAGTGAGAATGTATACATTATGTACCTGTACCCCCATCATAGGACCCTTTCATCAGATGAAACCGAAGTAAAAAAATAAACCAAGTTACAACCTATCTTTTACCCTCCATGAAGCGGAGATAACCATCCAACCGTTTCAATCATCCCGGCCGACGAGCCCATCGCCGCAAGGCACGTGTATAAACCTTCCCCTGCCCCCCCAAAACTCATTGTCGTACTAAACCCTTTTAATACGCACATCGAATCGTAACTCAAAGCGCATCCTTGCAAAAGAATATGTTCCAGACCCCTTTCTAGGCCTTTCCCAATCGTTGAAACTGAATTGTTACACGAAAATCCGGTAAACGGACCTATTCAGACCTAGTTATACGTCCAGCTGATACCTTATGTCGACTGACAAATTTGAAACAATGACAACTCCACTGGTATAGTTTCGCAACATGAATACCTAACGCATGTTTGGTCCTAGAAATAGCATGTATACTCCTCACCCTTCCTCCTCACTTTTTCCTTTCCCGGCGATCACGTAGAAGCACAGCATCTCTATCAGATGCACAACCGCGCGGAGGAGAATGATAAAGGGAAAATACTGGGTGGAGGTAAAAGACCTAACTTCGTAATATATACTCCCAACCAATAATCTTCACAATGCAACCCACCTCTTTCGTCTATTCCTAGCCAAAACTCTTTCCTTTAGAGGCGGCTCTGCATTCCAACTCCAGAAATAGCCATTCGGACACCTGCGCATACGTTACACAAACGAAACCACAGCCTAAATCACAACATGGTACGTTTCAATAGCTCTGTATCACAACTTGACTGCAAAGCCCACAGGACTTACAAAGCCACCGAAGAATTCTAGAACTCTAATTTCAGGGATGACAGTTCCGACTCCGACGCGGTAGGATAATGCACTGTGACGTTTTTGGTTTATAGTTTTAAAACCCCGTTTGCCGGCAGGTCTAAAGGGTTCTAGGTATGTATGCAACGGATATACTTGTAGGGTGCTGTCAGCCACGTGTTTAAACGTTTTCATGTGTTACGTGATATACAAGGAGGGGAAAGGTGGTCCGGTTTTTCCTCCCTCGATCCTATATATGTGTATATCATCGGATGAGTTCTAGTTTATCGCCCTAGGATTCAACAATTGGGCGTCACAAAAGAAAGAAAAAATTACCAAAAAAAAAACCTTTGTTTCATCTTCATCATCATTTCCGGTCCTTTCCGTTTTTTCTCCCTTTCCTTTCCTTTCCTTTCCTTTCCTTAAGTGACCAGGTGGCGCCGGCGGTCGTCCAGATTATGATATATTTTGTATAACGAGAAGGATACACATATAGACCGTACAGGAGGGAGATACGAAGACTCTACACCGCTCACCCCGAACGAATCGAAATTTAATGATACCCTACAATATATATCAAAATCCAAAGGTCCACTGATCTATGTAATCAGGGGATCAGAATAGACCGTGCATCTAGAGTTTGAAACGCCAATGGCATCACCTAATCAGGTGACCTCGTACTAGGATGATATTTGTCGTAAACGATACTCAATAATACAAATGTGACTATATATATATCCACAATGGGAAATACTCGTTCATTCTGGATTAACGATAAGTCAGACAAAACCAAGGTAGTTGTATCGTATGTATAAAAAACGTTCAACGGTAAACATGGAACTATAGTACTACCAAAGCCTCATGAGCTGGATTGATTGATTAAAGCCTAGACTTCCACAAGCTTCAGCTCCAAGTTAGGTATCCTTTTACAAACTATACTAACATCGATTCAAAAAAAATAGTACAAGAGGAGAAAAACAAAGAATTCCAACCTCGCCTCCCAATATGGCCTTTCTAGTCGCAAAAATTCAACTCTCAGAAGACCAACAGAAAGAAAGGCGATCCCGCAGCCAAAAGAGAATAAAAGTAAAATAAACCAGAAAAATCCAACCCTTAACGTCCTATAACCATGTAATTCCTTCTTTTTTTTGTTTTGTTACCCATTTCATCAAATTTGCAAACTGTTCGATCGAGTTCCTCCCACTCTAAGAAATAAAAATAAGGAAGATATAAAAAAAAGTGTTTAAGAAATAATAATAAGAAGCTAGAACAACAGGTAATATGATAAGGGATGAAAGATAGAGAATAATAAGAATTAAATGAAAAGAAGAAGAGAAGAAATAAAGAATGTTTTTTGGTCTTTTGATAGTATACTGAAGCTAAGAAGTAATGGTTTCCTTTGTGATCATGTTCGTTGTGTCATTCTTTTTGTGTGCGTGTGTGTGTGCAAAGTGTGCCATAAAAATGCCCAAAAACAAGACCCCACCAGCTCCTACCCATCCTTAATCACCAACTTTTGTCTTTCCGGCATATATAATATGAGTTCCCTCCCACCATGCTCCAACTCCAAGAAAATTCCGCAAAATATTATAAAGAAAAATGGGAAAAAGAAAAAGGGTGTAAAGAACAAGGAATGAAGTACAGCGAAGAAGAAAAAATGGGAAAATGCGCGGTAACGGAGAAGAAGAGTAGTCCTTAGAAAACCTGCTCCTTTTCGCCAAAACAGGCCAGGAAGAGAAATGAGGAAAGCAATGTAGTAATGAAGAAAATGCCCAGGATATCCCATCGCTCCATATCTTTTGCACACTAAAACAAGAGGCTCATGCGTCCAGATAAAGCAGAAAAGATGCGGCAGTGAATGGAAAATGAGGTTGAACAGGGAGAGTTGCAAATTCTACTCCCCGCCCTATGAACTAGAATAATTTTTTTGGACTTTTAGGGGTCTGGTAGAAAATGTTTCGAGGATGGTTAATGCAAAAAAAAAGAGTTTCGAGTGGAGATACCAAGGGATACAGTCTGAGGATAGGAGGGGTGCTTCGTTCGGCTGCACTCTACCAACTTCATAGCCCCCTAACATCCAGGGATAAAATAAGGATAGTCGGATAGCAGAGTTGTTCTTGGGGGCAATTCGCTCCTTTAATTTAAAAAGAGGTTACATGGCCGGTGAGCGGTTCGATGAAATAGACCCATTAATAAGCCTCTGTCGAGGTTCGTCATTGAGCCCGAGTCCTCCAATGCTACCGGAGAGGAAAGAGAGGTCATCACCTTGCATGTTACCGTACCCGTTACCGTTACCGGACATGCCAAATGATGGGTCGCCCCGTTGGTCGAAAGCTCCGCTGCTCATAGGACCAGCACCGTGTCCCATATGCGGGGCTCCGATGGGTGAAGAGAATCCGCTGCTACCAGCTACGCTCCCTCCCATACCAAAGCCTCCTTGGGCGTATTGCGGCCCAGGGTATCCGCCTGGCCCGTGAAATCCAGAAGAACCGAGAGCACCAGGGGGTGGGATTAAGCCAGCGCTAGGAGGGCCGGAATAAGGTGATGCAGCTTCGATTGGAGAGGAATAACCAGTATCAGCAACGACCGCAGCTCCAGCGCGACTGGCGCCGCACCTGAGGCAGCTAACGTTTTTGGCGAAGTTGTGGTAGCCACAATTCTCAGAACCACATTTCCAATCTCCGGCACGGAAAGGAACCATGCTTCCACCAGATGACATTCCTCTGTTCATGCCATGAGCGTGTCCGTGGACGGCAAGAGTTGGAGGAGCGGGCGGCAGGAGCGAGGAGGGTGGATAGAAAGACGGAAACATGTCAGTCGCGCCACCTGGAGCTGCACTAACGGCTGGGTAGGAGCAGCGGAAGCATGCTGTACGGCGCTGGAAGTTGGAAAATCCACATGATGGACAAGTCCAATCACCAGGACGTGGGCGATTTTTGCTAGGAGGGAATGGAGTCAAGATGTCAGCGGCACGGTCGAGGACCCGGCTGCTACTCGGGGAGACCTCGATGGCCTTTTCGTTCAAAGCCCTTCCGTTCATACAGAGACTTTCGGCAGCCTATCGAAACGCAATCGTTAGCTATTTATAACCATCATACGATACTCAAATGCAAGAGACATACCTCTTCGTGAGAAGAGAACACCGCGAAACCAGTCCCAGTAGGTTTATGCTGATCTGGGGTGCGCAAGGTCCAAAAGGCTATAGGTCGGCCCCCGTACTGAGTGAACCAGCTTTCAAGTTCGGACTGCGTGGTGTCGTGAGGAAGGCCGCTCATATGAAGGACTTTACTTCGTTCACTTAAGAAGGCACGAACATCTGCTCTTGCGTCCATGGGGCGAGCAAGGACATCCGGATGTTGCTCGAGGGGCTGCGACTTCTTTATAAGACCACGAAGGACTCTAGCCAACGTAATAGCTTCTTCCATAGCCCTCCTGGGGGAGGCAGGTGCCAATGCCTGCAAGTGGAAGGGAAGGTTGTGCTTGATCGGGGCGGACGATTGCACTGGCTCGACTTCAAGAGCGGCACAGATGTTTGCCAGAGAAGACGGGCCAAACGGTAAACTTTCCGGATGGTGGGACTGCCATCGTGTATATTCAGTGCGAAGGTCAAAAGTCCGAGAGTGCTGGAGGTATGGAGGTAACACGACGGCTTTATCACGAGCTTCTCTTGGAAGCTGGACCCTCAAGTCCCAAGCATCCAAGGTGACAAAGGTAAAGTCATTGTTCTGGCCGGAGAGGTACTCTTGAACAAAGCTGTCGAATCGGTTGATGGCATCGCGGAAGGTGCCAGCATTTCTAACATGCTCCCATGTCAATGTCGTGAGACTAGCTGTAGAACCCAGAAAGTTGTTTGGTCAGCCGGGGTCCCACTCTCTATTTTTCTCCAGAGGAGTATAGGATAGACAAGATACGGTCTTTAGCGGTAGCACCAAAAACATTGCTCCCCTGAGGAAGAGTCTCGTGGCTATCGATGACCGGGGGGTAAAGATAAAGCGCTTACTGCAAAGAGGCGTAATCGGAGTGTTAACCGGGCGTACGAGGACACTCTCACGGTGGACCTAAAAATGAATACAGGCACAAGAGCGAATTGATCAGCTTGAAATCCTATTTTCAGAATAGTTACGGTTGCATTGAAAGAATAGCAATCAAAGAAGATAGGTCTGGTTCGGTACAATGGGCGCCTGGAGCTATAGTTACCTCTTCTAACGACTTTGCATTCAGGAGAATCCATCCAATCTCAATGACTTCCGCGGAATCCTTTGTGACGTAAACACCATGCTCGTCGCACGTTGTCGCAACATGAATAACCACGTAGAACATGTTTTATTCTTAAAAAAAGAGTCTTTTCGAGAAGGGATCCCCAGGATTGACCGTTCAAAGTGATATTCAAAGATATCGTGTGTTAAGGTTGTCGGCTAAGCAAAAGAAACGTGCTTGTTGCGTGGCGGTGATGGGATTCCTAATCTTTGACGACAAATGCCGACCTCGGTTCGAATCTAGGTCGGGAAATAGAATGGTAGCTTCGGTTCAACGAATGTATCGAGGATTCCGTCGTCGGTAGGGCGCAGCGAATGAAATGATGAAATTGTTGAAGGAATAAGGGTAGGCAGGTCCTGCTCGGTTAAAAAAAAAAAACTGTGCGAAGAATTTTCGAGTTCCAGTTTAGGGATAACTAAAGGGACTCTCGATTTCAGGGACGACCGAAATTATCGCTGAGAAATAACACTCGTTAGTACTCTGGGCAAGCCGTTGCACCTTATTAGCAGCTTCTCCTTTTGCTAGCTCTTTTTCCTTTTTTCTTTTTTACAACGGAGGATGCTTCTGCAGAGCTCGACAAGACAAGCTGTGCGGAATCGCCCAAAACAACTCCTCTCCAAGCGAAATAGGTCTTCAAATGGCCAGAGGTTGTCCTGATATCCACAGGAAAACCACAAATCAAAGCAGATTAGGACACTAAAAGCGGAACTGTCGGTGTCAAAATCCCTCCGTCTGTTATTACCAGGCACTGTTGTCGAAGATGCCGTGTAATAAAGGTTGCCAGGACGATCAAAACCCAACGCCACGGCCAGAATAACCAGTAAGGAACGGTAAGTGTCGTGCTAGAAGAGGAGACCGAAAAAAAAAAGTGACAGACGTTAGAATCGTATGTAGTGGACCAGAGCAAATCCAAGCAGCTGCAGTGTGATCGCGAATATGTAGGTAAACAGGTAGGTATGAAGTAGATGGGAAAAGCTTGTGCAGATGGCCATGGCCAGGCTTGTCAAATGTCGTCTGCCAGGTGCCACAGAGATGATGCAGGGTGGAAGGAACGAGGCATCATAAAGCAGCCAATGGGAAGGCCTCACGGACATGGGCATGTCCCATAGGGAGACATCGGACAGATGTGGATTCGGGGACTCACCAGTTAAGCAGTACCGTTTCATGCACAGATTAGATGCAAGAGAAATGGGAGTCGTTCCAGTCGTAAGAAATGAAAATGCTATACGTCGAAGATGGAAATGAGAACGGAACCGTACAAAAACCCAAAGACGATGAAGCGACGACGGAGAGGGATTATGTTACAAGGTGATGAAGACGATGATGATGGTGATGAGGGGAGGAGGAGAAGGTGAGGTGAAGAAAGGTGCAGGTCAAGGTCAAGGTCAAGGTGAAGACGAATGTGAAGTGAAGCTGCTTGAATAAAAAAAAAAAAAAACTGTTTTAGTTCGCTGTCAGAACAAACTTGTGTGGAGAAGTTGGCAAAGACAAAAAAAAAAAAAAAAAAAGATGAGAACTCGACAGAGATTTCAGCCAAACAGCTTCGTCCTCGAAGCGTCGCACAATAATGCAAATGAAGTCCTAACCAATCGGCTTATTTAGTCTGTTTAAAGGGGGTTGAGTTCTGGAAGTTGATTCTGCCAAACGGAGGAAATTCCGATAGGTTTCCGTGCAGAGATGCATCCACAGACACAGACACAGACACATGTATTGTATTGTACTGTACAGCGTCTACACAGGACCGATATGTACCGTCTATACAACTCCAGATATTCAATATCCCCTCAAAGCTCAGTTAGAAAACTGAAAGAAATTCCTAATCAGACATAGACTCCGGGTTTTCTATTTTTCCAATTAGCTAAGTCTGTCTAAGCTGAAAAGATGAATTTTATCGCTGAAAGGGGTATTGGTATGTTTGGACCATTGGACCCACGTGACTATGGCCTGTTTCGCGGGATATAATTGCAATGCTGGTGCTCCATACATATACCCCGGACTGTCAAAGAAAAGTAAATCTGGAGTATTCGAAGCGAGGTTTCAAGTAACCGCTTGAATTTTATATTTTATATTTTTGGCAAGCTGGCAGAGTTGGTTGCAAGGGAATACTATAATATCATAGTTGTAAATTTCAAGATTGATTGAACGTTCATGTATTCCATAAATTACTGCCTTACCTATATCATAACATACCTACTTACTTATACATTACATAGATAGTTCGCAGTATTAATATTCTGTACAGTACCAGTTTGAGATGTCGTTGGTATGATTATATGTCATGAGTGTAGTTATATTATATTGTGTATTAAATATATCAGCAGTGGGCGCTAACAAGCTGTTATTACCTGTATATATATAAGCCCTGGAGGAACAGCTAACCGTATCATATTTTTGGCATTTACTCCATAAAACTACTAGAAAATAGACTAATTATATCGTGGAATGGCATATGGTGTCGACATCTATACCATGCATGCCGTATTCGTGTTATGATCATAATTAGTCCGCGATCGGGCGAATTGGAGAATTGCAATACCCATTACTAAGCCAGCGAGACCCAAATCCACTAATCACAGTGATATCGATAGGTTGTCTACTAAACTTGTAGATACTTAGGTAGCTTTTCAGTTAGTAATTGAATTAGTATGGCATATATCGTCGTCCACCTTGGAATCTGGGAGGAGTACCATCCTCGACATATGTGCCTGGATATCCGGATATATAAATTTACGTATGCGAAAAAATATAACCCCTGGCGTCGAGGCTCAAGGGCCTTCCATCCGATAACCTGACTCAGGGAATTCCGTCATTTGATATGACAATTCCCTGGTATTTCCCTAACGTCTACCGTAGACATATCCCGTAAGAATGTAATATCGTCGGTGTAGACGACACTTCCCCCCTTGCCCCTTGCCTAGTCTGTATTCACCGAATTAGACTGAACCGTAGGCTTAGATAATCCCCAAAGTCTGGACTTTTCCATCAATTTTAGCCAGCACCGTCCGTGCGCGCAGAAACACCTGGCTCGCTCTCGCTCTCGCCGTAGACGAACCGAAAAAAACGTTGCACATTGGCGATTTCTGTCAGGGGAGAATGGATAAAAAAAGCCGAAAAGCTAGTGTCCCTTGTCGATATTCCCCCAGCGTGAGGGAGAAGAAAGAGAAAAAAACTTCGTCAAGCATCGATGCATACCCAGGTTGAGCGTTTAAAAGGTCCTTTTTCTTCCTTGCCTTTTTTTTTTGGTTTCTCTTCATGCGCAGGCTTGCTTGTAAAGAAAATATCGCTTACATCAGGTGGTCCCACTTTCCTGCACATACAAGGACTCCAGTAGACACTTTGACTTTTTTTTTAAAAAAAAAAGAAGGGAAGTAAAAAAGGCGAAGTAAAATGACGAGCCGCCTGCCCTCTTCCAAGACCGGGCGAGCTGCAGTTCAAGGGTGTAGACGAGTAATGTCATCGACAAATCCCTGGTGACCAATGGAGGGAGATCGTTGAAGACCAAGCCTAACAGGCCCTACACGAGTCAGATAACTGCGGGTTGATAGCCGAATCGTCTGGGGGTGAGAGTAGGATGTGAAACGCCGTTATTCAGTCGCACGCCCCTCATGCCCTCTCCTGTCTCTTCCCACTCGTAAGCTGGTCGTTGCCTGTAAGTACACCACATAAGTAAATGTCAGAGGTTTGGGCGATTGTGACAGGTGACTGGTAGAGGAAAGTGAGGAAGAACGGGGAACTGTTGGATTGTTTCAAAACACCGCCAATGACATATACTTTGTCAGTAGCTGTCCGGAAATATATTTAGTAGCGGCACACCCCTCGTCGAGGAAGTCCACGACGGTCAAGCAAGTACTTACCTACAGTTCCAGCTGGTGCGACATTCTTAGATCTTCTTCTTCTTCTTCTTCTTAAAAGCAGTAGCTCTCTTCTTCTTCTCCTTTCTCTTTCTTCTTTTCTTTCTTCTTCTTATCCTTATTCTCCTGAAGATTCTTTTCCTCACTCAAATACGACCCATACCATACTCAATAAACCGTCGCATCCATACCTATCGCCACAGCAGCAGCCACATGCAAACAGTACAGTAGACATATCGCTTGGACCCTGATCAACCACCCCCCCAAAAGTAAAGTAAGCATTGCATTGCATTGAGCATACCCACCACCAATATCATCTCTTGAGTTTGTCTGCAAAGAGTCTTCCCACATTCCTGTTGCGGGCAGCTGGATAGCGTCATTCGTCAGGAGGTACTGCAGGGTGCGGGCACAAAGGAAGAAATGCCCAGAGATTTCCAGAATTCCTTTGCTAACGGTATTGATGTTCCCTGCAGAAGACGGCCAGTTAGTATTTTCGACAAAGTCCGCATCGATAGCCTTAAACATTGGGTATATTCCGGGCAAAGATTCCTCTTTTTGGACCCAAATACTAGTCCCGTATATGTACATACATACCTACCCATCGTCAGATTTAAATCGATTTCACATACACTTCCAAATACGCAGTGCTGTGTGGTATATACACCCACACGATCCCGTCGAGCTGAAGGAACAGGATCCTGGTCAGCAAAAAGAGCGAAATTAAACTGTTGTTAGAAAAAGGTTAGCGCGTTGTGGGTAGAACGGTATTCCACGGGTCGCCCGCTCTTCTCTTCTCGCAGGACTGGACAGGACAGGCGCATTGCAAGCATCAGCCTGATAAGCAGCAATACGAGGCCGATAAATACTGTACTTTGCTCGTCCCCCCCTTCTCGAGTCCCCGAAGTTTTTCCTCTTCAAGGGGTCCCTTTTTCTACCGTTTCGATCGAGCTTTCTAGCTAGGAGAAAGCATTAAGAGCGCGTATTTTTGGATCTCGAGACCAAGTGGTTGGTTGCATTGGGTTGTGCCGCATTGAGATAACCAACCGGGAACAGAGCGCAAAAAGCTACACTTCGAGGAGAACGAATTCAATTGCATTGGATCCGGAAGAATTGAAGCTTTCTAGCTTGTTACTACTCGATCCCATCTCGCCGGGGGCCTGTTGCAATTCACGAGGAACGTTGTCACGATCAAATTACAAGGGGTCATTTCGCCGAATTCGCATTTGAGGGAACGTTGTATCGCCCCCCTTCTCTCTATTTCTCTCACTCTTCTTCCTCCGTCTCACCTCATCGCCATCATAATCATCATCATCATCACTACCAACATCAAACATCAAACACCGACATCAACATCAACATCGACATCATCCCGATTTCACATTCTCTCTTCATCCCCTACCTTCATCCGCTGCCGGACGGACCGTTCCGGCAAATTCTATCACTATGAAAAAGTTTATGAAACTCTTTGGCAAGTCGAAAACAAAGTCGACGGTCACTGCTGATGATCAATATTTCGATAAGCCTGCCGCGAAAAATGGGAAGAAGTTTGGAATGTACGGTAACCACAGTGTTCCTGACTTCCGACAGACGTACAAACACAAATTCCAGGATGCTCCGCCTATGCCAGATGTTCCTCGCAAGCTAAAGCCATCGCTTGCGGTTAAGCTTCCAAACGAAATCTTGGCCAAAATATTCACTTATGTCGCGCCTCATGTTGGCAACGAATCGCTCTACTCTGATGAGGAAATACTTCACTACGTCAATGGCTGTGTCCTTTGCGATAGTCGTGATCTAGCTCATATCGCCCTGGTCTGTTTGAAATGGTCTCGGGTCGCTCAGATGCTACTCTACAAAAACATTCAGTTGGAACGAGTTCATTATTGTGGTCGTGAAGAGCAGCTTGACGAGCTTCGCAAACGTCGCTCGAGAGTTATCTACACCGACCCGGACACTATCGACACTGCCGCCGAGAGGATGGACCTCTTGATTCGCACTTTTAGGTTGAACGACGACTTGGCTAACTACACACTCTACATTCGACTCCAGTACATGACCCGAGAGTCCTGCAAAAATGTCCTGACTTCGTTGGTAAACGTCCCACTGTCCAACCTCCGCTGGATGGACTTGCCAGACGGCTTCTACAAGGACGACCCAACATGTCAAGCATTGAAGGCTATTATGTATCAGAAGTGCCCAGACCTGCGACGCATGCGTTGGACAGAAGGGTCCGAAAATGGGTTTTTGGGGCTCTCCATTGATAGGCCGTGGGTCAATCTCGAGTTTATTGAACTCTGGAAGTTGAATGTCGAAGAAGAACAAATCGCTGGAGTTTTGGCAACCCTCCCAAAGATCACCTCAGTTGGTATCCAAGAGCTACCCTGGGTCACCGGTCGTTTCTTGTCTCCAGGAGTCGCTGGAAAACGCCCATTGCTTCCACCTCTCAACTCACTTTCCATCTCAAAATGTGACAAAATCACATACGATTCAATCATCGCATATATCTCTTCGCCAGCTGTCCAGCAGACTTTGGAACACCTAACGTTAAAGGAAATCGACTTCCCACCCCATCTTATCTACCAAATCCTCCAGCAGCTTCCCTACCTAAAGACGCTGCGTATTAACGCTCCGGTCACTAGAATTTTCCCGGCTTATGATCAACCACCACATCCACCATTGCAAAGCGCTACCCTCCGTGAACTTTCTTATGAAATCCGACCTGCTCAACAATCCAAGACTCTCGCAAGCCCTGCAACGAGTTACTACGAATATCTCTGCGAAAGCTTACGTCTCGGCGGTCTTCCAAAACTCAAGACGCTTCATGTGCGCGACGAGAACTTTGGGAAGATGCTAAAGCGTGTTACGGAGACTATGCAAACTTACGGCAAGGATTTCCAGATTCTACAACGACTTGAGAGTCTTACTATTCACGCCAAGGGTTGGAATGGGCTCGTTTGGTCGACATTTACCTTAACGGATCAAGGAGCCGGTGAGGAACTTGACGAGTTCGGTGCCCTTCTCGCAGCCGCAGGTGGAGGACCTCAATCTCCTCGATTCTTGGGACTCCCGAATCCGAACGACGAGAAGCGACTCTCGTGGCGAGAGCGACGTGATAATCGAAAGAGTAGAATGGATCTTTGGCGATAAAGAATTAGTAGATGACACCTGGCGTTTAGTCAAATACTCGACGATGGCGCTAATTGTTCTACGTCTCGAATCCTTTTTGTCTAGAGTTTCCTTACCTTTCGATTACCTATGCTACCAGCGCGAGTTTCTCTTGGTGTTCTATCACGGCAGCGTGCTACTTTCAACTCTTATTTCTCGTTCTTCACGGGTTTCTTTTTCATCTGGGTTTCTGCCACAAAGGATGTACCATTCTCCGCGTCAACCGTGATCTTTACTTCTCGAAAATCACTTCCAACCCCCATGCATAAAGCGAAGTGGTGTTCAAGATAAACGTCACCAAGACAAACGAGGACAGTGAGTCCGGCATCTTTAAGTTTTTTTTCCTTTCCACATCTCTTCATTTCTCCAAAGCACAAGTTCAAATCCTGGGTACGATTTTCAGCTTGTTTCTATGTCGTTGATTGCTTCTTAACTGTAGCCCCTTTAACTTCTTCCCCTGTTCTTCAATAATATTGCTTCTACGTTTTTATTTTTATCTCTCAAGGCGTTAAATAGGGGTATCAAAAGAACCAAATTCACGGGAATGTCCTTTTCTCTTTCTCTCTCTCTCTCTCTTCTTTCTCCGTACTCATTCCTCGTCGTCTTCTCTACGCAATTGTACAAGCTGGCCTGTCCCTAACCATCACTTCTTCTTTCACCCCCTCTTCTGTTTCCTGAGCACTTGTTGATATGCGAGTCCCGTTCTCGTCGTTCAAGCCCCTGGCACGTATGACAATAATATGCAATGTTGATAATGTTAATTCAGCGATTTACACGGCCGCATATACTTCTTTCCGTCTCGAACTAGTAGTATACATATAAGAGGTGCATACCTAAGTAAATAAATATAATTCAATCGTAAATGTCTATCAAGTGGGGACCCATGCTGGTCCCAGGAATACTTTATGCATAGGAATACCTTATGCTTGCCCCTACACTCCGCCTCGAGCGTCTGGATTTGAGGCTAGCTCCTACACAGGTGCATAGAACATACTTAAGCATATGCAGAATAGCTACCCGACCGAAAAGAAATAAAAAAAAGGTCGACCACCTGCTCCTCACCGATTCCCGTTCTTCAGCATGTTTCCGGCCGAAAACGTTACACCCCTTCATCCAAAAAAAAAAAAAAAAAAGACACAGACTTCAAAGAACCATTACCCACCGCACAGCAGATAACGGGTAAAAAAAATACCCCAAAAAAAAAAAGCGGAACCGTATCAAACCCCTCTGCTTTGTAATCTACCCCAAACTTCGGTTCGGAGCGGGACACATTTCGGTTCCGAACCGCGAAAAACCCAAAACCCGCAGATGCGATACCCACATACATTTATCGCCAAAAATTTAAAGAAAACCCCGAAAGTCCCATGCAAACAGCTACTTTAACTCTATTTCCTAGCAAAAAAGCTCAATAGTTCTTACAAATCAAATATGCAAGTCACCGTTGCTTACAAAATCAATTGCGCGGCGCTTCAATATTTAATTAAATTTCAATAACGTTAGCTATGTCATCCGGGTACCCGTGCTCCCGTGCATTAGGTTTGGGAGAGTAGTGATAGTGCTAGTTATACTATACTAGACGAAAGATAGCGCATATGGCGTTGAACAGTGCAGGAATTGTATCATGCGATAGCTACCGCCCCGCCTAAGTAGCTAAGCACCTAACCCAGGTACCCGGCCTGCCATAAACATATGATCCAAGTTAGTTAACCCGCAGTTACAGTGGAGAAGGGGGTGTCAATTGGCCAAATAACCCCTCTCGCCATTTTTCTATATAAACTCCAATTAATTACAGAAAAAAATACAATCTACAACCACCATCCAACCAAGCTTGCTTCGAATCCAAACCAGAGAATCGACTCCAAACAAAAATCCAACAAACCCCAACACATAAATTTAACCCAACCTCCAAAATGTCCGCCCCATCCGACCTCTCCATAACCCTCTACTCCAACCCCAGCTGCCCCTACGTCCACCGAACCCTCATCACCCTCCACGAACTAAACATCCCCTTCACCCCCTCCTTCATCGATCTAAACACCCCCCGCCCAGAATCCTACCTAAAAATAAACCCAAGGGGCACAGTCCCCGCCCTAACCTTCACCTCCCCATCCTTCAACAACGGAAAACAAGTAATCGTAAACGAAAGTTTGATAATAGTCCATTTCCTCACCGATCTATTTCCAAACCATTTAATTCCTTCACCAGGAAGTTTGGGAGGCGCTGCTGAGAGGGCTAGGATTTTGTTTGTTATTGATACTTGGGGGAATAAAGTCGGTACTACGTTTATCAAGGCTGCGTTGGCTAGTGTGGGTGAGGAGGTAGCTGCGAAGGAAGCTGTTGATACTGCTGTTGCTGCTGTTGAGAAGGAGATTGATCCTTTGTTTGCGAAGTTGGAGGGGGATGGGGATGGTCCTTTCTTGGGTGGAAGGGATAGGTTCACACTTGCTGAGGTACGTACGGTTTATAACCGATTCAAACCCCGTAGGAAAACCATGTTAACTTTATAATAATAAAAATAGGTCGCAATCGCCCCATTCATCATTCGCAACTTCTCCCAATCAAGCAATGGTATCCTCTCACCAACATTCAAGGAAAAACTCCTCGCCCTACCAAACTTTGGGAAATGGGCGACGGCTGTTCTCAAGAACGAGAGTTTGTTGAAGGATTGGGATGAACCCACGTTCTTAGAGGGGGCTAGGAAGAAGTTGCAACAGTTCAAGGATGGAACCTTTAAGCCTAAGGTTTAGATGATTGAACATATATATATATATATATGGTGGTATGGGTATTCGATTTGAGGATTGGAGAATTAGTGATGTAATAAGTAGCAGGTCTATGTTCGATATAATCGTCTTGTAATAGTTATATAAAACAAATGGAGAAACAAAGATTTACGAATTGTTAACACCATCCAAAGTTAACTGTGATGTGATATCAATGTAGATTTGAACTGATATATATACTTTGATCGCTCTACAGCCAAACCCACCTGACACGTCGACCCGCTAAGCTAGTCACACGAGGAATTACATCGCAAAATCGCAACTTATATATAACTACGATACCAATTGCAAACTTGATTAATAGAAATTAGCATTATCATTGATTTTTCCTAATAGTCATAGGCACAATTCCCCGTAATTGTTTCCCTATCCCAAAAAATGCCGTATTTTTTTATTTTATCATCCCACCCACCGGACAGTAAACCCAGCCCCACGTATTTCATGAGTTAAAAGGATATTGATCAAAAGGAAAAGAGAAAAAAAGAGAAAGAACAGAGGACCGGAAAAAAAGAGCATAAAAGTGAAAAAGGAGCAAAAAAGGGGGGCTAAAAAGTAGATACAGGAAAGAGTAAGAAGAGGGGTTTAGTCGAATAAGTTTATTTCTGGGAACGACCCAATGTTGTGTTTTCTTTAGAAAGGGAAAAACAGAAGTGCGAAAACAAGAATAAAAAAGTGAACCAGAAGTGAACATTGTTTTGGATTAAAGTGTACTTATTCTTGCCCACGGTAGCCTATTGTTCACACTTGCAGCCACCGTTGATGAAGCGTTGTCCTTGTAAGAGAGTATTGACAAGAAATGAATTGTTAGAGGTGAATAGGATGTCGATTGATGATATTTCCACCTGCTAGCAGATGGATTTGTTTGGCTAGCCACCTGTTGAAAGCCGAATCCCAAGATGAACAGCAGTTTCCTGCACCATCTCGAGATTTAGGCCTTCCTGGAACGGGTGACTGGACCACCTGGGCTTGGAGCACGAGCACGGAGCTCTCCGTTTCCGGCTCCATCGTAAGTGGTAGAGAGGGCGTTCTGGCTAGGCTTAAGGGTGGTTGGAGTCTTGACGACGTTTTCCAAAGCAGCATCGGAGAACTTAGGATCGAGACTGATGGTTCCGTTCGAGATAGACTTGCGAGCAGCTCGCTTTCCAGACTTCTTGTAGGTAGCCAAGTAGAAGGAGATGAAAAGGACCAAGTAGGAAGACAAGATACCCATGCCAGCGATAGCAGCGAATTCCTCACCGGCGCATTCGCCAGCACTGGGCATCCACCTGAAGTAGGTGGATGTGAAGTAGGTGTAAGAAGCGAAGTAGACGAAGACTAGAAGGGATTTGGTTCCGTATTAGCACATTATCCTGGTTGTGGCTTCGGGAAGGGCCGAGCGCAGGAAGTGGGTCTCTTTGTACTCACCAAGGTCAATAATGAACTGAGCAATCTGGAGTCTGGTAATCCATTCCTTCCACCAGACACGGATGCCACGGGCAGAGAGGAAGTAGTACCAGTACATAACAACATGGACGAACAAGTTGATAGTGATCGGGACCCATTGCTACAAAGAAGATAATGTCAGCCAACTTATACCCGACAATGCTCTGAGATCAATTCAATCGGGAGAAAACTTACAACAGAGGTTGTTCCGACGAGCTGAGTATAGCACAACAACGCGGTAGCACCGTGGTGGTAGGTGTGGAGGAAGGCTATTTCACGCCTGGTCAGCAACCAATCCCATCATACACAATCAATCAAACAACCAATCAATCGACTTCAATGAAACTTACTCAATGGCTTTTTCTTCAAGAACAGGAAGACGGTATCAAGGAGCTCGAACTGCATCAACGCGTTAGTCACATATTCTCCCAATCCTTCAATGGCTAGCTGCAGCCTGCAGCTGCTCCGTTACGGAACGCTTACATATTTGGTCAAATAGTTCAACTATATATCAACAAAAACGTTAGTTAACATCATCATACCCGCGACTATATGAATCGGCCAAAAAAAAAAAAGAACGAAAAGGAACGAGAGCTCAAGGAGAACTTACGTAATAAATAACAACCAATTTCGGGGTGTAGGAGTTGATATTGCAGATACCATAGAACAATCCGTGACGAAGCAAGATTGGAATCAGCTGCTCCATTGCCAAAACCAAAAGCGAACCAGAAAGAAACGTCAAGAAGACATTGTGGATCTGGAAGAGGGCATTCAATCGTAATGGCTTTCGATCGGCCATAATGGCCTTACCGCCGAAAATGACGATGTAGTAGACGGTGATGATCGCCAAGGCATTAGGAAGAGTCGAGACAGGTGTCTTTCCGTGCACGAACTCGAACTCTTCGGCCGGATAGCCTACGACCAATTCGAAAACCTTCGAGAAGATTGGCCAAAGGTGGATACCGAAGGGCCGGTCTATGGATGGGATGGGAAGGGACGACATGTTTACTGTCCCTGAATATGGGGAGAATTAAGGGGGAGGTCGGTCGAAACTGGTCGTGAGACTATCGTTATTCGTGTTTCTATGATGGTCCAGGTGACTATGAAGAGTAGGAGGACGCGGAAAGGGTGATGAAGATGAGGATAGAGAGAAGATGATGGAGGAGATGAAGATGATGAAGGTGATGAAGAGGAGGAGAAGAGTGATGGAAGAATTCAATCGGGTTCAGGAGTCGGAACCAACGGATATGAAGGAAGGTCGAGCTTTTAGACTCTGTTGGAGAGACGGGGACTGGACTGGACGAGCGAGAGCAACCACGCCCACACGCACAACCACAACCACAACACGAATGGAAAGTCTCGGCAGGCTTATGTCGGTGTCCTCCTCGACAGGGCACGTCTTGTCGAATGGCAGGTCGACAGGTGCCGTGGGCGTCCTTCAATCTGCCTGATTTTTCGGGGTCGCGCTGGGGAGAGAGCACACACGTCTGCGGGTGCAGGGCTTGTGTCTCACAAGGACCGTTCGGGGATGGTATGGGATTGTATCGAAAAGGAATGGGCAAAGAACCGAACAAACAGCAGCGACAGGTCGATGCAATGTTCAATCTGATCTGATACTCGCTCGCTCGCTCGCGTCCCAATTGAATCAAAGGTCAGTTCGTGGAGAAGGAGAGAATGAAGGAAAGAAAGAACAAGAAGAAGAACAAGAAGGTTGAAATTTGAAATTTGAAAAAACTCGTTAACCTATTACAAGATTGATTGGACTAGGAAGTATATACTTCTCGTCTGTATAAAGCAGTGGAACGAACAGGTTATAAAGGAGAGAAAAAACAATAATAACCCTGGCTCATAAACCTTCCGCTGTCCAAGTTTCGATTCGAATAATGTGAGCTAGATCATGCAGACGCCAGGAGGGCCTAGAGGATTTTGGATCTAACTAACGAGGAATTCTAACTAGCTCGACCGCCGCCTACATGTACTCGATCACGAGAGAGGGAGAAAAAAAATTAAAAAAAAATGAAATAAATTTTTGCCAATCACGAAATTACATAGTACTTACATACATGCGAGGTGTCCCTTCGCTGCTTGTCTTGTATCTTGCTCGCTCTCTTTTTTTCTTCTTTCTTTCTTTTCTTCTTTTTTTCCTGTCCTCCTTCGCAAAAGTCCCGGCATGCGCATATATGCGTGCACATGCAAAGGGGTAGCCAGAAAATCATAAACAAACATCCGGGTTTCCAAGCCCAAAGAATCGATCTTGGTTGAGGCTGTCTAGCTCGGTTCGCCCGTCATATTGCATATTTCTGTGGCGGAAATTACTGGGGTGCAGCTAAACTTCCCCCCAAGAGGAAAAATAAAATAAAAAATAAAAAAACAAGCAGTAGGATGTGTCTGTACTGCTTAAATCCCACGCCAGGCCTGCTGGAACCCATCGAATAGGAAAAGGGGATTTTCCCATTAAAATTGCTGGTCATCTTTATTACATCCCGCATATGACGGGGCGGCGGTCGGTTGGGGTCGTTCATTAGGCATGTGAACAAGAACCCAATTCCCCAACTAGCGGGCCTTCCTCCGTGTTCAACTGACCCAATTGACGCTCCATTCACGAAAGAAAAGAAAAAGTCTATACTATGCCAATATAACTATAAAAAATATAAAACTGTCCTTTTCATTGGACGTGATCACTGGTCCTCCTTCCTAAACCTGACTATAGCATTCCTGGAAACAGCAGCTGTACAAGCCGAGGTACAATCTTCAGTTGAACTTTTTTTTTAATTCTTTTTTTATTTTTCTATCCCTTCCTTTTGATATGAAAGTAACCCACTTCTATTATAACTATTGAATCTTTGATCTGGTCGGAGCGACATTCTTCCGTTTCCGTTTAATCCATGGACGTCAAATCGCTCTGAGCTCAGACCAAGACCTTGACTGCAACACACATATGTATTGGCGGTTGAGGCAGACGATCCATCGTGCCATATGCCGACGGGTTACGCCGTTATAACCATGGTACGGTAAAACCGGGTGGGACCTTGTCTGTTTTTTTGCGTCAGGAGGTTGCGTTTGATTGCAGCTTTTCTAGAATCCTATAATATACTTCCAGTAATGACATACGCATACTGTACAGCTGTGCACATGCACATGTCACTTAAGTCGACTCTTGGTGTTTTATTTTATCATTTAAGATTTATAGTTACCATATCTTTGATACAACCGCTGTAGTCTTGGAGCCGGAAACCGCTTTAAATTAGAAACAAAGGGCAATCAGACATCGTATCCGGTGTTACCGACATTATCATATCAGTGGCATCTATCGACCCGTTCTAATTGTCGAAACGTTCAAATGCATACTAGCACTGTTATACCGCGTATGTAAACCGAGTAATCAATTGATTCCTATATAAATAGTACAAAAAGGCCCCGGTGCGCAGCAGCAATTAATTCTGGTTTACGAGATAACCCCGGTGTATAATATAATCTACATCGATAGAAATTTTAGAGAGAGAGAAGATTTAAAACCCGTCCAGTATACACAATAACCTACAGCTAGCAGCTAAAGATATACAATACAAACCTAAATTCGATTCCATGGATCCAGAGAGTACACACAATATAAAATGAAACGATACACTGGCGCTGATCCGGCTAGGGACTGGTCTATCCGAAATTACATTTCTTAGGTTCAATAACAGCACAGTATACTGAGGTATCCTATATAATAACACTGGTGTTGACGGTTACACAACCTACGCAGACGGGACCTTGTACTACCATGGCCACTATCACCTTGCAAGCTTGTTTCACGGCTGAACCCACGTCTAATATATTCCTCTCATGGCCCTATTCGACGACTACCCTTCGAATTCAGTGTATTAATTAAAGGTACATTCGATTGATTGTCATTCGATGTTTCTGAAACTCCACGGGCATACAATATCAATCGATATGCAAGCCTGTAGAGGACTACTCCAGATATCGTTTATATACTTACAGATATTAGTATACATCTACGCAAATCAAAGTTGAAGTAATAGTACACCGAAGTGCTAATCTTTTTCATTTCATTTCCCGCCGCCACCGCCAACTCCCAGTTCTTTTTCGTCGTCATTTCATCCGACAATCCAATGTGTGTGTGTGTCTTTTTTTAAAAAAAACAGAAAGAATAGTAAAAAAGAGTATATCAACCAAAGAAGATACATAAAAAAAAGTTATTTAAGAGGAACAGGAAAAAAAAAAAAGGTTGTGAAACAATTACGCAAGAGTTTTCTTTACAGTCGACAATTCCATGGAGAAACCTGAAAGACAATCCCGTCTCCTCCTTAACCAAAGAAAATGGATTTGACTTCCAAGAGTACCACGAAAAGGGTTACCTAACACGCAAGAACGGTGGTTTCCCCTCGTTCTCACTGTCAGCTATAGTATACCTCCCCCTCTTATCCATCTATTGATGATTCTATGGTGATGGACGTCCTCTATTTCTTAGCGGCAGGTGGGTACAGTTCCTCGGAAAGCTGTACACCAAGCTCCTCTCTTAAGGGCTTAAGTTCCGAGAGGTACTGCTCGTATTGAACGTTGTTCTCGACCTTAGCTCTAATGCCTGTATTCCATTTGCCCAAATATTATATTAGCCCCTTTCCATATTCCCAATATAAAAAAAATATGTATAAGAATCGCCGTGGAGTATGACGCACCTTCAAAGATTCTGACGGCAGTGGGGAAGTCATTCACCCGTCTGGCGGCACGAAGGGCAGCCTCGATGACAGAGGTGGATGGGACAAGATCGTATGCGAAGCAGTTGTTCAGGTTTCGCTATATAGTAGTAACAGTAGTAGTCGGTTAGTCAGCAGGATGCGCTTATCATATAGCCCGTATCCGAAATTTTATATACGAAAATAAACGTGGAGAGGGAAAAAAAAGGGAGAGAATATATAACTAACCTGGAGCTCGAAAACATCCTGTACACCATCGAATTCCTTCTCATACCTATCATAAACATCATATCAGCCAACTGTTTCGTCCCAATTGAATGGTTTATTCCGCCATATCCCGGCAATATGCATGTCTAAATATCAAGAGAAGTGGTTGTTTTTTTTTAAAAAAAAAAAATCGCTTCCGTACACCCGCGATTTTCTGATCCAGTCTCTCCCCGCATAAAGAAAACCACACCGGCTTTCCCACGATTCTCCCCTCAGCCATTGAATATATTTCCTCACCTAGCAGTAAACTCCTCGAAAGTCTCTTCGTCGTGGGCACTCGAATAACCCCTCACACCCAATGTCGCGGAGGGAGCAGCATATCGAGAGACGACGGCACGAGGAATGGTTGCCGTTCGAAGGACGGAGAGAGGACGGGTAGCGACGGCGGCCGAAGAGACCAATCTGAGAATCGAGGTGGACATGGTTTCTTTTTGGCTGTAGGTATGGATATAAAAGAGGTCTGGAGTACTTGTTGGGTTATATGTAATGTCGGGAAGAAGAGTGGCTGAGAAGAAGAGGTGGTATTTCGGGTGTTGCGGGGTTTTTATTGGTGGAAAGGATGGTTTTTTTGGTGGGATAAAATTCTTAACAAGGAACTTCAGATGGGATTTCCAGTGAAGCCGACAGACGACTACGAAACTAAACTGAGGATAACTTTTTGCACGGTCGGCAAGAGGATGATGAAAGAATTCGGCGGTAAGACCGGGGTTCAGAAGGGTTTCCCTTTCGGCGGTTTAGAGGGAAATAACGGCGGGTATCAAGAAGAAGGAAAAGAAAACGTGAGGTTCCGGATGACGGTGTGGTTGACTTGAACTTGATTAACTGGGACTGGGACTGGACCGAACTAAACTCCAGCGTAGCTCGGGTACTAACTACTTAACTATTCTCTTCCTCTTTCTCTTCCTGATTGATTGATTTGCTTGATCAAACAAACTAGAACCGCATTGATTACAGCAGGAACAGGCTGCTAGGTCTCGGAATCGAAGGAGAGAAAAAAAAAACATGACATGACATGATGCTGCTGCCACTAGCCTACTCATGGTCATTGACCAATCACGGCTGCGGGAGCTCATCCCTGGCCTGCAATTGTGGGCTCTAGCATTCGTTAATCCTTCCTCCTGCCCGGGTATGTAACGATCTTGACAGAAAAGAGAGCTATGCTGGCCGATGCGGACTTATCTTGGAGGCGCTTACATGATATCAACCATTGCATTGCTGTTAATTTGATTGGATTCAATTCGCATTTCCCGGGTATCATGATATATAATATACAAGTAAACGTAAGCAGGACATTTATAATATAATACACATCACGAGTGGATTATATTAATAAGTCAATCAATTGCAAGGGAAAAGAATGAAACGGGGGAAAGAGAGCAGTCTGGAACGTACGCTTAGAACGCCGACGATATCGTATCCAAATGCATAACACTCCAGTCCACCGCCACCCGCCTCTTCTTCAACCAATCCTGTTCCGACTCCCCACAATTTTTGGCCTCAAGTATCTCCTTCATCTTCTCCAAAATCCTCCAACTATAAACCTCGACCACTAGTTTTCTTCTTGGTCGGGTTTTCCCCAGCCTTGTAAGGAATTTTGTAATATCGTCCCGCTGTGCCTCGTCAACGAGTAGGATCGCTTTTTCCTTCGCTCTACTCAGCATCTTGGTTTCCCCACTAGCTGCCAAATCTATACAGCTTCCGCAATAATTCACTTCTAGAGTCTTCAAAAGTTCTTTCACATCCGATCTATCAGATAAACATTCAATCAAGTACACCCGACTTTGGAATAAAGGTGACGTCAAAACCGCCAATTCCTGACTATCCTGCGTCTGTGTAGCTTCTGGGTCCTCAAACTCCTTCCCTATGGATTGCCCATTCTCCGATATCTGCGACAATGGCCTCTTTCACTTTTGCGACGGTTGCGACTCCGTCTGTGTCGTAACTTGTGATGCCCGAAACGAAGGTTGAGAATCAACCACAGGAGTCCACTGTCTCACAGCCGCCAACTTCTTCGTCGTCTGAGAATCGGCTTCCCAGACCGGTTTGGCCAGCATCCCCTTAGGTTGCTCTGTGCCAAAAGGTCTGAGCCGCCGTCTTCTCTCAGCTGACGCCTTAAGCTTCTCCTCCCACTCCTTGATCTCATCCATACAATCATCCGACACCGTACTCGCTTTCTCCCCCATAACCTGCAATTCCTCAAACGTCACAGCTTCTGTAAATTCTCTTTCTTTATGTATCTTCTGGACTCTAGGCCAGCGTAGAGTCCAATAATCCGAGAACGCGGCCTTATCAAACCCGGCGCCAAAGCATTCTAACACGAGCGGCGAATTGAACAAAAAATCCGGTTCAGGGAAGTGACTTTCCAAAGGTAGGACTTCATACGTCGTGTCAGGGTTCTTAGAGTACCCGACTCCATGGAAGTATCTGTGTGATCTAAGGAACGTGAGATCCGCTTGTGTGAGATTGTAGGAAACCGTAAAGACAACTTTGAAAATGGGTTTTGCGGCCTGTACACAGGTTAGCGTCGATGTTGTCTTAGAATATGCTTAGGATGTCGCTACTTACCGACGTCACCACTTCCTGCTTGTTAGTCAGGCAAGCGGCATAAAACGTATTGGCGTCAGCGGGGTTTACTAAACCACCCCGTTAGCATGTTTCTATAACTCATGGGCAACAGTATAAACACTTACATCCTCTCTCAACCCCCCTCTTCCCACCACATCGGCCTCCAACCACCACGAAATCTGCGCTGTCTCCAAACCCCGGAATATAGTCCCTCTTAAGCTTGACCCAGTAATTTCCAGTCCCTACACCCCAACCAACATATCGTCCCTCAACGGGTTTCATCACAAAGCCCTCCCACTTCAACCCGATCCCCTCCGCAAAGGTTTCAAAGAAAGTATCACGAGCATCCGGTCTAGAGAAATCTATGAGCTTTCTGGTCACTAGCTCCGCTTTATTCTCTATCCGATGAATCAACGACTCCAAATGATATCTTCGCGCAGAATACGTATTTGCTGGTGTGCAAATATCATCTAATAGAATGCAATCAAAGAACTTTAGCATGATATGCTCTGTGGACTGGTGTTTATGTACCACGGACAAACTCGTCCCAACGTATGTTCCAGACCGCATGACATGATTGCGTATACTATGAAAGCTTGCAATCTTATCTTCGGTATCGGAGTATACCAAAAACTCAGCTTCTAGGATACACCGTTGTTTTATTTTCCTTTTCGTGGAGTCGTCAAGGTGAAGGCATTTGCGAATTATTTCGTGACAACCGATACGGTCTTGCGTCGAGTCCCGGCCGGATTTGCTGTATATTTTCAACCAGTCGTGTTTATCCCTTGTCAGATCTATATGGATTTGACAGTATTCTGCTATTGTTAGGGTCCGTGTTTCGTATACTGGGCAAGTCAAGGAAGAACATACCACCATCGTACTTCCTCTCCAAAGCCCATGTCTTTCTTCCCGCCATCCTTATCACTCTCTCACAACTCAGTGCCTTCATAAAAACCGGTCGTCCAACTTTAACTCCCATCTCCGGTAACAACAACCTCTCCGCTGCCTCCCTCAGCTCTTCCTCGTCGTCGGGACTAGGTGCACAGGGGAACAACCTAAAGGTCTTGCTCCCTAGCACGGATAATGCGGACTCTAGTTGACCCCTTATCCTCCATATTTCTGGTAATAGAAAGTGGAATTCACGAAACAAGTTATCCGGTTCTAGAGTCACGGGCAACAATGATTTCAATATTATACGAGTAAACCACTTCGCATCACGGCTAGAAAGACGCATATAGATCCTTCCGAGAAGGAATTGGCGAATCGGAGTACCATTCTTGTTGGTAGTAAGAAGCGGCTTCCCTCTCGAATTCTCAGAGCCACGGATGTCTGAACTGGAAAACCGGCAGTGGGAGGCTAGTTCATTAAGAACTTCTTCGATTTCGGTAATCGTAACGGCATTAGACGGTAATATCACGTTTTCCTGGAGGTAGTTCTCAAATCATAAGTGTTCCTATTCTTCATCACAATTACTCTTTCGAACGACTTGGAACATACACTCAGAGCGAACACCCTCTCCACACACTCCCCAAGATCTCTATGACGAATATCCCCCCTCCCACCGACTCTCCACTCTTTCAACTCCTCAATTCTTCCCCTGCCGAAGCACATTGCCGCCGAAATAGCAGTGATCAACCCATCCTCTTTGAAGCCATACACTCGATCCGGCCGCCCCTCTGGCCATAACAACGAGAACAAAGGTAGCCAGAGTTCAGGTGGTAAGTCGGACCGGAAGTATGTGAGCCATGAGTTTATGTGGATTTTATACTGAAATGGGAGTTCGTTGGCATTGGTGGGGTTGGAGGGGTTGTAAAGGGACTCGAGTGTGGATAGAAGGTCGCAGACATGGGAGAAAAGGAAAGGCATTGTTTCCTTTCCTTGTTTTATACGGTGAATTTAGGAGTGTTGGAAGGGATATATTATATTCTTAACATCGGAGCATCGGGGTTTAACGGTCGAAAGGACAGGTTTTATATCATCGAAAGGCAAAGATTGTGATTCAATGGGAACTGTAGATACCAGAAAGTACGCCTTGCAATTAGCTCTCGCTTCCAAATGAGCAATACAGGTTTTCCAGCTGACTGCGAAGAAAAGGAAATTTTACTGACCATTCAGAGGTTTTATATGTATATACGAAACGAGGAATAAAAGGGAGACAATCGCGTAAGACTCATGGCCGAGATGCCTGCAATGTCTTTGGCGGGGACGTTTATTTTTGGCGAAGTCGAAAGGTTGAATTACGAAGTCATGCGGATGGATGGCCTGGTCAGGGGTCCTTGCTAACATTCGCGCGACACACAATGCCAAGACGGCCTCATATCAGCTCGTTCGTCGATCTTCAACGATCGCACAAAACTGCAACAGGGAAAGACCACAGCCAACACATCTCGAGGCTTGGTGATTTGGATTTCGACCTGGTGGGATCTGTCCATTGGGTTTACTTTGACATTTTGAATCTTTGTTTTATAAAATTTATAAGGAAGCCAGTTTGAATAAGAGCCGAAGAAGAGCTTCGTAATCAAAGGTTTTAGACTCAAATATTCCATTCTAAAGTTGAAATTCCTAAATTCGCTCTTCATACTCGAAAATATCAATACCACCCGGTCAATTGAAGACTTCGAACTATGTTAAGCCCTGAAGGCTCTCTTCTTTTTTTTTAACCCGAGATTCCCAAGCGAGTTAGCGTTCTTCTTTAATCCCTGTTACAAAACCCTACACACAAACCCTCCACAATATAATTACCACATCACTTCAAATCTTGATATCTACGACCACAGAAAGAGGACTATTACGTATCCCGTCCGCTCTGCGCTATACAAGCCTCTTATCGATCAGCCAGTAGTACAGTGGGTGACCATGTGCGAATCCTGATTGTTGTAGATTCATTTTTTTTGTTTTTGAAAATTTCAAGTTTGTGATTAAAACCATTCATCTTTTTCACAATGAACAAAGTTGATATCTACGACCACAGAAAGAGGAACACTAGGTATCCCGTCCGCTCTGCCTTATATAAGCCTCTTATCGATCAGCCAGTAGTACAGTGGGTGACCATGTGCGAATCCTGATTGTTGTAGATTCGAATTCTTTTTTTTTTGTTCTGTATTTCGGATCTAGTTAGCGGATTCTTAAAATTAGCACTAACCGCACTCCTGCTGCTGCACATATCTGCTGATTTGTCTGTGTGGTCTGTACTTTCTCGGAAAACGCTTAAATTTTATTCCTAGTTGTCAACATTAATATTGTGGGTCTATCGTAGTCTCGAGGTCTATCGGTAAATTAGAGCCGCTGAAATATATTACTCCCATAAACTATCGAATTCGAATTTTTACACTATTATTTAGCTGACTAACCTGCGAGTGAATAGACTGACTCAAGAATCTTCTTACATCTACTTGTTTATCAATATCGAATTAACAGTTGGGGTTAATTGTTAGTTATATTGTGAGCTATCATACGTATAAGTTATAGTTCATGATCATGATGCATCTGGGTTCTAGAAAGCTAGATGCCATATTAATATATTTTTTTCACATACCATACGAGGTATTTGAAATAGAAGTTCAATATTCATACCTAAGTATAATAGTACCGTGGTAATGCCGGTGCTATCACACTCGTCATAAACCGAACTTTTGGGGGCATTTTTTTATTTTATTAGTGAATTAATTATTCGACGTGAGATTCTAGGTGCTAGAATAATCTACCCTATTGCTCAATTGTCCAACGGACTTTAGCCGCGTACCGAAACCTTTTTAATGTAAGGCTATGGGAGAATGATATATAATAATCTGTATACCTGATTGCGACTTCTAATGTCTTAATTGTATTTTGCAAGACTGCTTCGCAAAAGCCATCATAGCGACGCTTTAACCTGGTACCATCCGAAACATAACCCACGATGCGTCTATGGGTATCTAAACCCACCGCTTGCCCTTTAATATGCAAACGCCTACCCTCTTTCACCTCGTCAGTAAAATAGGTATCATACATATCCGTCATTCGTAACTTTCATTCCCCTATCACCCCGTCACTTCTACCCCGGTACTCCCCCTCCTAACATAAACCACCAAATTGTTAAAAACCGCTCCACCACCCCATCCTTCCTCCGGCCACTCCACCTTCACATACCCTTCCTCCTTTCTAACCCTCGCCGCCTCCTTCAACATTTCATCAACCTCCCCACCCCCACTGACCGCATTTTCATAAACCTCGAATGTATTTCCAATCCATACTTTAGGCTTATACATGAGATACTTATGATTCAGCCATACGGAGGCGTGTGGCATATAAACCACTGCATCTTCATACCAATCTTTGTCCCAAGAGTCTTGATTTATTGAGGTTGTTGGGAGAGAAGAAGCGGAGACGGTGGTGATATTATAGCTTGAGAGGATGGAGATGTCGATTGGAGTGTAGATTGGGTCGTAAGAAAGGATTGATAGATTTGTATCATCGGTATCAATATGTTCCTCTTTTTTTTCTGTTGTTTCCTTTTCTTCCTCCTTTTCGGGGACTTCGGTATCTGTAGACTTATTTTGACACCCGTAGGATTCTTTAAGAACCTCAATGATCGATAGTATTGCAGCAAGTTGGTACCCTGGTGCAGCCTTAAAAGTCTCGGATAGCGATCCAAGAGCCAGAATAAGAACCTTCTTGATAGTCCCTTCCTTCTTTCCATTCTCCTCATTCCCACCCCCCTCGACAGAAGGAGGGGTAGTAACTCCAAACTCCCCTCTAACCATCTCCTTCACCTTCCCACAGCATTCCGAAGCCATAAACCCCGCGATCTGCTTCTCAACTCTCGTCCTAACCTTTTCCAACTCTGCATTGTCTATTTTCCCATCAGTAACGACTTCTGATTTACTGTGGAAGTCTAAGTCGGATTTATGCGCTAAAAGCGCAGAATTATTTTTTCCCCTTTCCGTCGTATTTTCTGCTGCTGAAGATGCATTGTCGTTCTTTTTCTCGATGGAGTTTTGCTTCTGTCCGCTGCCTTTCTTTTTATTATTGTTGTTCTTTCCATTTTGAGTCTTGCTCTTTCGAGAATTTGAGTTGGAAATGGTGGTCCATCCGTCGTCGGTAGTGATCCTCGAATGCCGTTGACGGGCACTCATGGATAATGCTTTCTTTTCTTTTTTCCCAATCCCAATGGATATTTTATATTTTTATTGATGCAGCTATGAATGTGGCATTATTCTAAAGCAGGAAGCTTCAAATTTGGAAAAAAAGGTGTGGCTTGTGTGGTGAGAAGTGAAACCGAAGGGGTTGAGATTTTTATAAACTTCTGGAAGGTTTGGAAGGAAATGTCGGTAAGACAACACGGGAAGGCGTTGGAAAATGCCCCCTCGCTTGTAAGCTCTGTGTAAGGCAGTGCAGTGCAGCACAGTTGACGATTTTTAATTCAGCTTCTAGCTTCTCAACAGGAGTCTTAAGTCAATGAATCCAAAGTAACTTGAAACAGTTTAGCAGAAAATATTTTATAACTTCCTCCTTAGTTAAAAAAAAATACTGTATTCAAGGAAATCCTTAAAAATCCAAGGAGTATGAACGGTAATTAAGCCTACAGTTCCAAACGTTAACAAGCATTTACCTAGTCTTAGAACAAGCATCATGGGCTACACAATACACCAGATACCCTTCCTAAAGTCTCAGATCAAGCATCATCAGAACTCGATTACCTACTGTAGGCTAATATACACCTTCCCCGGGGACGGGAACTCTGTATATATTAGTAAGCTTGGTAGATATTAAGCCAGGCTTAAGTTAATTGGATCCATGGAGTCGAGATATCCTTACCATGAACGGCATATGGATTCAATTCGTACTGGAAGAATTGCGATATTCTGCGTGATCCATGCGTGATATTCCCCGGAATTATAAGGATTCGAGAGCTTTGAAAAGTATTAGTCGACCTTGGAGGATTGGATATAAAACCTCTTTGTAAGGTTCTTCGAGAAGTCTTCTAAATTACCAGTACTATCCAAACCATAATACTCCACACTCCTTTATCACCAGAGTAAAGATTCAACTTGCTATCCCACTCTTTAAAAACTCTTTCTTATATCTTGGATATCCATCTTTATCAATACTTCAACTACAAACTTTTAATTATAAAAAGAAACAGTACCAGCAAAAATGCGCACCTCAACCATTCTCTCCCTCCTCCTGACCGCCACTGCCATATCCGCGGCTCCGATCCCCAATCCCCAAAACTGGAAAAACATCGGCGCAGGTGTCGTCAACGGTATCGGTTTCGTTTGTACCTTCCAAGGTGACCAATGCCAGCAAATCGGTGATGCCGTTAAAAACGGGTTGAAGGATAGCGTTACCAAAGGCCCCAAGTTGGGCGAGAAGGATGCAGATAAGGTCATGAAGGGTGGCTTGAAGGATACTATCAGTGGGTGGAACAGGAAGTAGATCTTCTATCGAAGGACAAGGGAATATGGGTATTATATTATTTTAGGAATTCATGTATATAGTATATATCTTGTCTCTCAGAAGCATTAAATACGCGTTCTGTGGGAACGAATTTAATATAATAACAAACAAGAGGAGTAGTTTCAAACTGGTCATAAGAAAGAAAGGAACAAAGTATAAGAAAAAACATAGATTAAGTTGTATTGTCTCGTAAACCAGACTTGCTAGAGCTAACGCATTAGTACTGCATGTAGGCTGGAAACTCAATTGATCAAGTTTGTATAAATCGCATCTCAAGGGCATATAATCCTGACATATCACAGCCCTATTCCAGCTTGACATAGACACACAAAAAAGAGAATAGGTACTTCATTCAACATTAAGAAATCTCATCTCGTAACGCCTGCTAGATAGACTTATAGAAAAACAAAGATTGTGCAAAACGAAACCACATCTAACCCTCATCAAACCATCTTCGGCATGCTAGGTAATCATAAAAAAAAACATATACCACAATCTATCAGACTCCATCATCGTCACCACCTCTTTCCACCTCTCCATTAATCATGACCCCGGTCCCAGCTAATGCTTCCGCCATCCTCCGCCTCTGTTCTTGAATTATTTCTGTGCTCCGTGCCTGTTCCGCCTCCAGCTCTCTTCTGACACCTGCTAACCTCTCTCGGACTCTTGCTCTATTTTCGGCATTTTCAAAATGTCGGAACAACGCTTCGTCGCCTAGGTCTGCTGGGAGAAAGGTGCTCCTAAGGACCCTTCTGCTGCTGTTGCCTTCGGCGTCGAGTGCCTCGTCGACTTCATCGACCTCTGTTCGTATAGAATCTGAAGGATTTGGATGTGAAGAGATCGGTGGCGGCGATGTGGTTGTTGGGATTTCTAGTGCTGCAACCGCGGCAGCTGTGGCAGTGGAGAGGGCAACTGGCGCTGGAGTGCTCGAAGTTGGAAGAACACCAGCTGTTTGGAACATGTTGATGGCCTCGTTTTCGGCTCTACGTAATTCCCGTCTAGTCGACCGAAGTAAAGCGAATTCGGAGGCAAGGAGGTCAATTCGAGATTGCATTGTGCGAATGCGAGCTTCGCGAATGCGGAGAGATGTATGGTAGTTTTGGGAGTTAAGGTCGGGAAGAACTGTGGGGGAGGCTGCAGATGTAGAAGTATCGGCAGTAGGCGCGGAGGACTGCGTATTTAGTGCTTGATTTAGTGCCTGGCTGTGCAGGGAAAGGGATTCCTCGAGACTCGCAGCGGTTTCGTCAACGCTATTAAGCATGTAATCCTGTAGAGCACCAATACGACGGATTTGATTTACGAGAGTTTGGAACGAGTCCTGGTTTCGGGCGCCCGGTGAGCTAGACCTTGCCGGGGAGGTAGGTGGCCATTCTGTCGAGATGCTGGCCGACCTTCGCGGTACCGGTGGGGGGTTGCTGATGGTTGCTGCTGCATTGGAGGTTGATACGGCGGTAGTAGCCGGTGTCAGGTTTGGTGGGATGCCAGCAGCACTAAGTGCTCGCTCCCAAGCCTGAATGTCACGGCGTTCGCCGGTGCCTCTATTGGAGGTTGGCGCTCGAAGACCTAGAAGTTGCTGCAAAGCAGATAATTCGCTGGATGGATTCTGTGCCGTACTGTTATTCCTAGGTTGGGGAGGTGATGTCTCTCGTAAGAATTCGCTCAATGTGAGCAGTTGGTCGGAAGCAGGTTGGATCATCTGAGGTCTCGACCGTTGTGAAGTTGTTGAGGTGGTTGGGAGCGGTGGAGTATGATAGTTCGCATTCAAGAACCGTTCCATGTGAGCTGATCGTCGTTCTCCACGCTCTCGACGACTACGCTCCATCCGAGCAGAGAGGTCTCTCTCTCTTTCTCGTTCACGGATCTGATTCTCGTGTTCGCGCTCATTCTGGAGGTCTTCAATTTCAATGGTATCGGAGGAATCGAGTATCTGACGACGGATAGGACGGGAGCCAGAGTAAATGTAATCGTAGGCAAGGGACCCTGTGCCTCTTCCAGTGGACGTTGAAGGGCCGGGAGCGGATGGTATCCGTGTGGAGGTTCCGGAGGAGGTGTGGGTCGAGGTATGGATGTCGCAGCGGTTGGTTGCTGATGCCTTGTCCAGCGTCTTAGCGTCTGGCGGCGATTCCCAAACTGTAGAAAGGAGAGATATTAGTAGAAGCTCGCCGACTGTCCCTTTCTGATGATAAATATGGCTTCGAGGCTGCACTAACGTGGTATACCCATTGTGACGAAGTTGAAGTGTTTGGCGGACGGAAGGAAGTTGATGTGCGATGAGGTTGGTGAATGTGCGGTGGGGAAGCTTGTATGTTAAGAAAGAGATGAGGAAGAAGAGAGCACCCAGCCAACAATATAAAATATAACCTCACAAGAAATTAAAAAATCTAAAAAAAATAAAAATTCCAGCGAGGGGAAAAAAAACCTCACACGGTAAAGGAAAACTTATTTTACGAAACGAAAGATGCTACTGTAAATTGTAGTTACAAAGTACTGTGCGATGGGACGATATTATAGATAGATCCTGGGCGTTCAAGGTCCCACCTTCCCAAGGCTTGCAGAGATTTACTTGTGCAGTGAGCACATGGGGGAATTCGAATATATGCATGACCATGGGGACGAGCTCCAATCAGACCAAGCTAAGCACATATCCCCAGACTTCCTCCGGTTTGAATTAGAGGTTAGAGGTGACCGTAGGCCGGTTTGGTTTTGGTGCTTGAATCAGGAGAGGGGAGGAGTTACATCGATGGTTGTTCGGTACTGTACTGTCTACGAGGTAACATGTGCAAGCTCCAAGCTCCGGCTGTGTACCCGATACCGCAGATAGACTGCATGAACCGACAACTATTCTTGTTCGGGCTACCCGAGGAGCTTGCAAGCTTGTAGTCCGGTATCTCAGTACTAGTTGATTGGCCACCACCGGAATCATGGAGGCGGCTTTACATTTTGCTGGAACAGTCGGCTCATTTGACAGAAGACCGTCCCGGTTTGCAATTGTATTCTGGAGTTAATATTTTACCTCAAGCTTTGTGAGATCAGAAAACCCGAGAGACCCGAGAGACCCGAGAGTCGGGTTTTCGAGCGTGTAGCATATATATGCAATATGATATAATGGGGCAGCTCTAAGCTCATGCCAAAGGGGAGGATTTTGAATGGCTAGAGATAGGGTCCAATATTAGCAAATTCTGGAGATAACTGACACCTCTCGCTTCGGAACCTTTTTTTATGCAAAAAAACGAGCTCATGTAAAAGTGTGCATGTCATATTATGTCATTTGTCGATTGCACCAATCTGCACAAAGAAAAAATTTTTAATTTTTTTTCTCTCTTTCTTTTTGGGTGGTGGAGCGGTTTTATTCGGGATCGAGGGAGGGTCGACGATGGGTGGAAGGATGCTGTTATTCCTGTAGCTTGTCATGAAAGAAAATATCCGAAGCCCTACCTATCAAGAATATACTTCGACATAATGTAGGAAAAACCAGCCAAATTTTCGGGGCGGTTGTACTAAACTTTAGTTCGGGACACCTAGCCTGTATAGGCCTATGGGGCGGTGTCCGCTTGCCCGTGGATCCACCGATTGACGTGATCCAGTACCAGGGGCCGTTCATAATGATGTTAGAATTCCATACTTTGATAGTGTTTTTGTCCGACCTTTGCCCATTCTGATCTCGCTGAGGGATATATATATATACCTAGGTATATATCAAGATCGCGATCCTAGGCAATTCAGCAGCAGCAGCAGCAGCAGGTCGCAAGGGACCATAAGGCTGACCTGGTGATGGCTTCGTTTCAACCTTAGCGAAACAGCCCTATAAAGCTTGGCTTGCTCTAGAAGACTGTCGATATTGGCAAGTACCCAGGTAGGCATATTACCTATGCAATGTATAGTACTTATAGGCCCAGACTCGACGTCATGTCAGCTTTGATGTATACCAGGTCAGGATGTCTCAGGATTCTGGTATTTGATTGTGAAAGGACCATCCAACTTTGCTTGTCTGATCGCAGAACCCTTCTTGAATCGAACGAGCGGCAGCTGGCTTGGGTATCCAACAGTTTGGCACAGCTGTTATCAGGTCCTGTGATACCTGTATCTAACATTTGTGATGGCCTAACAGAACAAAAAAAAACATCAGATGAATGGAATAGCGCTAGCCATGCATACGTAGACTTAATTAGTAGAATACTTACCTTGTTCCAATGGTCGTTGGTGCATTAATGCATGAGCGATGGTGCACTGGTGATGTGTCTCTTGCTGGCGGTTAGGTTGGTATCAGTCATTTAATTGTATTGGTGGAACTGTTGACAAAGAAAAGCGCTTGAGAAAGATAAGAGCTTAATTGAGAGGACTGCCCACTTGTTCCAGTGCTATGCAATAGACAATCACCAAGATGGCCCATCTTCATTGCTAACTTATAACGGCATGTCATGACATTAGATTTCATGGATTCAAAGTAACTACGAGTAGTCCCGAGTCGCGTGGAAGTTCAAACTCGGCCACAAAAATTACGTATCATATCATATTTTCAGCCCGCCACTGTCCATTTGCATCTGTTCATCTATCAAAAAAAAAAAAACCACCGTTCGCTTGGCATCGAATCGGAATTTACTTACTTAAAAACCAACTCACCTACTACTGCGAATTACTGCGAAGGACTGGTCTCACTGCAGGGTAGCATATTTAACGAAAAGGAAGAAGATATCCATACGTTGCAGGCGGAAAGAAGAGGAAGTGCACTCACTGTATGTCGTGCATGCTTACCTTGCTCACAGCAACGGTCACGCCGTTGGAAGAGGAAGTTGCGGGCCCAGCCGGTCTATAAAGCACCAACCACAACCTACACCCGATCCAGCCTTCAAACCATCTCAACGTCCCCAAAAAACCTCCATCAAAAGAAAGCCGCCTCACGATCGTTGCATTGGTTATTTTGATATCTCCCGGTCGGACCACGAACGGATTAATTGACGACTTGGCAATAGTCGAGCTACAGGGTTTCTCTTCTTCTGCAGCCAGCCGAAAATACCCCTAATCAATCACCTTGCTTCCCGTACGGAAGGCATCTCTCAGCCATAGAATCCACCAACGTGTGCAGCTCCGCTACCTGACGGGGACGTCCATTGCGTAGCTAATCCCTATAGGAATAAATCCAAATTCCCATTTATACCGTCCGAGACCTCCTGGACCGTCTGCGAGCATTCAACTTGTTCCATCACCTATTGGCATCATGTTGATTCTCTAACATCGACCTTTCGTCGACACGTTCTCTGAACAGTTCGGCCCTTGCAAACTGTCTTGAGCCTCAACAAACAAAAAGAATACTTCGAACCTCTGTCTACGTACTTTCTCGCCAATAGCTGTCTATCGCAAAAAATTCCAGTCAACATCACGACAAACATATTTCATACACGTCACCTCTCCCTCACGGCAGCTTGGAATTCACAATGATAGATTTCTCTAAAATCGATTGGTCTGCTTGGTTCGAACTAATTCGCCCCCCGAGGCTCAACTTCATCACTCTTCATTATTTTTATATCATCGGGTGCGCCATTGTTGGTTCGATTTTGATCTTTCCTCTCAAAAACCTTCCATACGTTGATTGTCTCTTTTTTACTACTGGATCGAGTACACAATCCGGCCTCAACACTGTGGATTTGAATACATTGACAACATATCAACAAGTCGTCCTTATACTTGTACCATGGATCACAAACCCTATCATTATAAACACCGGGGTGGTGTTTATCAGACTTTACTGGTTCGAGAAACGCTTCGAAACAGTTGTCGCGCAGAGCAAGACACTGGTCTCGTCGCGCAGAACCATGTCTAGACGAAAGTCGGAAGGTCCTGATCAGGCAGAACGCGGTGTTGGTGGGTTTTCTACGTTGACATAATAGCCTGGAAGCATTCTAACTTTATTTATAGCTGGTAGGAAAATAACGGTTCTCTTGAACTCGGCGAAGAAAACCGGGCCATCTGAAAAAACTGAAGATCAAACAACCAGTGGCAATAAGGACCTGCAAGAATTTAGGAAAAACTTTGGGTTTAATGGACCCAATCGTCCTATAAAGTGAGTTTTACCTCTTTATTTGGTTTTCTTTAATCCTTTAGTTTGATCTTATTTATTTATCGTCCCTTTTTTATGGGGGATTTTTAAATTATTTTTTCTTTGATTTATTTTTAACGTAAATTGATCTGACACACGCAATAGTTTCCCAGGGTTAAGGTCTCATTCCAGATCGAGGTCGGATGGAAATCACCAGCTTGCAATGAGGCACAGTAAGCCTGGTGGTTTGTTCTCTGATACTATTAATGATAATGATGATGATTTCGCAATCGAGGATGACGATGAAACGCCGCCACGACCTCCTATGTCAGCCATTCCCGCCAATACTGAGTTAAGTGGGATCCTGGAAAAAGGTGGCGAGACCTCTGCCCCTGGGCACATCAGTTTCGCAGAACCTAAGCCTAGGCACCGGAAGGACTCTGAAGTAATCGTCGTACCTAGCCCCTTTGATGTCGAAAACCGTAAGTTGAGGGTACCCCGTGTGTGAACGTTTAAATTTTTAACTCGTTATGTCTAGGTGGATCTGGAATTGCACACAGGTTCGTCGATGGTGGGTCCGAAGATGAGGAAAGGGGTCCGAAAGACGAGGAGCAGACTCTACCGCCCGTCCCGGAAACTCCCGGTCTAGTCAAGCGTGCTATCACAATTGATGAACCGACGATGACTCGTGAGACGATGCATTCAAACGCCCGACAGCGGATCCGAACTGCGACATCTAGAGGCTCTACAGATCAGAACTACTTTCTTACCCCAGTCAGTCCTGGTGTCCATCGAGTTGTATCCAACAACTTCCATCGTCGCCGAGGGTCTAGTCCGTCGAGGAAGAGCACTAAGAATGCCGAACCTGCGCCTTACCTTCCTCATACACTTACAATCGGCAGGAACTCGCAGTTTAACTATGGCGAGCTTTCCGAGGAGGAAAAGGATGAGTTAGGTGGCGTTGAGTATAGGTCCCTGCGGACTTTAGGATATATCCTAGTTGGTAGGTTTTGAACCCCACCGGAAGTACCCAGAGGCTGCTGACAATTGTAGCCTACTTCTTATTCTTCCAGGTTTTTGGAATCATCTGTCTACTCCCGTGGATCCATACACAATTGAAATATGCAGCTGTAGTAGATGCGGCTCACCAAAATCGAACGTGGTGGTAAGTAGAAATACAGTCCGACTTATTAGGATATCAGGTCGCTTTGTTGACACCTTCTAGGGCAATCTTTACTTCCTCGTCTGCGTTTACGGATTTGGGGTTTACCTTGACCCCCGATTCTATGTTGTCCTTCCAAACAGCGACCTGGCCACTCCTCCTGCTCTCATACCTTATCATTATTGGCAATACGGGATTTCCATGCATGCTTAGATTTATCATTTGGGTGCTTTGGAAAATATGCCCTGAGAACTGGGTAGCCAAAGAAAGTTTGCATTTTCTTCTCACCCACCCGCGACGATGCTTTACTCTGCTGTTTCCGAGCCGAGCCACTTGGTGGTTGTTCGGTGTCTTGGTAATAATGAACGCTACGGACGTTATATTATTCATAGTTCTAGACCTAAACAACCCGGATATCACCGCGCTCTCAGTCAACAATCGCATTTTAGATGCTTATTTCCAAGCTGTCTCTACGAGAACAGCGGGTTTCGCAGTTGTGAATTTGGCAAATCTACACCCGGCTGTTCAAGTCAGCTATCTTAGTAAGTACGCCGTTGTCATACGCTTCTGATCTAAGCTAATGATTTTTAAAGTCATGATGTACATTTCAGTTTTCCCGATCGCTATTAGCGTTCGAAAAACAAATGTTTATGAGGAAAGGTCGCTCGGCATTTACGCCGACCACGAGGAAAATGACAACCCCAACGATCATTCATTTGTTGGCGCCCATTTAAGGAGACAATTGTCATTCGACTTATGGTATGTATTTTTGGGGTTGTTCGCGATTTGTATATCGGAAGGAACAAGGATATCAAGTCGTGAAGATTATGTGAGTATTCGCAATATTAATGATAGAATGCCTTTCTTGGTTGATACGGGTTGCTAATATTGTACTAGGCCTTCACCCAATTTGCCTGCCTCTTCGAAGTTATTTCCGCCTACGGAACCGTCGGGCTATCTCTCGGATATCCCAACGTCAACACTTCATTCTCAGGCCAATTCAATACGTTTAGTAAGATTGTCATCATGGCGATGATGGTCCGAGGCCGCCACCGTGGCTTGCCGTACGAACTTGATCGCGCAATCTTGCTGCCCTCCGAATCCCTACAGCAGAAAGAAGAAGAGGATGTTACTCTAAGGTTACAAAGACGTACTGAAACGCAGGAGAGGGCAGAAAGACGTAGTCTGAGAGCAATGAGCCGGGGACCGTCAGCGGAAAATGTCAATGGTGGGATTAGCAACGGGACCGTTAATGGTGGGGCTACCAATGGCGGGACTGCTAATGGCGGGGCCACCAACGGAAATGCTAAATCGGGAGACGGAACTGGAGTTACAACAGGTTTCCAAATGCAAAGAGCAGCGACTTAGAGGAGCCGTTTGTTCTCTGTGGGGTAAGAATCGCCCCTTTCTACCTTGTTGATTATGTGATATTTCTATTCAATAGACCGAATGGTTCTGTTTGCGTTTTGGGTGAGGAGTAAATGGGTGTTTTCCTGCCTTGGGAACCTTGGAGATTTCGACTGTCAGAGCATTCGAAATATCCCAAAGGTCCTGCACTATTGTTTCTTTCTTTCTTTCTTTCTTTCTTTCTTTTCTTTTTTTTTTTGACTCTTGGTTTCCCTAGCTCCTCACTCCATTTTCTTTCCCCTCTTACTGCATTGTAATTCATGATTGACGCTACGTGTTCCTCCCCCTTCTTCCTCATAACATAAAAGTGGATTAGCAGATCATTATGATGTTAAATCTTTCTACAATTTTGCTTAGGGCAATTTTGTCGTTTCCTCAAGGAGTATTTCATTGGCACGGTTTGACGGTATAACTATTTTTTTTACTTTTTTCTTCATACCCTTCTTTAATTCCTCTGTCTGTCAACGAATCTTTTCAATATATGTTTTGTTTTTCTTTGCATTTGGCATGATAGACTTCGTTTTTGCAAATCTTGGGCATCATACAAAAAAGATATGGGTGGGTGACTGGTATGGTTTTATGTTGATTTTTCATATTTCTATTTCTTTTTCTTCTTTCATGGAACGGAGGCTGTTTAAACCCTTTATCAAGCACGCATAAAGATCACGGAAAACAACAGGCATATACATACGGCTTTAGACGTTGCAGGCTTCAGAGCACTTTTTTTTTCTCCCTTCCTTCCCCTCCTTTTTACTCATATCCTATCATTCGCATTTTGGAGGAACGAATTTTATCTTAGAATTAATAACATCAAGCAAACATTGAGAGGGATTAGGCTTGCCTGGAGACTAAAATTACGTTAGTCTTGTAATCAGGCCCTGGCCTATCGCTATGGAATTTTGTATATTATATTAGGGCTTTAAATTTTTCATGACGAGTTGTAAATCTCGACCATTTTGCAGTTTACTTGAAAAAACTTGCTCAGCTTGAAATATTTGTATCTTTTGATAGGGGTAAAGACGGTAGATGAAGGCATTTACAAGTTTTGAGCTCATTTTTGGGGGGCGTGGTTAGGTTTCTCGAGCCCTACTAGCCTTCTATTTGCACCTCGAACTCCGGCACTCCCAAGATCGCGGTTGCGAACAAATGATCTGCGTGATAACTAACTTGGGCGAATTGCCATATTTGGACATCCAACAAGCTCAACGCAGTCACGATTTCTGTAAATTTATAAATTTAGAACAAATGATGCCGGGTAGGTTACCAAAATTAAGCATTATAATCGCTGAATGGGAATGACAATGTAGCATTTTAAAATTTTTTTACAGGTAGGTAGGTAGATAAGTAGGTATATAAAGGCTTTGCTGGCTTACCGCAGTGCCTTTGTCTACTCTGTCCTTTCTACCCCTCGACCGTTCTTCATTCAGAGTTATCATTTTCATTAATATTTTCTTTTTCACCCATTTTACTGTCATCCCATTCGCCGGATTACCCCGTTATCGGTTTTCTGCTTAACTTCGAATTTCGGGATCGATTGTTACTATTGTTTAATTTTATTTTTTAATTCCTAATCGGATTTACAAACATCGACTTTTCTGTCTACTTGACGAGCAACAGTATTCGAGACAAAAACCTACTTTTTTTTCTGGTTCGCGAGAAAAAGTACTCAACCGAACACATCAAATCAAGCAGAGCATCCAAATCTAACTTACGGGCTTTTTGAAGCAAAGCTTACTTACATCTACTTACGAAATCATAGAAAACTTCCTTGGCTCAAAGGGCTAAGAGTTTCGAGGTAATTGACCACAATACTCTAGTATCAATTTACTTTACGTAAATTTACTAGATCTAGAAAACCTTTTCTCAAATAACATCTGCTTAGTTTGTACAAGCTACTAGTAGAGCCAAAAGGTTTTTATATCCCAAAAGTTTACACAGAATCACAATGGAAGAAATTCCCGCCTTTTCCTTCGAGTGGCCGTTGCCCTCAGCTGTCCAGGTTTCATTAAAATATGAAAGAATGCCTGAGGTTGAGATTGTATATCCTTCAGCCCCACCCCCATCCCCATCCCTTTCCTCATCCCAGGTAGCAACAAACCCCAACCTCATGAATCCACATGCACAAGATGGCTCCACTCAAACCGTCCCTCAAGGACTGCAATTTGTCTGCTACACAACAGACCGCTGCAGATATACCTCTAGAGACCACTCTAAGTTACTCCCGCATATGCAGTCGACTGGGCATGAACATTTCTTGTGTTACCTGGGGTCTACCAGACCTGGAAATATGTTTGTTGGTCGCATTCACGTGGAGTCTTATGTTGGTTGGATGTGGGATACGGAGGGGGTTTATGTGGGTAAGGGTGATGAGAATGAGGATGATGAAGCTGAGGGTGGGGTGCCTTTAGAGTCCCCAGGAGAGGGGAGTTATATGGGGCGTTCCCATACGCCGATTTGGAGTCCTCGGGATGGGAAGGACTCGGATTTATCCAATGAGTTATATGATCCGAGTTCAGGTTATCCCTGGGGTTCATATACAAACCCGGATCCTCCTGTGGACGAGTCCCGTCTCAATTCCCCGACAGGCTGGGAAGTTGAGGAGGAAGGTTGGGGAAACGCTAGCGAAGACGACGCTCTTTCTCAAGTATCCACCAGCTCTCACGTATCGGAATCATCGATTTTATCAGAGCTTAGTAACAACACTGGTGCGATCCCCTGCGGGTATCCACGGTGTAGGTATAAAACCTCAAAATACCAGAAGTTATACAGCCATCAAGTCTGGCGAGATCATACCGAGTGTTCCAAATGCGGGTATCAATATCTTGCCTTACCAAGGCACTGGAAGAGGAACGAATATCTATATCGATACCAACAAAGTGATAATCGTTCACACGGGAAACAAATAAAAATACTAACCTGTCGACATTACCGCTGTCGGGGCAAGATCTTCGAGTCAGAAGATGAATTAGAAAAACATTGTGATCGTAAGGATCACGGGCCTTGCAAGTATTGTAAGAATGATTGGACGGTGTTTGGGGCGGGTGGGGGATATACGCCGGAGGATGAGAGGAGGTCTGAATGGTTTGATGAAACAGAGACAAAAGATGAGGAGGAGGAGGAGGAGGAGGAGGAGGAGGAGGAGGAGGAGGAGGAGGAGGAGGAGGAGGAGGAAGGT